AAGGAACGGATTTGCTGACGCGCCCAGTCACGCTCAGCTTGCGGTTTGAAATATTTTTCGATCTCTGTTTTGAGATCGTCCCAGGTGGGCCACACACCCGCGGTGTAGCATTCCTGAAGTCTTACTTGGGCGTATCGATCCGCCACAGGTCCTTTTAGGCGAGATAGCACCGCAGTGGCTACCTCAAAATCATCGGCAAAAGCGTCCCAGTTCGCCTTGACCCAAATCTGGAGCTTGATCCACCATTCGGCAAATCGCGCTCGGTCTCCTTCGAAGGCGCCAGGGTCAGCGACGACTTCGACTTTCTTGTTGAATTTCTTTTCCACCGAGGGGGTTGCTACAGGGGGGTTGGCCTGTATCTCGGCGAGCTGCGAGGTTAATTCAGCTATCTGCACACGCATTGCGTGCAGTAGCGCATTCATATCTTGGGGTTGCGACGACATGTCGACTTGTTCTCTTTGGGTAACGTAAAAATAGGTAACTGGGGGTCCCCGCTTGCTATCTGCGGATCAACCTCTTCCCAGCTGAGTATCGGATCTCAATCTCCGACTACCCACACTATAGTATTTGAAAATGTATCTAAAATGTAAACGTAATAAACCCTGGTCCAAACGGTTGTCAGGGGGTGGTCCGCTTGTTAAGCTGTCAACCCTTCTCCAGACTGGCGGAGGCAAGTGCCCGGCCTGGTCAGAGGTATTCGAAAGTGAAAGTTTGTGTTCTAAATCTAATCAACAGTGGTTCCACACCGACTGCTGAGCTAAGGTACTCCCCTTAACGCTGGGGGCCGCGTATCGAAGGTTTGCGTTCTTCTCCCGAAGCACTACAAGGCCGTCGCTAGGAGCGCACCTATCTGCTATGTGGGATATTCCTAACCGCTAACCAATCTCCTTCACCCTGGAGTCCGGGTGCCCAGTGGGACTTTTTGCACAAACGTGCGAGAGAGTAGAAAGAGCGAGTCCTAATGTAACAACCAAGAGTTAGTTACTCTGGCGCACACAGGAACACACTATAAAGGTAGTGGAAGTTGGGGAGTGGGTACCCCTTGGGCTGCAGTGAGTTAGTTGGTATACAACAGGAGGACTCGCTGAGAAGTCTCCTGGATCTATTGGGGTATATATACTACTACAGGTTTGTTTGTACATGTGTACTATACAGTTGATGAAGGCAGTGGCTGATGATGTCATAGGGTCTAGCCCGTATGGCCAGCTCCACTGCGTGAGAGAGTTAAGTCTAAAAGTAAAAGAAAGGCAACGCGGCGCGAGAAAGGGAAATGCCGCGTGGCACTTAAAGTATAAAGTTTAAAGCGGAGAATAAAAAGGAAAGGAGATGTCCGGAAATTGTGTTATCGTAACACATGGAGGTATTGCCCCACTGCTCTCGGAACATCTTCATGCTGATATGGTTTCATTGCTTGTGGAACATCTCCTTGGAGATGTGGTTCCATTTGTAATTCATTTGGATCTCGGATCTGAGGGTCAGGATCATCCTCCTCCAATGTTTTTTGGTCTGGATAGTGAGCATTCTCTGGAATGAGTCCCTCCCACTGATCTGTGCTAGTGTCTGTGTTCCAGGGAGCAGGGTCATCCTTTTGTACCTTTCTGGATTCATTGAATATGACATGCCGACTGGAAAACACAGTCCGTTTTTCAGTGTCTAGGAGTTTGTAGGCTTGCTTTCCATGTGTGTAGCCAACCATTATGGCTTTGCGCCCCTTGGAGTAAAACTTCCCTTGCCTTTTGTCTTTCGGAATCAAGGCATATGCTTGGCATCCAAAAGGGCGAAACAAAGTTGGATCAACTCTCCTTTTAAACAGTATTTCATATGGGGTCTTTCCATGGAGTCCTGATGCTGGGCTGCGTGCTGTGATATATGCAGCTGTTTGCATGGCATCTACCCAAAATGACTTTGGGAGCTTGGAATCATGGAGCATAGTGGTTGCTAATGTAGCCAATGTCTGATTCATGCGTTCTGCAATGCCATTTTGTTCCGGAGTATCTGCAGCTGTAGTTTCTTGGATGACACCATCTCCTCGGAGTTGATTTTTGAATGCATTGCCAGTATATTCTCCTCCCCCATCGCTCCGGAGGAATTCTGTGTATAGTGGAGTGAAGTTTTCTTCTCCCAAATGAGTCCGGAAGAATGTTTGGACATCTTCTTTCCATTGCTTGTATTGTTCCAGTACTTCACTTTTATGTTTTAGGAAATATATCCATGGAAATTTGGAGAAATCATCTACAATGATAATCCAGTACCAAAAACCCTCCCTGGAAGTTGGTTTGATTGGTCCTCCAACATCTGTGTGCACAATTTGTATGGGGAGCTTGGCTCGGTTTCCTCCAGTGGACTTGAAAGGTAATTTCTTCATCTTTCCTAAAGCACAAGGTTCACAAAACTCTGGGGTTCTGGTAAGGGTGTCTATGTCCTGGAACTGTCTTTTTGTAACCATTCGTTGCAAGTGGTCCATTCCAATGTGTCCCATTCTCCTGTGCAATAAATTTACATCTACTGCTGCAAAAGCTGACTCCAGGTTGATTTTGGGTTTTGCTTGGATGTGATAAAGTCCTCGCTTGTGTAACGCAGTGAGGATAAGTTCCTCCTTTTTCCGAACTTCACAAGCATTTGACCCTGCTGGAAAAAGTGTTGATAACCCCGTTTTGGACAATTTGTGGACAGAGACGAGTGCTAACGTGAAGTTTGGCACAAGTAAGACATTTGACAGTGCAATATTGTAGTCCTTTTTGCCAACAGTTGCTTGTAGGATTACTGTTCCAATGCCAATTGCATTTACAGAGGATTCATCCCCAAAACTGATTGTCCTCGGAGGATGCAGAACATGGTATGCAGGAGCGGTGAGGGACCATGTGGGATGTTGCTCCGGAGTCAATAATAATTGTTGTTTTGGTCTTATCGGGTTCCGACACAAGGTAAGCTTGAATGTGTTTAGCAAGGGGCTTGGAAATATGTACATGTTCCAATGCAATATGACTTTGTTCCTCCTCAGAGTCAGATCCAGATGATTGCTCCGCTGTATTTGCCTTTTCCTTCTCTTTTCCTTTATCCTTGTGTCTTTCCTTTCCCTTCTTCCTTTGACCTTTTTCAGCTGACTGAAGTGTTTGACACTCCGAGGTGTTGTGTGATTTGGCTTTGTGGAAGTTACACCATTTCTCCTCGGATTTGAGTGCTGATTCGGAACCTCCAGGGGCCTTCCCGGACTGTCATGCAACTTCTGCAGTGATCCGGATCTCAACTACATCAAAGGTAAGTTTATTTTCTTCAATCGTGTTGATTACTGATGACTGAAATATTTGCCATTCAGGAGCGCATGGGAGAGATTGGAGAAGAGCAAAAGCCATGAGTTTGGTATCAACTCGTAGTTTCATTCCAGAGAGGTGTGAATCAATTGTCTGGATTTTCGCAATGTGGTCCTGGATAGGTGATGTCCCATCCCAGGACAATTTTGTGAGTTGCTGGAATGAATAGAAGGCCGAGGCAATGTTGGATGTTTGATGGAGTGAGACAAGTTTATCAAATAACTCCTTGGAGCTGGTGAGGTCTCCAGTCCTCATTAGGAGGGCATCAGAGATGTGGTCCTGGATGATTCCATGTGCCTTCTCATCCTTAAGTATCCAGGTGATCTCAGGATCCTCCAAGGAGGTAGGTTTTTCTGGTGAGGGCTTAAGCTCCTCTCCAGTAACAACCCAGAGAATTTTTTCCCGACGTAGCTTTGAGATGATCCAGAGTTTCCATATCTGAAAATTGTTGGGTCCAGTGAGAACTGGACATGCGGATGTATCGCGTGCTGTGGTCATGGTTCCGAGGTTGCCGTTTCAAATAAGAATTATTTCCTGCGTAGCTTTTGCGCACTAGGGCTCATAACCTAATAAACCTAAGTGAAACTCAGCCGCTGCCTGAGAGGCTATAGAAATGACTGAGGTATTTCTATACTAAACCCCCTACTACTTATAGTCGGAGGTGCTACTCGCTACAGTATAATGATTCCTAGGAGTACAATTGTGCTCCTAGGAGAACAATGGTTACTCCATGGAGTGGTGGCTATGCTCCATGGAGAACAATGGAACAATGGCTGCTTCGGCAGAGACCGGGTTTATCCGGTTTTGTCAGTCCTGACACCTTGCTCCTAGTACAAAGGTTATAGTGGGGAGTGGGAGAGGAGGTTATGGGAGCAGTCATGGGTGCCGGTCCAGTCATCGCAGGTTGATCAAGTCCGGATTCGAGGAGAGGCGGTATTCCTGTCGGAACAAGGTGGTTTTCTGTTGGTAGTTTAGACTGTTTAGAGTTAAAAAAATGTGACGTTCGCGTGACGCTAACGCCCCAAGTCGAGCTTTCGTACTATAACTGGTGTAAGTCTAGTCAATTCAAGCTACTCCTCCATATCGATTACATCTGGACTTTATACGTCTACAGTAGCGACAGGGATCAGCAAACTAATAAGTGCAAACACAGGAGAAGCAGCAGTCCATAAGGAGCGTGGACGAAAGGAGTGACGGAGATAAGTGTTCGCATGTTCAAAGAGCGTGGTCAGACGCCTAGCGCCAGGTGAGTCGATTCGGGTTTCAGCCTCGTTACACCATCTTATGGTGGTATTGGATTGGATTTTGACTTATCTTCTACTGTACAGGACTTAGTCATCTAGATAAGTATGTATTATTTCAAGATTTACAGGTCTACAAGTCGAAATGGAAAAATGCCTAAGTCCTCGATGGATATCTTGTCAATATGCACCAAAAATGAGCATATTCTCAGAAGATATCAACCTTCGGATATCCGGTCAATATCTCGTGGATATCACCAGAACATCCGGAGATTGGCGGGAAATATCCATGGTTGAAAATCCGACTTTTTTTGCGGTGTAACACCTAAGTGATACCAGATGCTTTATCGAATACGCTATTACACTAGTAGTTGTGTACGCGGACCACCCGATTTTACACAAACACCATACTTTTCCGCTTACAGTTAGCACTCATGCAATCAACGATCACTTTCAAAACGTTTCGTTACAACAATAGTAGTACAACAAGGGCAAGATGATAAAACAAACAAAAAGCTACTTTGAATACAAATCACTTCGCAACCTAGCCAGAAATTACCATCCACTTCAAACGACAAGGGTGATGGGTGCCCTAGTCGTGGTGATTTGGACAGTGCCTTGAGTAACTCCCGGTCCGCTATTGGGCTGCCAATACGCTGAACCTGTGATATGGTCCATGCCCCCAGATTTCTGATCCACAACACGCGTTCTGCCTTGCCCCGAAGGGTCTGAGGTACTACCTTTGTTGACATGCACCGGGGCAGAAGATGAGTCAACAGTGAAAGCACCTTCGTAGGCGTTGTTCAGCGTCACTTTCACGGGCGCATTCACGGTAGACGCTACAAGGCTTTGAATAGAGTTGACAGGCGAGCTCGTGTAGACAAGGGTGATGGGTCCCCTGCTGGCAGTAGCAGACACTTTGAAGTCACCGCCAGAGGCTGCATCAGTGGTAGAACTAAAGGATGCATCAGTTAGTATACTGTATTCATCAACGGGGCCATGTACAAACCTGTCACTTTGAGTTCCAGCCACAAGGCCAATTTGGGCGTTGATTTCTGCATTCGCAACAGTGAGCGCGAGCGATTCGGAGACATCGAATGCGCCCTTGATAGAAGCCTTAGCATCGTTGAACGTGCCGACGCCTGCAAAGACAGACTAGAAAAATTTAAATAAGCGTGCTAGCAAAGCGAAATACAAGGAAAGCTTACGCCTGAGGTAATGCCTGCACCAGACTGTATGGTGAGAGCACCGAAGGAAACCGAAGCTTTGATGTCCCCAATTGTATTGACGTAGTCAGTGGAAGTACTTTCGAACCTCTTGATATTCAAAGGTTTGCCATCAGAGGTGGCAGGAAGTGTCACTGTGGCTGTGAAACGCAGTGGGTCGTTCGGAATGGGGTGCCAGTCGTCGGGAGTCTAACAAGGCGTTAAGAAAGCCGCCACAGTCTATACGGTCAGAAGGGGCAAAACAAACTCACATAGATACCAACGCCTTCTCCATTTTCCTCCTCTTTCTTCAATAGGCAGATATTAGCATGATCTAAATCCTCCTGAGTTTTGTAGTCCACGTGCACAAGGACATCGGCGGTATCTTTGACGACGCTCGAGTTCACGATGTTTAAGTGACCCATGTTGGCGCCGCCACGAGCTATGAAGTAGAGAAGGTCGTCGTTGACGGGAAGATCGAATGAAGTTTCAGCGGAATAGGGGTAAGGCGACCCAGGGTTCTCGGTGTACGTCGACCAATCAGAACCGCCGACGCTACGCTCAACTGTGCCATCTTCTGGTTTAGGCCATCCGCCATCGTTAACATTCGCGTTAGGTTGCGATCCCTGAGTGCAGTGAACGTCAGTAGGTGCAAAGGGGTGCAAAATAGCGGACATACAGTGAGGGATGTTGTGTTAGAAGCCATTTAGTGATAGTAAAAGACAACTCTGAAAGAGGTTGATGAGCGATGGGGAAGAAAGTGTGAGGTAGGAGGAAAAGTACTTGGAGTCTTATAAGCTAACGGCGAGATGAGTGTGACATAGTAATAATATGAGGAGACAATATAGCCTGTAACGCGGCTTGGGGCCAGAATTGTCGAGTGGGGGGTGAGTAATCAGGGTGGAGGGAATTTACGAGACAGCTGAAGGGAAGAAGAATCTCCGGCTGGCCAAACGTATTCAACAAGCCGAACACGACGGGACTCCACAAGGATGAGTATTGCTGAGTGGCCATAAGGGGGTGGCGTCCACGACGGCCGACATTGGTGAGTAAGCCAACTACCAATGGAGAGGGCAGAAAGGGAGTAAGTGCCTCATGGAAAAGTCATCGAAGATAGGCTATCGAAGAAGAGATGACTGAAAGAGACCTAGTACCTCCAAAACCGTTTGTAGTTTCTCAGACTCGATTGCTTGTTAGTCAATGGCGCAAACCGCTTATTGTTCGAATCCTCCGGACGCTTCAATCACTTCTCAAAACACCTAGAACCGAATAATCAAGTAAGTTTGACGGCTCTTACTTGACACCTTTCTCGATAAGTCATACGCCTTGAAAAGAACCTCACCTCATGTTTTGGTGCCAGTGGGACCGTTAGGGAACTTCCCTAATGATAGGTGCAACTTCACGTAGACTCGGAACGATGTCATACTAGTAGTGTGTTTGAGCCCTGATGAGCTCGATTGATGAGGCTTAGTGGTCATCGCTGTTTCTAGTATCAATTGAATAGAGATGGGTATTCATCTGCAAAGTGGTCGAACTCGCTTGATAGTTTTATGGCTAAGCGCAATTCAAAAATCTGAGCTAATCCCATTTGGGTTTCCAAAACTTCCTCCAACATACTTTTGAAGACCAATTTCGGTCAGATGTTGACGGACCATTCGAGAGACTCATCTAAGAATGCGGGGCCTTGCTGGCGTTTACGACATTGCATCGCGTACCTTCTCACGCCAGTGGTCCATTTGTGTCCTCCAAAGGTGCTTCGACCTTCCAGTTGCTTCATCTTGTCTATGGATAAAACGGCCCCGTCATGGGGTACGCGGATCTACTGGTCTTGCCAAGAGCTAATCGTCCAATAGAAAGATATGTCCTTCGCAGTCATTCGCGGCCACCCTTGGCACATGTCGTTTTTCTATGTCACGATAGTACAATCGAGAACCGCAGGGATGTGCAAACCTCCGGGCGATGCCATCATCTTGAACCGAAGAATGGAACATTTGATAGATCCTTGCCGGACACCATTCTTGATGCAAGATGTGTGCCTTGGAAAACCCTGACGAGTCTATGTCATCGTTGAAGGGAAAGGTCGTAAAACTGGGTCGTGCGTGGTGATGCGTGTGTATCAAGGAGGTCAACAGTACTCTCTTCATAGTACTTCCCACCATTATCTTTCGCTCGACCCTCTATTGAGCAGGCTCGCACGCTATTTTGCACCCGTAGTCCAGCATGTCGCCTTCATCTCTGCAGGCTACTCTCCATTTGTGACCACCGTCATGTACACTCCGTTCAAATCAGACGCGCAGTCTCTCCCTATTCACTTCAAAACACCCCGCGTCATCACAAAGCATGTTGCATCAGTATATCGTCGACTCAGATCTGCTGTTGACAACCTACATCCCTGAGCCCAAACTTTCTTCATATTTTCTCCATCGTGCTTCTAGGTCACTGCTCAGGCGAACACAAATAGAGCAGTATGATCTCCCATTCCATCTTACTAGTCGAGATATCTGCTAAGTTAGAGGTATCGTAGGGTAGGTAGGCTTTATAATATCGCTCCAAAGGATTGTTGTCAATGCTACTGACCGCTAGCGCACGAGAATGCACCTACCCTAAAACAATACGAGAGTATCATTCTGAGACAGGCAACACAGTGATGGTGACACCTACAACTTTGTTTGCTCTTTCGCGGCTTGGACGTCAATCGTGCGCACCTATTTGTTTGCACTCCATCTCCCAAAGGCTAAGTACCGCTCTCGATGGGCGTTTTGATCATCTGAATCATTACGGATTCCTGACCTGCTAGTGTGTGCTCGATGCGCCAAGCAGCCACTCTGAAATCCATTGAAGTACTCAAAATTCAAAAGTACTCAAACGTTAAAGCTTTTAATAGCAAGTTTGTAACAGGTGAACGTTTGTGTTGACATGCTAGTGTGTTAGCTTTTTTGCTGGAAATATACCCGGATGCCCGCATCTATAATATTCAAACTCCATCACTGGTAGTCACCATCGCTGTGACTTGGATCTGAGGTATAAGTATATCAACCATCCTTGAAAACACCACCTTGTAAGTATATTCCTGGCGTCAAATACTATTGAATCTATATCGATGATCTTATACAGTGACTGATCCAATACGGGAATGACTTGGACGAAAACACATCGTCCAATGGGTATGAGTCGACGCTAGAAGTTGCACGCCTACATCGAACTGTCAAGATGTTGAGAATCTCAGGTAATGATCCATAGCTCTCCGTGCCATCTTACTGATGGCAGAGGCACCTGACTTTTGTCTACAGAACGTATTACGGTTGCACCGTGATGCTGGATGACGCATGCGCGGCCCAGTGACAAGGGAACGAGGACTATTGGATCTAAGACCCAAGGGGTTGTGCAGGAAGACTTCTGTAGTTAAAGACTAGCGCTCACTTCGAAATGGATATTTAAGAAAGGCTGTTTGAAAGGGAATTTACCAGCAAACCCCTCTCGCCTTCGTTCTGCGACGTCGAGCTCTCAACTGCCTATCCATTTCGCCCAATTCCACCATCTCATCGTCCTCCTCTGAATATCGCCCGCCAACCATGGATCAAATTGAAAAGTCCTCTGCCCAACTTCCCCCGCCTTTTGTCCATTTCGACGGCATTGACAATGTCCGCACGATCCACAACGCTTCCTCCGCCGTCAAGATCAGACCCTACATCGTCTTTCGTGCCGCCGATCCCATTTTCATCACAGCGATAGGGAAAAAGCAAATCATCGGACACCGAGTTACCGTCATCACCGACATGCGCTTAGACCGTGCATCCGACCTTGTTCTCAACATCCCCGGTATCGAATGGGTGTACGTCAAGCGAGAAGATGACCTGCCTGAAGACCAAACTTATGCGGAGATTGCTGATAGGTATGGATATTCTAACCTCTCTGTTGATATGTCATTGACGGTCTTCTCTCCAGGCTAAGGGGTTTTGAAACAGTCCCTATACAAGTTAGCTATGCTCAGTCAAGCATAAAATAAATGGGCTAACAAAATGTTATGGTAGGCCTTCCTCGTTGCATACGCCTCCATACTACAACAATCGGGAGGTGTCTTCAGTAACTTCTTCAAACATCTCAGGGATAGGCCCAACCAGCCAGTTGTAGTCCATTGCTCCGGTGAGTCGCCTCTAATCAATCCACCACAGGCTAAATCTCAACGACAAAACTGCTACTTCAGCTGGGAAGGACAGGACAGGGTTAGCGATAGTTCTACTTCTATTGGTATAATGGCTTCTACGATTCTTTCTGCGATAGGATGACTGACCCGATTTTAGCTCCTTGGTGTCTCCGATGAGGATATCGTCAAAGATTACGTTCTTTCGAACATCGGCTTAGAGTCTGCATTGCCGAGGATGATAGCAGAGTTTGAAGCTCGCAACCAGGCATATATCGACCATCCTAAAGGGTTGAGGGTCTTCCTCAGCGCAATGTGAGTGTGCCTCGGTCTCCAACTTTTGTTCTTTTTTACTCACCGTTTGTTGAAAGACCTGAAGCGATGACTGCAGTGCTGCAGTGCATTCGAGAAGTGTTCGGCGGAGCAGAGAATTATGCCAAGGAGCATATGAAATTGACCAGCGAGGATTTAGCCAGAATTCGCCAGAACTTACTTTTGCCTTGAGTCTACAGTCATAACGTGTTGTAAATGCCATTGGAACGGGCTGTACTTGTCATGCTTGTAAAATCCCTATAACTTTCTTGATACCTTTCTTGTAGCCATTGTGTACGAAACCACGGACTTGCAACTTGCCTCCGACTCGACGGTGCTTCAACTTGAAGTTCAATGAAGTCAGGTGTGACTTGACGATAACGGTGATAGACAGGAGCCGACTTGCTTGATTATTCGGTTCAAGGTCAGCGATAAAAAAAAAAAGTGATGATGATGATGGAATATGAACTGAAGCTTGCGGGGAAGAACAATTGCGGTTGCTCAGGCCTAAAGCTGAGAAGAATTTGTGAGCGTTCAAATGTTCAGTCGCGTGTCTCGATCGTTTTATTTTGTTCCCCGATCACGTTCGTTCCTCGATCTGGAATCGGCGATCACTCTGGTTGGTCCTCCGATCACTTTCGACACGGAGCCTCTCAAAGTTTACCCCGCATGCTCTTCTACTCCCAAGAAGCAAAGCTCTTACTAGTATGACTACATTACAAAAATTTCACACCAATGTTCTGGAGGAAACAACTTGGATGAGCCTGCTCCGTAATGAACGGGTTACGGAACCGAATAATTGATACGGCCGCGCATCCTTGATCACTTTTAATTTTTCAGACTCGCCGTTCAGTGATCATTCCACTTTCACAGTCGAAATGTCTAATGCTAAACGGCCAGTGAATACAATCAGCAAAACTATGCTGGAATACACTGATATCCTCTTTTGACCACGTAGTACCTCCACGTCCAGTAGAGATCACTATCGAAACATTTCATTACAGATATTTAAGGAAATAGTAATACAACAAGAGCAAGATGATAGGAAAAAGCTACTTTGCATACGCGTTTCTTTGCCACCTGACCAAGAATTACCATCAGCTTCAAACGACAAGCGTGATGGGTGCCCTAGTCGTGGTGATTTGCACACTGCCTTGGGAAACTCCCGGTCCGCTATTGGGCTGCCAATACACTGAACCTTTTGCATGGCCCATGCCCCCAGGGGTCTGGTTCAAAACACGTGTTCTGCCTTGCCCCGAAGGGTCTGAGGTACTACCTTTCTTGACGCTGACAGGAGCAGAAGATGAGTCGATAGTGAAAGCGCCCTCGTACGCATTGTTCAGCGTCACTTTCACGGGCGCATTCACGGTAGATGCTACAAGACTTTGAATAGAGTCGACGGGCGAGCTCGTGTAGACAATGGTGATGGGTCCCTTGTTGGCAATAGCAGATACTTTGAAGTTGCCGCCAGTAGCTTCGTCGGAGCAGGTCGAGTGGGTCGCACTGACGACGTATCAGCGAATATGCTTGAATTCATGAGCAGACGAGTTGACAAACCTGTGGCCAGTCTTTGCAGGAGCTCCGGTAAGAAACGAAGCCACGTCGTTCCGAAGGCCCACTTGAGCGCTGATTTCTGCATTTCCGGTAGTGAGCTCGAGCGATTCGGAGACATCGAATGCGCCCTTGATAGAAGCCTTAGCGTCATTGAAAGTGCCGACACCTGCAAAAATAGACTAGAAAATCTTCAATAATTGCACATGGAAAAGAGAAATACAAGGAAAACTTACGCCTGAGGTAATGCCTGCACCAGACTGAATTTTGAGGGCGCTGAAATAAACGGAACCTGCGATGTCTCCAATTGTATGGGCGTAGTCAGAAGAAGTGCTTTCGAAATTCTTGATCCTCAGAGGCTGGCCGTCGGACGTGGCGGGAAGCGTTACTGTGACTGTGAAACGCAGAGGTTCCTTCGGATTGGGGTTCCAACTATCGGGAGTCTGACACGGAATTAAGAAAGCCATCGCAGTCTTTACTAACCACATAAAAACTCACGAAAATACCAGCACCTTCGCCATTTTCCTCCTCCTTCTTCAGCAAGCAGACATTGGCACGATCCAAAGCTTCCTGGGTTTTGTAGTCCACCTGGACAAGGACATCGGCGGTATCTTTGACGACGGTCGAGTCCACGATGTTTACTTTGCCAATATTGTTGGAGCCGCGAGCTATGAAGTAGAGGAGGTCGGCATTGACGGGAAGTTCGAATGAGGTTTCAGCTGAATAGGGGTAAGGTGACCCAGGGTTCTCGGTGTGATCAGACCAGTCAGAACCGCCGATGCAACGTTGAACGGTGCCGTCTGCAGGAGTAGGCCATCCAGCATCGTCAGCATTCAAACTGAGCTGTGATCCCTAAGAAACAATATTAAAATGTGCAAGATGATTGTAGAGCTATGGACATACGGTGCTCTGACCGTATTTGTCACATGCAGCTTCAACGAGGCCGTCTGCGAAGGCAGAAAAACCGAGCCAAGTGACAAGAGAAACAGTATAGCAAATCATAGGTGAGGGTGGATGTGGCAGGATATTCGTGTAAGTCGGGAAGAAAACCTAAGGAGAGAGAAAGTATCTTGGAGCCTTATAAACCCAGCGGGGATTGCAGCGTGACACGACGCCTATAAAGAAGGCCATGTTAGGCGTGTGGTACGTTGTTACAAAATGGGTTCAGAACTATCTGAGTCGCAATCATGCTTGCTTCGAATGGGGCGTGGTTTGTGGAATAGAAAAACGTTAATAAGAAGTGGGAAATCGGAGTGGGGAGAGTTTGGGTATAGATGGAGAACCAGGCCCAGCGACAAGCCGAATAAACCATGACGAGTCTCTGAGCTACCGTAAAAGATAGTGCTGTGGGGTAAATGAGTAGGTGGCCCAGGAAGAATTCAATAGTCAAGGCCGAAGAAGTACTTTAGGTGCCTCGCGTCGAAAGTGATCGGACCAACAGTGATCGAAGAGCCAGCGTGATCGAAGGATATTATTGTGAATCGCCATCGGGTATTTACAGCTACTGCGACCCGTAATAGAGTGGGATCAAATGTCATAGTGTCAAGAGACAGATTCTGTGAACTTGAATGACTCGAAAGAACGACAATATATATAGGAGACCTTGCCTACGTTCAATTGGAAGAGTATAGGCCCAATCGAGGACAATCATTCGTGATCACCAATTTGCATATATGTCACATTAGAATCGAACATCGCAATCCTCCGTGCACACTTCGGCCGCTCATCTTAGTGTTGAATTCCGAGCGTGAACCGAATAATAACTTCACAGCCCTGCCCTGCCTCGTGATGTCACGACATCAGAGTCAACGTTCTTCACAAAGTTTGCAGAACCACTGATCAATGTCGCCATTGTCCCCTGACAGCGGTGAATCAGCTCACCTAATGCATAGAACACAGCCACTGCTCCTCGTTGTCCAATGTGAGCATTGCCGGCTGGGATCCCAAATGACTGCCCAGACCTTCGTTGAGTCCAGCTAGACGTTGTTCTCTCCGTCGTACATTCGCTCCCTCTCTCCCTCAATGTCCAGGGCATGTCTCATTCGCACGTCTCCTTTGCGTGCCATTCTCTCAAACAGCAACTTATACCGCGTTCGCCTAATTTGGCCTAATTTACTTCGTTCGACTCTGCCTCAAATGGGCTCGCGTTTAGTCTCCTGCAGACGTCGTCCCCCGACCACTTCGCTATTTCTGGGGGCGGATAGGTATGCCCTGCTCGAAGTAGACGTCCTGTCTTGGGATAAAGCGGCCCCACACACGCGTGCAGTCGAAGTCGCGAGAAGATTTACCAGTCTTCCCAGTGGCTATATGATCTCCCACCCAACTTTAAGTCGAGGCCACTCCTGATTTCATGTGCTTCAGACAACTAGATCTTTCACGTTCTATGATCCTCACCATGTCTCTTTTTAACTACAATTATGCATGCTTCAATTTGAAAGGGTGGCGCAAGACACTCATGATGCATTATCATGCAGAAACGCTATTCGTGGCCCTCTCCGTGATCGAAGCAAACCTAAAGGACGTCGTCAATAGCGTCCGTAACTAATATTAGAGCATCCTTACTCAATCTAGTTAATCTAACCTCCTCAGTTTTAGTGCCAACTGGGATATCAGTTCACTGTTATCGGCACAAGCAAACCAGCGCGAGGTTCGGGAACAGCTTTAAAAACAAAAAATCCTACGAAAAATATTCACCCATCTATCTTTTCTCCAACGGCCTGACCTTAACGAACACACTTGAAACAGCCGCACATGCAACCAGTCCAACCGCTAGCCACATCGCAGCATGGACGCCGTCAGCATATGACTTCCGCACGATCGCCTGCGTCTTGCCATCGAGTTCATTGATGTATGATAGTGAGCCAACCACGCTACGAACCAGCTTTTTCGCAGGTTCGGTCAAGGGATGTATTTTAATCCATTGTACAGCATTAATGAAGTGATCCAACTCATACCTCGTCAATATCCGTTGAACCCTTTGAATACTCGCGCAAAGATTTGCGGAGGACATCTTGCATAACAGTGCTGCCCAAAGAGACACCAATGAGTGACCCCAAGGATCGGAACAGGTATGATACTTTGACACACAAATTAATTCAGATAAACGTTAATTATAAACACAGCATTCATACCTGCAGTAGCAGTTGCCTTATCCTCTCGCCCTGCATTTGCAAGAAGCGCGACAAGAACCGAGGAAATCCCAGCACCTGGCCAGTTCTGTAAGATTTTTGGCTAAAACGAAGATAAATAGAGTATTTACCACCACCCAGACGCGAAATAATTAAACCTTTGAACATTCCGCTTAGCCTACAACTTCACAAGAAATATAGCCAAAAAATCTTAAGTTTGCGTACCGAAGATGATTCCAACCGTTGAAAATACCAAAGTACCAGTTGTGAGTGTCAAAAGAATGGAACCGAGGCACATTACTGTGCCAGATAGCATATTCAGCCAGTGGTATTTTCCAGTCCGTTGGATTAAGAATCCGCCGATGAGACCGCCAGCCACACCACTCAGTACACTCGGCAATAGCCATACACCGACCATGCTTGGACTGGTTTGGCGCACGGCTTGCAGGTAGAGAGGAAACTGGTAGGTCATTGTCATCATTGAAGCAGTGGCGAAGAAGTTGATAGAGTAACAGGCGACGAGTGAGCCAGAAGTCATGATTCTTTTGGGTGCGAGTGGCTCCGAGGCCCAAGTCCATTCTACGATCATGAAAAGTACGCAGAAGACGGCAGCGATAACAAAACACGCGATGGCCACACTCGAGCTCCAAGAGACAGTGCTCCCTCTATCAAGGGCAAGAAGCAGCGCGAAAATAGTAACGATCAAGGTGAACGCCCCCAGAAAGTCAATCCGCTTGAGTTTACTCAAGAAGGTATTAGAACTGGATGGAAGAGCCTGAGAAGGTAAGCGGAGAGCCAATGTGACCGTTAAGACCGCGAGCGCCGTTATAGGAACTTGAATGAGGAAAGACCTGAGTCGAATGAGTGAAGTTTGTGGAGAGGAAGAGCAGACTACTCACCATCTCCAGCCGATTGTATCAGCAAGTACCCCGCCCAGAGGTGCACCAGCCGATGAACCGACTGCAAACATGATGTTTTGCAAACCTTAAACCCTTCATTAGAGTGTCTCCAACATCGAATACACGACCGACCTTGCCAAGTGCCTCTTTTTCTGAGAGGAACGACATCTGACATGATAATTGACCCAACACTGTAGTATACAGTCAGATAGATGCCAATATAAAAAGAAGAATGATAAAGTACTCACGTAGAGATGCCACCTCCACCTATGCCAGCAATAGCTCTTGCAGCAATAAGCTCATTCATACTCCTTGCCAGTCCACAGAATAATATCCCCAGTGCAAACACTGTATACGCAACAATCAGACAGGTTTTTCGGCCAAAGATATCGCTCAGTTTTCCGTATAATGGTCTGCATTCGGAAAGTGAGAATGATAAAAAAGAGGATAATGAGTCGAACAAGGACATACTGAAAGCTTGTCAATGTGAGCAAATAACCAGTAACCACCCAACTCGCTTTTTGGAGTTGCTTGAATTCAGAACCAATCGCCGCGAAAGAAGAGGCAATTATGGTGCTGTCCATTGACACGAGGAAGACGCCGATTGACATTGGAAGGATCTTCAAGCGGATGAGTATTAAAGAAAAGAAAATCAGCCCTACCTCTCCAAAATACTGCTTACGATTGCGACAAGTTGGAGAGGTGTCCTTTCAACAACCACTTGCTCCTCTTGATCCACCTGACTGGGTTGAGGTTGTTGATCAGGATTACTGGCAGAATTATCATTAGCATCGACGAGATGTGGCAACTTTTCGTCAGCTAGCACCCCTGGCGGCTCGCTGCTAGTACGGATAGAGAAATATCGGAAGAAAGCCATGAAGGGAACAACGGCGGCGAAAGTTTGGAGGCCATACGAAATATTATATGGGCCAGAATAAGAGTAGGCGTAGAAGTCCCTTATCTCTGAGAGTTCCGATCAGATCCTCCAGGGATCCTCAAGCATGGACACAATGAGTAGCCCGAGCAGGTAATGCCTTCGCCTTTTAATAGGGCGCTCCTTGGGCTCTCCTCGCTTCATTATAATACGCAGGTGATTGGTCGATTGTGCACGTAAAAGGGGTTAGTGCTCGATTGTAAACTAGAGGGTCGAGAGTAGTATGAGTCAAGTAAAACAAGGAAAGCTTGGACGCCCGTAAACTTAATACGCAGACGGCTTTGACACTGGCTGGTTTTACATACGAGCTGCACTAGGGCGGAATATCCTAATGCGACATGGGCGATAAGCGTATAAAGTAACTCACCAACATCTTGACGCCCGAGTAATGGCTCTTACTCGCATGTGACTGTTTCCGCTAGCGCTTTGACCGCTAAAAAAAAAATACTACGGCCCTCCGACCTTCTTCGACCAGTTAGGGTGTGGTGGTAAACAACTTGGAATGAAGTCTGTAATACGCTTGACAGGATGATAAATATGTCGTTTTGCACTGGCCAGCCACGCGTGACGATATCATTTTGATATGTTCGACCTGCTCACAGCGAGAAAAGCTTCAATGCAAAACATACCTCAGCCTAATAAAATATTGAAAACCTGCCTTCCAATGCTTCGCCGACCTGAGTTGTTTCAATATGCGACGTGAAGTTGTAAGAATTCGAACAAAACTGGATGGTCTGCAGTGACAATAACACAATCACTTTATCGCATTTCAAAGGAAGCAGATATTAAATTGAATCATGGCATTTAATGGATTACATCTAAATTCACGGCTTTGAACCTGAAACATCAAGATCAAACATAACATGGAATTTGAACGCGGAAGTACCTTGACTGGGACTAATGAATTGTGAATCATGATACAAGGGTTCGAAGTGCGTTGGATATGTCTCCTCCATGTTCTGCCAGAACCTTCTCTGCTTGTGACCTAGGTATCTCGAATTCGTTGATCTAGGTTGCGTGTGAGATCTCTCTACCCAGAAAACTAAGTAGAATGAGACTGAACTATTATGTCTACGTCTTCTCGCTTTACAACTGCTGCATCTTTTGTGGTTTTGGGTGGTGGTTGTCGGTCAAGCACAATGTTTCGTACTGCATCTTCCAGCTTCGCTTTCGAATAGCTCATGCCATCGGAAAACTTGCGCATATATGTGAGTATAGTAGCGTTACAGAGGGCATAGAATAACATACGTTTACTATGACCTCTGGTTCTGGTCGTCCGTTGTACATTTTATTCTCCAAAAACACAAGTTACAGCGAGTCCAGCTTGATAGTGGTGCGGTGTGGCGTGGGAAGAACCGGTCCCAAATGAATCTTGCTTGAGCGCTAGTCATGGTTGTTTCTTGCTCAGCATCCAGAAATTCTAGCAATTGTTCGCTATGGACTCGTTTGACAATTTTCAATACGACTCAGCATCGTCGTACGGCGGCATTGGCATCGTCGACGACAATTCGTCCGTCTACACCGCCAACACCAACGCTAATACCCCCCTTGACCTCGACAGTCTGTCCATTGTCGATGACAGATCCCAATCTTCAGCGTCGTATACAAATGGCCACCACCACCATCACCACCATGCTCCCAGAACCGGAATAGACGAGGATTTCGACTCAGTTTTGGATGATTTGAAAGACGAAGGTGTCGTTGATTTGCCGCCACACGCTTGCAGGTACGCATCAATCATACATTCTTCATTTTTCAGTCAGTAATGTTACAAATCATCTTCTACTAACAGCTACTGTGGTATACACTCTCCAGCATCTGTCGTAAAGTGTTTGGTATGCGCCAAATGGTTCTGTAATTCACGCGGCAACACCTCCGCATCTCACATCGTTAACCACCTTGTTCGCGCAAAACACAAGGAGGTCATCTTGCATGCTGAGAGCCCTCTTGGAGAAACAACGCCCGAATGTTACAACTGTGGAAGCAAGAATGTTTTTATGCTTGGATTCATTCCTGCTAAGAGCGACACAGTTGTCGTCCTATTGTGCCGGTACGTAAATAGTCTGTTCACACGGTTTTGTATCTGATATATCAACTTGTTAGTCAACCTTGCGCTGCCATCACAAAGGACATGTCGTGGAATGCATCTCTCTGGGCACCTCTCATTGATGATCGTTCCTTCCTGTCTTGGTTGGTGAAGCCTCCGACCGAGACTGAACAGCTTCGCTCCCGTCAGATTTCATTCAATCAAATAAATCGCCTAGAAGACCTTTGGCGCGAGAATGCAAATGCAACTCTGGAAGACCTTGAAAAGCCTGGAGTCGATGATGAGCCGCAACCGATCCTTCTCCGTTATGAGGATGCATATCAGTATCAAAATATCTTCGGCCCGCTGGTAAAAATAGAAGCAGATTACGATAAGCGGTTGAAAGAGTCACAGACGCAGACAGACATCACAGTTAGGTGGGACTTGGGTCTCAATCAGAAGAGAGTGGCGTGGTTTTGCTTGCCAAAGCTTGAGAGTGGGGAAGTGAGGTTAGCTGTCGGGGATGAACTAAGATTGAGGTATGCTGGTGAACTCCACAAAGCCTGGGATGGCGTTGGACATGTCATTAAGATCCCGAACAGTGAGTAACATCGTTTTGTATTGTATGACTACAATGCTGATCGAGATCCAGACGTGTCGGACGAGATTGGTCTTGAACTTAGGAGGACGGAAGGAGTCCCGTCGGAATGCACACATAATTTTGCCGCAGACTTTGTTTGGAAATCGACTAGCTTCGATAGGATGCAACTTGCCATGAAGACATTCGCAGTTGACGAAAAGAGCGTCAACGGATATATTGTGAGTAGCATTCGTCTAATTTTTATCCTTCGTGGCTCATGCCAGTATTAGTATCACAAACTTCTCGGTCACGAGCTTGAACCTCAGGTTCTCCGAACCCAAATGCCCAAGCGCTTCTCAGCGCCAGGTCTCCCGGAACTCAATCATTCGCAAATGTATGCTGTGAAGAGTGTCCTACAGAAGCCCATTAGCTTAATTCAAGGACCGCCTGGTACCGGCAAAACAGTAACTTCCGCGTCGATCGTTTACCATTTGGCCAAGATGAATCCAGGCCAAGTTCTTGTCTGTGCACCATCGAACGTCGCTGTCGACCAGCTCACTGAAAAGATTCATGCCACCGGACTCAAGGTTGTGCGTCTGACAGCTAAATCGCGTGAGGCACTCGATTCGTCGGTAGCTTTCCTTACTCTGCACCAGCAAGTCGCCAACAGTACCGCCCACGTTGAGCTGCAGAAGTTGATACAGCTTAAGAATGAGCAAGGAGAGTTGAGCTCCAATGATGAAAGGAAATATAAGACCTTGATCAGGCAGTGTGAGAAGGAGATTTTAGGAGCAGCAGATGTGATATGTTGCACTTGCGTTGGTGCAGGTGATCCCAGGCTGAATAAGCTCAAGTTCAGGACTGTATTAATTGATGAAGCTACTCAAGCTGCTGAACCAGGTTGGTGCTCTTACTTGCTATTCTGATTCACATGTTTATCATTTTTTGCAGAGTGCATGATCCCTCTTGTTCTTGGCTGTAAGCAAGTCGTGCTAGTTGGAGATCACCAGGTAAAATCCTATATATTGTTCATTTCTCCATTTCTAAACGCATATATGTGCAGCAACTTGGTCCTGTCATCATGAACAAGAAAGCGGCACGCGCGGGATTGACACAGTCGCTCTTCGAGCGGCTCGTCGTCCTTGGTAACCGACCCATTCGTCTCCAAGTGCAATATCGTATGCATCCTTGCCTTTCCGAGTTCCCGTCGAACATGTTCTACGAGGGAACTCTGCAAAATGGTGTCACTGCACCGGAGCGCTTGCGCAAGAATGTAGATTTTCCGTGGCCTGTTCCAGATACTCCTATGTTCTTCTATCAAAACTTGGGTCAAGAAGAAATTTCTTCCAGCGGCACGTCGTTCTTAAATAGGTCCGTTAAATCTCGTTGAAAATTCAACACAAACACTAATGTGAGATGACGTATTTCAGGACTGAAGCATCCAATGTAGAAAAAATCGTGACCAAATTCTTCAAGTCCGGCGTTGTACCTGGCCAGATTGGTGTTGTCACACCATACGAGGGCCAGCGGTCGTACATCGTGAACTATATGCAATTCAATGGTTCGCTCAAGAAGGATTTGTATAAGGAAATCGAGGTAGCAAGTGTCGATGCATTCCAAGGGCGAGAGAAGGACTATATCATTCTTAGCTGTGTCCGGAGCAACGAACACCAGGGCATCGGGTTCTTGAATGACCCCCGTCGTCTTAACGTTGCTCTCACGCGTGCTAAATATGGTGTGGTCATCCTTGGTAATCCAAAGGTATTGAGCAAGGTGAGAACGGCTGTTATCCCTATATCTTGTTGGATGGAACTGATTACTTGTGTATCTATAGCACCCGTTGTGGCACTACCTTCTCACTCACTACAAAGAGAAGAATTGTTTAGTGGAGGGTCCATTAAATAATTTGCAGCCTAGTATGATCCAGTTCAGCAAACCCCGTCGCTCGCTCGGCAAGTCAATGGACCAATTCAGGCGCCACGAGACAAACGCGCGCGACTTCATGGGTGGCAGGTCTGGTACACCAAGCCGATTCGACGCGAGTTTCTACCGTACACACGATGCCCTGGGATATATTCCCTCGGACGTCCAGTCACTCCGCTCGCAGGCAACTTACTCTTCTGGTCTACCTATGTTCGCCGCTACAGGCGGTTTTGGACCCGGCGCCCCACGCGGCGTGGGCGGAAATGGGAAACGCAGTGTTTATGGAAGCTATGCAAGTTCTATTATATCTCAGGATGCGGGTCCCCCCAGTGGTAGCAGTGTTGTTGGCGGTGGCAGTGTTGTCAGTGCCGCCAGCATGGCCTACTCACAATCTGACCGCCTGCACCGTCGTGCGTCTTTCTCCTCCGTCGCGGGTGCATCAGACATGGGCAGTTTGAGTGCCTATGATTACAAGAGTCAAGATGGCACGACGGACATGGATGATATGAAGAGCCAGTACGCGGGCACGCAGAACGGGGTTACTGTGTTCTAGCACGATCTTCACGAGGGCCTTGGGGTACGCAAGTTAACGGCTTTGTGCTGCTAGTGCTTCTGCCATCGCTGTGCTTCGTCCTCTCGACTGGGTAGACGAGCGCTGTTATCGCGGCAGCGTTGCGCTGCCTTCTGCAGTTTCACAGACACGGCTGCCCTCCGTGATCTTGTCACTATCTTGGATCTATTGAAACTTTCCGCCCAGTCTCATTTTCACCTCGATCATACAGAACTTGATGGTCATCAGACTTCCCGTGTCGATCTGTTCGAGGATGTATTTCCCCCCTGGCCTTTCCTCGTTGACAGTGTCCATTCCTATCGAGACTTGGCTTCTTTATCCCAAAATACGCAGGCGAATTCTCGCATCCTTGTGCTGTGGTCGTTTAGCCTCCATGTTGATACGTAGTAGAGTAGGTATGAACAGGTTGTATGTGTATGAATGAGTTGTTTTATGAAATCGCAATTATGATCTAAAATCGAGTTGACGGAATCAAAGCGAAAATCTAAGTACTGTAAGGCCATGAGAGTACTAGTACAGCGTATAGAGAATGCAAGACATGCAAGACTAAGGGGGTCAGCAGAGCCTACTCGTCACCCATGATCAAAGTATGGAAATTAGGAAACACAAGTTCCTCTTCAACAGTTTTTCGTATCACGTCTTGTATGAAACGTTCCACTCGCGTTACATTCTTGAGCACATGCTTGTCTGCCTGCCCTATCTCGCTCTCGATCAATATGGACGGTAGTAAGCGTTGACCAACGGGGAGCGGTTTCCCTGGGCGTGACTCGTCCATGCCAGCATCTGGCGGAGTACTACTCTGAGAGCGACCGCAAGCAGGTCCATACGGGTCAAGGTCGTCTAACACACATAGATGCACACGCCGACGGGCACCCTCGTACGCGACAGCAACCTCACCACTGAACACAAGGCCCGTGACTGAGAGTTTGATAGGGAGCGCCATGAACATGGGCGAGGGATAGTTGATTAAGAGTGACGTCGTGAGTGTGATACGGAGGTTTGAATGCCAGGTGATGTGGAGGTGCAGCTGGATGTTTGGATGCGGGGGTGCGCCTGTGGAATCGACTTCTACAGCTGAGGGTAGTGGCAGGACCTGCTCTCCCTCCTCCCTCCCTCCTGAGCCCGACGGACGTGCTCGCTGGTCAAAGGCATTTAGGGAGTCTGGAGAACTGTCCAGTTGACTGCGGTAAGACGAAGGGCTGGGACGCGCAGGGGTGACAGGACGAAAGTCACCCAGACTCGGTACACTCATATGCATGGCCCCACCGCTCCATATATCGCGCTGCATCCCTGAATGCAGCGCTGGTGTCGATGAAAAGAGGTCGACAGAGGGCCCGCGTCCATAGCGGATATGGGGCGGGAGATGATGGTATGCAGGCCCGTCGTCGCCCACGCCCTTCCTCGCAGCCCGTCTCGAGACCCACTCGAACCCGTCGTCGTCGTCTCCGTACACGCCCTCGGTAACCTTGACGGGATCCGAGTGGTCAGACGAAGAGCCGTCGTCGTCGTCGTCGTCTTCGAGGAAGTCAGGGTGGATGTCGCGCAGGTCTATGAGCTCGACGTCGGGCGATGCAGAGCCAAAGTCAAGGGAGGTTACCTCAACGGGCCCAATGAATGATGGCCTTGTGGTTGTGGTGAGCTGCCTGTTGAGAGCATCGATGAGCGACGAAGCGAGGGTGGCATCTAACTTGTGCCACTCCAGATCAATGGACATGGTAACTTATAAACACGGAGAGCGTGACCTTAGCGCTACCCGTCAAAATAACATATGCACTCAAACTACTTACACAACTTGAACATCCCGAAAATTCATGTTAGGTTTACATTCCTTTTTGCACAGGTCGTGGTTTTTCAGTCCAAGTGATCAATGCAAAAGAAAAATATTACAGCCGATGCTCGAAGCTGATGCTACCGTAGTTATTCTAAGTATGTAATAGATTCAAAGACTGGCAGGTCGATGAAAAATATTGGAATCGAGGCCCGCTTATCCAAGAGTGCGTCGCCGTCGTCGTCCAACCCGCAAACTCGATTCGAATCAACCAACCACCACCACCTCGTCATAAGACCCAGCGGAGACAGGAAGGCCAAGATAAAGAAAGCGAGATGGGAACACGAGGACACTGTTATAACTTGAAAATAGATAACTTGTTATGGCAAGGATCTGCAAGGCAAGGGTGCCGAAGAGGGAGGGGTTTCGAGCAAAGCTGGGCGGGGCGGGGGTATAAAACAAAGAAGGTCGTCAAATAGGCATTTATCGTACGGTTTTTAATAAGAAATTTGTGGGTCAGAACGTTTCCTTCATCATCAGCTCACAAACGCTCCTCAGGACGCGGGGTGGGCGAACGCGAAGGGTATGGTGAGCCGTATGGCGCATTCAGGTATCGCGACGTCGACTCCATCTCGGAGAAGTACTCATTATCGACGGGGGCGCCCTTATCTGCGAATCCGAGCGCAGTAGCGATAGCGCGCGGGCTACCAAACGGCGATGACGATTTCTTCTTCGAAGTGAAATGCCCGAGGATGGGAGCATCAGGGCCGACAGGCGTACCAGGGAACGGCGTCGACGACTTTCCAGAGCCCGAAACTCCAGCGCCATTCATGACTTGCGATATCACACGAGGTTCCTGACCCGCTGGCTGATTGTACATCCACGTAGCAGCAAGCACGGTAGACGCGCCGATGATAAAGGACGGAGTGATGCGGAAGTCGAAGAGGACGACAGAGGCTAGGAAGGAGATAATGATGGAGAGCGAAGTGGCGAAACCTTTGAGAATGTTGTCAGAGTACTTGATCACCACCGCCGTCACAAGCCCTCCTATGACCTGGATAGACACCGTAGCCCATGCCCACGCTCCAAAGTTACGGAACAAATCCGACAAGAACCCATTAGAGTCTGGTAGCGAAGGCGCATACAGAATGGGTAGGAGTGCCGGGAGGAGCGAAAACAACGACAGCTGAACATTGCGTACCCACAAATCTGCCTTGGAGTTTTTCAAAACCATCTCAAAGTAAACACCTGCCAACCCAGAAGTAAAGCACGCTGCCGTTACCGCTCCAAAACCTTTCAACGGGCTCATGATATGGACGTGTGGGGCCGATTCATGCGCACTGCCTACAGGAACTTCGCGAGGTGCTGGATGCGAAAACGTCGCCGCCGTCTGTATCTGCACGATGCCAACACCAATCGCAAGGAAGAAGAGTGACAGCCACTTCGTCGAAGACAGCTTTCTCCGAAGAAGTGCCACGGAGAATGCGGCGGTAGTCAAAATCTTCATCTGGTAAGCTACTTGAAAGGAAGCCACAGGCAAGTTTGAGATGGCCACGAACTGCAGCGAGTTCTGGACTACGTATAGGATAGCGGGGATAGATAGCTTCCAACAGTCTGGACTGAATATCTCACTGCATACCTGGCGAAAGGCAGCCGACCAAGGGAAAAACGACTGGAGAACACCTCCAAACGTCTTACGAGAGGACCACGGAGTATCAGCTGCATCTCTAACGCGACCAAGGGCTATAACGAACGATATTGAGCCCTTGAGAAGTTCGTTAGTCAAGACGGCAGCTGCTGGGGAGTAAGCTAGATGGGGTGGTGTCGATACGCGAGAGTAGTGCATAACGATAGACAAGGCTGCATTCTGGACTGCCAGGGTGACAAGGCTAGTGAGCAGAGTTGTGTGAGAAACTGGTTTCAGAGCAGGAGCAGAATCCACTGACGAGACGTATTTCAGCGGCAAAGCACAGATGGTGGGTGAGGAATCGTGTGCAGACCCGTTCGTGGGCGCGGAAAGAATTATGCCTGGTGTTTTACTTGAAAGACCATTAAGAGCTGCTGGTGGAAGTAATGGAGCGATTCGTGGGCTTGAATTCGTGTTTGCGGGACCAGTTAGGTTTGAATTTGAGGGAATGGAACGGACTGAGGGATTCGGCCGATGATACATGGAATCTGGCGGTGGAAACGCAGGCGAAAGACGAGACACTATGCAAGGAAATAAAGACTGAATATACACACAGAAAGAAAGAACAAAAGCTCTTACTGTGTCTGTGAGACTGGCAAAGGCGGAAATGTGACTGGTCTGATGGCGGCACGTACCAGTAAATGATACGACACTTTCAACCAGGGTGATATCTGGAAAACACCGGGGTTGCTGTGCGTCGCTGCGGTGGTCGACGTTGAGAACGACGACGAGCGATGGTGATGGTGCTTTGGAGAGATTTTTGTGAGACAGAACTGATGCGCTGTGCACGAAAAAAAGAAGGATCACAGCGGGAAAGAAGTCTGAGATTTGACTGTAGCCACTTTCATCACTTTAGTCTCGCTCGCTCGCTAAAAATCGTCTATTTCACGTAACACCTTTATTCTCTGCTGCGGATTCAACAACGACAACGAGCACCCTGTATCAATGCTTCTCGTCACCGCAAACGACGATGACTGCCGTTAATTAACCCAAAAAATGTGGTTCACGCAAAAACGAGCACCCGATTTACATTTGACAAAAACATCTAGAGATTGCAGGTATCAAGGAACATGTACATATGATATAGTCTAAGCAGATGCGCTCAGAATGATACTACCTACCACCAATCTGGCTTGTGTAAAAAGCACCCACACTCAACACGACTGATTCACACTGTGCAACACTGTCGCCTTGTTACAGTGGAGCATCAACCGATGAAGGCGCGCCGTTATCAATGCTGTTGAGGCAAGGACGTTTCATAACTGATATGAAATGGAACTTGGTCAGCAAATGATTATCAATCCGATTAGAAAAAGAAAAAAAGCATAGACATCAACATGATCATCAACGCAACAAATTCTGAACACCTCAGTCTCGCCTTTAAATCTCCATCCACATCCATCTATCATTTGACCAGCCTCACGGCGGCCAGATACCCAGCAAACAATTGCGGGACCCTCGAGACATTGACGTCAAGAGAGCGGGTTGTGTACTTTTACCAGGTTTTTCTTCTTCGGTGTTCACTCCAAAGGGAGATATCGCATGAAAAAGTGATAGAATTGCACGACACTCACATGTACATAAATGATAATCCTACGACAACGATAACAAACGCAAGGCGACTACAAAGTACGGCCACGGAAAAGGATGTACGCATCTCCAGGTGATCCTGCGTCCTGGCCCCTCAACCAAAGGGAGAAGCGATCAGCAAAGATTGTTTTTGAGACGACCCGATCCAAAAGGATGTCTTTCTTCGACGTTTGTCTGGACCATCCGTCCCTACAAAGTGCCTATACATCGGCGAGGACAGAAAGTAATTTGGACGTCGTGGTTTTTTGCTGTTCAAGGATGAACACCATGGGTCTTTATACACTCCCGCATATAGCCGAGCGGCGTTTGTAAATTTGACCCTCAGTTTTCCTGTAGTAAATTGTGTCCTGGTCACCGCTGCTAGTTTTCGGGACAAGTACTTTTTCTCTCTCTCTTTGCTTTATTCTTCTACGTGCCATGTCATTGGCGGCGTACGTGCCAAAGACAAAACCCACCCAAAGCGCGTTTTCAGAACTCTTCAAACGCTCAAAATTTGCCACTTTTGACCCTCAAATTGCCCAAGTCTACACCACATACGGCGGCGATGCCAAGCGCGGAAACTGGGGCTTCAAACGGCCTCTTCCCCTGCGGAGACGAGGCGCATATATCACAGTCAAGGCTGTAGACTCGCACGAGCAGCAGACAGAGTGGAATAGCGCAGAGAGCCAGGCGCTGTGGATGAAGAACTGGCAGGAGCTCAAGCTGACGGCCGTACGCGGGTCTTCAGATTCGCTTGGGAAGCAATCTCTAGGACTCAACTATGCGAATGCGGCAACGCAGATCGATGGTAACCAATGGATCGTAGACTCGGACTACACTTCAGGGCAGAGTGACCCTGTCGCAGGGCGTGGCACTCTCGTACCCAATATCCACGCCATGTCGAGAAGGAGATTCAAGAGTTACATCGAGCATATACGCGCGCAGAGAGGCGAGTTCTACGAGTATCTGCAGGCTGATGGGAGTGACGGGAAGAAGAAGGCTGGAGTGAGTGGGCTGTCCTATTACCAGATTGCGAACTCGGGTGCGAAGAGAGAGATGCACGAGATTTTGGCGAAACAAGCATCGGAAAAGCGCAGGACAAATTCACGCTCACGTGAAATCGAGCAGGTCCCGCACCGCACCGCAGGCTTGACGTACACCCATTTCTCGCCATTGCAGACCTATCTTATGACAGAAGCTCAGCCTGGCCGTCTACTCGAAGAGTACGTTCCAGAGGAGAGAGGAAGGCAGCCGGGACACATAGCCGGGTTTGCGAGAATGACTGCGTTCGTGAAGAAGGGCAACCAAGGCACGGCACAGGCTATGGACTGGAATTCGCAAGAGGAGACAGGGGTTACGAAATTCCGTGCAGAGAGCGCAATACTGAGGAAGGTGCCAAATGTGGTAGGGGTCAAGCGAGAAGGGTTGAAAGCGGCTAGGATTGACCTGGACCTACGGAGTGTGGATATGCCTCAGCATGAGCGAAGTAACACGCATCGGCCAGGGTCGAGGAAGTACATAAGTCAGGCTCCGGCTCCTACGGGGAGATGGGTGGCTACGTCAATGACTACACCCCGACGCAGGGTTGATTATGCTGGTCTGCAAAAGAAGCAGGCGGCTGCGCGGGATCAACAGTATTCAGGCGCGACGTTGGACAGACTGAAGGGCTTGCTCGGTACTCCCAACCCAGATGGTACAAACGACATATAGTAATATATTAATCTGGATACATGGTCGCAGGGTACATGTAGCTGTTCGGATATCGCGATAGTACATTGCTTTTTTCTGGCTAATACATGGCGAGTCGCGACAGAAAAGAGTGCACACCCAGTACTGAAATACAAAGTTTAAATTACAATAAGGATTTGCTCATATATGGTCCGTCTAACTCGTATCCTAGTTTACGATAGTAGTCTCGCGTCCCAACACCTGCATCACAGACTTCAGTGACTCTCCCGCCAAAGAAAGAAATAATTACTACAACTTACCTGAGATGACCGCGAGCTTGATGCTACCGTGTTCCTCCCTCGCTATCCGTTCTGCCTCCTCCATCAATAAAGTACCGAAGCCCTGTACATTACAGGTAAAATTAAAGGATGAACACTAATCGGCTTTTATGGCGCTTACCTGATGTTGGAATTTTGTTGGATCTCTCCCATGTACTGGTACGGCAGTACCATACACATGCAGTTCTCTTACGATGCTGCAGCCACCTTCGTCACCCTCCTTTCGTATTAGCTCTGGCCGGAATGTACCCTCCTCAGAGCACTTCCTAAGTCGTAGCAGTCCGACGAGAATGTCACGTTCTGGATCTTCATACGAAAGGAATGTTTCCCAACCACCGTTAGCCGTGTAATCCCGTCTTAGGAGTTCAACAGATTCTGGGCGGACTTTGTGGTGTATTTCATGTATCTGGTGAATGAAAATTTAGATAAATCCAACCCAGCATTTATGTGATGTCGTCACTCACACCAACTTCACGGAATCGTACATCCCTACATTCAGCACCAAAGTCTTTCATACGATTAAGTGCCAGTTCTCGAAGGTTACCAGAGTTCTCGCAACCACTTGATACAAGTGGAAGGGGAATATCTCTATCGGTCCAGATTTTCAGTTTACAATTTCTTTTTTATCAAGGAAAAGAAAGCGAACCTTTGAACCCGATAAACCCTCGTCCATGGTGGCACCAACGCCAAGATTCGCGCAACCACGTCGACAAGAACATTCGGCGTATAGTTCTTATATCTACCTGTCCGCCAAAGCTCATATAAACCAGTACCTCTGATGACAAGCGTGGGGTAAATCTTCAGGCCATCGCTCCTGAAAGCAGGATTCTCAAAATACTCCTTGAACTGGTCTAGGTCACGTTCGACGCCGACATTCGGCAGGTCAGGCATCATGTGAGCAACTACCTTGAACCCCGCGTCTTTTGCTAGATGGAAGGATTCGGAGACGGCACGGACTGTGTGACCCCGGTTTGTATCACGGGCAACGTCTTCGTAAACGGACTGGACACCAATTTCGAGACGAGTGCAGCCGTATCGCAGCATTTGGCTACAAAGGTACGAGCGATTGAGTGAGAAATGATGACTACCTCTAAGGAGCTTACCTGAGATGTGGTCGCAAGCAATAATCTGGTCGGGTCTCAATAGTGATGCCGATAGCTTTTGATTTACTTTGCTCTGAAAATCTGCCACAACATTTAGTAAGCAGGCAAGATGCAACGAAAGTGAAAGCATATACCGGACGGCTTCATCGATATCCGTCCCAGTGAACCCTGATAATGCATTATGTAGTTGAGCAACGAATTTCCCTCGGTAATCTTCTGGCATGCTCATGAATGTTCCACCCATGATGATAAACTCGACCTAAGTACAATCGTCAAGATAGGAGCTGCCATAAAGTGTCATCGTGACTTGCCTTGTCTACATTGTGACCTAAACTCTTTAGCTGCTCTACTCGACCACGCGTTTGCTCATAAGGGTCATATCGCGCACGAATAGCACGCATGCTCGTTGGCTCATAGCCAGTATAGCTCTGAGTGCTATAATCAAAATCTGAATCTGGTCCTCCTGGGCAGTATCTGAAGAGAATGTAAGATTGTTGTGAGTATCCGCACTATTTTCATACTAACACACATATGTTCCCCGTCATGGCAATATGTGGACATCGATGTGGTTTGCACATGACGGCAACAACTGCGATCTGAGAGTTAATTAGTTAACATCTTCATAATAAACATGATGTAGTAAACGTACCCCGCTAGCCGTTCGTATAGGACGAGCACGTAATTTTGGTAGTAACGCTTTCTTATAATCGTCTGGTATGGCACTGATGATGTCCACTAGTCTTGGAACACCACCGAATCCGAATTTCTTGCTCAATTTGGCCCTAAGCTCGTTCAGTGAGACAGTCTGGTTTGCATCGTGGGCTTTGATGAGCTCTGCAGCAATCCCGGATGTCACTCGCAGTAATTGTTCGGCCTGTGATGGACCTTGAAACCTGTTATTTGCGAGCAAAGATTGATGCAGATAATGACTCGCACCTTCTGTTTTCGTTCCCTGCACCATCGCACCAAATATCAATTCGTAGCTGTTCTACAATTAGATAAGTCTGTTCTTGAGCTGTGTTATATCCCCGCGTAGATAAAAGAAAAAGGTGTGGACGATCTGCAAGGATAACTCCAAAATTTGTAGGGGGTATTTCCGAATCCGAAAGCCATGTGGCTTGCATTTGACTGACGTTTCTGGCGACGGGCCTGGTTTGATAGGTCCAGGAAAAACATAAGCTCCATCCCCGCAGTACTCAGGCTCTTGCGCTATACCTGCTTCATCCATCGCCATCGGGTGTTTGCAACGTTGGCTCTCTCCAAGAAAAAAGACATAAAATCTGTATATATTCCTCTCGCTAAAATTGCGCTGCTCAAGCTTGTCCTGGACGCAGGTCTATGCCACCCCCCACTTCTGCTGATTCCTGGCTAGCTGCTCGGAGGTTTGGAATAGTCATTGACGCTGGATCGTCAGGTTCCAGGCTCCAAATTTACAGCTGGAAAGACCCCTCCGTCGTTCTCAAAGAGCATGGAGATGATGTCCGCCGTACACTGCCAAAGGTCGACAAAGGTGTCAAGGAAGGAGAAGAATGGATAACAAAGGTCGAACCAGGCATGTGTTTAATGCACAATATCTAGACTACACCGAACTGATAACAGTATCGCTGTTATCTTAGGCCTCTCATCTTTCGCAGACAACCCCGACGGCGTTGCATCCTATCTCGCGCCTCTACTTGAACATGCGCGCTCGCATATACCCCCCTCTTTAGAGTCAGAGACACCACTGTTCTTACTCGCGACGGCAGGAATGCGTTTACTGACGCCCATACAGCAAGCGCGCATAATTCACTCAGCATGTCATTACCTCAAGGCATCATCTAGTTTTCGCATAGATGACTCCTCCCCAGACGGACCCTGTGGCTCGAGTGTACAAATCATCACAGGTGAAGAGGAGGGATTATATGGCTGGATAGCCGTGAATTATCTTATGGATGGATTTAATGGCCAGAACGAGAACCGAACAACATACGGATTCCTGGATATGGGCGGAGCGTCGACTCAGATTGCCTTTGAGCCCAGCCCAGAAAGTCGAGACAACTCTCATAACCTGGTCGACGTGCGCCTTCGTCTCCTTGGAGGTGAAGAAATAAAGCACCAAGTTTTTGTGACTACCTGGTTAGGATACGGAACCAACCAGGCTCGGGAGCGGTACATCGCTGCAGCGATTAAAGAATACGAGCAGAATCGTCTCGACAGTTCATCGTCTATTGGTTCCTCTGAAAGGTTTTCTATTGACGACCCATGCCTCCCCAAGGACCTCGAACTCTTAGAATATCCGCTACAGCCAGAAGGTTCCTCTCAGTCGGTAACTCCTTACAAACTAGTCGGAACGGGTTCGTTCACCCAGTGTCTACGCGGCACATCACCTCTCTTGAACAAAAATGTACCATGTCCGGATTCGCCATGTTTATTCAATGGCGTACATGTACCTCAAATAGATTTCTCGGTGTCGCATTTCATTGGCGTATCGGAATACTGGTACTCTTCAGAGCACGTTTTCGGACTAGGAGGACCATACGATTTCGTACAATACGAACGCGCTGCATCTGATTTCTGTGGTCGTGATTGGACAGGAATAGTGAAACAGCATGAGACATCTCGACAACAGGGAAGGATTGGAGGAGATGGGGAGGTCATGGAGGATGGACAGGTTGTTAATACGGGAATATGGGGCGACAAAGTAGAAATATCGCGGCTGGAGATGCAATGTTTCAAAGCAGCCTGGGTGGCTAACGTGTTACATGAAGGAATTGGCATTCCACGCATCGTAGACCCTGGTGGAAACACGACTACTGCTGGAGACAAAGTCGCACAACAGGCAGAGAGCAAAGGTCTCGGACGACCAGTTTTCCAGTCAGTTGACACTGTTGGTGACATTGCTATAAGCTGGACTCTGGGTAAAATGGTTTTGGAAGCAAGTAAGGAAGTCCCTCCAGCGTCCAGGTTAGACAGACCCTTGGTGGACCCTGTAGATGATATACCTGAAAGCCCTAATCCACCCATTAAGCCCATCCGACCACCACTCCTCGATTTGGACGCTATTGAGGACCATCTGTCACAACATCTCCCTCCTTCATTATCACGTGAATCACTAGGGTTCTCGCCTGTCGCCTTTCTGTTCTATGTAGTCCTTCTGTTCGTCATTTTCTGCATGACTTATCGCTTACGACATTATCTGCGGCTTAATTTGCGACGTCTTATTCGTGGGCCTTTCAAGAGAGACTACGAGGAGGTGTACTCGATGGAGGAAGGTGGAAGATCTACCCCGCCCTCTCCAACTTCGTGTTTGCCACCAACACTAACTCGAACCCTCCGACGTTTCTCGTTACTTTCTTCTGGTAATCGCCCAATACCTTCTCGTCCGCGTCTTGTTCCAATATCTACCGTGAGCCCCAAAGGCTCTTCTTGGAACACCCATACTTCCCCTTACAACTCACCTACACACTCTACATTCCACTACCAAGATGGCGCATCTACCACAACGTCCTCGCAGTACATCTCCCGCTCCTCGTCCCCCACAGTCGGCTTTAACGACGACAACATCCTGTCAAACAGCATATCTTCACTGACTTCTATGACCACGCGCTCCCGCAACTCTTCGCAACTAAATCTCACGACGCTCGTTCCACGCCAGACGCCTTTATCGCGGGCGAATAGCATGCTTCAAATTCCTCCTGGGGGATCATTCCGCGATGAATGATTTGCGATCTACACGATATGATAATTCTAGTTTCTTGCCTTTGCTTTCCTGACGAACATTTTCAACATTTTGTTTGCAATGGCAGCGGACCCTGGTTTTTGCCTCGTATGTACATTTTCGAACCTTTTTTCCATAGAAAAAATTCCCAAGCTATTCTACTTATCGTGCAACGCAACTACTACTCTCCAAGGGACAACTTTCTACAAACACATGCCGTTATGGCATAAAGCCACAGTGAAAATCCCACACCAAGTCTATTTGACGCTGAGTACATGTGGCGAAGGAGCACGTCGTAACTGATTTTACGTCTTTCTGAGGCACCAAAAAACGTCAACGTAAGAGATCATTGTCGGTTCTTGATAAGGAGGAAGATACGGTTCCTCGGTATAAACCCACTTCGGCCAGGAATCTATAGTGGGGGTAACGTGTGAGCGGGCACCTGAGAAATATGTTGCAGGCGACCCATGGCCTGATCCAGCTAGTTATTCGGAGGCAAATCATCTAAAAACGTTCCTCTTGATCACGAAATGACTAGATCTTTTGACCTTGGCCTTTTTCTTTTCTTTTTATATACCCACTCATCTTGAGAGCAAGGTTCACCACATGGCTGAAAGATGGGGGGAATCAATCTAGCGGGCGAAAAAGGGCGCTATGCACTGATGGCATGCCAGGAGTACTGATTACTCAGGACAAATCAATCCTTGAGATTGATGCATGCTCGGTCGAGATAGCGAGCGACTGCTCGCAATTGGGATCTCGGTCAGTCGAAGCCTTCGATGGAAAGAAAAGGGTTTTCCACACCGTTAATAGACATGTCAACAAAACAACCGCAGGATAACGACCGTGAAGTAGCGGTGGATTTCTTACACGTCGAGTCTCCTTCTTCTTCTATCGTCTCGTCGAAACTCAGGTCAGATCATGCAGTGTTCCATGAAAGACTAAACCATGTGGTGCTCTTCAATAAACGAAGGAAGTTCTGTGGAAAAACATGGACAGAGATAACAAGACACAGCAGGTAAACAAAGCGATAAGCACGATACTCGTACTCATATTATCCCCTCAACCCCTGGAACTAGCGGCGCGAGACAGTAGCCCTCCTTGGCCGAGATCGCGTCCCGCCTGTCGCAGCTGGTGCAACAGGTGGAACGATAGCTTTACTCTCCCGAATCCCATCTCGAAGACGCGCCTGAGCATCACGCAAGTGTAGAATCCCAAATACCCAATCCTGCTCGTTCGCCATACTTACCCCTGCGTCGTGCAACTTTTTCTCTTCATCTGCTGAGAGCAAATCGACCGATGTACGCTCTCCGGTCCGCCATAGCAAGATTTGATGAACAGCCTCAGGAAGAAGTATGTTTGCGCAGTACTGAGGGTGTATGTGGTAAGCTGGGTGAATGGGGATCACTAGAAGAAAGGAGGAGCATGTGCGTACTGAGAGCTTCTCGACGCCTGATAGCGCTTCATATCCTTCACATCCACGCTGCCGCGGTGGATAGCATGATTCCGTTCGTGGAAGTGATGCAACTACTGAGTTCGCATCTGTCTCCTTGGCCTCGTGATCCTTATGACGATCGTGAGATCACCGTATGTCTAGAAGAACATGCTTGGAAAACTAGCACACCTCATGCTTATCAACCATGGACAACTCGGGGATTGCTTGGGGTTCAGCTGACAGCGAGTCTCCGAGCTATAATATGTAAATAGGCTATCAAAGAACCACGAGGGCAAATATAGATACCTGTTCTAACGTCTCAGGAGCAGCGGCTGGTGGAGGCTGTTCATCCTTGCAAAGAACGTAAGCAAGGTGACTACAAACTGAGCATAAGTGTACTTACAACTATCAGCGCTTCTTCAGCGGCAAGTGGCTGAGATTGTACATCTTGTGCCGACGGAGGTTCCACCTAATGGTATCGGGTAGTAAATCTTCTCCACTTACTGGCAGAAAAAAATGATGATACCTTAGCTACTTCAACAATATTACCTTGAGACATAGGCTGTGTCGAATAGAATTTTATCAGCTATAATTTTTTATCCGACGGAGGGACATGAATCCCCTACTTACAACCTCCCCTTCCTCAACGGGTACCTCAGCGGGCCCATTAGCTGATTGAGTTTCCACTTGCACGGACGGTTCGATGCCAATACCATTGACATTCTGCTCACCAACATCTATCATCACCTTGGCACGCTTCTCCTCCCGTAATACCCACTCACACAGGTGTGACTGCAGTTTTCTAATTTCCGCAGGCGATAGGGTCCCTCTTACTGCCGCACCCTCCTGCAACGAGTCCCGCGCAGCACCACCCTTAAGGAACCGCCGATGCCGGTCCAGCGCAGGCGCATATAGTTCATTGAGCACGGCTGAAAGCACAGGCTTGACGTAGGCGAGCTGTTCGCGCATACCGAGCCCCTCAAAGTCTTCTGGAATGGGAGACTTCGGGACCGGGCTTTCCGCTCGATGTCGTCCTCTGCCCTCTCCAGTCGCCTCGGATTCGCTGGCACTCTCATCATCGTCATTGGCATCTTTCATCTCGCTTTCAAACTTTCCTAACTGTACCACGATAAGTGTATGAGTAGAACCCAAAGAGAATGGAATGAAATAGATGTATGTTTACCTCACAATCAACAAACCCTGGCTCTTCTGACGTGTAAAATCGGTCTCTTGTTAGATCATATTCCAATTCGTCCAGAAATTTGACTGTAAACTTCGATTTTTGTGTTGCCTTGGTGGGAGGGATATATGCTATTAGTTTTGCAGGCCAAAATTTATTATTTCGAGGGGGCCTAGCGAGCACAAGTTCCCCTGGAATTTGCAGTGTCGGATCACAAGGAGGGGGGGACCAACGATCCATATCTACATCAATGTTCGTTTCGACCAACTTCCCCTTGCCTTTTGCATCTCTCTTGATGAGGCTCTTCTGCTTATTTTTTACGGCGGAGAAACTACCATCAAAAGAGGACAGTATGTTAGGCAAGCCATCGTTCTCCTCTTCCTCTACGTTGAGCATCATTTGCGAGGCCATTTCCCATTTATGAGCAAGGTCCGTTTTCTGCCTCTTTCTGGGCGAAGCACGGACGTCATGAGAAGAATTGGAAACTCTGAATGTATGCGGTGTAAAGCGCAGTATTCCGCGCGGTGTCGCCATGGATAAAATATTCCTATGAGATGGGGATTTTATATCCAATATGGTGCTTGACCTAGTATTGATTTGTCCAAAAAGCGAAACCCGAAGGGAAGTACTACCAGGCTTTTGAGGTAAAATCTGAATGTAAGAAGGTGAGCTGGATGATGACATCATTTGAGAGAGACGCATATACTTTAGCAGGGCACCACATAATATCTAGATGTTCAACTTGAGTTTCATCTTCAGCCAATGCGCCATCCTTGTTCACCAAAACCCAAACGAACTCGCCCAAATTATGAACACTCCATGTTTCTCCGTTCTGCATCTTTCCCTTACTGCTAGTCGATGGAGGCTTCAATTTGCTTTTCGGAGCATTTCCAGATAACCTGGTCTGGCGACGAAGTGTTGCTCGTGGTAGATGTGAAGATAGGTCCTGTATGGTGTCTGTACTTTTTGAAGATCTTGAAATATTCTTTCGCGACATTTCTGAGCGTAGCGGGGCAACGGGTAAAGGTGACGCAGAGCGACTTAGAGTGGTTAATGAGCTGAGGGACGTGAGGTCAGATATCGAAGCAGTCCTCCGCCGTTTCGTGCCCGCCAACACAAGGGTCGGGGGTGGTAGTACTGGAGGAGGAGGAGGAAGAGGTGGTGGTGGTGGTGGTAATGGCTTTAATTTTTGAACAGGCTTTGGTTTTGGCTTCGGTGTTGGTTTAGACCTGAGAGATGGGCGTTGAGGAGAAACACTGAGTTTTAGAGAATCTCTATGTTTTGCTTTTGAACCGTAGCGAAACTTGACTGAGCCTCTGCTATGGAGAGGCTCTCCAAACGAGTCGGAACTCGGATGGACGTCGTCTGCATCCGACTTGAGAGGAGAGCTACCCCCGAACCCAAAACTGCCACCCGCCCTGCTGTCCGTACCACGTGTCTGAGACGCTCCCTCTCCAGCCATCTCTGCGTTCGACATCATCCTGTATTCAGAACACGAGTAGCCTCCGACGTGCCAAATGTCCACCAGAAATCACACACAAGACGGTATCGGACGAGATCAGGAGATCAGGATGATACCAAGAAATCAAGCAAAACGCGAGTCGCTGGATGGAGGGGCCGAGTGCGATATTCGCTGGATGATGCGGGCAGCAAGCGCGTTCGCTGCAAAAGGCCAACTTGAAAGCTGTGAACAACCAATTTCGCCAACGACAAACACAAGTTGGAGGCGCGCTCGGTCACGCCAGACGCATATTCTGTCACATCCACGGCCGCGGCATTGTAATACACAAGCGCCCACAATACATACTTACCTTTCGAATCTGAACATGAACGTCTTTAGGCTGGCCTTTCAAAGGTGCTCATCTTGTTTTTATTTTCTATCTTACACAATTAAATTCAAATACCTGATTTCTTACTTACTGACGTACTACTACAGGTGGATTTTATCTCGGGTGTAAATTACCGCATCCAACCTCCGGCATTCAAGACAAGGCTGTTATCATGATCCTCTTCGTCATCCAGTAACACAGACGCGCAGCGCTTCACTCAAGCTATACCACTGTACGTTACACGCCGTCAGCACCTTGATAAAGTTTACCAAAGTATCTTCAATTGAAATCGACCTCGCTTCAAGAGCATGGGCCTTGCACGCGTCCAGAACTTGGAATCCGAGTGAACGTGCATGAAATCAAATCAATCTATGAAATAGTCGATAATTCGATAAGTAGTTCTCTATTAAAACACGCACGCACGCAACAAGGTCCCTTTCTTCTTCTTCCCAATCATTATCGCCATCCCTATCATAATCATTGACATCTTTCATTTTCCAAACAGGCTAAACTTCCAGAACGAAACATGCCGCAGCGGATATGAAAACATGTCAAAAAAAATCATAAATCAAACATCAATGTCTCTTCCAAAGGGGGCCCATCATCCAAATCAAAGCTTCACTCGGAAACCTTGTCAGCGCTCACACTTGTCCATCATGCATCAGCATCACCTTTGTCTCATGTGCTTATGTGCTTCCATGCGCGATCGCTTTCATACACTACAAAAGGCTGTCATAGCTCAGCTCTGAGACTCTGTGATAACTGTAAACAAGAAAAGGCAACGTGCCTCGACTCATCCATTTTCTCAGCTGCCCCTTTCACATGGTCGCCGCACAGTGACCGTGTCCTGCCAAAAATACGATCTCGCGGGCCGGCTCTCCTGTCCCTGGTATATCCACCCCGATCGCTGCCCCTAGCAGAAACCACTCTTCCTGTCACGGTCCAACGTCGCTATCCATCATCCTGTGTACATCTCCTACTGCGCACATTCCATCTCAGACCTTGTCTCCCCTGCTTCCAAACCAGTATCGTACAGCACCATCCCGGATAAAGTGTGTAGCACGCTGTCGTCCCAAATCAACCTTAACAAGTTAACCTTATTGTCAAATGACGCACTCTCAGCGCTTTCCAGTCATCTCCGAAGCCTTTTATGTTCAATAAAGGCCGTGTATATGCTCTATCCAAAGAGGAAGGAGTGACTTTCTTCCTTCTTACGGTCTGCTCCTAGGGGGACTAGCACATATGATATCCACCTGTTTCACCAAACAGCCATCACGCGATGCAACAACAAAAGACTTCTTTCTATCTTTACTCCCACTCCTTCGAATGTCGTTCCCAGTATGGCGATGCACCACTTTCGAAGAAAAAAGGAGCACCACTTGGCACCTTGGTGACTTGCTAGACTAATCCGTTCCTGATTGTATCGTGATCCATCAAGGGACTAGCGCGACAACTGCGGATAAATCCACTGCGGTGAACTCAACACAATGGATCTTTTTCATTTCCTTTAGGACTATTCTTCAATATTCGATTCGGAACATCCCCGTGAGGTAAGCGCTATGGGATGCTGTCTGCAGTAACGTTAGAAAACCCAAAACGTATCAAATCATGTCAAAAAAACAACCATTCAGCCTGTCAATGACAGTACGACTGAGAGTAAAAGTAACTGTAAGCCAAAATGAAGCTCGAGTAAGTCGAAGTGGCAAACGAAGTGGGGAGCCGACGAAAAATCCGTAAAAGAAAGAGATTCGCATATCACAACGAAATTTCGAAAAATGCGCAAGAGAGTGGAATGGAACGATTAGTGCTACAGGTACGATGCCGGGTGTTCAAAACTTGAACGGTCTAGATGAGAAACAGAACAGGGCGTGACAAACAAAACATCAAGAATGGAACCTCCTATCGTAAGAGTCTTTCCTACAACTGGGACAAACATATATTTAAAATACTATCGCGGGCTGGAATGTTCGTGTGGGACGCTACGTCTGGGGCCGTCTAGAGAGTGACTTCTTTGCAAACGCTTTGCCTTACTTGACGTCTTCGAGAAATCAGAAGCGAAACTGAACAATCGATTGAAGAACGGCTTTTTGAAGCCCGAGCTTCCTCCTGAATAAGGGGAAGGAGGGGACTTTGTGGTTGAGGTTGCTGTGTATAGTGACGCCTCTGGACCGACCTGCAAGTATCGTAAGTCAAACATTCAGGGAGAACAAACGATAGGATGGACTCACCAACACCTTGATCTTTTGCCCTGGAGTGGGGATAACATAGTACGTACTCCCAGAATCGCCACTTCCACCTTCACTAATAGGAGACGGTGTCCGTAGAGGTTCTCTGCGCATATCCTCCGGTCTCGTCGACCGTGGACGAGGACCTCTCGGACCTCTACTGTCAGCCAATCGGTTCTCCTCATGAACGGAAGCGAGATGACTGTGGACGTAGGGATACGGAGCAGGCGTTATACGCGGATACTGGGGGAAAACAGATTTGGGGGTTGGAGCTGAAACGGTATATGTCATTCCTGGAGCATGATGAGGCGCATATACCATCGTAGGGGGTGCATAGTTTTCGCTCGAGTGACGACCGGGAGCATATACGATCGAAGGAGGTTGTCGAGATGAAAGAGACCTTTGTGCGCGGTGTGCAGTGTATCGATCGTTTGTCTGTACAGGGGGTTGCGAAGGAGGAGTTGGCTGAGACTGCGAATACGTGACTTGTGGGGCTTGTGGCACATTGAGCGAAGTGGGTACATAGCGTGGCGACGGCGTTTCGATGATTTGTTCCGCTGTCGTGAGTGGTGGATTATGCCTAACGGGTTCTGAGGTGTATCTAGTGCGGTGGGAAGGACGTGAACCTGAGCTAGAGGGATGCGTCAAGCCTTCAGCGTCAGCTGGATAAATACGAATTTCCTCAGGCCCATGAGAAAGAGGAGCGTCCACTAAGACGCGACTCGGGTGCTGAGAGGGGTGAGATAAGTGTTCGTGGCGCGAAGGGAGACCCGCGGAATGCTGGGAGACAAACTCTGAACGCGAAGGATCGAGAGAAAAGTGAGTGCGGGGATACGATGCATGATTACTGCCTCTGTGGCTTGGACGAGAGCTGGTATGCGAGGTCGTGCGGGGACGTGTGTCTGTGCTGCTCCCATGGTGCCCATGAGAGATGGGGATATCAGGTCGTCCGTCCCCATACTTCAGCAACATCTTTGGGGGCAACGAATGGGTGCTCTCCGCGTCCGAGTCGCGTTCATCGTCGTCAGAGTCTTCCACGATGACCGAGGGGGGAACAGAGGGAGATGCAAACTGGGTGTCGAATGGGGAATGGGAGCGCACCCAGCGCTCTGTTCGCTCGCGCGAGCTCATGTAAACCCTGATAGCTTCTGGGGAGAACGTGTACTCTGTCATTTACTGGCAGGAGTCCCTGGCTTTCTTGTGGGATACAAGCTGTACGACGAGGAATGGGCGGGCGGGAAGGGAGCAAGGATGGCTGAGAAGAAGAGGTTATAAGGGAGAAGCCGTGTTACGGGAACTGAGAAAAAAAAAGCAAAAGCAGTGGGACTCTGTTTTAATCACATCTCCTTTTTGCGACAGATTTCGAGCCATGAATAAACTATTTCCGATGGTAAAAATGGGAGATTATCAGCCTTTACAGCCCAAATCTGTGCACGAAACGTGTTGCCTGCGAGGCAAAGTCTCAGCCACACACACGTGACCGCACTCCCAAACCCGAGATGGCTCCATATATAACCAAGCCCACACGATGGCACCCTCCACTCCATCCTCTTCTCTTCCCCTGCACACATCTGGCACGCTGGTATCAAGATCCAGCATCGCTCGCCTCTTTCGTATCGCTCCCTTCCCGAGCAGAGCTTGTGATACTTCCGCAGCGAGGCGGTGACAATCACAGATGCCTTACGCGGCAATCCCGATAGCTGCCATCATATACGTACCCATTCTCGGAGAACAATGGCATGCTTTTCATGTCATTACCACTTCGCAATCAGGGGATAGTCGTTCTGTCTCCGTCTAGGGGTTATTGCACCAGCTTCCATTGCTGTTTTTTTCCAACTAGATCGATACACATTTTAGTACTATATGATGTAGTAGGCAAACACGAACTGTACTCAAAACACCATACCCAAATCAGTCCGTAAAACCCAAAATATGCCTCGTCCAAATCCAGTAATCTTATATGAAACCCAGAGAAATGCCGACAACACCGATGACACCCATCAAAATAGATCTGGGCAGAGTCATCATCGTACTGCCATTCGTTTGCGTAGGAGCTGGTGAACTGGCAGATGTCTGCGCAGACCCAGCAGAGCTTCCTGAACCGGGAACAGCACCGCTAGCAGTCGGAGATGCGGTAGGAGCTGACATACTGGCACTGGCACTGACCGTGCTTGTAACTGGAATACCGTTCGTGTAGTACATCGTAGTACCTCCGGTGAACATAGGTCCCGTAAACATAGGGCTAGCGCTACCGCCGCCCTCAACCAACATGGGCGTGGCGATTTGGACATAAGTTATAGTGGTGGCCATCATGTTTATCTTGCACGACTCCAAGCCGTTTGCTATATTGCACGACTCTATAACCGACACTTGCGGATAATCGTAATTGAGAACAAAACTGCTAGGGCCTTCCACCAGAGTGGCTATCGCTATCGTGATAGATCAATCCCTCATTCGTCAGGGCCCAGAGTTATAACAAGTTATGTCAAGATAATATGATTACCTGTGTCCACAAACGCCGAGGTTTGACCAATCGAGGTCCCCGTGGGCTCCGCAGGGAATACTTCGTACGTCGTCTGGCCATCTGAACCGACGCCCAGGACGTTAACGCTGAAGGGCTCCGAGTCGAAATCCGGGAGGTAGAGCGATATGTCAGCGCTGCAAACTAGAGATGCGCACAGAGCGTATCTCGATTGTCAACCCGTGTCTGACCCTACACCCTGAAAATAGCACTTACAAGCGACGAACGAAAAGATAATTAGAGTTTTCATCAGGGCCATTTTAAATTTTTGGATCAAGTTGTTCCTTTGGTGAAATGAAAGTAATTCAAGAGAGGAATGAGTCTTCTTCAGATGGCGCGACAGGTGAAAACGTCGGGCTATAAAAATAAAAATAAAAGTACCATCATCTGCGACACAATTCACTTTATACATGTGAAAAAAAAGGGCCTCCAGGCACGGAGCTCTGGACGTTTTTTGTGGACAAGAACACGGGACGATATAACTCAGCGGTTGATGATGCAGCATGTCAAGTGTAACCGGCCAAACCATAGTGGGTCAGAGCCCGGGCCTAGTCAGCACGTAGCACGATGCCCGAGCACATGAGGCGTCGTCTTGGCTTCACAGTCGCCGTCACCGCGCGCTAATAGCCCGTCAAAATAAACAACCATCAAGTGAGAGAAATAATTGCAGAGCAACGTCGAGAGGAGTCAAACTTGACCTCCGAGTCGGGTCTGCTTCAAGAAGTTCAAGTTCCGTTTCAAGTCCCCTGAGCACACACATGGCAATAAGCTTTCCAGCTCCGCGACTATCCACCGACCGCTTCAAACGTCGTTTCTATTCACACCTCCTACTACATAAGACTAATGTACATCCTACGACTGGTCCGAGATCCAGACTAATTAACTCTATGGAGACTAGAAAAAGATGTGCATATATCACAAAAAACAGATGAACGCTACGGAGAGATACATGGAATGGGAAAACACATTTCAACGTTGGATGGGGAAGGTGAGGGACCAGAGACAAGACGAAACCAAGAAAGGCGAACAATACAAAAATAGACGTTCAGATGGAACTTGGCGCAATCAAAAGTATTCTTCTCGCTCAGTGAGAGATTTCTTTCTGGAAAGCAACATTGAGGTTTTGCTGACTGAAATCCATGGGGTTCTGTCCTCTAGAGGGGGTATTTGTACCTGAAGGCAGAGGCGAAGGCATCCAGCGCGGAGTAATAAGCCCGCTTCCCCCAGCCCCAAAAACGAACCCGCCACTTATACCTTCCATCGTATCAGAGTAGCCTGAATAGATAATCAAACAACTTCAGGAAATACCATGTCACAAAGATAACAGCATTTACGTACCAGGAACAAGAACACTATCCCAGAATCCAGTGCTGAGAATGCTATCCATAGAAAGCATGCCCATGGTCTCTTCAGAATTAGGCATCACTGCCATGGTCGGTGGGAAAGTCGTGATGTCAGCCACAGGTCCCATCTCGCTCTCGAACTGGAACTCGTTGATACCAAGCGCATTATTCATGGCATGACTGTTCGAGTACGTCCCCTGATTATTTTGGTGGTTCATCTGATGATTGGGGTCTCCTTGCATGGAAGGATCATCTTTTTCCAAGGAGAGAGCCGCTTCCGCCTGGCTCTCAGCACGGCTTGATGAGCCGTCTGTGCGTGCCGATATAAGCGCCCGAAGGAAAGTGCTGTATAGTGCAGGAGTGTGGTGCGAATTAACAGCAACGCCTTCAAATGTTGACACGACGTCCTTTACGAGATCGAATATTTTTTGGTCGTTCTCCAAAAATGGTTGAAACTCTGGGCGGATGAGCTAGCGATGGAAAATGTCAGCAAATCACTGAATATTCAAACTCGCAAGGCACTTACTTTGAGCAAAGACAAAACAGCATACGACACGAATACAAAGTGAGAATCCGGGGAATACTTCAAGTAACCCCTAGGAGCCAGCTCATCCCGAGCCATAACGGCAACAGCCGTAGCTGACGTATGGCAACGAGCAAAGAAGTGCCCAATGTCGACCGCCGAACGTTCCATCGCATTTTGCAAACCAAAGGAGTTAATGACCAACATGTAGTAGTGGAAGTAGAATTTCTGCATCGTCGCGGAGTACGTGCGTACTACACCGTCCGCTGGCACGCCTATTAGTTATTACAGTAGCACCATCGTGAAGAACAAGAGACTCACCAAGTCCCATCGGCCGAACCACGGTCCACTCATGTTCCCAAGCAAAGATTTGAGTTTCGATAGTCTTGATAACTATCAAGTAGTCACAGTCTGTTTGTAGTCCAGACGCCGAACTCGTCCCGGAGTAAAGGAAGTCCAGACTACGCGACACAATACGTTGCAATTCCTAGGGACATCATGAGTTCAAATTCTCGGTTAACTAAAAATTAAAATACAACACTTACCACATACGACGCGAGTGACATATCCCCCGGTGTCGCAACGGGTGCCCGACACCATTGCAAAGCATTACGAATGATGAAGCTACAGAACACGAGTCAGGGGAGTGAGGTAACGCAAGAAATAGCAGTTTACATACTCTTCCTTAATCGAATGAGGCTTCCCCATTTGTGCACTAGCACTTCGATCAAGCGCAAAGCAAAGGAACCATGTCCGTTCGCGGTTGTGCACTTCCGTATCACGTGCCCGACCTTCAGGCGTATCCTGGCTAGTGACCGCGGTTTTTCGGTGGAGATTGAGATCAGTAGCCATTCTTATCGGGGATGGCGTCAGCAAGGAACATAAAACGTAATAACATTTACGAAAATAACAAACCTGATGGCCATGCCGAGCATCATCCAGGTTTTGTCCTGCTCGTAACGTTCAACGGCACCAGATCCCCACAAGGTCAGGAGGAGATATGCCTGGACAATCTCCAAGGACTTGTAACCTCTAGCGGGTACACTGAAAGCCAGCTTTTTCGCCAGCTCGGTAAGCTTTGCGTGTAGCTCTGGTCGACCGTTATAGAATTTAGATGCAATGGCACATACTAGATAAAAGTTAGTGAGAGAGATCAAGGTCGAAGAGCCTCTGGGCACGTACTTGTAGTCAACAAGAACGGTGATCGTGAACACACAAGAGATGGAGTGTGGAAATCGCGGTCGAAGAGATTACAATGCATCTGTCGATCGATCAAATTTCAGATATAAGAAACGAGGAAAAGATATAAACTCATACATTGATATGATCGAAATAGCTAGAAAGACAATCGATAAATAGATAAAAATAACATAGTTCGAAATGTACGCACATGTCGAATAATGTCACAACTTCCTCCGTACTGACAAAACTCAGCATTTCTGGCTGTACTTGCCGTTCAATATACAATCTACGGAGAGGAAGTATTGTCATTGGGCCTGAAATTGATTATCAACCAAAGTAAAAGTGATTTTGAGTAAAAGATGCAAACCAGGTTTAAAGTAATTGTCGCTAGCTACGCCCAATCTTCTTTCGTCATCATCTTCTGGAGGTCGAGCGGTGAAAGAGCTAGCAGCGTTTCCTTGAGCGCGACGATTTGCTAAACTAGCCTCGGCGAGAAGACCCAATGGATTCAGGGCATTGTCAGGGAGTGAATGCAACTTAGGAGACGTCGAAGGAGGTACACCACCCTGAGATTGAAAAGCAGGTTGCGGAGGTGGGGAAGGAGATGCTATCAACGCTTGAGTGGTTGCCGTCTGACCAGAGGGTGATGGTGACCTAGACACCATGCCTGAAGCAATGCTAGGGTTGCCGATAGACCTGAGTACGGTATCAAGAGTGCGCTCCATTTTTCGCAAGGAACGAGTAAGAAGTTCGTGTTTTCTTGGGCTGTAAATCAGTGTTGGTCATACTTGGCAAGGAATACGATAAGTATGCTTACTTGGAAGAACGTTTTCCACGATTTGATTCCTCGAAGATGCATTCATGGTTTCCGGTAACACAACGTTTGCACGGTGGACCTTGTTCGGCACCCACACACTTCATTTTCAAGCGACGACATACCGTACAAGCACTGTGTGTGGTCTTCAGAAGTGAGTAGAAAGTAAGAGGGATGATAATCACCGTGAGCCACGTGTTGGCTTCGCTTTAGGTTCTTCCTTTTCGGTAGCAGGGCTCTGACCATCATTGTCCTCGTCGTCCTTGCGCGCCTTTTTGCGACTACTGCTGGCCGTTGTGCCGCTAGCCAGAGAAGAGGAGGGCCGTTTCCCATTCATATTAGAGACTGTATAGGGCACGTGCTCTGTAGGGGGGGTGCCGATAGTATCTGATCCCTGGGACGAGGGCGAGGAGAGATTCTGGGGAAGAGCGAGGTGGTGGGGGATGTGCTGGGGCTGTTGATAGGTATAATAGGGCGGATAGAGGGCGAGGGCGGGATCTATTGGAATCTGAGGGGAGTTTGGAGGGGGCATTGAGGACTGGGGGAGACCATGGTCCTGATGGTGCATGGACATGTCGTGGGCGAACCTGTATGACTGGTCCAGGTAAATCTGGGTGTAGTGCGGGGGCGACAAAGGAACGAACATGGTTAATGAGAGGAAAGGCTAGAGAAAAAAGAAAGTACCTGTTGTGTTCTTGAGATATAAAGCAGATTAGACCACTGCGATTCAAGAAACGCGAGTGCTCACGTGCGATTCGTCGATGACAGAAACTTGGGAATGGGCCCACGGGAAAAAGCGGGGGTGGCGCGGTGTCACTCGTGTAAGCGTCTGGAATCCCACTTGGGCTTTCAATAGAGCCTGGTCCAAGATAGCACCAGCGATGCAGAACAACGAAACTCTTCCACGTTCAGATGAGTATAACCTTACAGCACAATCCTTGGGAACACCTCGCTGCTGCAATCTCTGGTGGCACCTCGGCCTGCGCCTCAGCTGAGTTTCAATCTGCCTCCCTGCAGCCTCCACCCATGTCGGCCTCCACTTATGTTTTCTTCATGAGCCTTGCCGTACAAATGGAGCTTCAGAATTCTGCCAGAGACCACCTCGTCCACTTTTTCTCGCCAGCATTACTAACATCCTTTGCAGCGGCCGCCTGTCGGTTTATTAATGATGTTTCTTCCTCTTCATCATACTGCAGAGTCTGCCAAACAGTGTCTTTCTTACGTTTCGGTGCGCTCGGAGCGTATTGCTCGTCACGACATATGTTCTGCTGTCACCTGCGTGGGAGCACATCGAGTCTGCACACTCTGATCCTGGCCTGCTGTTATTTCTGGTGTTGTAATGCTCGCCTTTGATTGCGGTCTTATCCTCCTTCTCCGCTGCATCCTTTACACTATCGGCCAATTCACGGCAACTTCCGAACCAGGTGGCTGTTGCACTCTTCTCTCTGTCGCACTCTCGTAACGTAAACCTTGACTGGCTTTCGCGGGCTCGTTCGTGCCAATATAGCTTAGCTATGGCACAGGGCACATATATAGTATTGCTTTCATTTATGCGCTCCCGTTAAAGTGACGCTTTTGCTCCCGCTTCACCGTCCTCGTGCTTTGCGGTCCGTTTCCGAAAATCAAGCATTAATCCTACAAACCATCATATTCCTTTCCTCGGTTCTCTCGTATTTTTGGCATGCATCATCCCTCAATACGGTACGAAACATGAGGAGTTTTTGCAGAAGCACACACCACCTACCCACTCCATGCTGTAAGCCTCTCCTTTCACCCCTTTCCCTCCTAGAAATTACTAATTTTATTCATAATACCACCTTTAATGAAGATTCGGTAGCGCACATTCATTCGTCACCTGTCTACCATTTACTAAGGCGTTGTTATGGCAAGTTGGGTCACGTCCCAGCTCTTTGATCCCTTCTCGTATGTCCACAATACCATACCCCTTCCCTTTTTAGCCGGTCTCTACTCTTATCTTGACACGTTCATCTACCGCTCACACTCAATCTTGGCCAAGCATTTTATGTTGCCGTCGACCATCCCATATGTCTCTGTCGCTTACTTGTAAAGGACAGAATGTTCCTAATCTATGATTAGAGAGGTGCAGTGACAGCATCATTCCTCACGACACAACTGCTCATTTGGCAGCTAAGCGCATGCAATCCATTCATGATAGGCAAAAATAGGAAAAGTGAAGCGGTCTGATATCAATACATGACTCGATCGTGTTTCTGAGAGAAACCAAGGTATATGCTTCCTGTTTTTTCCCCCATCGCGATGACTGGGTCTGGTGAAATCAGTGTCGTTGGAGACGGTCAACTTTTCTGCCAAGTACTGCAGACATAATGAACTGGATGCGCCATCATATATCAGAGGGCCTTAAACTTCCAGTTTCACAGGTCTGACACATGTCGACATATTGATAAGTCATTGCGCCCATCTCGCAACTCACACTGCGCAATCTAGCAACACTCAACGCCAGTAAACAGCCGACGAAACGTACAGAGCATCGGGTGATGGCCGATACTTCTCGTCCCTTCCGGGCGAGGGTAAGGAGAGAGGATGACTGTAATGCGTTCTTTCTCGACTTCGGTCTGATTATAGGTGCCCAAGGAGAGTTCGTCCGCCATAATTCTCTCATCTGTTCCACTGATTTACGTGAATGAGTCACGGTTTAGGGAGGATGGATCCCTTGCCAGGATCAAGATATGATCTCTTGATCGAATGATATGTCCTCAATTTCATGGTTCATGATCCTTTGTTCCGCGCTTGCATCTACTCTCCTCTAGCTTGGGTCTTCTTTCCAGAAAAACCGCTGTTGACTTCTGCCTTATCGTGCAGCTCCAACTTGGAGCAGCCCTATCATCATACAATGTGTCCCTCGTATTCTCATCTGGCCTTTCCTAATCGAGGAACCAGGGCCTCGATTTTACATCAACGTCCGTGACGGTGTCAACTCCATCCATAATATGATTGGCTGCTCAGTTTACCTGGAATCGGCAGCGTAACAACAATGCTTATAGTATCCTTATCCACCGAAGTCCTCCTCCAAGAACCCACACTAAATTCGTGTCATTCTCACAGCTTACCGGAGCCGCTACCGCTTCCCCGTCTTGACTTGCGTCTTGCTGAATATGTATCATTTACTGACAGGGCAAGCAAGAATACTGCGCGGCATAATCAACGCAGCACTCCTTACGTTCCCAAGAGCTATATGCAGCACCAGAGAACTGCGGTCACGGTATTATGAAAGCATGCAGATACAGCCTTGCCGACGCCGAGGATGGAATCTCGTATGCGCCATGTGCTGCCGCTGCTTCTCAATGCAACATGTGCCCATCCTCTTTCCTATTTTGAGGCTGGACATCTTGCACGTATGTGGTAAAATCTCTTGTTCGACATGTCCTATCGGGTAGTCGATGGTCTGCATTTGACCAATGATTGATGCCAACATTGTCATGATTTCTTCTGCGCACCCCAGTTCAAGCAGGTAAGGAAGTCGTCCTGCCAAGTGGCTCCTCCTTACCTTTACCAGGAACGAGGACAGTGGCGGTATCATGGAAACGATACAAAATATTTCTCGTGCACTCATTCTCAAACAAAAGGTTTTGAGTTTATCCAAGATTATCACTCGTGATCAGCCTTCTACGAAGAAGTGAAACAAGCCCTTTCCCGCAACGGCGAAGTTCCATGAAATCAGGATTCTAGACCTTGGGGCCATGCGCCAAGCCTGTGAGATGTAGCTATGTTTCCTGGACAATCTGGCATCGTTGCTGGTCCGCCTTATCGGTTTTGTGTTTCCCTGGCCCTGGCACCATGTGTTTACCTCGATAGTCATTGGAGGACCTCGATATGGTATCTCCAGTGATGTATAATGGCCGTGGTGGGTTCGAAATGAGTGGGTGGCTCGATTTGCGCTCTACTATTATGTTGTGCTGATGCAAGCGGGTGGTGCTATTTACCATATCGCGATACCGAGCATCCAAATGGCGAACAGAGTTAGCCACACGCCCATGCGCCTTTTTATCATTTCTGCGGTAGAAAAAATACTTGATTTTTACAAGGTGAAGCCGAACGGTGAAAAAAGTGGGCACGCATATTTTCTGTTGTTCTTTGGTCTAATCGATAAAAAATTGAAATTTTTTTAGAGGACAATGGACGCTACACGCCCGCGCTCGCTGCAAGGTTCATTGCTTACTTACATGTTTCGCATGGTCCTTGCCGCCGCATTTGGTACGTTACGACCAGCACTCCTAAAGTTCACTCGCTCGCGCTACAGCAAGCCTTCCGTACTCTATTCATGGTTCGTCCTGCACATGTTGCAAGCCAAGATATTCCTCGATGGGCGATTGAAGTTGTCTCTTGCTTACCACATACTCTGCGAAGCCCCTGTTTCTCCTACGCGTTACTAACGAAGCCGCCGGAAAAACGTTATTGCGATGATTTGGGCGAAAGTGTTCTCACAAAGGTGAGCGGTGACAGCTACTCCGTAAATCTGGCAAGGACCATGGTTATCTTTGTTTTTCTCGCGCTTATGTCTACCGTGACAATGTATAAGGATCAAATTCCCTGTCAGGACGATGAAATGAAAGTGTTTCCATGCGCTCCATTCTCGAACCGATACGACTTTTCTGATTTATACAAATCCGTTCTGATCAGTCAGCCAAATTGAATTGGTATCCAAATATGCTTGAGACGTAAAAACGTAGTGCGCTAGGTACATGGATGTCAGGCATAGACTAGAATATGGAACCACAAACATGAATGCGAAAGCACTACCGAAATTGAAGTTTTCGATATGCATGAGCTGAAATTGAGAATTATAAAAAGTCATTGGGTGAGTAGAAACTTTGCAACACGGTGAAGTCAAGACTGCATTCTTCACGCAATAAAGGACAAAAAGTTTCTCGAGCATGGAACCATCCACTAATCACGCTTTCCTCGATAAAGTATGATACATGAAGCTGGAAGGGCGAGATTACGTACCTCCGCTCAGGCTGGTCACCGACTGCAGGCGTGTTCAGAACGAACGATTGTGGTAGGGTCGTCTCACACAAGCAGGCATAGTGAGCGGGCTTGAGTTACGTGTAACATTTTCTAACGGTTGCACTGATCCGCTTACGAAAATAGTACTTCGCGCAAAGAGAATCAGGTTTCCGACATTTGCCGCCCACTTCCAGGATGACCTCGGGAGGGTAGAGGTACTTGGAATGGTGGTACGATGTCCGAAAGAGGTGGTGATCCGAGTAGAGTAAATCTTTAGAAACTTCTGCACACGCACAGTTATTCATAAGATTTGTTTGACAGTTCCGAGTGTCCACGTTGCAAGCTGTAAAGTGCCAAAATGCCATGAATACACCAACATGGGAAATAATACTACCTCTAGGGATTCAGGGGATGCATTCAGTTGTTTGACGGTGCTCCGTTGAATAATCTGTCAAAGGGTCGCGCTTCTGAATTCAACAGCTCTCCTGATAGAAAAGTAGACTTAAAACATCCTTCTGAATTCATCAGGACTCGCCAAGTTCATGGCATTAATAATCATTTAAGGTGCAATATTTCGTAATGGTACGAACATGCCTGGTACCTTCATGTAAGGAGCTGAGAAATATTGTCATAGATACAATACAATGAGCTCTAGGGCTTTCAGCTATGATGAGGTACTAACCCTCTCAAGTCGGATAGATGATCTAGCTGATGGACCGCAAAGGGCTGTAGCGCAAAGCTGCATAACTATTTTTCTGGAAACATAAACGCACTGATGTTACGCACAAGACCATCAGGAATAAAAGAAAATGAGGATTTCTAGACAAATTAGTAGTAGCAATACTCAGATAGCTGTTCTACAGGTACCTAAAGCGGAACTTAACGTTTAAGTGGCGCTCTAATTAATGTGGCGTTGTGGCTGAACGAGGTGCTTGCCTTCATGTTACAGAACGCGTTCACCACTCAATATTCAACATTCCCTTTATTTTTCGACAATGAGCCATCATCAGCGCCCTACGCTGGTTCTGGCTCCATCTGTGAACACAACAACGTATGTTTTCCTTGAAAAATATATATCTCTGGAGGGACATTGACCTGTTTATGCAGCGTCGTCACGACCACGACAACAACTACAACATACGCGCCAATTCCCCTTCCTGCACTCCCGCCCCCTTCCGAACCCAAATATTCTAAAGGCTTTCCTTTATTGCGGGCTCACCTTCCGAGCTCATTAAGACGCTTTCCTTTAGTATTTCCAGGCGGTGCTCGTGCCACATTCCGCGATGGAGAGGAGGGTGAGGACGAAATGCAGGAGGAGGATGCCGTTGCTAGTGGCAAGGGGTGGCGGATGCTGAAGCCAGAGGAAGGAGGCGACAATGGGAAGGTCATTGGTCTCACAGAGGCTGTTGAACGGTACGGCAGAAAACGCTCGCACGGATCAGACAATATGATGGAAGGCGTCGAGTCCACACACGATCTTGAAACAAACACCCCTCCTCGCAAGAAAGCAAGAGCCACACATCTACCGCAACTATCAACACTCAATGCAGCAGCACCCCCTTCTCCTTTACCGTCTCCCCACGGCTCTCCACCGCCCCAGTGCATCTGGCCTTCAGCACCGCCAAGTGGGGCATCTTCACCCCAACCTCAGGCACCGTTACAGCCTGACCTTGCTTTAACGACTCTTTTGACGTTACCCTCGTTGCTTTCGCATTTTAGTACCCTTCCACCACAGCTACAGTCTCATTTTCTCTTGACTTTGCTTCGGCACTCTCCTTTACCCGTTCTGCGCACACTGCATTCAGTGTTGACGCCGACATTAGCGCGGGACTTTTTGACGCTATTACCCCCGGAGCTGGTGTCCTTGGTCCTTAGCTATCTACCATATTCAACTCTCACCCGCGCTTCTAGGGTATCAAGGTCTTGGAGAGCAATCGTCGATTCTGATCCTGTGCTGTGGCGAGACTTGTTAAAGAATACTAAGATCTGGTTCGGAGGTGACACAGAACGAGCTTTTGCTCAATCCATTTTTGCAAGACGGCAACAGGAGACCCAAGCGCAGCTCATATCACCTGTTGGAAATCCGCTACCACTACCCCACCCGTACAAAATGCTATTCAAATCACGACATCTTACACGAACTCGCTGGGTGCACAACGAGGAACCCAAACATCGATCTTTTCCTGCTCATGGGTCTTCGGTTGTGACATGTCTTTTGTTCTCGCATGGTCGCATTATATCCGCGTCTGATGATCACTCGATTCACGTCTATTCACCTTTGACTGGAGAGCTGCTCCAAGCTTTAGATGGACACGAAGGAGGAGTTTGGGCCATGGCGGCAAGCAAGGATACGTTAGTAACCGGATCAACAGATCGGACAGTGCGCATTTGGGATCTATCTACTGGAAGATGTACGCACATATTCGGAGGTCATACAAGTACTGTGCGATGTCTTGCCATCGTAAAGCCAGAGTGGATAGATATGGAGGACGAAAACGGCGTCGTCACGAAGGAGAAATGGCCCAAGCGGTCTGTGATTGTGACTGGCAGCCGTGATCATTCGTTGAGAGTCTGGACGTTACCACGACCTGGAGATCCCGAGTACAGATGTGACGGTGCAGATGATGTGGAAGCCGACCCATCAGAGGTGAGCTTTCAATTCTTTTTGCTTCTATGTTCTTGGATGACTCACGTACCAAGGAGGATGTGGAGGAAAACCCATATCATAAGATACATCTGGAAGGACACGACCATGCTGTCCGCGCTCTTGCGGCTAGAGGTCGTACTTTAGTCTCTGGAAGTTACGATTGCACCGTTCGAATATGGGATATCATCACTGGTGACTGCAAATGGGTTTTAGTCGGTCATACTCAGAAAGGTTAGTTTTGCACTCCGATGTCAGTGGTCTGTTACTCAGTTTTGTTTGCAGTCTACAGCGTTGTGCTTGACCTCAGCCGCAATCTAGCGTGTTCTGGATCTATGGATGGGACCGTGAGGGTGTGGAATCTCCGTAATGGGCAATGTCAGCACACACTAACGGGCCACACCTCTCTTGTTGGGCTTCTTGGCCTTTCTCCGTCTTATCTTGTATCTGCTGCTGCCGACTCGACGCTTCGAATATGGGATCCGGATACTGGCGAATTGCGAAATACTCTTGCAGCCCACACTGGTGCGATCACTTGCTTTCAACACGACGAATTTAAAGTCCTCAGTGGGTCTGATGGCACACTGAAGATGTGGGATGTCCGCGATGGCTCCGTGGTTCGGGATCTATTGACAGGCATCAGTGGCGTATGGCAGGTCGTCTTCGAGGGCCGATGGTGTGTAGCTGCTAGCAATCGTAATCTTACTACTCAGTTGGACGTCTGGGACTTTGGTAATGATGACGATGATTGGGTGGGCGAGCCTCCAGGCGGTATATACGACGATGGAACCGACGATGATGAAGACGAAGAAGAGATCGAACAAGCGGATGTAGATGCCATGGATCAGGACCTCGAGGTCACACTCTCCGATCCAGAGTCTGTGGAACCAGAGAGAGAGGTAGAGCGAGGAGGCAGTGCTGCTCCCGCGGACCGTCCAGCGGATTCAGAGGATGAGTTGATGACTGAGGGTCGTAGGACGTCTCGATGGGCACCTTCGGCTTCTCGCCCTACCACTCACCAGCGAGCTAGAGCTCTCCTAGGAGGAGAGTCATCCAGAAGGGGCAATGGCCTCCCTGCAGCTTCTTCTAGCACCATACCAGCTCGTTTGCCGCTCAACGATGAGACACCGACACGACCACGAATAAAGACCTTGGCAAGGACAAGACGTTGAGAATCGAATACCTTTCCTATCCTTTTTATTCCACACTACTTTCTTATCGCCTTTTGTCTTTTTGTGTGTTACAGTCTTGGGGCATGTCATCATTTTTCGTAACTCATTCATCATTTTTTATTTTCCTTGTCATGACTTCGGAATGAAGAGCAATTTGTCTATATGTCACTACATTTGTCCTCTACCTGATGTCAAAGTTGATAATTGTTGTGTTGGAACATTGTATCACTTATGAATGGGAACATCAGATTTTTCCATTTGCACTAGTAGTTACTTTGATACCCCCATAATTCACTAGTTGCGAGAGAGGGAGTGTCATTTTCAACGAAACAAATTTTACCTGAAACACTTGAAAGAGTAAGGAAACAACCACATAAACGTACAAACTAAGATCGCTGCATTGAACTTAGTAGACTAAGATACCTTGTTGTGATGGAACGTGAGGCAAGCCTGGCAAAGTATATGCGCCCCAAAAATCCGGAAGTGCGTTGTTTGACCACCAACATACGAGCATCATCATCCTTTCCTAGACCAGCTATTGCCATTAAGAGCACACTGCCCATTCAATGGCCCACAATATTTGCCACGATAGTAAACTTGCGACGACAATAACTCTAGTGTGAGCAGGAACATCTTTACACCGCGATCCACTTTTTGTGATCATATAGTTCGGGCTTTGTATATTTTCATATCCTCCCGAGGTCTAGCAGAGATAAGATGCCATTATATACTGCCATGGGTTGAATCACATACCGATCCTGACCGTCAACTGCTACCGCGCCAAGTCTTTGGAGTACTCGCATACCAGAGCTTACACGACCGAAGATCGTATGCTTGTTATCAAGAAAAGGTGTCGGAGCAAGGGTCATGAAAAATTGAGAGCCTATACCGCATGTTAGTATTGAGGAGGACAGCACCAGCACTTTGCACACCATTCGTATTTGGCCCAGAATTTGCCATGGCCAGAATTCCAGCTCCAGTGAATCTCAGGTCTGGGTTAATCTCATCCTCGCTGCCCAGATATCGCATTAAAGAGCGAAAAACGAAGAGTGGATAGAGAATCGTACAATCTTTGGCCGTAAATACTTGCACCACCTTTTCCAGTGCCGGTGGGGTCACCACCTTGGACCATGAAGTCCTGTAACAGAATTTTGAGTCATCAGCATCATTGAAGGAAGGATTTTGCGAACTAACTGCGATGATGCGATGAAAGGCGACACCATTATAGTACCCACGACTTGCGAGCTCCGAAAAGTTCTTGCATGTCTAAGATTCATACATACTAAAGTTGAGAATGGAAGAACTAAGCTTTTAAGTTTCGGGGATATACTTACTCGAGGCGCATGATTCCAGTAAAGCTCCAGTTGAATATCTCCGAGACTTGTCTCCAGGACCACCGAAGTCATGACTGCAAATCCTATTTTCCTTGTCAGGTCAGTGGTGGTTTTACTGCAAACTGCAAGTGCCAGTTGAACTGAGAAGTCATCAAACTAGATAAAAGCACGTGACCAGTTTATTTTATTCAATGCGAGCAAAAATACTGTAATGTTGTTCAAATGGCTACGATCTCAGCAAAACCTACTAACTAAATGAGAAATACGACTAGCAAATATTGGACAGAGGGAAAAAAAATCGAATCGCGGAATAGGCTAGCTATATCAATACGAACACCATTGATTTATATCTTTATGCCATTGAAAACCTCTGAGCTGAATGCTTTCTCGACTTGACTGGCATTGTTGAAGACCTTCCCACCGTAGTAGGGCAGTCGTCTGGCGAGAGAAGCGATTGAGGAGCCACAGGGCCAGGCGGTATAGTTTCCGGAACAGAAGGGAAAGCGTCGAAAATGTCCTTATCAAATAGTCCAAGATTCGATGTTGTAGACGCCAGAGATATAGTAGAAGTAGGTCGTGTAAGGGATGCACTGGCAAGATTTCGAGTTGTCGAGCGTTTGGATGGAGAGGAGTCCGGAGTGCCGGACACAGTATGGAATCTGCTACTAGTAGAACTGCGTGACATCGAGATATCATCTAAAATAAAAATATATTAAAAGGTTGTTGTACTTGGGTTGATAATGAAGCCTTACCACCATCGGTATGACTCATGTTCGACTTTGTCCTGCTACGATTGAAAAACCTATCTGCAAACGAACTTGATCTTGACACTGGGTCGCTACTCTTCTTGGGAGACACAGAAGGCCAGGCAATTCCATTACCGTTGAGATCAAAGCCATTGTCGGGTGGAGTAGCAACAGAGTCTTCTGATGAAACAGAAATACTGTCACGTGGATAAGCTCCTGGCATGTGACTAGAAGAACGACGAGAGCTAGATGAACTCGCAAACCGACGGATTCCCGAAAGATATTTCGGTATAGGGGACTTGGGAGGAGGGGTGGGTGGAACAGAGAAAGGACCTTCGTCTTCCTCGGGGATGTCATCATGTAACACAGGTTCTTTGATCGAGGGTACAGAAACTGAACGTGTCGATATCGACATGGCGTCAGTATATTCTGTGGTGCGAACAGAGTCTTGAATAGATTCCTCTCGACTAGTAAGGGTTAGCACAGATTCGTTATGCATGTCTTCTTCAGGAACAGTTTCCATATGGACGGTTGCCTCGGGAGGCTGAGGTTCGACAGCGAGAGCGCCGGATTGAGTGGTTTTATCACTGTCAACATCACCCTCTGCCAGCCGTCTCTCCAATAAAGCGGCCTCTTCCAGAAGCATTGCAAGTTCGCCATACCCAGGGCTTACTGGGGGTTCGACTTTAATAGTCTTCCCAGTTTGTCGCACTCGAGCTATCTGAGGCGTGACAGGAAGCACTAAGTTAGAAGCAGGGGTAGATGTCGATGTTTCGGTTTTCTTTCCGTGTACTACTGCAGTGAACGTCTGTTTAGGAACTGTTTTCCAACGTTTCCCTCCACTTGCTATATTCGACTTTGGGGGCTTAGCCTCGTCATCCACGTGTATTGTGATAGAGCCCATGTCTGACACTGAGCGTTTGTCTTCTGCTTCTGAGGGTGAGTTAACAGGGGAGACTATGATAGGAATAGTTTGGTTGGTGGGCGTTGAGGGCGCACACGCAGGTTCTGGAACTGGTTCAACTTTGGCCAGAGTTATGGGCGCTGTCGGAGTAAGAGTAACTGTTGGGGTGTCGAGGTCCATGCGAAGAATGGACGTCGAAGGGTTGACTTCAGTAGGAGAGACAATAGAGGGAGGTACAACATCGGCACACTCTTCGACTACTTCTGGTTTCGAAACAACCAGCTCTATCGCGGATGTGGGTACTTCATCACTCTTATCTTGTGACGCCGTAGTGTCCGACATTTGTTCCGCGACGCACTCTGGTTCAAGTGCAGGTGGAGCTTCTGTCATCTCAACCTGAACTTCTTTAACAACTTCCTCACAGCCAACATCTAGAGATTCGGTGATGCTCGGAGAACGGTCCTGGTGGTCATTTTTCAGGTCCAAGGTCTCCTTTGCGGGCTCTTCAACGGATACATCAACTTCGCTTGTGGATAAGTCGACATGATCTGTTACTACATCAGAATCAACAGGACTGTCTTGAACGGGAGGCGCTTCAAGGACTAAAGAAGACGCTTCTGGTATTTCAGACGGTTCCTCCACCACTGCCAAGACACTCGGCGGATCATCATCTGTGGCTACCGAGGTAATTGGCTCACTGGATATAACTGTGGGCTCCTCGGCTTCCCCTGACTCGAAATACACAGGCGGCAATGCAGCATGCGATGCAGAAGGGAAGTTTGTGTCGTGCGTTCCGAACACTGCATCTGATGAGCTGGCAACACGACGAGTACCAGCAAGATTAGCCGTAAGAGTGTTGCGACGAGGGTTAGAAAACGGTCCATTTGAAGGGAGGGGCGGAACCGGACCGTCATTCTGAGCTAGCGAAGAGTTATCTAGGCCCGCAGCAGAGGTGGAGATGCATCGTTTTCGTGGAGCAAGATCGTCAACATTTGGTAAAGGGGAACCGGATCGACTTGCAGGAGCCCCAGTTGGTCTCCCGAGTCCTTGTACGCGGTTGGCGTAGAGTTCTCCTCTCCTCCTTGCTGGAGCGTTCTCTGCCAGCTGAGGCACATTCATGCCAAAGCTTGCACGAGGAACTGGAACACCACCTTTTTCTTCAAACTTGGCTATCCTATCACGCAGACCACCAGCACCAAAAGCGGGGGCAGACTTGTTCGAAGGTTGAGTGGAAGGGTGTTGGCTTGGGGATACATTGCGTTGTTGCAAGGCTGCAATGCGTTCTTTTAAATTGACTGGAGGAACCTGTGCTTTGGACGCTGCCCTGTGGGTTTAGAGAAAGGAGTCTTAGCTGAGAATACAAGACAATAGCAGGCGAGAAAGCCACGAACATTTGCAAAGGAAAGGTTTAGAAAACAAAATTGGTGAAACGACCTGCGACTCTGAAGATTGTGAAGACACGGCCAGCCAGGGTGAAACTGAAATGTGGGGATGGTACGAAAAGTTTCGATACGGACTTAAGGAGAGTAAAAAGAGGTCGAAGTTCGGAAAGTAGCTGTGGGGTTGAAGGAAACGTGGAAGGATGCAATGTAGCACAGCAAAAGATGGTTATAATGAAGACTTGACAAGAAAACGTGTAACGAATGATGTTGGTTGAACCTGCTGGCCTAGGAATTGTTGTAGAAGTTCGTTGGCAACCAGTGTGCATGCACTTTATGTTGAAACGCTCAATAATTTGCTGAGTTCAGCAGACCTTCAAATGAATACCGTAATCCGTCCATACACGGCCAAATTATTCAGGTCACCCCGGGATCATCCTCGGTTTTTAAAGTGTACATATATCCATGAAATTCTACTGTAAATCCATCATGGTATGACCGCTGCATAATCGAATGATCAGGGTAAAGTAGTATGGCCCTGATTCTCAGCAAGTCGTCGGGGTAACTACACACTGACTCCGCACAGAATTCCCAGACAGGGTCATGCCCTAACGATAACGGAAAGAAACCAAGCACACGCAAGGGAATCATTCAATCGTCTTCATCATTGTCACCGAACCCCGGACCAACTCCTTTGGATAGCCAATAAGACCTTCGTCTACTCATCCTGCTTTTTTTATCGTCTCTATCCAAAAACTCCCCCTCCTCTAGGCCGTATTCCTCGACCTCCGCCCGCAGATCATCGTCCTCAGAGTCGCCGTTGAACTCTTTCTCCTCCTCCTCCTCCTCCTCCTCCTCCTCCTCCTCCTCTTCTTCTTCTTCTTCATCATCATCATCTGTAGTGAACACCGTCCGCGTGTCTTCTTTCCAGCTTCCGTTTTTTTGTCGCTTCCGTTGCCGTTCACTGATGCCATACCTCCCTTCGTCTTCTTCCTCCCCTTCTTCATCCTCCTCTTCTTGCCTTCGACTACCATGAACACCGTTTTGCACCTCTACCGCCACTTCTTCGGAGCGCTCTGCATCGGCCTCTTTCCATGCTTCCTTGACGCTCTTCGCTCCTCGTGCTGATTGGGAATTTGGTTTTGATGATGTTTTTGATACCTGGGGTCCGTCGATAGAGACATCAGTATATTCTGAAGCTCGTGGTATCACGCCCAGTAACCGATGTAGTACCATCTCATCATAAACTTCTTGCAGGAGAAGGCGATGGTTGATTGTCTACATAAATTTTGTCCTTTAGCATGTTTAAACATTGATTCGTACTTGTTTTAGTCCTTACCTCCTGCGTAACGCCCAAGATACTTGATAATATACTCATATCTTCTGGATAATGGTTATTCCGTAAGGAGTATGAGCGTCCTTCCCTACGGGAACCGAGAATACCAGCTCGAAGAAATGATGTACTCGTCATTATTCCGTGAGCTCCCGCCAACGTCTGCCGAACCTTAGCGATACCGAATGAGCCCTTCGATATGTCATTTGCTAAATTCGACGACAATTAACCTTGCAAGATACAAAACTGGAAGATACTCACAAGGTTCAGTAGGGTCTTCAATCGATAATAAGTTTGTTTTATAGAAATCGTACCATCCTCTTTGCCTCTTATTGAAATATGTCCCTCCCTTCCTAACCGAAATCCCTACCTCCTCGTAGTTGAAATAACATCCATAGAGCTCGAAGAACTCCATCACCAGAACTCCCAAGTTCTTCTCCGCGTCGATTTCACCGCTACGTATTTTCGGATGCATCTGTAAAAAGCTAATTGCGAGACACACTATGCTGTAACTTCCCAAGCCCCCTGTATAAACCTCATTCATACCACGTTGATTCAAAAATGCTTTCGTGATCATCACAAGACTCCGCAATGCAAAACCGCAGCCATGCATGTCTTTGAGAAAACCATTGACAATCTTCCCAGCGATGACACCGTTGCCTTGATTGATGCTGATATCAACATTAAGTCTGCCATGGTTGGTGACGAATTTGACAATGGGCACTTTGGCTTTGGCAATGATAGTAACTTTGGAAGTTATTTTTGCGCGTTTTAGGGTGTTGGCAAGGGCATGGAGAACAGTAACTTTGTTGCTGTAGGCCATAGACTCGGATTGAATCACTAAATCAATATCACTGGCACGAAGTAGTAAGCATGCAGATATTGATATTCTGTTACAATACATACCCATCTGGAAGATAGAGTTTGGTTTCATAGCTGCCGAAAGGTAGCACTTGTGCGTCTGGAAATGCAGAAGAAACAGCCTTTGTGACTAGACTGATCACTAGCCCACGGATTTCGTCTTCCACAGGCGAGGGTGACATGTAGTTGACAAATGCTTCAACTTCACGGTGCAACCTGATACATGTATTAGCACTCGGACCAATGTATTTCACAGGGAGCACTTATGAATACAGACGTACATCTCTGGCACATTATTGCATTTGTCCCAATTTATGGAAGAAATCCAAGGGGCGCTCCGCGAAGCTGCAGGAGGCTCCATTCTCCGCCGTCTATAACGCCAATCGTCCTCTTCGTCAGAGATGGCATCGTGTTTGCGTTTCCCTCCAGTAGAATGACGACCTCCATCCCTGTCGTGCTCTCTAGATTTACCTTTGTCCCATTCTCGAACGGAAGCACGAGAGCGCGAGTGATCGTCTCTGTGAGACATTTCCTCGTCAGAAGCGGAAGCATCACTCAGGATGAATGGTATGAAATCATCCCCAAGCTCGCCATTGGCCGGGGGGTTAATGTTCAGTAGGTTTCCAACCTTTTCCTTTTCTTTCTGTTTTCCCTTTCCTCCCTCCTTGGACCTATCTTTTGTCTCCTTTTCCTTCTCATCGCGTCTATGTGACGATCCTGTTTCGTGGTTGCTCTTCGGTTTCTTATCCCTCTCCCGCTGTCTTCGTGCTCGCCTACTGTTATCCGTGGAATTGCGAGGCCCACTTGGTGGTTTTGAGGGAAGTGTATCCATATGACGGGACTAGATTTGTGAGTGCGCCAGCGGCACACCACTTACAACGTATTGAGTATGGTTGAGTGCATACTGACTGACCCGTTTCACACGATTTGCAATCGGGATTCGGACTTGTCGAATACGCCACTATGCTTGACCACACTTCGCAGTCAGGAAAATTTTAGTGTACCAAAATGTGCATACTGAAATTGATTATTCACATTGATAATTTGGCCGTCTAAAATATATCATTTCACCTGGACTTAAAACTACATTGAGGATAACGAATTTTGATGAACATTTTAATCATCATATAATTATAGGGGAGATCGGCATCTCTAATTTACCTGTTACAAAAAAGATAATATTAGTTATTTCACTGAACATTTAATGGGTTTCTGAATTGATTATTTTGAGGGGCATAAAACATTGTCTTACATATGAAATGTAGAAATTATATTACGTAAGCAAACTTCGGAGCTTCGCCCGAAGATTTACTCTGTGATTATAACCGGCTTTTTGTGGCCACCCACCATTGTTCTTTCACATGATATTTACATATGTTTGTTATATAAGAAGCATGTATTTATGTTGTTACGGCATTCCTTTGCCAAAGGAATCCTTCTCCCGCCTTTTCCTGCGCCCTGAGGGACCAAATATCCAACATGAAATTCCTGGACCCAGAGGTTCCAGGTTTCTATTTCAACACTTCTTATGACTTGATTGATAACACCTTTTCATTCTCGTTTCCTTTGCTTTCCATTCCTCTGTGCATGGGCAATCAGCAAGCTTACCCATCTGCTCCAATAATTGGAAATAGTGGCATGCGTGGTAGCAGACAGAGCCAGATCCTGACATACAATTTTTGGAGCACCTACAACTAAGTGCAGCAGAAACTGTTATATCCATGCCACAGGCTATGGTTTCTGGACCTCTGAACAGTCAGAAACCCTCAAGTGTTACAACCAAAGTTTGTAGATTCTGGCACACAATGAAGACAGGCAAAGAGGGTGAGTGGAGGAGTGGATATACCCCTTAGGACAGGACTGAGTTAGTTGAGAGTAATCAACAAGAGGACTCACTGAGGAGTCTCCTTGATGTATTTGGGTATATATACCGGCTGTGGAATAAAATTTGTGAACAGCATCACAGGAATTGTCCGGATGGGCTTCTGGTTCCCATGCTGTCCTCGTCTCCATAACCCTTCCAGAGGACTAGGATTTCTAATTTTCCACACTTCAAGCATGCATCTACCACCTGTTCAACTTCAAACTCTTCCTCACCTTCCTGGGTGACTACAACCGGTCCAGGCTGGTCTACGCACTGTCCCAGCAGCGGCCCTTTGTAAGGTTTTACACAGCTAATGTTAATTGTGGGTACTACCCTCATTTGTTTTGGGAGTTCCAGCTCCACTGCGTTGGGTTTGACTTCCTTAATCCGGTAAGGGCCAATCCACTTTTTGGTCAGTTTTCTAGACTGCCAATCTTTTAATTTCAAGTGGCCGGTATCTAACCAGACCAGGTCGCCAACCTTGTAATCAGGGGCTTAGAGTGTAACAACCAAGAGTTATTTACTCTGGCGCACACAGGAACACACTATAAAGAAGATGATGGGGAGTGGTTACCCCTTAGGCTGCAGTGAGTTAGTTGTGCTAGACAACAGGGGGACTCACTGAGTCCTTCCCCATGTATTGCTCTTGTATATATACTAAAATACATGAGGTACTGTACAGTTGTAAATAAAGTTCAAAGTCCGATGTCTAGCATGTGACCGGTCATATGATGAGTCTAGACACTGGTCAGGTGATGTGTCACATGACTGGTCATGTGACTTGGAAAATAAAAGTAGAAGTACAAAAGTGAAGCGTAAGTAGGTGCTGGTATGTTAATTGTAACATAGAGTGTCTACACTCTGCCCTGTCTTTCATCTGCTCTGCAGTTTTGAATAGCACCTTGTGTGTTTCATCTAAGACAGACTTCATATCTTTGACTGAGTTCCCTGCAGCCTCGTTTTGCTTTTTCCAGGTTCTACACCCATCCTGGGGAGGTACGACCTTATAACCTCAAATGGTGCCTTTCCTGTAGCTGACGACTGTTTGATATTGTAAGAGAACTGGGCTATCTTTAGCCACTTGTCCCAATCTGTCTGCCTATTGTTGATAAATATCTGGAGATACCATTTTAGCTCCTGGTTGAGTTTCTCTGTTTGTCCATCTGTTTGCGGATGGAACACTGTTGATAACTTAGGTTTGATGCCCAGCATCTGGAATAGTTCTTTCATAAATTTTCTAGTGAATTGAGGTCCCCTATCGGAGATAACTGTTTCTGGTAACCCGTGGATAGACCATACAAAGTCTTTAAATAAGTCTGCTGTACCAGTAGCTGTAATAGTTTTATTGATGGGAATGAATACCATACCTTTGGAGAAGCAATCTACAACCACCATTACTGAATCATATCCATTTGATTTGGGCAGATCCATCCTGAAGTCAACCAATATATTGTGCCAGGGACCAGCTGGTATTGGATTTGGCATAAATTTACTAGCCAGTGGTTGATGAGAGTTCTTTGCCATGGCACAGCAAAGACAACACTTTATGTATTCCTGTATGTCTTTGACCATGGCTGGCCACATGTAGTTACAGGAGATCAACTCCATGGTTCATTGCCACCCAGGGTACCCAGCTACTGGAGTGTCATAATGTCTATCTATTGCCTTGATCTTTGTGGACTCAGGCACATAGATTTTGTCTTTGTAATGGAAGAGCCTGTCTTCCCATAAATAATGTTCATTGCCATCAAGGCCTGCCTTTTCTTCTGATGAGATGTTTTCCTAAAGACATCTAGCAGATTGTGATCCTGCCTGATTCAAACATTGTTACGATAACACATTTTCGGACTTTCCCTTTACTTTTATTCTCCGCCTTAACCTCGTACCTTTAGCCTTTACACAGGGTGCCACGCGGCATTTCCCTTTCTCGCGCCACGTTGCCTTTCTTCTTATTTTAGACACAACTCTCTCACACAGTGGAGCTGGCCATGCGGGCTAGGCCCCATGACATCATCAGCCACTGTCTCTATCGACTGTATAGTACATATGTACAAACAAACCTGTAGTAGTATATATACCCCAATAGATCCAGGAGACTCCTCAGCGAGTCCTCCTGTTGTTAACCAACAAACTCTCTGCAGCCTGAGGGGTAACCACTCCCTCATCATCTTCCTTATAGTGTGTTTCTGTGTGCGCCAGAGTAACTAACTCTTGGTTGTTACAAACATTGGCTACCCTGGATTGATCTATCAGGGTGACTGTTACGAACTGTACTTAAGCATAGACTTTATTTCCCTTCACAAGTAGCTACACTCCGCTACCTACATATACCTTCCCACACACATTGCCTATTCCGGTATCACCCGTCCTCGTTTGTTCAACACAAATGCCTACCCTAAAGTAGACACTATATATACAGACCTGTATCGTAGTTACTATCTCCAATACAATTATACACTTCAACAGTGTAACTTGGTATTCATCAGTTAAAACCCTCATCATCAGAATACTTCTCAAACTCGTCCATGACGAGCTTATCAGAAACCACTTGCATATCAGAAACCCAGTGTTACCAGGCTTGCACATCCCAAGTGTAACAGTGACACCTTTGTTGTTATCTTTGATGCTGTTGGCATGATCCTCTCTTCTAGATAAAGCATCTGCTTTTCCCATAGAAGTCCCAGGCTTATGAATTAATTTATAATTAGACCTAGACAAGTATCTAAAACGAAGGGGACGGTGATTCCAAAAGTTGCGTGAGGGGCATGTGGGAGCACATTTTTTCGCTTAGTTTTGCTCGCGTTGTCAATGATAAGAACTGTTGTTAGAAAACCACACACAATACTCCCAGATTCCATGGAACTTGTTTATGGGCTTTGCCTCCTAGAACAGTGGGTGCTCTGGTTGTTTGTGGGGTGGTATGTATAATGATCCTTCAAAGTAAAACCCAGAGATGTATGGGTGTGGGTTTTGAGGAGGAGGGATAGTTGAACTAGAGAAGATAGGGGCTTTATGATGAGTATAGACGAGCGCTACCTTGCTAATTATAGCACAAGATAGGTTTGAGAACGACGAGATGACGAGGTGACAAGGTTCCCAGTGATAGCAGGCTCCTGACGCGCAAACTGTAATGCTCAGAAGGACTCTAATCGAAAGGGATGATAATGACTTTCAAAAGTGACGAGTGATGATGACAGCAGTTAACAGTGGTAGCAGTGGGAAGTGTTGTGACCACACTGGATCACAAGTAGCAGAGTAGTGAACTTGAGATTAGAGAAGAAGTCTGGATTGGATTTCTTGTTGTTTTTTTTTACAAGGTAAAATACAGGGGTTTATATAGTAAAAGAAAAGTAGGCTATGCACAGTATAGCTGTGCAAAAAGAATGAGAAAGAACATGAAGGAAGGAATGTACACTGATGAATCCTGCATAGGTAGTACAGGATAAGATCGTCAAAATAAGGAAAAGAAGGAGATAGAACAATGAATGCTGTGTAAGTAATGTTACAGGTTTGTACAGCCATAAAATAAAGTCCAATAGCAGAAAGAGAGGAAGAAAATCATGAAGTCATGGGAAGATGCAGTAAAAAAAGGGTAAAGCAAAACAATATCAGTATCAACACAGTTCCTTTATTGTCAGTCAGGCATCCTAAAAAATATGTGTCCATGAAAATGATTCAAAGATCAAAATTAATTGCACTGTAAATGAATGTTCTGCTGAAAAAAAAGAAACTGGAGCTACTGGTCCACCACCTAGTCCAAATCCGACGGTTCCATGGCCTTACAAATGGACTGGTTATATTGGACCACCTGGTCAAATGAGGGAGGGAGGGGAGTAGTTCCAATTTAGAACAAGTGAGTCCCAGGCAGCGTGTGGTAGGTGTAGCTGTAGCGAAGATGATGGATAAAAGATAAGTGTACCCAAGTGAATGGGACAGCAATGTACTTAGGCAATGCAAGGGGATGAACCTTCTCCAGCTCAAAAATTACCCACCCACGCTCCAACCAGGTGAGATGAGCGACCAATGACTTGATGGTATATGATGGAAGATTGACGTCATGAAGATGAACCTGTTGCCCAATTTGGACCAGTCGCCGGGGCTTTGCTGATATCAGCAGTGGCACGTGGTGGTTGACGGATCGGACACAGAAGCGAATGGAGAGTGGTGACATCAGGTATGGTGGGGGAGCAAAGAAGGTAAGTAGGAGGAGGGTGGAGGTGACGAGGAGGTGAACTAGAATGGGGATCCAGAAGCAACCGTCAGGTGAGAATAAAAAAGAGAGCAAGGGTCCCATGGTGGGGCCGAGTAAAGAAAAAAATAAGGGAGAACAACAAAAGCAAGGGCGCAATGTGTAGCCAGTGGCGACGCGAAAATTTGCCAAAATGCTGAAATGCTGAAAGTACTGAATGGAAAAGCAAAGGTGAGCGCGACTTGATTGCCTAATAGAGATAGTGTTGATCAGCCACAAGTTCGAAAAAGGCAATATTAATTACTATTCCACATGGCACTGTGCCTGTGTGGCGCAAAGGCGAGTCTTTTTGAATATTCACTTCATTTTTGACACCTGTCCATGCTACCAATCAACTTTGGTGCATGACAGCATGCTTTTTTGTGGCACCACGGGTGTGGAAGGTGTTAGTTTTGGTGATTCTGCACCTAGTTGTGCTATCTATTTTCCCTTCTTTCTAAATCACTTTCCTCTTTATTCTTTTTGCTCTATTGTTCAGTATTCACTGAGCATTCTATAATTTTGCCTTTGTGGCTGATTTGTTTACCTTTGTTTACATAACTTCGGACTAATATTGCAGAGTCCAGTATTCCTATTCTTTAGTTACTCATACTGGACTCTAGGTACTGTACACATTCTGTACTCTCTGATAATAAAGTTACTCATACTGGACTCTAGTTCTGTCCCTGTTAGCTCTCAGCAAGTGGCTAGACACTTCCCAGAAGTTCTCAATTGAACAGAAGGTGCCACAGGCACCTGACAGTTGCAGCAAAGCTGTGATGAGTGCAACTTGTACCACATAGTGGGCCTGTCTTCCATTCAAGTCCCTGTCAGGCAACAAATATGAAGCTATATAACAATAACCAATGTCTGGCCAAGTCCTTGAAGAAAGGCGGTGGATCAGAGTATAGAGACTGAAGAGTATCTGTATAGGCGGCAAATCCAAACTAATATTGAACTAAGGAATAATACATTGAGTATATACTCCTTATATAATGAATTGTGAAGGTCAGTCCGAAAGGAATAAAGAAATCAAGAATGGTCTGACTAGCAGTTAACTAATAAGAAAAAGGGGAGAATGGTACGGTCTATCATACAGTAATTACTAATTGTGTGACAGAAAGCCTTAGTAAGAGATGTACAATTGGCTGGATCAGTAAACCCATGAGAAGGTACTGAGTCACAGCCTACATTGCTGATTAATCTCCCACTGAAGTATTTCCGGACATAGCCTTTGACCAATGCTACATCATTGGGATATCTTCTTGAGGGTTGGAGAGGAGTCTCCTACATTGTAAGTATGATAGGACGTGAGTGTGAAGAGAAAATAAGAAGAAGAAAGATAAAAGTAATAGAATAATGGGAATGCAATAGAAAAACCGACCCCCCACAGTCCCGGGCCATCATAAAATACTACAGATTTCAAATTGGTGCCTAGCACCTTCTAAATAGTGCTGCCAGTGCTCTAGTGCTCTAATAATGGCCAGCATCTCTTTGTCATAAATTTGAGAGTTCCATTTTGTATGTGACAAACTATGCAATAAATAGGCACAAGGCCTCCAAAGATTGTCGGGGCATTTGATTGATAGAACAGCCCCAGTAGTGAAATCAGAAGAGTCAATTTCTAGCTGGAACTCTCTTTGTCTAATTTTGGAAGTGCTAGTATGGGCATGGTTTTAAATGCCTGTTTAAGCTTGTCAAAAGCTTCTTGTTCTTTGGCACCCCAATGCCAAATAATGTCTTTTTTTGTGAGATCATTCAATGGTCTGGTTATTTTTGCAAAGTTTTTAACAAATCTTTGGTAGAAGTTGCCTAAGTCAAGAAAGATCCTAACTCCTTTGACACAAGTATGTTCTAGCCAATTATCATACCAAGAAAGTCTACTTCCTTCATTTTAAAATTACATTTTTCAGGTTTGACAAATAGGTCCCATTCCTGTAAGCATTGAAGGACTTCTTGCACGATCCTGTTATGCTCAGTGTCATTGTCCAACTTCATAAATATTAATAAATTGTCAATGTAAATGACGACACAGTTTTCCATATCTGCAAAGATTTCATCCATCATGCTCTGGAAGGTCGCCGGTGAATCGGTCAACCCAAGAAATATGACAAGGGGTTTGTGTCAGGCAATGAATACAAAGCTATATAACAATGACAAATGTCTGGCCAAGTCCTTGTAGAAGGCAGTGGATCAGAGCATTGAGGTTAAAGAGTATCAGTATAAATGCAAATCCAAACTAATATTGAACTAAGGAATAATACATCAAATATCTACTCCTTATATAGTGAATAGTAAGGGTCAGATCTGTGAGGCAACATTAAACTATAACAAAAACAATGCCTGCCTCCGACTGCACTTGCGGGGAGTAAGAGGTATAATGAGGTCAACAGATGCTAGAGATTATAGCAAGTAGAGGACTGAGAGTAAACTCAAGGGTTTCTGATGAGGAGTAAAGCAGGTTATTCAAGTAATAAAAAGCTAAAAAACTATACACTAGTATATAGGGTTTTTATAGCTAATTGTCTATTTCTCAGACCAAAAGAGGAACAATAAAAAGGTGGTCTGAGGATGAAATTGACCAATAAGAAAAAGAACAACTATCATACGACTTCAAAGATTAATCAGCAGGTGAGAAAATATACTAATAATAGGTAGTGTCATGCATGTTCAGGAACTGTATCCTTGTGATGAGGTACAATCCTGACTGAAGTGTTTATTAATATATCCAGGCACTGATGGGACTTGGAGCTGGTTGGCGAGATCTCAGCTACTAGTCCTTACCCATTGTGCTGGCTGGCTGGGAGTGCTACCCAGTCTCTGATCTGCCCTAAATCCAGAGGTGTAATGGGAAAAGCGTCTGAAAACCAAGACATGGAATGAAACGGTAGGGGAAAGTGAATGGTCCTTACAAGATCAAAGAGAGAAAGAATAAGAAAGTGGTCTGACAAAACAACTAGCCAATAGTAAAAAAGAGAAGAAATAGTATGATCTACCATAATTACTAATAATGTGAGAAAGATCTTTAGTAAGGGATGTACAATTGGCTGGATCAGTGACCCCATGAGAAGGCACTGAGTCACGGTCTGTATTGCTGATTAATTTCTCACTGAAGTATTCCTGAGCACAGCTCTTGATCAGAGTTATGCCATTGGGATTGACAAATCATGACATTTGTTTATAGTATGAGAAAACATGCATTGGCCAGGGCTTAAACCTGGGACTCCAGCTTTCATGGTCTGATGCTTTACCAACTAAGCTACCAAGGCGTACTTGGAAAGCATACTGATTGGTTGCATGCCCAGAAGGTCCAGAATCACTGTACACGGGTGCGGATCCCATTGTGTTGTGATAATATCTTCTCAGGAATGGGAGAAGAGTCTCCTACGTTGTAAGTATGATAGAACATGGGTGTGAAAGGAAAATAAGAAAAAGAAAGATAGAAGTGAAAGAGTACCAGCCATAACTTCTAGCCAGATAGCAAGAGGAGTGACAGGGAAGGAGTTGGATAACCATGACATGGTGGGAATGCAATGGAGAAATTGATTCCTTACATGCTATTGCTTTTTCCACACTGTTATTCCCATATGAAATATAGTTACATGTCAAAGACCAAAGCACCCATGTCCATCAAGGAAGAAGAGGGTGCTATTGAAACCTTGTCTTCTTCTTCTTCTATTTGCATCTTCAATACCCCAACTCACTGCCCAATTAGGACAAAGCCAGTCTCACAACCACCCATTTTTATTCAACTTTCTGATGACAACATTATCCTTCAACACTGCACACACACACTTCTCAGAAGTAGGTCCATCCAATGGACCCTTCAAAAATCTGTGGTAAAATGGTTATGAACTCTCATTCCCAGTATTTTAGATAGCTTTACAATCTTTTTTTTTGAATAATACTCCCTCATTCTTTTCATTTCACTCCTTACACTCTTTTTGATTACATTTGTTTACTTATTTTCTAGTTCCTATTTTCCCATAGCTTAAATTAATACAACAAGTCCTGCATGAGTGAGCATGTGTGCACACGGTTTTATGGTCTATGTGTGAGACTTATGTCTGTGTCGCACAAGGCAACCGTGTGGACTTTTCGTGCAAATCCAGTGTCATAGTGCCTGGTAATATGCATCAGAATTTCAAGCGAGCACATAAATTCTTCGGAAAAAATGAAAATTTGTTGTAACATAATCCTTTTAGTAAGCGCAGCTTCAGACGCTCACCAATGGTCACTTTCACGTTTTCCAGGCGCCTGAAATATTCTCAGCGCTTACTTCGAACGCTGCCAATGCCATTACCTCGTTTACATCCAAGCGATAGGGGGTCAGATTCAAATGAATTCAAGGAAAGTGCGTGTGTTCGTCAGCCACAAGCGTATGATAAGGATGCCACTCCCGTTCTAGCGCGCATAAAGCATATCAAGCCCGACGTATATAGATGCAGTGTGAAAGCAAGATGAGGACTACGCGTCCTATTTTTAAAAGCTCCGGTGTAGGTACGCATGAAGAAATGTTAGTACACATGTTGAATTTATCAAACCAAAAAAACTGCCTTCAGAATAGGATCTCGTGAATGAAAAAAACTCCCCGCGCTGGTAATGTACAACGTCGAAAGCGATAGGTGGTTCTCTCACTGGCACGTTTATGATTTTATCCTCAGGGAGGGGTGCAGGATCTGCTCGTGCAGAGCTTTACCAGCAGGGACCTGACGAAATAAGGGGTTAGCAGTCGATCACTAACGCAAGAAGTGATAGTTATCTACCATAGGGAACACGTGTTCGTTCCTCTCCACCACACACTCCATCAGAATGGGTCTCGACCCATCATACTCGAGAAATTCTTTCATCTTGGCAGGCAACTCAGCCACATTGCTGCACCGGATGGCATGAACGCCCATAGATTTGGCGAGCAAGACGAAGTCAGGGTTTGTCATCTTCGTGTGCGAGTACCTCGCATCGTAAAATAGGTCTGATGGAGCAGCTTAGTTATGATGCAAGGTTCAAGAAATCACAATTCAGCCAACCTTGCCACTGAAGAACCATCCCTTGGAACTCGTTGTTCAACACAAGAACCTTGACACCGATATTGTATTGAGAAGCGGTGGCAAGTTCCATCGCGGTCATACTGAACGAAGCATCGCCGTCAATGTCAACGACAGTCTTCTGTGGAGCAGCGACTTTGGCACCAATAGCTGATGGAAGCCCGAAGCCCATCGTCTACAAAACGTATCAGTCAACTATACTGATCAGGTAATGCGATGAGTAGTAAAACATACACCCAGACCACCAGAAGTCACCATCGATCGGGGGTACTTCCATCTGAAATGCTGTGCGGCCCACATCTGGTGCTGTCCTACACCAGTAGTGATTACGATGTCCTCTTTCCGGTGAGCAGTCTGCTTATCAAGCTCCTCGATCACCTCCTGTGGCTTTATACGCGCATCCGACTGGGACGAGCTCTTCACATAAGTGAAAGGATACTTCTGCTTCCATTCCTTGATATCTGTAAACCACTGTGCGCGTGGGGCCGAACGAATCATAGGAACGAGAGCAGCCATGTTCGAAACGACATCTCCCAAGATAGGTATCTGAGCATCGACAACTTTGTTGATATTCTTCGGCTGAATCTCGAAATGAATGATACCACCGCGACCTTGCGCAGCTGCAGCACGCGCAGCGGGGGCAAATGTCGAGACTTTGCCAGTCACACGATCATCAAATCGACCACCGAGAGCGATGATCACGTCGGCCTGCTGCATTGCAAGGTTGGCGTAAGCGCTACCGTGCATACCCAACATGTGCAAGCTCTTCTCATTCGTTTCGTCGAAAGCACCGAGACCTTGGAGGGTCGTCGTTACCGGGATGTTACCCTGCTCAGAAAGCTGAGCAAGGAGCTGAGGGCCCAGCGGTGACGAAAGGACACCGTTGCCGGCATAGATAATAGGACGCTGTGCTTGATTTATGAGATCGGCAGCTTGTTTGATAAGCATGACATCAGTAGGTGGCTGCAGGGGCTGCAGAGGGTTAGTAGGGAGATTCTGCGAGCCAGGTGTCGTAGCCCTGAATGGCAAGGGGGTACGTAAGATACCAGCTGTAACATCTTTGGGCAGGTCGACGAGTACGGGTCCTGGACGACCGGAAGTGGCGATTTTAAACGCTTCATTGATACGCCGAGGAAGCTCAGAAATATCTTTTACCATAACATTCCATTTCGTGCAACTCCGTGATATACCGACGATGTCGGCTTCTTGGAAGGCATCTGATCCGATAGCAGAAGTGGCTACCTGTCCACAAAAGACAACCAGGGGAACACCGTCGCTCAGGGCGTCTTGCATGGGCGTCACGACGTTCGTCGCACCTGGCCCTGAAGTGACGAGAACGACTCCTGGCTTTCCGGATACACGGGCATATCCCTCGGCCATGTGACCAGCACCCTGCTCATGGCGAGGAAGGACAAAGTCGAAGTGGGTGGAGTTGTAGATGGCATCGAAGACGGGGAGAATTGCGCCTCCTGGGTATCCAAACACATGCTTCACACCATGTCGAAGCATCATCTCGTGAAATATCTGGCCACCTGACATGCCCACGAAAGAATGATCCAAGGGTCCATTGCCTACAGTTTCAAGAGATGGCGGTGGAAATGGAACGTTGTTTGGCGTAGGCAGTTGTTGGAAGCCTGGAGCGGGGGATGGTCGGCTAAAATACATGGCTCATTTAGAACACCAGTTTAACTAGAAAAACATGATTGAAGCCCTGGAACATACATCGATGGTGCTGGAATAGCTTCACGGGCTGTCGAGCGGCTGATGTTGCGAGCATGCTCCCTCACCCTTGACTTTGCATCGACGATGGACGAGCTGGCTACAGTCGACCTTGAGCGAGTGAAGGACGTGGCCGACGTGGACTTTTGGGCGCTACGAATGCGCAGGGTTGCAGGGAGCGACATGGTCGTCGTCGGGAACAGCGACGAAGGTGTTTTTGGATGGAAGCGAAAGAAAAAATAAAAACAAATCTGCTTTTCAAAGCTTTGGAGTAAATTTCGTGACTCACTCGGACTCAGTGATCCTAACTCCGGCCGAACAAATCCGATGGGGTTCAGCTTCGGATTCGGACTTTAATTCGTGCAGTTCTTCAGCTGAGAATGGTTGCTGGAAATACATTTAGCTGAAAGAAGAGTTCTGTGCTACTTGTGGTACATGATACACGATGTGCAAGGGATATGCTATACAGACAGCGAGATATACGATAATTATAAAGAGACGTGCTATAACGTGAACTCGAACCGTTCCAGATGAGCGGTGGCGATACTACTAAAGCTCTGCCCCATGGGCTTCCTTCAAACAAAAGGGGTCTAATTCTGTACGCAGACAAGTGCTCGCCTGTGGCTGAACAACGATCACGCGATACTGGTGAGTATCTGAAGGGTTGGGCCAAGGGGTGAGATGGTGAAAGGGTAGCAATCTGGGAACACAGCTCACATGATTATAAGGCTCGTTCGTTAGCGGCTCGTAAAATATGGGGTCAGTCTGTAAGGTATTGGTGGTGATCGATTTGGAGGATCATGTATATCCTCCTGCGACGACCTGTCGCGAACGGCAACGGGTTCAAGCTGTGCGGACATTCAACACTATGAAGCAAGTCTGGCGACTTGATATGGACTAACCACGGTAAGGTCCTCGATTTGTATTGGACGAGGCTTGTGTTTTGATCGACGTGATGACCTCTTCTTGTGTGTAGAACGTGCCTCTTCTAAATCCTTATACAAAAGGCGTTCTCGTGATTTTGCTCGATTGCGTACTGAGACGGCGACAAGAGTGATTATAGCAGCCAGGACAACGATGACTTGATATGGATGTATAAGAAGGCGGCTTTGATAGGAAATAAAATTACTGACCGAAAGCGATGAAGAGGGCGATTTGCCATATATCATCTGACTGAATCTCTGAAGAGCTGAGAAGCCACAAGAAGAGGAATGAGAAAAAGGAAGAGGCATAACCAAGAAAACGGACTCATTGTCAAATATGCTACCCATATTAATAATCGTCAGGTGGGGTGGCGACAAGACTGAGCGGGCAGCGTTGGAGAGAGACGTATGTTGCCCCGAGTGGAAGGAGAGAAGCAACTGGGGGCTAGAAAGGCAGGTTGCTTGTATTAGTACGTGGTTGAAGCGAGATCGGCGGCAGAGGCAGGATATCTCGTCTGCGGTTTATTATATTAAGCTTGCAGCCAGCGCCAAGAGGAAGAAAAACGTTCGGTCTTGGACAGAGTGCCAAGAAAAGGCTGGAAATGGTGGCAGATTGATGGCTGGAACACTGGTATACGTACACGGCATATCAGAACAGCGCTGGAATGCATGGCGCCAGGCATAGATGGTGACTGAGACAAGACAAGAAAGCCTGCCAGCAGCAGACATCGCCTGGCACGGTGACTGGAGCAGCAACAGACGGTCTTGGGTCATCCCGGCTCGACCCGCACAGGCTGCCATGATCGGTGTCCAGACGCTTATGTAAGGGCCAGATCGCCTTTCCCTCCACCATGCAGACAGCAGCAGCTTCATTCGTCAGACAAGGCAGAAAGGTATCTCTTTCCTGTACACACTGCCTTCCAGGCCCTCACAAGATCATCACCAGATCGTCGCCATAGGCAGAAACTACTCAGAACATATAAAGGAACTCAACAATGCAACCCCAAACCAACCTTTCTTTTTCCTCAAGCCTACCACCAGCTATCTCACTTCAGGAGGCAAGGTAGAGATACCAAGCGGCATCATCGCCCACCACGAAGGTCCTTGGCGTTCGCCTCCCTCCACCTCCCAAACACTCTAACCTCACGTCTTCTAGTCGAACTCGGTCTCATCATCGGAAAGAACGGTCGCGACATTTCCCAGGCAGATGCCGAGTCTCACATTGCAGGCTATGGTACGTGTTTCATTCCCAAACTGGTGCATTCCTGTATTCACGAGTGCCAATCTCATCTTGGTCTCTTCACATCTCCAGCCTTGGCTGTGGATATGACCGCTAGGAACTTGCAGGACGAGGTCAAGAAAAAAGGTCTCCCTTGGTCCGCTGCCAAGGGTTTCGACACCTTCACCCCAATCGGGTATGTCCACACCGTAACCACACACCACACAGTTCTCTCACCTCATTCATTACGTCTCAGCTCTTTCATACCCAAGTCCTCAGTTCCTGATGCCCACAACCTGAATCTCTCGCTAAAGGTGCGTACCCCGTCATCCCGTCATCGCAACCCCTGGCATCTTATCCTCCCCTCAATACCCAGATCAATGGCTCATTCAAGCAAAATGGAACCACCGCTGACATGATATTCCGGATCCCACGGTTAATCGAGCATGTTTCGTCTATTATGGCGCTTGAGGTTCGTCTTAGCCGTCTTGGTGTTTGTGCTGCCGCTAACGATCCGATGAACATGTCAGGAGGGTGACATCATCCTCACCGGAACACCTTCTGGTGTTGGCCCAATTTCGCCCGGTGACAGTATTGAGTGCGAGTTGGCCGATCCTTCGTCCGGTAAAGTGCTAGATACACTCACCTTCTCAGCCGAAACAAGGCAAGGAGGATATCATTTCCAACCTGCTTAGCATTCCCACCGAGTGTCACTTGGAGGGTGCCTGTTTCTACCCATGAAATTACTTCGGCGACCTTACACAGATAACCCTATTCCGTACTTTTGTGGTTGCTCTTCAGTAGTCTTAGATACCTCTCCCACACTCAAGCAATCTATCTCGCCAACCAGCGTGATGACATTAAAGTGACAATGAGGATATGTACATTCGTGTACAGATATAAACATCAATTTGTCCCTGTAACTACTTGTACAGTTGCCGGGACTTTTGGTTTTACAATATTACGACGGCCTCTTATCTTCAAGTCTCAAACTTTCTAGACGATCCTTTTTGGTACCCTCCACTCGAGGGCTGGCAGAACCTTCTGATCCCGCATCGTCGGACCCACTGGTCAAAGTCCAGCTTCCAGCGGTGGGCGTTAGCTCTCCATCTTGCGCTGAATGGAAATCTCCAAAGTCTCCAAAGCTATCGAACGAACTGTCCTCCATGTCTTCGGAAAACGACGAAGAGAAGGTGAATGGATCCGAACCATTTGCGGCAGCTGAATCAGAGAAAGGACCAAAGTTATCCTCCTGTTTACAACCCTCAGCCTCAGTATTCACGTTTGTAGAAGAAGGTAACTACGTACGTCACCGATCCCAAATGGGTCGTCAGATAATGCACCATTAAGGGAGGAGCTACTACCGGAGTTATAAGTATCCTGTAAAGGTCATGTCAAATGATTAATCGGGCTCCCGATTAAATCTCTCCTTACATCGAAGGCGCTACTAAGTTGCATCTGTCCCTCAGATTGATGCCGAGAAGGAAGAGGGGGATTGCCAAGGTCAAAGGTCGAGTGGGCCAGCCATCCCCCATCTTCTTCTTCCTCATCAGAGGAAGAACCGAAGTGTTCCGATGATTGTATCTCCTGTGCGAGATATCGCGCGAACTGCATGATGACAATAAAACCTGATGAACGCCACCCGTGATGAAACGGACAAACAACCTACCTGCGGAGGACCTACAGTATCATGCTCCTCAGAATCAGCCTCAATCGACGCAGGCCCAAAGTCTGCGCTCGTCTCGCGCATTGGACGTAAACCAACAGCTCTTCTGAACTCGCCCTTGGCTTCTGGGGTTCCGAGAATACTCCCATTTCCTTGACCAGGGGCGGTAGTCGCCGCTGTAGAATTATCTTCTTCGTCGACTTTCCAGCGGGCTCCATTCCGTGCAGCCCCAGCACCAACGGCCGGCTTTCCGCCCCCCAAAAGACTGGTATCACGCTTCTTAGTCTCGTTGTATCTGCCAGTCACATAATCATCCCAAGCTGGCTGCGGCGCATATTGCGCAATGACGAGACGAAGATCCGGAGGGTAGTGCTCAAAAGCACCTATAACGTCCTCGGAAATGAGGGTCAGATGACCCATGTATCCTAGTCGGACTCCTTTTGGTTTAGAGCTAGTATAATGATTCAGCGAAATGCTAAGCATATGCAATTGGATTGCAGCACTTACCTCTCCATATCATTTTGTTTCTGCCCTTCAACGATGCGGTCCATCAAACGACCATCTCTGAATAGTGCAATGGTCAACTCCCGATTCAACCCTCCATCCACACGACCCGTCAGGATTTGATGAATTAAATCATAGACTACGCTGTGTAGAAAATTATTCCACGGGAACTCGAAGAACAAATCCTGTTTCATGCGTTCAATAAGGAGAGTAGCGCTCGGCTAAAATAAGCACGTACAAGTAATGTTGACAAGACGTTGGCCTCCAAGAATCGTTGCTTCATTTTCTCACCAACAGGTAATACCATTTCCAAGGGTGTATCAAGAGCAGTCATCCGTCGCGAACTGCGGCGAGAATGCGTCGAAGGGGGTTTTGCAGTTGGGCTGTCAGAATCTGAGCTAGAACCGCCAAAGTTTCTTTGCGAAAGAGCAGCGCCTTGAGCAGCGATCTCAGCTGGAGATGGGAGGGAAGCAGCATTCGGCGATGAGGGCACTATCATTGGTGGTTGCTGTAGTGGAACCTCGAGGCAATCAGGGTGGTCTTTCACAGGATCGTCGTACATCGCGATTTCTTCCATCGTATCGTCATCTGAGCTTCCAGGCTCGTCATCGCTCATATCCTCGTCAGAATCCAGGAGAGAAGGCGAAGCGTTCGTTACAGGCAGCTCTAGAGCTGGTTCTATTTCATCGCCGCCATCATCCATTGCCTCTTGGTCCCTCTCATCGCCAGAACCTATCGCGATCACGCGCGCCAATTGTTCTAGAGCTGACAAGCCACCTTGTAATCGGCCATCTGCGTCGTACAGATAGTTGTATTCCGACGAACGATTCAAGAGAGACATGTTGGAACAATGCAAAAGCTCGGCGTATAATTCACAGATCCGGTACCGCTCGAAAGTCAACGGTACAATTGATCCAACTGTCGTCGAGACATGTCCCTCCTAACCATAATAAATTGATGCACGGCAATGATATCTTTCATTGAACTCCACTCACCAGAGACCTCGGATGACGCAAGAATTTTTGGAAAGCCTCTAACCGCTCACACATGATATCAAGGACGGACCCCAGATGCACAACACCCATCCGGTCGACCATCTCCTTCATAGCCCTTTCCAAAGTTTCTCGCGCACTGTCGGAATGACCCTGCAATTGCTGCTGTACCTGGATCAGGCGGTTTCGTAGCGTGTGGAAGAGATACGGCTCAAAGTAGTCTGAGTTGTTTTTTCGAATCAGCTCAATTATAATGGAGATTGAATGTACGACTGATGATGTCGTCGAATGTATATCTGGAAGTTCATCGCTAAGGAGGATAGACTCTTCAAGCGTTTGACCTGACACCTTTCCAGCACCGGCCGAGTTCGAGGGTCCGAAATCAGTCAATATGTAATCCACTAGCTTTGAGACACTATTTCTGTGCGCAAGTTCACGAGCGAAGCGATTTGAGGCGGGACCATTTTGCAGACCTTCCGTCAAACCCGCACCGGGTGAAGGAGCAGCCATTGAGATGATCCCTTTTATGAGTTCAGATACGACTGTATGCATATCGCTGGTATGAGCTGGGGATAGAAGCTCAATCAATCGACCCATGAGATTTTCCGAGGACAGCCACTAGGTCGTTGCCAAAACTGTGTGAGCGAAAGCAATGGCAAGAGTGGATTTAAAAAAAAACATACTTCCAGTACGCCTGCACCACTAGGGTGTTCATCGAGCTGTATAATGCGTACCAACAGATCGACGAAAGACGGGGTCTCTACATGATGCAGTATGCGCTCTACCACTGAAGGTTGCGATTGAATAAAGGCCAGCATCTGAGCATAAAGCTCGGTCGTGAGAGGACGTGAAGGAAAAGATGACAATTCACCTCCGCCGGCTTTTTACTGAGGAAGACAGCATTGATCTTGGCAAAATGTGAGGCCATGACCATTTGTGTTTTCATATCGTCAGGCGACCTATCAAGAACTGTTTCCCAAAAGGGCGCCAACAGCTGGTCTGATAGGTTGACACAGGTCTCTACGATTGACCATATTTCACTGCAGAGAACTTCCGTAGCGACATATGGATATCTTGCCGAGACATCGTTGAAGCAAAGTGAGGATACAAGGGGCACGAGACAATAAGATGGGATACTCACTTGAACCGACCCCTCTCCTCGCCTTCAATCTGCCCAGTCACATACGCAAGCAGCCGTTGCAAGACATCCACCCGTTGGAAATAGTCGATAAGCCTCGTGTTTTGTGACTTGCATTCTTGTAGCAAATCGTCCTCATCTAATATAGCCTCGAGCGAAACGTCATCCTTGTCTAATAGGCTGTCGATGGAGGATGCATTATGAAAGCCAAATCTGCCCCAAAAAGCTGTTTAATATTATTCTGAGGCGGGCCACAGCAAAATTACCTCCAAAACATGGCAGCCGAATGGACGGTGAAGAGGTAAACAAATGATAAATCCAACCAGTATGTAGTAACAATCTAGCAGGTGCTACCCGACGCGCCATAGTATAGCAGGCTCGTCACCCAGATTAGAGCCACACGCGACACAGCATGGCAGATACCCCTCACAAAACGTATTTTTTAGAGTTGCATACACGGCACTTACGAATAACATGAGGAAATATTATCGGATTGAGTAATCTACAAGTCCAATGCGTACATACAGCAGTCTATTAGATACCAGAACGACTCTAGCCTCATCTGACCAGACTCAGAACTGTTCAGAAGTCAGGAACCTGGAATATCACAGCAAAAATATTTATGCGGCAGACTTACCCGGATCTGATAGGACCCACTAGCCTTCGTGAGATATCGAACCCACTTGATGCTGTGGTAGTTGCTTTTTTCAAAGACTTTAAGAAAACGAACGATCAAGCCGGACGCAGTAAACATGAGCACTTGGAAGTCGACATCGATGGGCGGTCGTGCCCATACTTGCCGAACAGTCGTGCTTGTAAGATCAGCCGTTGCATTAAAAGTGCACTCCTGTCCCCCTTGTATCCTCGGGATTCTATTATCAAAACCATTAGTCACGTTAGTCACACCATCTTTCAGAAGCTAAATAAAAGTGGCCTACTTCCACACAACAACGTTCTCCGCGGGAACATATTTCGCCTTGCCACTGGCCACTTTGCAATCAACATTGGTTGTGTTGAGTGGCGTTGGTATCCGTAGAACAACGCTTGTTGCGGAAAGTTTGTTGTTGAAGTTGGCTTTGATTGTAATCACGTACGAAACCTGCGTAGTGCCGATCTCGTTGACAGTTGATATTATACGTAGAGGTAATTTCACGTTTGAGGTTGAACGATACCTGTGCAGCATGTGATCGATATAGTCGCATTCACATAGCCAGTTAAGAATAAAAGAGAACTAACCTCATCAACTCAAATTCACCATCCGGGGGGACAAAGCTGATTGTGCGGCTGGAGTCGAACTCGTTCAATCGTACACATTGGTGGAATCGACAATCATCCAGCTCAACGGCGTCGCCTCCAGCCCCTCGCTCATTCTTGTCAATAACAAGCTTATCATTGAGACCGAATTTGCACTCTGGACTTCCAGACAGATAGGCACGCATTTGTATGTGACCATCGACCTCAGCACGAAGAATGGTACCTGGAAAGACCTGTGTTGGATAGAGCCGTTATATTCATTGAAACTGACATTACCTTTAGCGCTCATACTCAAATTAACTGTTTCTACCACATCGACGAAAGCTTCGTTCTTTTTGTACTTGACGTCTCCACGCCGCCAACTTGTTGCACCTGTCGCTTGACTTGTAATCTTCGAAGATTCTTCCTAAGGTGGGGCATATGGAAGAGAACTTTAAATACATAGTAGACTGACGTACTGCGGCTATCGCTGTTGAGACGACACTCTCGGTTGTAATGTATGATTTCAGTGTATCGATCTCGCTATTCTGAGGATAGCCGAAATCATTGATCTCTGGGTAAAAATAAGATATAAATTTGTCAGTTGACACGCATGGTGAGACCGCTGAGAGAGCCAACCGTCTATGAGCTCGTAGATAACCACGAAGTTGTTTTTGACCGATTCTTCATCGATTTTTCCGAAGTAAGCTTTTGCGATTGAAATAAACCGGTAGCAGAACTCGAACACAAGTGCAGCATTAGCATTGGTCCTGTCATACAAGATCCATTACGATATCAAACACAGCAACTGGGGATAGGAACTCACTTCGTCACTGCTACAACATAGAGATTGTTCACTCTGACGTGGAAGAAACTTGTTGAACCCAGTGTGATGATGGGTGATCGCACGTCACTATTTGATACGACCTGGATACGGAAGACATCTGCAATGGACCGCCTGACAGATGATATGGTGAGACTGCTTTCCAATAGACCATTTATTACAGATATATTACTTGAAATCAGTTCGATAAAGCCTAGAAATAAGGACCTTGCAGTATGCACTTAGAGAGATTGCTTTGGTTGTCAGAATCGCAGACGTACCTCTCCTTTTTGGTTAAAGATGAAGAATGCCTGTTCACATGCTATTATGTCTATGATTCTAAACGAAGACCCCATTAATAAACTCACAGAAATCATGGATAACTGGTTTCCGTACACAGACCAAGCTCAGGGTATATATGCCGCTGCAGACGCTACACGCTACGTTTAACGCGACAGCCTGAAGCTTGAAGCAGAAGCCGTGAAGCCGCAGTGGGCCGTGCGCTCACGTGCACGTGACTAGTTTCTGGATTGGGAAAGTGGCAGATGAAGTAACATCAACCAGCTGACTCGTCCGACATCCTTTCCTTCATTCCTTGCTCGTTATTTTGTCTGGGAAAATGGCGATATCCTGCTACCGTTATATTCATGGGAATAATGCCAGGAATACAATCGTCCTGCTGGATAAACTGAACATGTTGCGGACATTTGTCGGACCCGGCCTGCCGCTTGGACTGGTATTCCCTCTCTCGAAGCGGGTTGAGAACGCGTTATAAGGAAGAGACGGTGTCGGCCATAGATCTCGAGTAAATATTTGACTCTTTCTCTCTTCTCAAAGGAAAGACATGGTTCTCTCGCGCATACTGGTCTCTGCAGGCATCTGCTTGCTTTCATCGTGTTCCTTCGTGTCTGGTCTTGCATGGAATGCTACCGAGTTCATGTTCGTGTTCGGAGACTCGTACACGACTGATGGGTATAACGTCTCTGCTGGAGTAACCTCGCCTGATCCAGGATACGTGAGTACAATATATACTACGATGTTTGATGTTGCACTGAATAGGCATAGACATCTTCGAACGGCCTTAACTGGGTTGAGTTCTTGGGTAGGTCTCTTTTTTGATGATGGGGGTTGTATTATATCTCAACGTTTACAGGAACCACATATAATCAGACGGATATTACTGTATGACATTGTCTCCCCGCAAACCTTCTAGTGCAGAACTCTTCTTATAAACACGATCTAGGTTTTCGACTTGGCGTCCGGAGGCGCAACCATCGATGCGGCCCTTGTCCCGCCTTATTTGCCTACTGTCTTGTGCGCAAAAATTTTACACGACTTATGTAGGAGTCGAATTAATCAGATATACAGGTCCGTAGTCGACCAAGTCACTCAATTCAATGAGTACTTGGCATCGAAGCCCTACGGTGCAGAATGGGACAGTTCAAATAGTTTGTTCGCTATCTGGATCGGTATCAACGACGTCGTGAGTAATTGATTAGTTTATCAGCAGTTTTAAAAGTTGAATGTAAAATGTAACTTTCCAGGGAAACTCAGTCGGCTGGGTAAGGCCTAAGTTCACAGACATTATGCGGAGTTACTCACATGCTTGTGGTAGACCAACATTACCCAGTTTGAATTTTATGGAGTTCTCATGGATAGATTATTCACACAGGTATGTATTTAGGACGTTATAAATCACAGACCGAGAGTGATATACTGATTATCCTATCTCAGGTTGAAGACCTTTACCAGAATGGGGCTCGCTCTTTCCTTTTCGTCACCGTCCCCCCTACCGACAGAGCCCCACTCTTCCTAGAACAAGGACCGGAAGCCGCAGCCCAGATGTACTCGGACATTGCTAACTACAACACCCAGCTCACTCAAAGTGTACGGACATTCGAGGCTACTCATTCCGATTTGAGTTCAGTTACCGTCTTTGATTCTCAACCCATATTCAACACGCTCCTGGATGAATGGCAAACGTTTGGCTTTGTAAACGTCACAGGATACTGTGCTGCTTATGAAAATGGCACACCCACGCAGACAACACAAGTCGAAGGTTGCGCACCCGTGTCTAACTATTTGTAAGTCCCCATACCTTGGCTTATCGTTGCGGTTGCTGACTGTGATTATTTGTAACTTCGTGTAGCTGGTTGAACACTTTGCATCCCGTGTTTACTGTTCACAAGTAAATCTCTTCCATATTTGCTGGTATGATCCCTATCTAATAAACCTTATAGCATCCTCGCAAAGGCCATCTCAACCGCATTGGCAGGATATACTGCACCTGTTATTCCCACTTAATCGGCACCTACATACAACTTGAAGAACATTGTAAACGAACGATAAGGAAATTAAAGTGAATTTATTGCTCTAATATCACATAAGACTACAGTTTTTCCGCTACCAAGAGTAGGCATTGAGAGTATCTAGACGCTCAATGAGAAACGATAGTCTCCCTTGCCAACCTAATCATAATATGGCAGTCAATATAAAAGGTTTGCACCGGACCAAGGCCCTTCGGAAGGGACACTTTGAGTCTTTCGCATCGACGAAATGGGAACGAAGTAACAAGGTTGTATACAACCTTTTCAGTGATGTAATATAAATACTATGGCCCTACTGTAGAGATGTCTCCCAATACCACAATCAGATAGGTATGTAGGATGAAGGCAAAATAATATTGTAAGTGTACAACCCAACAGCCATTGCCCCTACAAACAGCCACAAGAACAAATCAAAGTCTTTTGGTTTTTCAGGTCCAAGTCCTGGCACTATACCCAAGCACATAATATATTCTTTCAGACAGGTTGAAATTATAGACAATGTGACAAAACCGGATAAACCCGGTCTCTGCCAAAGCAGCCATTGTTCTCCATGGAGCATAGCCACCACTCCATGGAGTAACCATTGTTCTCCTAGGAGTCATTATACTGTAGCGAGTAGCACCTCCTACTATAAGTAGTAGGGGGTTTAGTATAGGAATACCTCAGTCGTTTCTATAGCCTCTCGGGCAGCGGCTGAGGTATGTTACATTACATTTATTAGAGATCACCTTAAACTAACATCTATTGTAGTTTCACTTAGGTAAATAATAAAGTCATTTCTATAGCCTCTCGGGCAGCGGCTGAGTTTCACTTAGTTCTATTACAATGATGGACCATGTAGTGAATTTCTGACAGCAGAAAGAGGCAAAACTGTCTGTTGAAAGCCCAAGTACAATGCCTTGCAAGTCTGACTGTCAGCCTGCTAACTGTTGACCATAATAGATTTCACCATTGGCTGCTGTCAGGACCGTGGCCTCTTTGCAGTAGCGGAGCTGCAGAGTACGGGGATGGGGTGATGGAGTAACAGAGGATGAGGTGGGGAATCGGCTTAGCTCGTGCACTAGGCCCTTCTGCAGACCTTGGTCCCTAACTTGTTGGAAATGGACGGGGGAGAGTAGAGGATGAAAAGGGAGCAGAGTAAAGACCCTTCAGAGAAGGATCAGAAAGCTTAGAAGGAAACTTGTAAAAGGCGAGGGAATCTAGTTGATATTTGAACTGCAGGAACGGAGTACAGGAGCTACAACTTATATACTGTTGGAGGAGTGGGGGCCCATAAGGAGTAAATTGTAATGTAGGTACAGAGTTCCATGCGGACAATTATCTAGTGAGAGGAGAATGTATGGCAGACTACAAGCCCGGTGTGTTACAAACTGTACTTAACCATAGACTTTATTTCTCTTCACAAGTAGCTACATTCCGCTACCTACATATACCTTCCCACACACATTGCCTATTGCGGTATCACCCGTCCGCATTTGTTCAACACAAACACCTACCCTAAAGTAGTCACTATATATACAGACCTGTATCATAGTTACTATCTCCAATACGATTGTACGTTTCAACAGTGTAACTTGGTATTCATCAGTTGAAACCCTCATCATCAGAATATGTCTCAAACTTGTCTACGACGAGCTTATCAGAAACCATTTATACATCAGAAACCCAGTGTTACCAGGCTTGCACATTCCAAGCGTAACACGGTGCAGGAGTATCAGAGTGGACAACCGGAGTGCCATGTGGAAATGGGGTGTAGAGTCATGCAGACCGGCAGGCCACAAGGGACGTAATTGTCAGGCAACGGATACAAAGCTATATAACAAGAACAGATGTCTGGTCAAGTCCCTTGAAGAGGGCAGTGAATCAGAGTACTGAGGTTGAAGAGTATCGGTATAGGCACAAATCCAAACTAATATTGAACTAAGGAATAATACATCGAGTATGTACTTCCTTATATAGTAAATAGCAATGGTCAGACCGAAAAAAGGGAAGAGTTAAGAAAGTGGTCTGACCAGCCAACTAACCAAAAAGAAAAGAAAGCAAAAGTGGTCCGATCTATCGTATTTACTAATTGTGTGAGAAAGAGTATTGGTAAGAGGTGTACAATTGGCTATATCAGTAAGCCCATGAGAAGGCGCTGATTCATAGCCTACCTCACTTATCTATATTCCTCCGAAGTATTCCCAGACATAGCATTGGATCATTGCTATGTCATCTGGATATCTTCTCGAGGATATACAACAGTTTTCCTTCGTTGTAAATACAATAGGATGTGAGTATGAATGGAAAATAAAAAGAAAAAGGATAAGAGTAATAGAATGCCGACCGTGATCTCTAGTCCAAGAACGAGAGGAGTGACAGGGAATGAGTCAGATAACCACAACATGATGGGAATGCAATAAGAAAAATTGATTCCTCACATTAGCTCCCCTTTTATAAGACTCGTGTCCTCATGATTCCGGAAGCGGCACTCTGGAACTTGTTGGTAATCCAATCTAAAAGCATCGGAGATTTAGAAGTTGTGGTGTAATTTCGTAAGGACAGAAGTGAAGAGAAGCGGTGATGATGCGAGGGGCGGCGGGGTGTGTTTTGTGGAAAGTTGCGAGTAAATTGGAGACATGTGTAAGGTTGGTGTCGGGTTCCCAAGTACGTTCTGAGACCGGATAGCCATGCCAGTGGACCAAGTAGTCGAGCTTAGTGCCTCTTAGTTTGGTCGGTCTGGATGCAACTATACTCTCTACTTCGTATTTGTCTACACCTTCAATGATTTTGGGTGGTGGTCGCGAGGAGATAGGTTGGTTAGGGAATTCGGGAGCATGGTATGGCGACAGAATGGCTTTGTTGAATACTGGGTGAATGGATTTCCAACCTTTTGGGATGTCGAGTTGGTAAGCAGAAGGTCCAACCTTTTGGGTAACTTTAAAAGGACCAAAACATTTGTTGTCTAATTTCTTCATTGGTCTGTCTGTCGTGATGTTGTGTCCTTCTAACCAGACTTTGTTGCCAGTTTGATATTCCCAGGCTGGAGATCTCTTACAATCATAATATTGTTTGAGATTGTTGTTTTCTAAAAGAAGGGAGGATTTTGTGAGGTCATGGAGTCATTTCATCTGTTCCCTAAGCTTGGCCACTGATGTGGATCAAGGGGATGACACAATGGTGGTGTTTGTTCGCGGGTGCAGACCATAGTTTAGAAAAAAAGGTGTTTGATTTGTCGCAGTGTGGAGATGATTGTTGTATGTGAATTCAATGATGGGGAGCCAATCTGCCCAATCGTCCTGTCTGTGATTGATTTATGAAAACATGGAGGTAGTGCTCAAAATCCTGATTGATCTGTTCAGATTGCCCGTCCGTTTGAGGGTGATAACCTGTAGAAAGGCCTGGATCCCCATCAAATCATAAAAGTCTTTAGTAAACTGTGACATAAATTGAGGACCTTGATCAGAGATAATCGTCTCTGGAATTTTGTGGAGTTGTATCACATTGTCCCCCAGCCGACGGGCGTAACCGGCTGAGTCGAGGGTGATGAAAGTGGGGACAAAATGGGCCATCTTGCTAAATTGGTCTACAAAGACCTGAACAGCGGTGTAGCCTTTAGACTCCAGTAGAGCACCTATAAGGTTGGTGGTGATAACTTGCCAGGGTTGATCGGGTATTGGGTTCGGATGAAGAGGGGTGTTAGACTTTGTCCAATGTGCCTTGGTTTGTTGACAACTCTCACACCCTCGTACATATTGTCTGATATCTGTGCAAAGACTTGGCCACCAGAGTTCTCGGTTCACTCATTCAAACATTGTTCTCTCTCCTGGGTGTCCAGCAAGAGCTTTGTCGTGATGATCCTTCAATATCTGCGCACATAGTTCATGGTTTCGAGGGACGTAGATGTGGTCAGCTAATAAGATTGGGTAGGAACTCATTGCAGACTCTCTTTTGATCCAGATGATCCTATCCTTCACCTTCCAGGTATCCAACTTCTCTTTCAAATTCTTCTTTACTATGTTGTCTTGTTTCTGGAAGTTTCTGCATATATCTGGTAGGTATCCTTCGTCGGTGTCAAGTACTTCAAAATGCACATCCGGAAGGCGTGTTTGGTTTTTGTTATCATTTGTGCCTCTAGGGTGATCAATTCATCTGCTTAACAGGTCAGCCTTAGTTTTGATCTCCCTTGACGTGCTCCATCTTGAAATTATAATCTGCAAGCTGAGAGGACCATTAAGCTTGACATCGGTTGTATTTCTGTGGTTGGCGGAAGTAAAGGAGGTTCTGGTGATCCGTGAAGATAGTGAAGGGGTGTTTCGATCCCACAAGGTGATGTTGCCATTTATCTAGTGCAGTCATGACTGCAAGCATCTCTTTATCATAGATTTCATAATTTTGTTCAGCAGGGGTAAGGGCTTTTGAAAAGAATGCTATGGGTCTGAACTTATTATTCTGTTTTTGGGATAGGACAGCTCCTACAGCAAAGTCAGAGGTGTTGGTTCTCAGTTTAAACGGGTCTTTGTCATTTGGTATAGCAAGAGTGGGGGCAGTAGTGAGTGTTCTCTTCAATGTTTCAAAAGACTTCTCTTGTTTGTCCTTCCAGGTCCAGTCAACCTTTCCAGTGAGTACAGTGAGCGGTTTTGCAATTTGTCCGTAGTCCTTGACAAATCGTTGATAGAAGTTGGAGAATCCCAGGAATAATTGGAGTTCTCTCTTGTTCTTTGGTGCTGGCCAGTCAACGACTGCTGCGACTTTTAATGGATCCATACGGATAGTGGTTTTGGAAATGATCATGCCTAGATACTCTGTTAGGCAACAAATACGAAGCTATATAACAAAACACAATGCCTGGTCAAGTCCTTGCTGAAAGGCGGTGAAGCAGGGTATGAGAGTTGAAGAGTATCAATATAGGCGCAAATCCAAACTAATATTGAACTAAAGAACAATACATCGAGTATGTACTTCTTTATATAGTGAACAACAAGGGTCAGACCGAGAAAGAGAAGAGTTAAGAAAGTGGTCTGACCAATTGACTAACAAATAGGAAAAGAAAGAGAAAGTGGTCCGATCTATTGTATTTACTAACCATATGAGAGAAAGTATTGGTAAGAGGTGTGCAATTGGCTATATCAGTAAGCCCATGAGAAGGCGCTGACTCACAGCCTTCCTCGCTTATCAATATCCCTCCAAAGTATTCCCAGACATAGCACTAGATTGTTGCTATGTCATTTGGATATCTTCTTGAGGGTCTACAACAGTTCTCCTTCGTTGTAAGTACAATAGGACATGAGTATGAATGGAGAATAAGAAGAAAAAGGATAAAAGTAATAAGATACCGGCTGTAATCTCTAGTCCAAGAGCAAGAGGAGTGACAGGGAATGAATCAGTGTCGATGATGAGTACTGCTGTTAGAAAACCACACACAAAAACAAACTAACACACAATCCTCCCAGATTCCACGGAACTTGTTTATGGGCTTTGCCTCCTAAAACAGTGGAGTGGTCTGGTTGTTCGTGGGGTGGTACGTATAAAGATCCTTCAAAGTAAAACCCAGAGGTGTATGAGTGTGGGTTTTGAGGAGGAGGGATAGTTGAATTTATAGAAGATAGGGGCTTAGTGACGAGTATAGATGAGCACTACCTTGCTAATTGTAGCACAAGGTAGGTTTGAGAACGACGAGGATGACGAGGTGATGAGGTTCCCAGTGATAGCAGGCTCCTGACGCACAAACTGTAGTGCTCAGAAGGACTCTAATCGAAAGGGATAACAATGACTTCAATAGTGGGAAGTGACGAACAGCAATTAAGAGTGGTAGCAGTGGGAAGTGTTGTGACCACACTGGATCACAAGTAGCAGTAAGAAGTGGACTTAAGATTAGAGAAAAAGTCTGGAATCGAGTACTTGTTTTTTTTACAAGGTAAAATACAGGGGTTTATATAGTAAAAGAAAAGTAGGCTATGCACAGTATAGCTGTGCAAAAAGAATGAGAAAGAACATGAAGGAAGGAATGTATGCTGACAAATCCTGCATAGGTAGTACAGGATAAGATTGTCAAAAAAGGAAAAGAAAGGGATAGAACAATAAATGCTGTGAGTAATGTCACAGGTTTGTACAGCCATAAAGTAAAGTCCAATAGCAAAAAGAGAGCAGGAAAATCATGATGCCATGGGAAGATGTAGTAAAAAAAGGGCAAGGCAAAACACTATCAGTATCAACACAGTTCCTTTATTGTCAGTCAGGCATTCTAAAAAATATGTGTCCATAAAAATGATTCAAAAATCAAAAATAATTGCACTGTAAATGAATGTTCTGCTGAAAAAAAAAGAAACTGGAGCCACCAGTCCACCACCTAGTCCAAATCCGACAGTTCCATGGCCTTACCAATGGACTGGTTGTGTTGGACCACCTGATCAAACGAGGGAGGGAGAGGAGTAGTTCCAATTTGGAACAAGTGAGTCCCAGGCAGCATGTGGTAGGTGTAGCTGTAGCGAAGACGATGGACAAAAGATAAGTGTACCCAAGTGAATAAGTGAATGGGACAGCAATGAACATGGGCGACGCAAGGGGATGAACCTTCTCCAGCTCAAAAACTACCCACCCATGCTCCAACCAGGCAAGACGAGCGACCGATGTTTTGATAGTATATGATGGCAGATCAATGTCATGAAGATGGACCTGTTGCCCTATTTGGACCGGCCGCCGGGGCTTTGCTGATATCAGCAGTGGCACGTGGTAGTTGACGGAAGCGGATAGGAAGTGGTGACATCAGAAATGGTGGGGGTGCAAATAAGATGAGGAGGAGGAGGGTGGAGGTGACAAAAAAGTGGATTAGAATGGGGATCCAGAAACGACCGTCAGGTGAGAATAAAAAGGAGAGGAAGGGGCCCATGGTGGGGCTAGGCAAAGGAAGGGGAGTAAGGGAAACGACAAAAGCGAGGGCGCAATGCAATGTGTAGCCAGTGGCGACGCAAAAATTTGCTGAAATGCCAAAACGCGGAAAGTACCGAATGGAAAAGCAAAGGTGAGCATGACTGGATTGCCTAATAGAGGTGGTGCTGATTAGCCACAAGTCAAAAAAGGCAATATTAATACTATTCCACGTGGCACTGTGCCTGTGTGGCGCAAGGCGAGTCTTTTTGAATATTTGCTTCGTTATTGACACCTGTCCATGCTACCAATCAACTTTGGTGCATGACAGCAGGTGGCTGCATTACACACAAATGTTCTTTTGTTGTCGAGTACCAAGGACACAGAGAATGAGTCACCGCTGAAGCTACCCAACTAGGGAAGATTAATTTAATCTTAGGCTGGACCTGGCTATTTAAACACAATCCTGAGATTGACTGGCAGACAGGGGTTGTCACATTGTCACGTTGCCCTCAGGAGTGTGAAAACTTGGGTAAACCAAGTCGCGTCCGTCAAACTGAGCATCTTGAAAAGATAAACTGTTACAATCACACAATTTTCGGACCTTTCCTTCTTTTTCATTCTCCGCTTTAACCTTGTATACTTTAGCTTTCACACATGGTGCCACGCGGCGCTTCCCCTTTTGTTCAAACTCCTCTTTCTCGCACCGCGTTGTCTTCTTCTTATTTTTAGATACAACTCTCTCACACAGTGGAGCTGGTCATGCGGGCTAGGCCCCATGACATCGTCAGCCGCTGACTTTATCAACTGTACAGTACATAAGTACAAACACTCTGTATTAGTATATATACCCCAATAAATCCAGGAGACTCCTCAGCGAGTCCTCCTGTTGTTAACCAACAAAGTCTCTGCAGCCTAAGGGGTAACCACTCCCTCATCACTACCTTTATAGTGTGTTTCTGTGTGTGCCAGAGTAACTAACTCTAGGTTGTTACATAAACGCTGGTCACATTTATGAGCTCAGATCTTTAGAAAAGATTGACAATGACGATGACGAGGTAAAACCCGAGGAAGAGATTAAGAGGCTGGTACCTCCCGAGTACCATGACTTCTGGAAAGTCTTTTCAAAACATAAGTCAGAACACTTCCCCTTGGATGGAGAGGGCCAGGAACCGGGTTACAAAATCATCCGTCCTCATGTTTCCTTGCTTGAAGGTACAGATCTGCTGACGTGCCCAGTCACGCTCAGCTTGCGGTTTGGAATACTTTTTGATCTCAACTTTGAGATCATCCCAGACAGGCCACACTCCCATGGTGTAGCACTCCTGCATTCTAACTTGGGCGTATTGACCCGCCACAGGTCCTTTTAGTCGAGATAGCACTGCAGTGGCTACCTCAAAGTCGTCAGCAAATACATCCCAATTTGCCTTGACCCAAATTTGGAGCTTGATCCACCATTTGGCAAATCACACTCTGTCTCCTTCGAAGGTGCCAGGGCCAGCAACGACTTCAACTTTCTTATTGAACTTCTTCTCAACTGAGCGGGCTGCTGCAGTGGGGTTTGCCTGTAGCTCGGTGAGTTGCGTGGTCAACGCCAAAATCTGGGCATGCATGTTGTGCAACAGAGTGTTGACATCAGGTTGGCTTTGCGACAACATGTTGACTTGTTCTCTTGTAAAGTACAATAAAAAATGGTAACTGGGGGTCCCCGCTTGCTATCTGCGGATCTACCTCTTCCCAGCTGAGTATCGAATCTCAATCTCTGACTACCCACACTATAGTATTTGAAAGGTATATAAAAGGTATTGTAATAAACCCTGGTCCGAATGGTTGTCAGGGGGTGGTCTGCTTGTTAGGCTGTCAACCCTTCTCCAGACTGGCAGAGGCAAGTGCCCGGCCTGGTCAGAGGAAAGAGAAAGAGAAGATTTGTATGTAAATTCTAATCAACAATAGTTCCACACTATTGCTGAGCTAAAGTACTCCCCTTAACAGTGGGGGCTGTGTATAGATAATTGTCTCTTCTCCCAGAGCACTACGGGGCCGTCGCTAGGAGCGCACCCTTCTGCTATACGGGATATTCCCAAACAATAACCCCTTAACCCTGGGGACCGGGTTTGTACAGCGTGCAAGAGAGTAGTGAGAGCGAGTCCTAATGTAACAACCAAGAGTTAGTTACTCTGACGCACAACTCAGACAAGCAAAAGAGTAATGAAGAGGGAGTGGTTACCCCTTAGGTTTCAACAAGTTAGTTGTGAGGATACAACAGGAGGACTCACTGAGGAGTCTCCTGGATCTATTGAGGTATATATACTAATACAGAGTGTTTGTACTTATGTACTGTACAGTTGATGAGATCAGTGGCTGATAATGTCAGAGGGCGCAGCCCGTATGACCAGCTCTACTGTGTGAGAGACTTGTAGCTAAATAAAAATAAAGGCAGTGTAGCGCGAGAAGGTGGAGTTTGAACAAAATTGGAAGTGCCGCATGGCACAGTGTGTGAAAACTACAGTATAAAGTTAAAGAGGAGAGTGAAAATTAAAGATCCAAAAATTGTGTATCGTAACAGGTGAGGGGCTTAGTGATAGGCTGGTAAATGGAACCCTCAAGTTTGGAAGAGGTTCCTTGATGATATGTGTAAGGACCATTTATTATTTTCTTATCTTCTTACTCCATGCCTTGGTTCTCGAACACTTTTCTTATTACACCTTTAGCTCTAGGGCTAGAGGTATCTTTTGCAATCCTGCTTCTCATAGCCCTCACAGGCTTTCTCAATCATCGTTACCACTTTATATCGCAGATCAGAGACTGGGTATCACTCCCAGCCAGCCAGCACAATGGGTAAAGGACTGGTGGTAAGCATCTCACCAACCAGCTCCAAGCCCCATCAGTGCCTGGAGATACTAATAGACGCTTTAGCCAAGATCGTACCTCATCATGAGGATACGGTTTCTGGACATGCGTGACAACACTTATTATTAGTACACTTTCTCACCTACTGATTAATCTTCAAAGTCATACGATAGTTGTCCCTTTTTCTTATTGGTTGATTTTCCCCTCAGACCACTTTCCTTTTATTCCTTTTTTGGTCTGAGGGATAGATGGTTAGCTATATAAAGCCTTACCTATTCATGTATAGTCCTTAGCTTTCTATTACTTGAATTATCCGCTTCACTCCTCATCAGAAACCTCTGAGTCTACTCCCATATCCTCTACCTGCTATATTCACTAGCATCTGTTGATCTCAGACTCACTGTACCTCTTACTCCCTGCAAGTGCAGTCAGAGACAGGTGTTGTTTTTGTTATAGTTTATCGTTGCCTCACAATATGGGGCTGTATGAATAGGAAAAGGGTTGGATTTACTACCAAGATTGACGGTAGAATGGATGGGGACCTTTACCTTCAGATTTTGAAGGATGAGTTCCAGCAAACCCTGGAGTATTAGTAATATGGTCTCAATCCTCCTGACATCATCTTTCAGCAGGATAATAATCCCAAGCACACCTGCAGGGAGGCCAAGGACTGGCTAGAGGAGCAAGCATTCAACACTATAGTTTGGCCTGCACAGTCTGTGACAACACCAACAAGATACATTCTTGGGGCAATGGAGCACAACCACAGCAACACTCAATGGAGGATAAGGAAGTGTACAACCTATCAAAGGAGGGAGGTTGTCATACTAACGTTGATATACACTAGAAGAGGACTTGCTCAGTCTCTCCCCATGTATTGCTCCAGTATATATACAAAAATACATGAGGTACTGTAAAATTGTAAATAAAGTTTAAAGTCCGTTGTCTAGCATGTGGCTGGTCACATGATGAGTCTAGACACTGGTCAGGTGATGTGTCACATGATTGGTCATGTGACTATGAAAAGTCTGAAATGTAAAGTAAAGTAAATAGTCACATGATCAGTCATGTGACTTGGAAAATGAAAAGTAAAAGTAAAAGTGAAGCGTAAGTAGGTGCTGGTATGTCAATTATAACACAGTCTCCTGACCTAGACCCTATTGAACATCTCTGGGCTTGTTTCAAGAGGAGGCTTGCAGGGTATTAAAACCCCCCCAATGGGATTCATGAATTGTGAGAAAGGACTCAAGTGGAGTGGGAGAAGATACCAGTTAAAGAGTGTCAGAAATTCATTAAAAGCATGCCTAGAAGGATTCAGGCAGTCCTTAGGGCAAAAGGAGGCTATACCAAGTACTGATAATATCCAAATACCCTTTTCAATTCAAAATGTAAGGACCATTTATATTTTCTTATCTTTTTGTTCCATGTCTTGGCTCTCAGACACTTTCCCTGCTAGAGCCAGATTACACCTCTGGCTCTAGGGCTAGAGGTATCCTTTGCTATCTTGCTCCTCATATCCCTAACAGGCTTTCTTAACCATTGTTACCATTTCATATTGCAGATCAGAGACTGGGTAGTACTCCCAGCCAGCCAGCACAATAGGTAAGGACTGGTAGTAGAGATCTCACTAACCAGCTCTATGCCGCATATGTGCCTGGATATATTAATAGATGTGTTAGTCAGGATTGTACCTCATCATGAGGATACGGTTCCTGAACATGTGTGATATACCTATTATTAGTACATTCTCTCACTTGCTGATTAATCCCTGAAGTCATATGATATGTTGTTGTTTTTCCTATTGGATAGTTTTATCCTCAGACCACTTTTTTTTAATTCTATTTCCGGTCTGAGAGATAGATGATTAGCTATAAAAACCCTACATACTCATGTATTGTTCTTTAGCTTTTTATTACTTGAACTACCCACTTTACTCCTCATCAGAATCAAGTTGTTCAGGTTTGGTCTAGTAAGTAAAACAACTCAGACTTCAAGAGAAGATCTAAGAGATACATTAGAGAAGACTATACCTAGTAAGTAAAACAACTGGGGACGAAGATATAAGCTAGGTATGTAATTGAATAAAAGGAATATCTCACCTCAGACTTCAAGAGAAGCTCTGAGGTGTCTGCCTGACAATGAAAAGTTGTATATATGTGAAGAGGGAAACAAATTTGCTGATGCGGTGTCATGCACCAAAGTTGATTGGTAGCATGGACAGGTGTCAATAACGAAGCAAATATTCAAAAAGACTCGCTTTTGCGCCACACAGGCACAGTGCCACGTGGAATAGTAATTAATATTGCCTTTTTTGAACTTGTGGCTAATCAGCACCACCTCTATTAGGCAATCCAGTCACGCTCACCTTTGCTTTTCCATCCGGTACTTTCCGTGTTTCGGCATTTCGGCAAATTTTTGCGTCGCCACTGGCTACACATTGCATTGCGCCCTCGCTTTTGTCGTTTCCCTTACTCCCCTTCCTTTGCCTAGCCCCACCATGGGCCCCTTCCTCTCCTTTTTATTCTCACCTGACGGTCGTTTCTGGATCCCCATTCTAATCCACTTTTCCGTCACCTCCACCCTCCTCCTCCTCATTTTATTTGCACCCCCACCATTTCTGATGTCACCACTTCCTATCCGCTTCCGTCGCCGATCCGTTGACTACCACGTGCCACTGCTGATATCAGCAAAGCCCCGGCGGCCGGTTCAAATAGGGCAACAGGTCCATCTTTATGACGTCGATCTACCATCATATACTATCAAAACATCGGCCGCTCGTCTTGCCTGGTTGGAGCGTGGGTGGGTAGTTTTTGAGCTGGAGAAGGTTCATCCCCTTGCGTCGCCCATGTTCATCGCTGTCCCATTCACTTGGGTACACTTATCATTTGCCCATCGTCTTCGCTACAGCTACACCTACCACACGCTGCCTGGGACTCACTTGTTCCAAATTGGAACTACTCCTCTCCCTCCCTCGTTTGATCAGGTGGTCCAACACAACCAGTCCATTGGTAAGGCCATGGAACTGTCGGATTTGGACTAGGTGGTGGACCGGTGGCTCCAGTTTCTTTTTTCAGCAGAACATTCATTTACAGTGCAATTATTTTTGATTTTGAATCATTTTTATGGACACATATTTTTTTAGAATGCCTAACTGACAATAAAGGAACTGTGTTGATACTGATAGTGTTTTGCCTTGCCCTTTTTTTACTGCATCTTCCCATGACATCATGATTTTCCTGCTCTCTTTTTGCTATTGGACTTTACTTTATGGCTGTACAAACCTGTGACATTACTCACAGCATTTATTGTTCTATCCCTTTCTTTTCCTTTTTTTGACAATCTTATCCTGTACTACCTACGCAGGATTCGTCAGCGTACATTCCTTCCTTCATATTCTTTCTCATTCTTTTTGCACAGCTATACTGTGCATAGCCTACTTTTCTTTTACTATATAAACCCCTGTATTTTACCTTGTAAAAAAAAAAGAACAAGAACTCCAATCCAGACTTCTTCTCTACTCTCAAGTTCACTACTCTGCTACTTGTGATCCAGTGTGGTCACAACACTTCCCACTTCTACTACTGTCAACTGCTGTCATCGTCACTTCCCACTTTTGAAGTCATTGTCATCCCTTTCAATTAGAGTCCTTCTGAGCACTACAGTTTGTGCGTCAGGAGCCTGCTATCACTGGGAACCTCGTCATATTGTCGTTCTCAAACCTTCCTTGTGCTACAATTAGCAAGGTAGTGCTCGTCTATACTTGTCACAAAGCCCCTATCCTTCTATAAATTCAACTATCCCTCCTCCTCAAAACCCACACTCATACACCTCTGGGTTTTACTTTGAAGGATCTTTATACGTACCACCCCACGAACAACCAGACCACTCCACTGTTCTAGGAGGCAAAGCCCATAGACAAGTTCCGTGGAATCTGGGAGGATTGTGTGTTAGTTTGTTTTGTGTGTGGTTTTCTAACAGCAGTTCTCATCATCGACAGCGGTATATTAGGTGCACAGGCCATCTCAATCACTGGGCCTTCCCAGTTTGGCGCCTGCGCCACTTCTCGTCTATGCACCACGCTGTACGATGCTTGTGCATCTCATATACTTCCAACACAGAAACCCTTGAGTTTACTCCCAATCCTCTACTTGCTACAATCTCTAGCATCTGTTGATCTCAAACTCATTGTACTGTGAGGCAACAATAAACTATAACAAAAACAAAACCTGCCTCCTACTGCACTTGCAGGGAGTAAGAGGTTCAATGAGCTTAAGGTCAACAGATGCTAGTAAATATAGCAAGTAGAGGACTTGGGAGTAAACTCAAGGGTTTTGGTTGAGGAGTAAAGCGGGTAAATCAAGTAATAGAAAACTAAAGAGCTATACATGCAATGTGTAGGGTTTATATAGCTAACTGTCCGTTCCTCAGACCAAAAGGAGAATAGACAAAAAGTGGTTTGAGGAATAAATGGTCCAATAAGAAAAAGGGAACAACTATTGTACGACTTTAACTTGATTAATCAGCGGGTGAGAGAATTGTACTAATAATAGATGTTTGTCATGCGTGTTCAGGAACTGTATCCTCATGATGAGGTACGATCCTGATCAAAGTGTTTATTAGTATATCCAGACCTTGATGGGGGTTGGAGCTGGTTGGCGAGATGCCTACTACCAGTCCCTACCCATTGTGCTGGTTGGCTGGGAGTGATACCCAGTCTCTGATGGGTGATATAAAGTGGTAGCGGTGGTTAAGAAAGCCTGTGAGGGCTATGAGAAGTAAGATAGCAAATGATACCTCTAGCCCTAGAGCCAGAGGTGTAACGGGAAAAGTGTTCGAGGACCAAGACATAGAGAAGATAAGAAAAAGGTAAAATGGTCCTTACATGTACCTCTTACTCCCTGCAAGTGCAATTGGAGACGGGTATTATTTTTGTTATAGTATAATGTTGCCTAACACAAAAGTGAAAAAACCCTTCCCATGGTGTTGCTGTTTTAAATTGACCATATCTCCATAGCATATGAACCAAATCACATGACCTAGGGGCAATTTTATAGCCAAGGGTATGTACTATTTATAATTCCACCAAAGCCAAGTGTAACACTTTGATAGTATGGTTCATGCATGGCATTTAGAGTCAACATGGAAAGGGTTTTTGGAGTCACTGTATTGCCCAGACTCAGTTCAAACCTGTTTGAACTGATGAACTTCAACAATACCACCACCACCACCCCCCCTCCTCCTCCTCTCTGTGAGGCAACGTTAAACTATAACAAAAATAATACCTGTCTCCTACTGCACTTACAGGGAGTAAGAGGTACGATGAGTTTTGAGGTCGACAGATGCTAGAGTTTATAGCAGGTAATTCAAGTAATAAAAAGCTAAAGAACAATACATGAGTATGTAGGGTTTTTATAGCTAATTGTCTATCTCTCAGACCAGAAGTAGAATAAAAGAAAAGTGGTCTGAGGATGAAACTATCTTATAAGAAAAAGAATAATTATTGTACGACTTCAGGGATTAATCAGCAGGTGAGAGAATGTACTAATAATAAGTATTGTCACACATATTCAGGAACCGTATCCTCATGATGAGGTATGATCCTGACTAAAGTGTCTATTAACATCTCCAGGCACTGATGGGGCTTGAAGCCGGTTGTGTTGGATATTTGGTCCCTCAGGGCACGGGAGAAGGATTCCTTTGGCAAATGAATGCCGTAACAACGTAAATACATGCTTCTTATATAACAAACATATGTAAATAACATGTGAAAGAACAATGGTGGCCACAAAAAGCCAGTTATAATCACAGAGTAAATCTTCGGGCGAAGCTCCAAAGTTCGCTTACATATAATTTCTACAGGTTGGTGAGATCTCTACCACCAGTCCTTACCCATTGTGCTGGCTGGCTGGGAGTACTACCCAGTCTCTGATCTGCGATATGAAGTGGTAATGATGGTTAAGAAAGCCTGTGAGGGCTATGAGAAGCAAGATAGCAAAGGATACCTCTAGCCCTAGAGCCAGAGGTGTAACAGGGAAAGTGTTTGAGAACCAAGACATGGAACAAAAAGATAAGAAAATAAGAAAATATAAATGGTCCTTACACTCTCCATTACCACCTCCTCCATCTCCTTGCACCACCTCCACCTCCACTTCTTCACCATCACCACCTCACCACCACCACCTCCTTGCACCACCACCGCCCCTCCTCCACCTCTGCCACCACCACCACCTGTTGGGATAGAAAACATAGGGTTTGCGATACAACAATATATTCAAATTAGACATGACTTGTTTCTCCTTTCTTCATATATAGTTGTTCTTGTTCTACTTTTCCCCTCAGTTGGTCTGGCTACAACTGAGGGTATGTTATCAGTTTTCTATTTGTTGTTATTCTTACACTGATGTGATATTATTGTAGTGCTAAGTGTTCCTAGTTTCTACACCACCTCCTCTCTTCCTCCTCCTCCACCACCACCACCACTCAAGGGAGGACCCAGGTGACATGTCAATGTGTTGTCTAGGCCCTCCCTCAAGTGTCTGCCTCTGGCATTAACCCCTGTCCCCATGCACTTGCCAATATATGGCAAGTGTATGGGGGGCATTGAATCATTTGATCCTGAACCTGCTCCTGCCTTTATACTCTACTACACTGTTGATTAACCTGTTCTGTGTGTCAGTTTTGAAACCCATCCAATAGCCTTCCAACACCATGAGTAACACGCAATTGGTGATCCTGCTGCACAAAAGGAGGCTGCAATTGAGGGTATACAGGTCTATGATCCAAGAGATGCTGTCATGGTTCACTTAGTAATGTTATCTGTAGATGGAGTTGTACGCGCTCTCTGTCATGATGGGTAGCTTCAAAAATGAACAAGAGCGCCAGTATCTCGAGTTCTAAATACACTCGGGGGAGATCTGCGTCGAAAATAAGCCCCGTTCTATCCATGAAAGGCCATACAGCCACAACATAGCATGGTTCCACTAGTCCTGTAGACTTATCGACAGAGAGTCCGGGTCTCTAGCTGAGGAAGGTCGAAGCGTCCAGCAGAAAAGACCATATATGCCATATAATAAGCTGGTTCCTTGACGGGACTTTGAGTAGAATAGATAAAAGAACAAGTTGGGCTCCATTACAAATATTGCCGAGGGTCAGCTCACATTAGCTCACCCCAGGACTGAACAACATCGATTCTTCGTGCAGAGCTCCGTGAGTGATGACTCGCTTGAAAAAACAAGAGACCGAGGTTGTCCCCTTGGCAATCGAAACACATATCGATTCTAATGAGCACTTGATTACCAAGGCACAAACGACTCTACTGCTAAAAAACTGGAAAAACGTACTGAGATAAGCGGAAAAAGAGAGGTTCGAAAAACAAACCTAGTGGGCCATTCTAACGAACTGTGGCAGTGTAGAGTGATGAGTTCTGTTATTGTTAAATGGTGTGTTGTGAGACGTATCAGTATCTGACTTGTGCATTGGAACCATGCGCATATCTGAACTTGGTCTCAGAGCCAAATCTCCATGTAGAAAGAGGAAAACTTGGCTGTCCATCAGGTGAACGATGAAGTGGTAAAGCTTACACCACCCGGTGTGAATCCCCACTAGAAGTAGCGACGCTTTTTGCATAGCAAACGCATAACACTGCCGTCTAGGGGAATAATTGTGAAAGATATGAAATTTCTCACATTTCTCATACTAGCTTGCACATCTTGCTGTTCATTACAAACAGACACGATGACCTCGCAGGTGCGCAGAGAACGAAAGAAGAGGCCCAATATGACTGCTGCTGCAAGATTCCGGAATGGATATCTTTGAGGCCGCGAGCCTTTGCTACCGATGAGGATGGAGAAGCCATGAAATCGACGTCTGACCAGATACGATGCTTGGTTCACAACCACATATTTCGTAACGGATAAACCAAGCAAGAGCTCACTGTAAGTAGTAATCTCCGAGGCAACCAACGATCCAATGATAGCTGATAGCTGAAATAGTACAAATGAAAGGATGGATGAGAAAAATAATGGCTATTCAGGATCTTTGACCTCTAACAGGTACTCACAGTGACTGGTTCCCTCGATCTGATACAGCCGCTGGACGAGAATGCGTAAGAGCTCGGCCACGATTACCCAGGCTACTTGAGCTTCTGATCTGTCTCTTGATACACTGCTTTGAAAGCAGACATTTCGTGGAGGTTTGGCTTAACATCGAGACATACAGATATGACCAAACGACATGTGTATTTATGAGGGTGCCGATATTAATGAGGACTGGGAAGGTATGCGGACAGCAGCGGTGGTGGTTTTCATTTTGACTGTCGAGGTCCTCACCGCGGTGGCAGGTGGCGCGCATTTCCTTGGTCGGTCCAAATAGTTACGGCAGCTAGTTTTACGGCTTTGGACACGCCATTGTTTGCAGTGCATGGTTTATTATTCAAGAGTCCCATTTCTCTTCTCTTCCTTTCCTTTCTCAAGGCCAGTCTTTAGGAATAACACTTATCGCCTTCGCATACCTTGCCGCTCTGTCATGAAATCTGCCAACAATATTCAAGCGGACTGGATTCAACTTCAGCGCCGGCAGGCAATACCACCCTACTCAATTTTCTCAAAAGCTATCGAGAAATCTCAGTCAGACGACAAGGAATACCGAGTCATAAAGCTCGAAAACGGATTACATGCCACTGTCATACATGATCCGAAGGCTGATACCGCAGCTGCTAGTCTGGACGTCGCCGTCGGCCATTTATACGATCCTGTGAGTGTTTAATCTCGAATTGAATTTGAGGTCCCACCTCTGAGTTACTCGAAGCTTCTACCGTGACTGAGATAACAAAACGTCAACGTTTTCGTTTGATGGAAATGTTGTTGTTGGTTGGTGGCACGTCATTAGGCACTTTCACTTCCGTATTAGCTCCACAGCTAACACTAACATGTCTGAAAACCATTACTGATATCATCTATTCCATAGGATGACATGCCAGGGATGGCACACTTTTGCGAACATCTGCTATTTATGGTGAGTGACCTGAATACAGTGATTAAACATATCTCACAAGACAACAGGGTACAGAGCAATTTCCTCGCGAGAACGAATACTCAGAAGTACGTGCTCACCTTTCTAATGTTCTTGATTAAATCTCAAGTATTTAAAGTTCTTATCGAAAAATAACGGCTCGTCCAATGCTTTCACGTCGACTTCAAACACGAACTACTATTTCAGCGTCGCTACTCCCGCTCTAGCACCCGCGCTCACTCGTTTCGCAGCATTCTTTCACTGTCCTCTGTTTTCTCCCTCTTGCACGTCGCGTGAACTCAATGCTGTCGATTCTGAACACAAGAAGAATCACCAGGCTGACATGTGGCGAATTTTCCAACTCAACAAGGAGCTAACAAAAGATGGCCATCCGTGGAAGAAGTTCGGAAGTGGGAATAGAGAAAGTTTGTCCAAGGCCGGCAAAGAACTCAAGGCGAAGGGTCAGTTGAATGACGCAGGGACAGCTAAAGCGGTGAATGGTACTTCTTCTGCCAATGATAGTCTCTCTCCTACCCCCGTATCATCTCGTGTACCCTCTCCATCTCTTTCAACCGTGTCTATAAGTAGTGAGGCAGATGCTGATGGAGGCGCTGTTGGCCGCGAGACCCGCCGCCGCCTGGTCGAATGGTGGAGCAAGGAATACTGTGCAGGTAGAATGAGATTATGTGTTATTGGTAAAGGTATGTCGAGAGAATTCTACTTCAGTATATCTCGTGTCATAATCCACTGTCCCCAAGAATCATTGGACGAGTTGTCAGACTTGGTCTCCAAGCTCTTTTCGCCGATCTCGAATCGCGGTCTGGACCCAACTCCGATGATCAACGATCATCCCTTTGGACCTAATGAAATGGGTGTATGTTCCCATCTGTGTACTATAGCTAACTGTTCATTGACATTGTTCTTAGACCTTGGTTTCTGTGCAAACGATCATGAGATTTCATGCTGTCGAAATTTCCTTCCCTTTGGACTATCAAGCTCCTTTGTGGCGATACAAGCCTACGAACTTCCTGGCACATTTTGTTGGGCACGAAGGCCCTGGGTCGCTTCATTCATACCTGAAGAACAAAGGTTGGGTTACTTCACTGAATTCTGGAAGTCAAAGCCTAGCAAGAGGATTTGGCATGTTCAAAGTGACGATACACATGACGGAGCAAGGATTCCGTAAGCTCAGGCTCATTGCTCTCGCTTCTTAATCGATTCTGACTGTTTTCTAGAAAACTATCGGTCCATAGTCTTGGCCACATTCAAATATCTGTCATTGCTCCGCTCATCTACTTTCCCAGCTTGGTATCAGGCCGAGATAAGCGCGCTCTCCAATACTAACTTCCAATTTTCGGCAAAACGGAATCCGGATGATTATGCTGTGTGGCTTTCGCAGCAAATGGTGTGGCCAGTGCCTACAGAACTCACCGTCAGTGCCCCACAATTGACGTGGGAATGGGATCAAGGCGGAAACGGGGAAAAAGAGGTAAACGACATCTTAAACGGGTTGACAATCGACCAGGGAAGAGTGGTGCTCATGGCACGGAAAGAGGATCATGAACGTATCGGTCAGAAAGATGCCACTTGGAAGACAGAACCATGGTATGGTACCCCGTACCGAGTAGAAAGGTGGCAAGAAGATTTCGTAATCCAGGTATGTCACGCACGGATCCGCGACCAAATGATAGTCTGATGGATTGATTTAGGCAAAGGGCAAAAACGATTTACCCGAACTTTATTTGCCGGGACCAAATCAGTTCATACCGACGAACCTGAACGTGGAGAAACGTGTTGTCTCCGAGGTCAGTTACTCACTTTTACGCGATAAGCCGCTACATTGACAGTATTCTTGTCATCAACAGACTATCAAACGTCCTCACCTAATTCGCGAGACGCCCTTATCGACGGTCTGGTATAAAAAAGATGATCAATTCTGGCTGCCTAAGGCAACTGTCATTATCGAGCTTCGGAGGTACGTCACCCCTTATTATTGACGGCGTGTGGCCTGTAATATTCTAGCTTTATAGCCCACTAGCGAACGCATCTCCACGTGCTGCTGTTCTGACACGGTGAGCACAGTTAGGACCTAATCCCTGGAGGGCTATCTGACAATGTTTTACAGTATCTTTTCCGATCTCGTGAATGACTCTTTGACTGAGTTCTCTTACGATGCGTCGCTCGCCGGTCTCTCGTACGGTTTTGCCTCACACTCCCTCGGACTGTGGGTCACACTGAATGGATACAACGACAAACTAGGTGTCCTTGCCAAGCATGTTCTGGAAAGAGTCAAAACCTTGGAAGTCCGAGCTGATCGGCTTGAGGTTGTCAAAGAGCAGGCGAGTGTCGGACAAGTAAGGGCCGAGTGAAAAAAAAAAAAACTCATCCCTCTTATCGCAGATCGAGAGGGATTGGGGAAACTTCTTCCTTGGCCAGACTTACAGACTATCAGATTATTACGGGCGCTATCTCTTGGAAAATCAACAATGGACTCTGGAAGAAAAACTTCCAGAGGTTCCTCGTGCGCTTTTCTTTTTTTCCCTCACTTAAATTGCCAATGCTTAACATCAAAATATGTAGGTGTAACGGTGCAGGATATACAAATGCACGCCAAGGAAATGTTATCTCAACTGAATATCCGTATGTTAGTGGCGGGTAACATGTACAAGGACGTAAGTACCATTCCAAGGGATAAATGTTGCAATAACGGAACACATTACTACTTATAGGAGGCTATTGGCTTGGCCACAATGGGAGAGAAGATACTCGATCCAGCTCCCTTGCCATTAGATGAAGTCGTTGATAGGGCCCTCATTCCTCCCAAAGGTGTTTGGCATGTTTCCAAGTCATGTTACCCATGCTTACGCCTTATTAGCTTCAAATTTCGTGTGGACTTTACCTGTGCCTAACCCCAACGAGCCGAATTCCGCATTGACTTACTATGTCCATATCGGCGATCGCAACGATGCTCGCCTGCGGGTAATTGGCTCTCTTCTTCAACAGATTCTGAGTGAACCTGCCTTCAACGTACTCCGGACAAAAGAGCAGCTTGGTTATGTCGTATTCTGTTCGACATGGGTACTGCCTGGATCGGCTGATTTTGGTTTACGGATCGTTGTTCAAAGCGAGAGGAATCCTACATACCTTGAACAGAGAGTGGAGGCCTTTTTGGTTAGTATGAGGGCTTTCATCAAGAATATGGAACCGAAGACCTTTGAAGAGCAAAAACAAGGATTGCAGAAGAAATGGGAGGAGGTTGTGAAAAACCTGGTTGAGGAAACAAACAGGTATTGGGCGCATATAGATTCAGGATATTTAGACTTCTTTAGATGTGAGTTAAGCACCATTCCCCAACTTCTGGTCGCTTATCAGGTTTCAATCTCTTCAACGTATAGTGGACACGAACCTGAATGTACTGAAGGACGTCAACAAAGAAGATGTACTTTCGCTATTCCAGTCTCACGTGGACCCTGCGTCCCCATCGCGGTCAAAAATCTCAGTCCACTTACGTTCTCGCAGACCTCGCCCAAAGAAGGTTAGTGTCGCAGCTGCAGATGCATTCGAGGGCCTGGCCAAGGCTGCTGGGGTCGTACTAGAACACGGGGCATGGAGAGAAGAGCTTGGTGATCAGTTGCCAACCACTAACGACTTTGGGAAATATTGGGCTGGTGTTTTTACCGAGTTGATGACAGCGCCGAATGTGTCACAGGAGCTTCTAGGAAAGATCCCTGCTTTGGTAGGACAATTTCCTGAAGCCGAGGATATTGAACAGGGCCTCCTCGAGGGAGCAACCTATATCGAAGATAGCAAGGCTTTCAAGTCTTCTCTGAGCACTTCTAGAGACCCGAGGCCTCTAGTCGAGTGGGGTGATTTACCTGCGGCGAAGTTTTGATTTTTGCCGTCGCTGGTACCTTTCCTCGATAATCGGATGTCGCATCTTGTAAAATGTTCTTGTTGCTAATCCACTTCAACATATACGTACTACTGTATACCCTAATGAAAGTTTCTTCTCATACCCATATGGCAAAGTAAACTGAAGTGTATGATAGTGACAGGTAGTACACCACGGGCTTCGCATTCCGGGTCATGATCAGGTGTGTATCGTCGCGTACAGTATGGCAAGGGATGCCATCATACAAGTCCCTGGGTAATCCAAGCTATGTCTGTCTTGTGCAGCTCAGGCCGTGTAAGTATCCGAAACTCTGGCGTTCCGCGGTAACTTACTTGTTCACAGTCCCACCACCTGGTGTGCTTAAATACTATTGCCCATGGTTGTCCCTTATTTTATCCTTGCGATTGCACCCGATTTTACTACGAAACATAAGGTGGATGTGAGACTTGTAATAGATATCACACTGCCTGCTAACTGGTGCTAGTCTTTCGTCAAATTCTGATGCCGCGCGCGAAACAACACAGCTAATAGAATCAGGTCAACCCGAACGTCGTATAGTACTATGACTCCACGATGCCTAAAGCAGCATTGGCACCGACAAGCCTCGTCGGATATTTTAACGTTTCGTTCAAAGGCGTTTTTATGCGCACTTAACGTAACAGCACAAGGTCGTGACAAATCGAGGAAAACGTCCGACCGTGGCTAATGCAGCATTCGACCGTATACGTAGCCGTGCCAACGCCTCAACCACTCAGGATACTTCCACGATCCATATATACTAATACTTATTATTCAGTGCTAAAATTCTCCAGATCTTACCAAGGCGCTATATTTATGTCTAGTTCTCTCCAGATATTCACAGTTGGCTATTCGTTCCTCCAAGCTCTGATCGCGACATCCAGCCTTCTCCACTCAAGATGAGTTTGCCTTGTGCATCCGTAACAACTACGAGGAGTGAGTGCTTACCCAAGTCAAGTGTACCGTGGTGGGGGGGTACCGGCCCATTAAGCTGCTGAAGATTCTACATTTCAGTCTTGGTGACCGTTTTCCACGCGTGTGCTATAATGACCACTACCTTTAGGCTATGGTATCGCGTTCGAAAACGGCGTTTTTGGTGGGACGATGGACTGGCTGCGATCGCTTTGCTGTCACTCTGCATTAGTTTGGTTTGTGTGTGGATAATAACGGATGGGCAGGGTACGTGTCAGTTTATTTGGATTAACTTAATATCTCATTATGTAGAACAGTTTCGCCATCAGGCGAATCAAAGATGTTGCACATTACTGCTGACTGGGGTGTTGTGACTACATTCACTACGTGTTTATGGTCAGTGTCCTCGTTATTAGCCAACGTCCCTGTTCAAATCTGGTGAAGGTTTGCTCGTATGAGCATCATGGTATCAATTGTGCGCCTAGCCCCACCGGCACTCAGGATACGTTACCTAGCCCTGTGTTCATCAGTACTCTTCGCTTTGATGTGGGTTGCACTACTCGTGCAGAAGCTTTATCTATGTGGACATAATATAGATTGGTACGATTCATCTACGGCCCAGTGCCGTCTGGCTTCTTCGGTTGCCATACTGCAAGTCGTTAGTGAGTACAACAATCAGCTCACTACTGTCTCTGCTCCAGTTTTTATATGCTGTTATATTCTAGCGGACGTCGTTTCAGATGCACTGTTGGTTGCTTTACCGATTCGTCTTCTGCGGAATGTCAACTTGCCAAAGAACCAGCGCAAACTGATTTTATCTGTCTTTTCAAGCAGTGTCTTAATCACACTCGTTTGCGTTATTCACATCATCTTTGTCATTAAACCTGCCGTGAGCCTGCAGACTATAACGGGTCAGCTCGAGGTACGCTTTATTATTCATTGGACCTTTCTGTGGTGGGAAAATAAATCGCGTCAAAATAGATCGCCCTTTCTTTGATCATCTGTAATCTTTTGGTCATCGTGACCTATCTTTATGGCGTGATTCGCAATGGCGAAGATATAGACGTTGGGCATCGAAATGGGTCCGTCGGCACGCACACGATCTTGTTCACGACAGTTGACCTAGAGCAACTCACGAGCCATCCAAGTGCGAGCTACACATCGACTGCTGATCCACAAGCGGTCAAGTCTGCATCCGATAGTGACAGTGTTCCAACGGTGGAGCCATAGCAGAGTATCATGTCCCAATCACGACATACATTGTGAAATAAAGAAATAACAGCGTCCTGGGTGGTTGAAATCAGGGCGACGGACGGTGGACCTGTTATTCTAGTTGTCTACAGGTTCTTTTGAGTTCGTATTTTGTATCGCTTATCCTGGGTACAGAAACTTGTATAACTACTGAAGTGCAGCATGCTAGGATGGCAGCTGCTCGTTACTTAGATAGCTACGTTTGACCGCTATTATTACCGCCCAGTGTTGCTTGCGACAGTGTTCTGTACAGGGATATGGCGCTACTTGACAATTGAGCCGCGACGGCAGAGTTCCTGGACTTCTTGTGGAAATTGGATGGCAAATTCATGTCGCGGATGTATGTCACGGGTACGAAGGCAGGTGTAATGCTATGATCGATGGATGCAGACTGTATTAGAACAGCGGTTCAGATACAGTATAAAAAGAAAATAACCCCTATGAAAATCTCTCCAGTACGCTATGCCAATATCAGTCTATCAGATCAGTACAACACTCGGGTTACTCATTTTAGCGCCCTTGGACTCAGAACCACAGGGTTGGGCGCCGTACCCTCTTATTGGCCAAGGTCATGCAAGGTTTGATTAACTATATGATCTCCCTACAATTCCGAAAGAGCCATGTGATATCGAGTTACCCAGCGTTTTGGGCCGCCTCTGCACAAAATCTTCCCATGGTTGGCCCATTTTGACAGCGTGGTTTCAAGGTATCACTACAATTATAAGAGAGTTTAGGTACATATGATACAACACAATATAGAATTCGACACTTGTTCACGGCCCCGAATGATATGATTTGGGCCGCACCCCCGCAATGTAAATCCGAATACCACTCATCGTTACATCGACGTCCGATTATTTTCCTTCCACCGTTTCCTTTGAAGGTGTTAAACAAAAAGACTGTTCGATCACCTAGTCTGGTGGTTTGTTGGAAACGTTTGAAGGAGGTTCATCAGATGCATATGAAGAAGAAGCCAGCGTCCAACCCTGAGTCATCTCAGACGTGAGATGATTGAGGTCAATGGAAGTGAGTTGTGATGCCGCGCTCGTGTCCCTAGTTTCCTCGCTGGTTCCATCAAACATGTCCAGTTCGTCTCGAAAAACACGGTACACGGATGTTACAGCAACTAGGAGATTGCACACGATCATAGATAATGCAACCTAAAATAGCATTATCAGATACTTTAAGTCGCACATGTAGTTTTGTTTCCACAAACCTCAAAATTTGACGCGGGACCAATCAGAGAATACAGACAAGTTATCTGAGCGGCTGCATGAAGGATTGAACCCAAAGATATCACGATACTTGAAGAGAAGAGAGATAGAATCATTCTACGTTGTTGTCTAGGCAAGTTGACGTGCCATAGTAATCGAAGTGGTATGACGACCAAGATTGTGTCTGATATACAGTCAGCTACAGATACAGCGAGGTCGCGGTGAGAGACTGAGACCAAAAAGTCGCAAGATACTTACAACCAACTTCAACTATCACCATGGGCCGCATCAAGTGGCAAGTCTTGTGCCAGCCGATTATATGACCACACATATATACCTTTTGCACAAGCAGACCCACCCACATCATCGCGAAAAGTCCGCCAATTCCGAAAGCGAGACGTCGCCGTAGTGGTGAAGGAGACATCATCCGTACTACTGAAAACACAAGACTCATGCGCACCGCCCTTCACACCATAATGATATAGGTGAACGGACAAGTCAATCCCAGAGACTGTTCCACATACCAGAGAACACATGTGAAAGAAAACATATACACCCAATAAGCTGCCAAGGACGTGTTTCCACCTATGAAAGATATATTTCAAGCTTTGATTAAGACATCTTCTAGTGTATAAAATACTTCAGAGAGGAAGAACGTACTGGGCGATGTCAGATACACCCAGTCAGCGATCAAAAACAAGGTACCCCATAGAAGGGCTATCGCAGCCCATCCATCCTCCCACCAAGCTCGTTGTAGTCGTATCCGATACCAAAGCCTGAAAACGGTCAACGATATGGCCAAACCTTGTAAAACAGAAGTTACGACTGGTTTCGCAGTTGTCAGCAAATATACATCAATTCTTATCGCAACAGGAACTCACTTCTCAAATTTTGTACGGCCCTAGACGCGACTACTGCTATAGTACTCGACGGGGACATTGTTTGATGTGAGTTTGCAGCTCTGCGTTATATAGCTCCAGCTGCGGCATAGAGCTACTCGACGGGATGCCAGATTCATGAATTCAATCGCCAGGCAACCTGTCGATAACTGCTCACCAAGGTGGCAGCGACCGGTAATAGTATGACGGTCCGTTTGGATATGAGCATACACCACATGTCTCCTTTATCATGTGTCGTAACTGCTGAAATGTTGGTGGAAAATGGTGTTGGGGAGAATTTGCATTTGCCGAACCACGCACTGACTTTTGCCGCGGACATTGTCGTCCTCCCGGATACTTCGAAACCGAAACCGATAGGTTGTTTGTGAAACTTTATCCTGCCGCTCACCCTTAGTTATATAAACTTAGTGGAAGACAAATGCAAAATCAAACCATGATGGACTGAATGGTGGTGCCCAGCTAATAAGTCGTAACGACGCGACTGCGTTGTGAGATTTGAATAAGTGGATACGGCGGCCATACGTCTTCGAGAACAGGAACATACCCCTGATGCGGCGTTGACAGGACGTCTCGTATTGGACTGGTTGGGCTCGGAGACCTGTCAGTGATAAGAAGGACCTTAAATTTTTATATTTTGAAGCATATAGTATTCTGGGAGAAACCGGGCTTCCAGTGGGCTTCATGCGGTGAAAAGCTGGCCATCGGGTAACCGCATCCGTAAACCACCTTAGCCTATTCAAAAAGTCAAACATAGACGTACAAGTTTTGAAATACACTCGGGGCTTGTCAGTTCCGCAAACTTGAACCTGTGCAAGAAAGAAACAATTAACCACTAGCCAAGGTTTGACATTCAATAGGCCCAAAGCAATTTGAGTTAAATAACTTGATAACTTACTATGGATCGGCCAATAGTTACTTGTGAGGTGTCACGGTAGCAATCGTGATGAGCGCTGAGCGCCACCGGTAGAATTTGAGTTGACATGATGCTCCGAGCTCAAGTCATGCCCGCCACTACTGCGTACAGCATTCATCTGCTAAGTTAGTATAATACAATCGCGGATTTACTACATTTGTATCATGGGTAGGAAATATAAATATTAATGAAACTACAAAAAGTACAGATATATAAAAGTAAAATCATACGAAGTCAAAGTAACTTAGGTACTCAAGATGTATTCCTCATGCCTCAGGCTGCGAACCCATATTGTGTGGCAACCATCCAATAATAATATATCTTCGCAAACCACACCACCGGGTAAAATCAGATAAATAGACGAAACTTTCTGCTCCCATCGTTTCTCATATCGAGTACCTTCACGAACACTCGCCAAAATAACCATCAATAGCGTTCATATAGCAGCCCGGGCCTCAGATTTCGCCAAAGAGGTAGTGGTAACCTCAGAAGCCATGCCAGACTGGTCTGGCGCCCTGGTTGTACGCATATATCCTGTAAGCTCACCGAGGTCTACCGTAGTGAATGATACCGGCCTTGTAGGCTGTGTGATTGCGCTAGTATAGTTGTCGCTGTCATCTTGAGTTTGTAAATTTCCGTCCTTTCGTAGAATACGATAGAGCAACGTGACTAGCACAAGAAGATTACACACTATCAGAGAAAGGGCGACCTGAAACGGGTCGATCACATCCAAATTAGCCGTGAAGAGAATCACGTACCTCAAAATTTACAGCTAGGTTGACGAGGGGGTGGATGTTTGCAAACTGGCAAGATGCATGGAAGAGCGATACTAATGACATCACAACACTAGTGGAGAAAATGCAGAGAATTACTCGACGTGCTCTCCGAGGTAGTTTGACGTTCCAGAGGAGGCGAACGGGTAACGCTACCAAAATTGAATCCGAGATGCAATCGGCTAAAATGGAAAATGGCCCCGAGAAAAATATGTTGAAAGCCACCACAACTGTGAATCATGGTACTCACCAGAAACCTCTGATATGATCATAGGTTTTAACAAACGACAACCAATTTGCCAACGCCAAAACCGGCCGCAGAGATATGCCTTTTGTACGACCAAGGATGCCCACATAACAACGAAGAGTGCGATGATACCTATGGCAATGTATTGACGGAGTTGTAAAGAATATGTCAATCGGACCACGGAGAACACCACGCTCATGCGAGTTGCCCTTAACAAGACCAGATTAGTCAGCTTAGTAGTGAAGCAATATCATTTAAGCTCACCAAACAACACACGTGAATGAAAATGTGTATACCCAATAAGCTGAGGTGGACGTCTGACCAGCTAACTTGGATTGAGTTTACGTTGGGTGAGAGTGAGCTGTCTGAGGCGCTTACTGGTATTTAGATATACCCACTCAGAAGCAAAAAATGATATCCCCAAGGCAAGTGCAATAGCAGCCCATGTATCTTCCCACCAAAAACGTTGTATACGTATTCGGTAGCTCAGTCTGATCATAGTCAAAAGTATAGCCAGACCCTGTAGCACAGTAGCTACGACTGTATAATGTTAATGCGTTTGCCTTGGTCCATGTTATTAGGACGCTCACCTCTTAAAGACCAAACAATTTGTGGGGAGATGCCAACCATTTTGATATGTAAAGTGAGTGCAGTAGCGCAGTAAAAGTCCAAGATATCTATATCACTGCGCTATTAGCCACGACTGTATGATTCAGAATGGAGACGCATCTGGTAAAGGCAGTTCTTTACATTCGGGTGCCTAGTGATTGAACTACGACCGACCGAGGATCGAGGATCGAGAAAGTCACGGAGGTTGCCAACGAACTCGACCTCGTCGCAACTAGTATCCAGTCAAAATCTCCAAAAGGATATATATCAGCATTGAATTGGCGGAGAAAATATTTCTTTCATTGGAAGGCTGCCAGTGCGTCGCATCGATATCATTACGTTTGTGATCGAGTGAAAGCTTGACTCAGAAAGGTAGATTATACAGTACAGAAAACCAAGAGATCAGTCCATAAGAGGCTGGCATGTACTCGCCACTGGAGTTGTTGGTGGTTGCCCTTAGCAGAAGTCTACAGAACCCCTGATGCCAACACCCTGACGACTGTAAAGAGCCAAGTGCGAGGTTCTTCAGGTTCGTGCGTGTATCCAATTTTAGTAAATCGAAAATGGACCATTGTATGGTCCTGTTCCTGAGTCCAGCGTGGCGAGGCTACAAATCGACTTATCAGATGCAATCTCATGGTATCAGTATAGAACATAGATATGCCAGTGACGCTGTGAGTGAGGTAGATGAAAGATGTTGCTCTATAGGTATTATGACAGCGGACGTACAGTGACAATGGAAGGACCGAAAAGAGATGCATACATAAGCGCAGTGCATATTGATGAAGGGTGTCTTCCTGCTCAAAAAAACGATAATACAATGAAAAGAGTTCAAGAAAGCACAAAAAGGATTTCAAAAATATAACCAGAGAAGAAACAGCAAGTGAGAGAATGCTACGAGCATAGGAATGCGGCCACGACACACTACTTCTTCCTGCCTTCTCTCATGGGTTTGCTAGCGACGGGAAGCGTTGGCAGCGCAGGTGGTACATAGTTTTTCAGACGCCGAAACAGAAGGACATGTGGTTCAGGTGCTTGTGGCATCGGTGGAGGCTATTAAAAAAGGTATTCTCGTAGGCCATCTAAGGGCAGCTCACCATGAACTTCATAGTGTTGCCAACCCAAACTCTGCGTGATACCGATACCTCTCCATTCCTCTTCCTCCAAGAGGCGCAAGGGGCCACGATGAACCGGATCCTGGAAGTAATTTTCCGGCACAAGTTTGAGTAATGGCTTCGGGAGAATAACGTGGCGATATTCGTATTTATCGTCTGAATAGCGATCGGAGTAATGAATTCTGCGAATACAAGGTGAAATTATGTGGCTTATCAGTCTCATCACGATCAGCCACTCACTTCTCGATGTATTCTTCAATTTTACTAGCCATTTTGAAGGTGCAGATATCGAATAAGACGTCTATCTACGCGTGTGTAAACTTCAGATGACAGTGAATGCAGAGACTTTGACAAGGATCACCGCCACGGCGGGATTGGTGGGCGGGTAAGTCACGGGAGTCACGGGAGTGACATGCTCATCAAGATCACGTGACAGACGCGGTAGTCACGCATAACATATTTGAAGTCGCGGGGATTGAAATTAGATTCCGTCAATAAGTGGGTTATCAGTTGGCGATTCGTTGTTGCATACATTCTTCTACCCACCATGGAGCGGCCAGCATGGAATAATGCACAATACTCTCGTCACAAAGAGGAAGACTATGGGGAAAGAATAGACTCATCTGACGAAGATATTCCTTACTATCGTCCTCGCACTGAACCTGGCCTAGGGTCATATCACCGCACCTCCCAGTCGGATTGCATAGACGACTACATGGACGATATGGGTGGCTATATGCTTTCCATTTTACCTCATAAAGTATCTAACTAGGCTCTAATGCAGAGTACTCGTCCCCATCACCCCCTGAGCGCCGTAGTCTGACTCGTCATCATATCTTACACCCTTTTAGCCAGCAGGATGCGTATAGTGAATCTCCACCGATGCTACAACCGCAGCCTAGCTGTCACTACGGCATTGATACTAGCCGCTATCATACACGGATGGCGTTCGATAGATACTCTCATCCACCTACCAGCTACGCTCCATTGCAGATGCTGGAAGCTACGCGTCAAGATATCTCCCCATCTTTCCTTTTTATCTGACTGACAAAGTCTCTTAGCTTCATTCCAACCTCGAGGCCCAAGGTCTGCGTTTGACACTGGTTCATCTCATCGAAATGCAGCAACAGCTCGTCATATTCTGCCCGTTACCTCTGACATTACCCACAATGTTCCCGAGACAATGCAACTGAGAAGGTTCAGCCCGCGTAATGAAAATTTATTACGTCTAAAACCGGTTTCCGAACTTCGTGAGTATCTGGTATGCTCTTATATTGTATTTATACGAAGACTTTGTGACTGTAGCCGACATGTATCGCAGTATTTTCAAATTTGGTGTCTTCAATGCCGTACAATCCACATGTCTGGATACAGTAAGTTTGAATTCTACTCTTCTCCCCTATCAACAGTTGCTGAACGTTCTTTCAAGATTCTTCACTCGGATGAGAACGTGGTATGGTTGATGATGTTGCTTACCTTTTTCGATTAACGGTTGTTTTAGATTATAAGTGGTATACCTTTTTATATCGACTGTAGCCACTATTATATCTACAGCATATATTTTAGCGCCTACAGGGAGTGGGAAGACGGTCTTGTTTGAGCTCGCCATTATACGCATGGTCTCGGCATCTTTCCCTACAGCAAAGACTGCAAGATGTGTTTATGTAGCTCCTACAAAGGTAAGCAAATATTGTGCGGCGTAGTCTGGTCATCTCAAAAATCTAGGCTCTGTGCACGGAGAAATATCAAGAATGGGTCAACAAATTTGGAGGTCTAGGTATCAAATGTCAGTCATTGCAATGGTGTCGCCGACGCACGCACTTAGCCATTGTTCTTAATGTAGGTTCTGAACTAACGGGAGACACTGTCCATTTTGGGAAGTCAGCATGGGGTGATGCCAAGAATGCTCAAATCATGTAAGCCAAATGCTAATGCATCAGTATAACAACCTCATTGAGCACCCTTACAGCGTGACTACGGTATGTCGGAAGTCCTTCATCAGCCTGTAGTAGCTTACAGCTTGGGAAGGGTGAAAAATGGGATAGTCTTACGAGAAACTGGTATGTTAACCCTCGTATACCAGGGACACTTCACTCTGATATATGTATCAGGGACGAACAGAGTCGGATTCTTTCACAAATACAGCTTTTTTTAGTTGATGAGGTGATTTTCCCCATACTACTGGTGTGTATGCGCTTGAATTGATGATTGACTTCCTGTTTGCTAGGTTCATATCTTAAATGAGTCTCGTGGCAGTACTCTCGAAGTAGTTGTTTCCAGGATGAAGGCACGTGGCTCAGGAGTCAGATTTGTACTAGTATCGGCAACCGTGCCAAACATCGAGGACGTCGCAAGTTGGATTGGAAGTCTAAAGTCTGATTGTCAACCTGCAAAGATATATCAGGTGAACGAGTGTGGCAAGTGTAACCTACAAACCAGCTCACTATTATCACATTTATGCAGTTCGGCGAAGAATTTCGACCTTGCAAGCTCAGTCGTTTTGTATATGGCGTACTGAAGCCCAAAAATCAAAATGATTTCGTGTTTGCCCACGTTCTTGACAGTCGCTTGTTCTCCATTTTGCAGAAGCACTCCTCAAACAAGCCTGCCTTAATATTTGTCCCGACGAGGAAAGGTGACACCGATTGAATAGTGCCTAGTATTGAAGCCATGATTGACTGTACATCGTTTGTAAAGGAACAATGGTTACCGCGAAGCACCTTGCCAAAGCTTATGAAGATGCTGTTAAATGCAAACAACCTCTACCTTGGTCTACACCTACCCAGTCAGTGGTGCTTGTACCGGGTAGCCCTTCCGAGTTCCTAACTATGTATGCATCCTTAGCATTGACCAGGATTTCCACGACAAAGATATTCGACGTGCGTTTTGAATGATTTTTCTTTTTTGGGGTGCACTGGTTATATTTTGGCATGTATAGTTCTTGCTGCCGCAGGTATTGGTGTGCATCACGCTGGTTTGAATTTCGAAGACCGAAGACTCATAGAAGATATGTTCATGAAGAAGACTTTACGGGTGGTTGTGGCTACTTCTGTCAGCGCCTTCTTACTCTTGCTTTTACCCATTTTTGACGCAAGTTCAGACCCTAGCTGTTGGAGTAAATTTACGTAAGAGTCCCGTATACACCCAGAAGATCGATAACAGTAATAGATTTTCAGCGGCGTACGTGGTTATTATCAAAGGCGTCAAAGTTTACCAGAATGGCGAGGTCAAAGAGTACTCCGATTTAGATGTCATGCAGATGATGGGTCGGGCAGTGAGTACATTTGAAAGTTTAATACATTATCGAGATAACACGCCGGCGTTCATTTTAAGGGCAGGCCTCAGTTTGGTAAGTAATAAAAACACATGTAGTCAGCATACTACCGCAATGTACTCATATTTCTCTCAAGATACCGAAGGTGTCGCCGTTATCTTATGCGAGGCGGAGCTCGAACACAAGTATCGAGCGCTTGTTCAAGGCACAACTAACCTTGAAAGCAGTCTCCATCTTAACCTTACGGAACACCTGAATTCTGAGATTGGCCTTGGCACGATCGCCAATGTTAGCACGGCGAAAGAATGGTTACAACATTCTTTCTTTTACCGCAGGATTCAAAAAAACCCGGGATTTTATGCAATAGGAAAAGGCGAGGGACAAAGTTGGCAAGAGAAAATTGACGAGATTATCATGGAAAGTGTGGTAAGGCTACAAGAAACTCAACTGGTTAACTATACCCAAAACGAAGGAGGTAAACTCAGTTCTACTGAATACGGTGATATCATGAGCAAGGCAAGTTTTTGTCGAAAACTCGACTTAGTGATAATATTGATAAGTAGTTCAGTTTTATATACGACAACAGACTGTATCAACATTTATTTATTCCGCCGCCACCGTTCCTGAAACAACCTCTTTACAGATGAATTCGATCATGAGTCTGCCGTTGGAAGCGACCGTGCGCGATATTGTAGGTTCTCGTGATGTCTCAACATTAGACTTCAGTAGTTAATGCCCTTTAGTTGGAAATGCTCTCTGCTTCAGAGGAGTCGTGTTTCTCTCCTTTTCATGCGCTGAATTGGCTCATTTATTAATGCCCAGCAGGCTGGCTGACTTGAAAATACGAAGCGGAGAAAAACAGGTTCACTCTCAACAATCTGAGCGTCCAAATGTTAACTCCAGGCCTAGATTTACGACAAGTTGCGATTACACGACGATATACGGTTTCCGATTAAGAAAGTCCAGAAAACAAGCGACAAAATATTTCTTTTGATTCAAGTCAGCTTCTAACGCATCATAATGTTGTTTTTTCTCACATCTTCTAGGCTGTCCTTGGAGGAATACCGTTAAGTGGTTCTGACTTCAGGGGCGGAGATAGTCAACCTCATTACGAGGCATTTGCTGTGTTCCGTCATATCTCCCGTATAGCTACAGGTATAACACCTTTCATCGAAAACATGGACCATACATGGCTACTGACGGTATCTCTAAACATCTGGATAGCCATCGTAGAAGTTGCGATAGTGAAGAAGAATGGAGCTCAAGCAAAGCACGGTTTGGAGCTGTTCGTCGACCACTTGTGATGTCTGTACTCGTACTCTTAACAATTGTGACATAGGGTCCGATGCCTACATGCAAAAGCTTGGGAGGATCGACCAGTGGTGCTTCGTCAGATAGAACACATAGGCGAAAAATCGTAGGTGGACTGTGCATCTCACTCGATTGGGGCTAATTGTCGTTCATAGTCTCAAGGTTGATGACCCTACTTCGTCGACATTAAACACTAACTTGATATTCATCCCTCATAGGTCCTTACTCAACATGGAATTAGTACGTTCAAAGATCTTCTTAGGCAGGATCCAATGAGAATAGATACAGTGAGGGCTCACTCTTTGGTTACTCGTCTTTCGACTGAAAGTATTGGTAGCTCCTCAACCGTCGAGCTCCTTTTGGTTTTGAAATTCTTGCTTCAGCTCGTCAGCTCCCAAAATATGATATTAGAGTCACCGAAACCGATATTACCCCAAGTAACGGAAAGGAGCCCGTTGAAATTGAACTATCAATTCAATGTGGGCTGATATCAGAAGATGCACCCCCTACCAAAGTTAAGAAGCAAAAGGGTCAAATAATCAATATGACAACTGTTCTGACAGTAACATCCGACCTTACCTTTATTGATTTTCGTCGCATCATGTAGGGATCGCCCTATCATATGAGAGGCCTTGTATATTGATTTTTTTCATTCAAGGACAAAAGCCCTGAAGGAGCCCAAGACATTCCTGATCAGCGCACAGTTGACTAAACCCAGCCAAGCCATATCTGTTTACGTCTCGTCGGTATATAGGCATTCCTTGCTATCTCTGAAACAGTCTAAGTTCTGAACCAGGACAAGATTGCTGGGCTTACCATAGTCCAAACCTATAAACCCAAGCTTCGAGCACATCAATATCCGACACTTGACACTCGGCCTCTCAGCTCTTTGGTACGCAACTTCTTGTGTTGAAAAATAATGAAAGCCGCTGACATATAATATCAGGACATGGATCTCGCAGGACTGGAAGACGATCCCAACTTCTGGAACATGGTCTTTGACGATGAGGACGTGAACGAGGAAACTGTATTGGTGAAGGATCTGACGAAACCTATAGGTCTGCCCCTGAGAATTCTACTTGAATGTTTTCGCTTACAGTTGCGCAGCTAAGTCTACACAGAAACAAAAGGTAGTCATGAAACCTAAAGGAGATATGGCACCCGAGCCTAGAAAGCGGCATGATGGTAAATATGAGTACGTTTCATAGGATTTCATTCCTCCACTAGAAGATAGACTGTCGTGTTTATTATCTAGATGCAACCATACCTGCAGGGACAAATTGACGTGCCGCCACCTTTGGTCCGTCTCCATCTTCCTTTTCTCTGCCATACTACCACTTCAAACCTTTGTAGCTGCCGAGAAGGATTACGCGAGCCTTCTCAAATGCCAAAAAAGCGACTTCAGCGAGACGCCGAGCACTCCAAGGAAAGTGACCAAGATCTTGGACCTTCGTTTAAAAGAAAGGCAAACCATGTCATTAAGCTGGATGACATATCAAAAGTCAAGCGGAACAAGACGTCCCACCAGTCTGATTCTGCACTACGTCAATTGGAAACTCTGCACAAAGGGGCCCATACTGAACGCAATCTGAAGCTATCAGAAGGCCAACGCCTCAAGCTTGCTAATGAGGTTTCCGGAGACTTCACACAGCGTAAATCGCGAGTAACCCCAAACTTCGACCTAGAGTTTACCACGCTTCGACGTACTAAATCACCTGCAGCAAGACATCTGCTTCATGGCGATCTGGACGATGAGGAGGAACTACCGGACATATCTAACCTCCTTCATGATGCTATCGACACTACTCGCCAAAGCAAGACGCCATTGTCTTCGGAAACCGGTTATTCAGACTCGGAAATAGATTCTCTTATCCGTAATTTGCCTTTGGAGGAGGAGGTAATCGAGCCACTCAATTCTCAAGGTCAACGAACTATATTTTGGAAGGCCGGTCACAAGAGAGAAAAATCCGTATCGCCGAGAAATGACCATTATGAAACACAAAATAAATCTCCTCCGATCAAGAAGCCGAAATTTGATGTAGATGGAGAATATCGTTTCGGCTCGCCCTCAGGCTTGCTCGATGACAAGGTGAACTCTGGCAGAGTTGACGCGATCCGTAAATTCATACATGAACACACACAGAAATCAACTTCTTCGGTATCGCCTGGGAAGGTCCAAAGGCAAGAACAGCTGTTTTTATCAAATTTCTCTGACCAGGATGAAGACACCCCTCGAGGAAACACTCTGAAAAGTACTGCACGCGGACATACAGACGACAATTTTTATTGGGACGAAAGCTGCTTTGACATTTTACCAGCTACTTCGAGTTTGACAGCGACCTTGTCTACTACCAAAGACGATAAAAGCCTGCACACACCTCCAAGTTGTTATACACCTACGCTAGTCAAGCAAGCATTCGTCAAGGATAGGACAAGACTTGTAGCTGGCGCGTCTGGAGGATCCATCGATGGAAATATCAAGATACGACGTTTATCTGGTGTCACAGTAGGGTCTTCCGAGCCCGTGTCAAAACCTTTCATGGAGACCAACACAACCTTGGCAACGCAATATCCAGAACAGGATGGGAAGACCACTGGGTGCGATCGTGATAATCAAGTAGATACAGAGCTGCTCAAGTACACTTCCCGGGTCAACCAGGATGGAAAACCCGAATCTATCTATGGTGACACCGATAACTTGGATGACCCTCTGGCAGAATTTGAACGATGGTTAATGAGTGGAGCTGTAGATATTATTGAAAACTGATTCCTCGCATTGTCCATCGTGTACGGATGCTACCCTGTATTACCGGAAATAGGATGAAAATAGTAAAGTTGGTTTACATTAAGTCCTAGCTATGCGAAAAGTCTTTATCTGTGGTTGTTCCCTCATTAGTGTCTGAAGGTGGGTCTCGAAAAACTCGTAATGCATTCCAGAATCTTTCGTCCCAAGCAACAGGCTGTTCAGCCTTGACAATCTCCCAGCCTTCGAGGTCGCCCCGCCACCTCAGTTCTTTCTTTAACCTCTCCGCTCTTAATTCCACTTCGGTCGGCGGCGGATGATTGATTTCGTCCTTTGTCGGCTCTCTGGTCCCCCTTGCAAGTGCGCGGGTGATCTCTAATTTAGCAGGAAGAGACTCGTAGTATGCCTTCCTCGCCTTTTCAATCTCTTCTGGAGTTGACGATAGCGACTTCTTATAGTAAGTCTCGGCCTCTAAATCGAAGTCTAAGTCACCGCCTGTTAATGAGAACTGACTAATAGTTTCCAACGTCTCTATATCCGACACGGGTAGAGGCTGAGGGGGGGCAAAAGGGCGGGTTTCCTTCATAATGAGTCGGAAAGCTGCTTCCGAGCCCGAACGGACCTTATGACGCTCATTGAACAATCCCCAAAGCATAAGGGGAATCTGTTTGAACCCAATATAATTGGTGAAAGAGACGAAGAGGAAAGGCGGAAGTGCTGGGATAAATGTAGGTGGAGAATTCTTGGAAAGTGGGATTGCGGTATCTTGAGTAACAGATGGTTTGGCTACTGGAGACGACAGCTGAATAGGAGAATACAGGCCCGCACTTCGAGAAGGTGGAAGACGAGAAGGTGTTGGTATTGGTTCCCCATCCAGCTCTTGCACGCTCGCTCCAGGATCCAAAGGTTCGTCAAATTGTCCATCAGATGCAAGTTCTTGAGCCATGAATTCCTCTTTATCCACTTTCTCCAGACCCTCTGTCCAGCCTCGTTTTAATCCTACCATGAACTCTTTATAGGTATGTCTTCCTACTATGATAAGACCACCATCTAGTTCACGTTGACGCTGGACTTCTGGCGTGGCAAGACTTGGAAGGGCCATCATGCTCTGAACTGGTTGATCTAAGCCAACTTCAATCCTTCGTCTGGACTTAATCTCCTCAGCGATCTTGTTGGTCAAGTCTCCGTGTCGTTTGCCATTGATCATTTCGTAGTCCACAGCTGCGGCAACTAGGATGGGCTGTAAAGCTGTGATGAACACAATACGGTACTGCAAAGATAGGGCAGAGGAGAATGCAGACCTTGACGTACTTTCGGAAGTATTTCATACTTCTGTCGGACTCCTCATCTCCAGGCCATTTGCATCCGTAGACGGTGACCTTGCGAGGTAAGTCCATGCTGCCCAAGGGTTCTTCGGCAAGACCCTTTACACGATCGACATAATCTTTTCGTATTCTTCTACATTCTCGCCTGTCATAAAGGTAGTAGCTCGCGATAGAAGTGGTCACTGTGAGGAATATGAGCCAGTTCCGAGAAGGAAGTTTGGGCCGCTTGTCTAGCCATGATGGAGGTATTCCAGTGTACTCTAAAGCCGCCCTTGCTCCAGACTTTGGTGGAGGGAGAGGCTCGGGATGTGCTCCGCCAGCATTTTGAGTGCTCATGCCAAACTGGCAATGCGTTTGCAAGCGTCCGAGTGTAACTGTAAAATTACAAACGTCCAAAAATTCTCGGAATGAGTCCGTACTTGACCTGCGCAGTAGGGTTAGGGTCAGACGACTTGCGCCACATTACAAATAAGCGAAAACAAAGCGGTGTAACCCATTGCTCAATGAGTAATTCGTTCCGGTCAACTTCGAGCTTTTATCTAACATGGCTGCACTTGCTGCGTATGTCTTATGTTTATGAAGCCGCTATCAAAGAACTGACCGTTGCTTTTCAGTGTACTACCACAACCGACTTTTGGCCCTGTATCCGACGACGAGGAAGAGATTCAACAAACTCCTTCTCAGTCACTAGTTACTAGAATCTCAATACCTCCTTACGGACAGCGTGTGGGATGGAGGCCAAAGGGTCCTGAGGATTTTGGTGAGCTGAGGATGCATAATTCTTCTTACATCCCTTTTACATTGTGTCAGGCGACGGAGGCGCCTATCCTGAGTGTCATGTTGCTCAATATCCTTTGGAAATGGGCAAGAAGAAGGCGAGTGTGCCTAAGGAAAACCTGTGTGCCAAATCTAACACTTATTCGCATATTATAGACTGCTGCAGGCAATACACTTGCTCTTCAAGTGGATGGCGAAGGCAATGTCCGCTACGATGCCATTGCTCACCAAGGCCAGCGTTCGTCGAAGATAATACAGTCGCAGTTTAAGGACTTGGTACCCCTTTCCCACCGAAAAGATCTTGACGAGTCTGCTCGTGAAATGGAGCGTCCTTCCGAAGACGAGGTCCAGGCTACCGCAGACAAGACTCGCGCAGCCCTTGAAAAACTTGTTAACGGCAAAATTAAGGCAGCCCAGCCAAAAAATGTACCAGACGGTCAAGGGAAAACGTCATATATACGATATACACCTGGGCAGCAAAATGGCGAAGTTGGGCTCAAACAGCGAATCATCAAGATGTCAGAAGTTGTAGAGGATCCACTCGAACCACCACGATTCAAACATAAAAAAATTCCTAGAGGTCCACCTAGTCCTCCACCGCCCGTTCTTCGTAGTCCACCAAGGAAAGCAACCGCCGCTGAACAGAAAGAGTGGATGATACCTCCTTGTATATCGAATTGGAAGAACAATAAGGGTTTCACTATTCCTTTGGATAAGCGTCTTGCAGCCGATGGAAGAGGACTCCAAGATGTGAGTATTAAATCTTTGCCGTTAGCATTTGCTAATCAGGTGTCACATATATTCTTTGTAGGTACATATCAATGATAACTTTGCTAAGTTTTCGGAAGCTTTATTCATAGCAGATCGTCATGCTCGTGAAGAAGTACGGCAACGAGCTCTTATGCAACAGAAACTGGCGCAAAAGGAAAAAGCTTCGAAGGAGGAGAATCTCCGTATGCTCGCACAGCGTGCCCGCGAAGAGCGAAGTGGTATTGCTCCACCCAAACCTACGGCTGAATCTCGTGCGGCTGTAGCATCGGCCTTAGGTGGATACGGTAGCGGCAGCGAGAGCGGTAGTGAAGAGGAAGAGGAGGCAGGAGGCAGTGATGACGAGGAGGCTCGCAAGATCCGAGATGACATGCGTGCAGAGAAGCGACGTGAACGTGAGCGAGAGATGCGTATGTCAAACATGGGTGCAGAACAACGCGCGAAGCAGCTTGCACGACAACAGAATCGTGATATCTCGGAAAAGATTGCTCTCGGTCTCGCCAAGCCAACTATGTCAAAGGAGTCTATGCTTGACTCACGGTTATTCAACCAAGAATCGCTCAGTGGATCGTTCGCAGACGATGAGAGCTACAATTTGTTCGATCGGCCACTATTCCATGGTTCTAGTGCAGCCGCAGCAATTTATAAGGCACGAGGTAATATTACGGAGGGTAACGAGGAGTCGTTTGGAGGTGGCACTGAAGAAGGGATTGGCAAGGCGATGGATAATGATCGGTTTGGACTGGGCCAGGCCAGAGTTGGGTTCGAGGGTGCGAAAGATCAGGAGGTCAGGGAAGGACCCGTGCAGTTCGAAAAGGACACGGGTGATGTCTTTGGTCTTGACAAATTCTTGGATGAAGCCAAGACAGGGAAGAAGAGAGGTCTGGATACTGAAGTGTGAGTCCTCATCTCGCTATGATGATCTGCGCTTCACATTGACATGACAATAATTCTACAGTGGTAGTTCCCGGAAGCGGCAACAACTGGATAAGGCAAGCGAGTTGGAGTGATAGTCTGTATTCATGCTGTATTGTATTTGTGAACATTTTCTAGTGCCATGACGGGTCCACTTATGGTCCCTAGGTTACTCCGTTACTCGCGTGATCTGAAATTTCCCCTGGGACCTGATCATTCAGGTTACACTGAGAACATCATTGCTATATCATTCGAATCAGATGCTTCAATGTGAAGGCTAGAAACACAGCCGACGTAAATCTATCATGAAGAAATGATACTAGTCAATGCCCATGCTCTTTGTTGATAAGTACATCGAAGCGTTCTTAGACAGCCACTAGGGATGATTGTTTCTACTTAATACGGCTTGAGTGGTAACTATGGAAAGCTTCTGTAGAAGCCAACTGACAACATGTAATTTTGGGCTGATTTCTTTCATTTCTAGGTTAACCCGTTGGTACAAAGCGTCCTCGCTATATACGTTGTAGTATGTATGTCGTAGAATATGATTTTGGGAGATGGCCCACTGTCGAGATGCGTTGATGCTGATTATTCGGATAATTATGTGGGACGACGTGGTTGTGGGATAGAACCTAATTAGAGCCATCATTTGTTGTGACCGTTGCCTTCGTGAGCATGTGCCTTGTCTAGTAGTAGCTCGGTTTCCCTCACATTCTTTTCTCTTCTTTCCATCCACCTTTGTCTCTCCTCTCTGGGTTGCTCGTCGTGCTGAGCATTACTGCAAGGGTCTCGTTAAAAAGGCCCATACCCCACGTTCTTTTACATCACATTCAGCTAGCCAGCTGTACCTCCACGGTCGAAACATACAAGCTTTTCGTTTTTTTTTATTCTGATAAGTTATTCATCATGCATTCTCAAATGCGACGCCTGCCTGCTGAGCGGGCGCGTCACGCCAAACGACGTCCTGCTGCTTCGCTAAGTGATCCCTTGGCTTGGGAAAACCCTGGCAGTGATCCTGCCAATCTATTTCCACTTGGGAATTCAGCAGCTAATACCAACAACAACGTCGACGCGGCAGCGCCTGTTCCACCCCTCATACCGCTTCCAACTACATCAGCTCAGACAACGACAAAAGCTACGGTGACTTCAAGTGTAAAACCTGTAACACCGTCCTCGTCTACGTCACCCGCGGTCACTTCCAATACCACAACAGTCGCATCGGAGAAGTCAGTTCTTGCTACTAGCACTACCGCAAAACCTACCACAGCGACATCTACCTCTACCTCTTCTTCCACCTCCTCCACCCCCACCACCACCTCTTCATCCACCCCTGTAGTCACTCCTTCTACTCCTCCCCCTCCGAGTACCAGCCAAGCGGCCCAGACCTCAATGGTCATCGTAGTACCTACTACGAGTCCTACCATTACCGCTAGCCCTAACGATGCTGCTACCAGCGGTGCATCCCAGAAGGGCCTCTCGGGCGGTGCGATCGGCGGCATCGTCGCGCTTGTCGTGCTTGGTGTGCTTGCAATCACCGTGTTCATCGTCCGCAAACGCTATCTTCGCAGACGCCAGCGCCGTCGCAACACTTGGGGTGCAGGTATATTCCCTGACCCCTCCGACTTCGAAAGGGACAGAGATAATTCCTTGTCTTTTAATGAGAAGCCACTTCCTGCCTCTCCCGCGGCTCCACTGTCACCTTTTGACATCCATGGGACATCAGTGTATACTGCTGCTGCTGCGCCACCTCCCATGCAATCGCAGATGGTGCAGCACTCACCAGCTTCCTATACCACATTCCCGCCACCCCCTCCGGCATCGTACAATAATCCTATCATGCCGAATGCATTTGGTACGCCGATCCCTTCCATGTTGACACCTGGTGCAACCGCCATTGTTGGGATGGCACGCGCTGCCGCAGGTGGCTCACCCCAGCCAGCTTCTCCTCCTATGGCACGTATGCCATCTCTCAGCCGCAATGAAACGACTGTCAAGTACTCTTTCATCCCCAGTTTGCCAGATGAATTGTCGATCTCTACCGGCGAAAGGGTGACGGTTTCTGGGCGATACGATGATGGTTGGGCTCTTTGTATCAATGGGAGGGGCGAGCAGGGAATGGTCCCACAGGAATGTCTGGAAGACACGGACAAGGCTCAAGGTCCCATTGACCCGCCGCAGTACCAGGATGTAGGTGATTGGAGAAATGCGAAGCGTAAGAGTAGTTTAGCTCCTGCTGGGGACAGGATGTTCTAAGTCAGTCAGTGAATGATGAGCGGGTGGATGGTGAGCCTTTCTTGATGCGCAGCCGCATTTTTGGTTGTTGATCATGTCGTGTTCAGGCTCCACTATTTATGAAGATACCCAGTCTCGAATCTTTCTTGGTGTTACTCGTGAGATGTGTTACTCCATATTTTCTGTGTGTTCGATGCGTCTTTTCATCGTTGCTGCCGCTACTGTTGCTTGTTACTATGACTTGTTTCAGGGTGGTGGCTAGGTAATGTAAAGATAAAATTTTGTATTTCTTTTCTCCAAGTTTCTATCTTTCGGTTGTGTTTCACTACGGTGGTATTAGAGGTAGTTGACATGGTGTTCGGTCTGTATGTGCAGTCAATTCATTCGATGGAAGGTTTAATATACAGATCAATACCTAAAGCACGTGTAGTGCCTTTGATGATTCCACCAAGTCTGGCGACCGATTTATCCGGATTAGCGTAGCGAAGGATACAGACATTGCCTTGCCTGAATTCTGAATTCACGCTATCAGGATCCTTTATTAAACGCAGAGCGTTCTTCAGAAAACGTGAGGTTGATATGACTGGTTAGCATACTGCTTGCATTGGGCTCATTGGCGTCGTAATAGCCGCGGAAGATGAATTCCAGGCTGCGGTCAAATATTATTTGCCAAGTTCCTTGCAATTGTGACTTATGTAAGGATGGATGACACTTATATGGGCTAGTTTAGTGCCCAAAATAGAGTATTTCGAACAAGTAGTGCTTGTGGCATTGTGGTCCAAAACACAATTGAGGTTGGTCAAAAGACCCTATCTAAATTGTCCGAGTCTGTCCATCACGGACAGCCTGCTTGCCACAGCAACGAAATACGGTATAAGGGTCAACTTTCCCTACTTTGCCTTTTATTCAAACATCGATACCATACCACCCATCTCGTAGTCGACGCTGTGGACTTACTTTCGACATGATTAGCCCAACAGACGAAGGATTCACGGATCAAGACATTGTAGTTCTCTCAGCCCACGGTTTCGGGCAGCTCAGCAGTGCCAGTGGCATATCGGACAGTACACCCTTCACTTTTGGCACCAGCGCAGGTCTAGAAGCCAGTTCAAGCTTTCTTGCTAGTCGCGTTCCTTGCTTGTATGACTATGCGCCAAGGTCAAGGAAAGGAAAAGGTATAAGTCTAGATACCGGAAGAAACAGGCACTTCCAAGGCACATCCGAAAGACAACGTGAAGGTTAGTTATAGTGTTATTCATTTGGCTCACCAGTGCATTGACTGATCTGTTCGCTTCCGTTGACTATACAATGAATATCGCACGCCTTGCTTTTGACGACCTTGGATTTGCTCACACCTCGATAAATCGTACTATAGAGCTTGCATACAAGCTTCTCGCATCTCTGCCACGCTCACGACTTGCTGGAATACAGAGACGTATTGCTCCATTACTACACTTTGATCTCGTCGGTGTGAGTTGATCGTCCTCTAGTAATTGTGATCCAACTCATATATGCTGTTGTCTCAGTCTCTCCCAGCAGAACTATCCCTCAAGATTTTTTCCTATCTTCCATCATTCTCTCTGCTTACCTGTGCACTTGTATGTAGACGGTGGCGCGTCCTTGCTGATGATTCGTCTGTCTGGCGCAGTCTTTGCGAAGAACGTGGATGGGCGTGGCGCTCAGATGCTAGCTCTGCACTCCGTGGCAGTAAACGTGAGGATGGCCTGTCAAGAGGGAGGGTTAGAGGTGAGGAGGGGGATGAGGATGAAGGCATGGGAGATGAAGAAGAAGGCGAAGGCGAAGGGAGCGGTGAGGACGTGAGCGAAGTGCTGGAAGTTCATGGTGCAGATGAGGGGCAAGAGATAGAGATGGATTCAGGTTTCATGTCCATGAATGCCGAAAATATCCCATGCATGGCATGCTGGCTGATCTGACTCCAACGACCACACCAACTCCCTCTCGACCCTCCACCCCATCCACCCCACGCGCACTTCCCTCGTTTATCACGGCTCTCTCGCAATCGAAATCGGCTGGAACTAAAGACCCAGACTTCAAGCTTCTGTACCAGACTCACACACTACTCCATTCTCGGATACGTCGTGGTTTGTATCGTGTGCGGACCCTGCAGGGTGCAGAAGCAGGCGGACACAGCACTGCGATATACTGCCTGTGGCTTTGGACATACCCCAACGTGACCCCCCCGCATCAAGTCCTGTTTACAGGCTCTAAGGATCGTACTGTTCGCGAGTGGGATTTGCGAACAGGTCTAGTTCGTCGTGTACTTGGAGGCATACACGAGTCAAGTGTGCTCAGTCTCTGTGTGGCATCATGCAAGATCACAAACGCAAATGGTAGTCTTGAGGAGACTAGTTTGCTGGTGAGTGCAGGTAGTGATAGGCGCGTTGTTGTATGGGACATTTGCGCAGGAAAACTCGTAAGGGTCATGCAGGATCACGAAGACAGTGTACTCTGTGTGAGGATAGAGGGCGGGAGGCTAGTTACGTGTTCCAAGGGTACGATTTTCAGTATGCTCCTTCTCTCATTACACTCATACTATTGCTTCAGACCGAACAATTCGAACATACGCGTTTCCATCGTTTGTTCCGCAGTTCGTGTTTCGTGGGCACCGTGCGGCAGTGAATACTGTCTCTGTTGTGGGCGATATCATTGTATCTGGATCGGGAGATCGCTCAGTGAGAGTATGGGATGCTAATAAGGGGACTTTGGTTAAGACCTTCGGGGACCACCATGCAAGAGGGTAAGCTCGAGTTATTATATATTCTTGCTCTTGTTACGCTATCATACTTTCATCGTGTTATTGTTATTACACTTCTGTTTCACTCATTTAACAATATTTATTCACTTTTTTATATTGCTCTTCTTATCCGTATCGATGCTTACCTATTCATATAGAATCGCCTCCATCGAATTCAGGCCGCCTTTCCTGCTATCGGGTTCATCCGACAGCCACCTTCGCATGTTCGATATAGCAACGTCGAAAGGCTGGTCGACATGTCCCAAGTTTGATGACCCTGCTCCATCCGACCCTCCGGAAGATGAGGCAAGTCAATGGCCGCAGATACTAGGTGGTCCATCCAACGCACAAAATCAGCACCAACCGGGCCAATACAGTCTTACAACGCCTTGTGAGGCTTGCGGTCACGTCCCTTCTGTGTCTTCGGCCGCGCCTGCCCCAGGAAATAGAAACGAACCCAGGGGGTCGCATTCGAATCTTGTGCGGAGTGTTGCTTTAGGAGACCAGTTCGCGGTTAGTGGAAGTTATGATTCAACTGTCAAGGTTCGTGTGGATTACTAGTTTTAATCACCATACGACTTGAATTAACTCGCTGTATCGTAGGTGTGGGATCGCAAGATGGGTGCATTGGTGGCTGATTTGACTGGAGGGCATACAGGAAGGATATTCAGTATTGGATCTGACTGCACGAAGGTTCGTCGGTATAATTCTTGACGTCAGCATTTCCTCGCTGGCCGAACGATACGCTAATGCGAATTTGTTGTTCCTGTAGATTGTTTCCTGCGGGGGGGATCAGGTGAGTACTGAGCGATCACCGTGTCCTTTCGTGGAAGTTGTGCTGACCAAAATTGTTCACAGAGGATCTGTATATGGGATTTTTCACATGGCATTGATACGTCTTTCATCAAGTTGTAATTTTTGTAGCTTTAGGCAATGCAAAGTAGGTCTCGTGGGTGCATTTAGTGTGGTCTGGATTGCAAATGTAGACTATGCTTCATCAGCATATTCTTCTTCTGGACCGGTTCTGTGGGCTACGGCGGCCAAAGTGTGCTGTAAGAATGCTATTTATATTGATTATGTCCACGCATGACGGCGGGCGGAGCGTCTGTTGATTAACTTCTGTTGCCTTCCTGACTCCAACGAGGTTAACTCGAGGGCAAAGGGGTGGGTCGTTTCTTGGTTCGATGGCACTAGGGCTGACTCTGGCTTGGCCCGTATGACTTCGCAGGAGAAGTGAACCAAACTCACTCCCAGAAAGGTGCCGGTTCGTATTCTCTAAAGGGTGTGATGTCACATGACGTCATATATTGAGTCGGTATAACAGGTTGAACCAAACCGACCTTCTGTTCATTTTAGATCCAACACGCTCCCTCGACCTCGACCTCAACGATGAACTCTCTCCTAGGCCCCCTTGGCCGTTCAGCTGCTCTCCGTCGCGCCCCTCTTGCCTTGCGTCGTCCCTCTCCACCATTATCCTCACTAACATTGAGCACACGACCTACACAAAAGCGCCCAATACCACTTGCTGCGGTCCACGCGCGCTTCGTAGCAAGCTCAGTATCAGGCCGTCCAGGTAGTCAGACCATTGGACATGCTAAACAGAATGTCAAAGAAGAAGTCGGCAATTCTGCAGCTGATTGGGCACGTTCCATCGCTGGTGGTATATTTGCCCTAGACAGCGTGAAACCTTCAAAGGAGTCTTTTGTAAGTACCCATATTACCATGCAGAGAATCTATCGTCATATTTATATTCAACATTAACGTGATATAGTATGCAATCACAAGTGCTGTTGCAACTTCCGTGCCCGCTCCATACCTCGTGATGGGTCTCGCAGGTTCGTGTGATTATATGCGTCGTATAAAGGCTTTGGTCATAATGGTGAATTTTAGGTGGTTTACCATACGTGGCTTCTGCGGGTACCACCGTTTATCTTGCTCACCAAGCTGGCCTGGCGGCTATGGGCACGGTCACTAACATGGACCCCGGTGTTGCTCTCACTATCCTTGACCAAGCCTTGACATTCCAAGTTACGTATGGTGCCGTCATGCTCTCATTCCTTGGTATGTCACCCTACTTGAAGGCCTCGTATTGTTTCCTGATAAACCTTCATCTGTCAGGTGCATTACACTGGGGGATGGAATTTGCAGGACAGGGTGGTCACAAAGGCTACCCACGTCTCTTGCTCGGTGTGACTCCCGCTGTCGTAGCATGGTCTACGATCGCTTTACAGCCCACATCAGCTCTTATATGCCAGTGGATTGGTTTCACTGCGCTGTGGTACGTGGACAACAGAGCGACAAGCGCAGGTTGGAGTAAGTGACTGTATAGGTCTTCCGCCCAGGACAAATGTTGAGCTGATCTTCGTATCCAATGTGTAGCACCAAAGTGGTATTCTCAGTATAGATTCTATCTTTCCATCCTGGTTGGGACATGGTAAGCCGCGCTCGCCCCATATCACTTGACCTGTCACCTGACTGGCTTTGTTCAGCATTATCGGTTCTCTCGCAGGAACTTCATACTGGGGACCTGTGGCGGGCCATGGCCTCCTATCACACGATCTTGAGAGAATTCGCTCCATCCGGAAAGAGTCGCAGCCTGAGCGAGCAGGCTTTATTGGTGGAGACATTGAAGCCGTTGCGGGTGATGAAAAGTCAGACTCATACGTTGTAATCAGGAAGAAAGAGAAGAAGCAGGAGGAGGGTGAGAGTCGGGAACAGTAAATGAATGGATGACAACCTTAATATCCAAAATATGGCTGTAGGATAGTCGACGACGGACATTTGCATTGATTGCGTAGTTGTAAGCTGTTGTACGAGTACTTATTTGTTACCTACTGTATCGTGTATTGCACAAACCAATTGTATAATTATCAAACGATTATGGTGCGATTATTTCCGACGCTATCACAATTAAAACATTCGCTGGCGCACAAACAACCGTATCGCGAGTTGTCCTGCGTACAAGTAGTAAAAAACAATGAATTAGTTTACAGCAATACAGTAACGATCGATCCAGTGTCCGTGGTAAGTTAGTTTTTAAGTTTTACAAGACATTGTTTCCACCTAAGTGACCATTATATCGCTTCGAGACAACCTCATCCCACTGTGCAACAGATTTGGGTTCATCAGAGATGCCAAGGAGCGACCTGAACTTCTTCAAATCTTCGACATATTCCACCTTCTTTCTGAAGTCCTTCCAGCTGTCATTTTCTACAGGAGACTGCTCGACCAGCGCAGGAAGCTTTTCGAAGAGGGCTGTAGACTCCGCAGAATCAACGTTCGCCTCAGTAAAGACCTTCTCCCAGTACTTCCTGAATTCAGCCACAACCGGCAATTCATCGCCGAATGCTTGCTTCCATGCGATCTTCTTCACCGCTAGCTTGGCGTCCTTGACCAGGCTTTCGAAAGCCCCAGCAGCGGTCGGGCTGACTCTCTCTTGCATCGAAGAGCGCAAATGTACGGAAAGCTTGGAACGGGTGGTCGATGATGGATGTACTTGGCGCATGAACAGATCGAGTACTTCGTCTTTCGTTACGTTCTTAAGGAAGGCAGTATCATATTCACCTGATGTTTCATATCAAGAGTTTTTTTTAGTTCAGCTGGAAGGAAGGCAGTCGTAGCAAAGTTTCACTCACGTCTGCAGAAATCCAAATGTCCGGTCTCTATCTGCGCCCAAAATCTGCCGACCTCTTCGTCTAAACTCTTGTCAGTCTCCATCCACGCTTTCCCAAGGCTTGCTTTCTGCTCCTCGAACGTGTCCAGATCCATCTCTTCTATCACGCCCTTCATCTCCTCAAAGAACGTCTCCACGCGCTCTTCCAAGAACTCTGGCTCCTTCTCACTCTGGACGACCACTTGCAGACCGAAATGGGCCGAGCCAGCTAAGAATCGCTCACTGCAGTATACGACGTAGCCCAGCTGTTCTTTCGTCCGCAGGATGTTGAAGGCAGGCTCAGAGAGTATTTGACTGAGGATATCCGCAGTGACGCGTAAACGCCGGTCATTGCGTTTGCCAATGTGAATGTAGTACGTGATAGAGCAGTTGGGTTCGTCGACGTTAGGGTTCAGCTTGGAGATGACATAGTTCGACTCTGTAAATAAACAAAAAGAGTGTAAGCGGAGTTTATGAGCCAGCGCATACGAGGAGACGAACTTTCGAGGGGAATGAGGGCTTTGTTAAACACCGGAGAAGAAAGCGGTCTAGAGTCCAAAATCGCCTCAGTCATCTTTATCAGAGAAATGGCATCCTGCGAAATATCAGAATACGTTCTGTAGGCGTTGAGAGATATAGCACACACTTCTTCACTCATGTTTCCCACTAGCAAAGTTTGGACCTTCACCTCCGAAAGGAGATTGGTGATGTGATCTTGCAGTTCATGGGCCGTTATATCTGAACGAAAGGGATGTTAGTTTTTTTGGCATGCGCATATGAGGTAAATCCTTCTACCTGGTACTTCTCGCAGCGTTTCTTCCAAAGACCAATAAGGCTCTCTCAACGACCAGTTAAGAACAGCACCCGAAACTTGATGAGGTGAACTCAGATAGAAATTCTTGTAATCTAATTGGAGCTGAGAAAGTAAGCAATTACGCGTTAATGAAAGGGTACAGCCAGAATTCAAAGAGACATACCTCATCTTTCATAATTTCCAGTCTTTCCGTATTGACTTTCATGCTCTTTATACTCTTCAGCAAATACTGCGTGAGCATACTCAGTTTGTCGGTGTACCCATTAATGACAAAATAGACTCCGAGCGAGTCTGCGCCAAAGGTAGACGATAACCCAGCGAGTTCAGCGTTATACGTCGACTCTTCAAATGCATCGACGTATATATCGACGAATAATCTGACGAGGATCAATCAAGATGTGTGTGTACGCATACAGTGAATGAACTTACCGCGTCAACACACATGCACGAGGAGACTTGTTTGCCAATGGGCTACGATTAAACCAGGGTCAGATTGTGATGAGAAGAAGAATAAAAACACTCATCACCTGCGAATCTCTATTGTTGCATGTGACTTTGGCAGCCAGAACTGATCGTCCGTCTTGTACCAGAGAGAGGAAATGGAGGTCTCATGAACTAGACGAGGCCTTTTCTGTGGCTGCATATTGAAAGTTAGTGGGTGTAAGATATACATGGAGGGCGCACGAACCGAGGGCATATCTGTCTTAGTGACAGCAAGATCTTTGGGAATATAAGGATTTGGTTCAGGGAGATGCAGCTCTTCTATGTCGTTCGTCTTTTTCGTCTGCTCGTATTACTGAATGAACGACTTGCAAATAACCAAAATCTATATCACCCTTACCTGATCAATAAAATATTTCTCCCATTTCTCAACGCAATACTCGGCTCCAAACCATGGCTCCTTTTCCCATTGAACTCCTACTCGGCCGGACTTCTCGTGGTCTTCTTTACGAGCCATGAGCATCACTCTTGCCTTGTCGAGGGTAAAGCCACTCAGTAGATCTTTGATGACATTCTCTTCATATTCTGGGTCTTCCCAATCCCATGTCGTCTGCGGAGCAGTCAAAGTGAGTTCAGGGGGTGCAGGCCAAGATAGATGTCGGGAGATCCAGATGGCATAGCTGTCTTGAGGAACTCTGTCCGCGAAATCAAAGAGCATCCGAGTTATCTTGCTCACTTCACTCTGATGGAATGAAGAGATGGAGGATTCCTTGAGGAGAGAGATGAACTTGAAAACATATTTGAGCACCGAAAGGTAACACGCTATATCAAAGCCATCATGAGTTTCTCATCATCGATGACTGATATGAAACATTAGTCTCACCAAATCCATCCTCGGTGAGCATGATGGTGATGGAAAAGAAGTCAAATCCTTTGGACCCAGATAGTCCAGAGTCCAAAGTGGTGATCCAACCCTTCTTCTTCAGATAAGAACATAGGGACCCAGGACCTTCGTGTCCGATGAAATGGGACAGCAAGTCTGCGTGTTTATATCGCCAGTCAGGAGGCTGATATTTCAAAGGGAATGTCACTTGGATAGCATGTATGGCTGCAAGGCTTTGCACATGTATGAGTGTCTGTAAAATGTTGTAAGTGCTTGGTTTCAACCTAGATCGAGCTCGAGCCATAGCTCACCCCTAGCTCATCGGGTCCGTACGGGTGTTCATTGGTCAAAGGAAATGGATGTTTTTTGCGATTTTGAATAGGTGAAAATAATGTCGATACCATGTCCGATAGTTCATCCAACGAGTCTAAGTGTTAGATATGAGGTGGGCTACTGTGCGAGATGGAGACAGGAAAAATAGACCTACCTTTGCCTATCACACACAACTTCATTCTTCCAGCACAATATTGTTCTTCCCACCATTCAACCAAACGACGACGCAGTTCGGGGCCGGAAGGGCCACCTTCAGCATCTACAGTATCGTCATCAGATGCACTTGGCGATTCTTCGTTCGGGGGAGTGGCAGTAGGAGTAGGGGCATTTAATGTATCTTTCCCATTCATTGACACGCCATTGCAGCCATTGGAATCATGATCAGATGCATGAAATGCATGACCGTTCGGCGTAATCCCACCATCAGATAACTGGAGCAGACTCTGTTTATTTCCACAGCCAAACTTCTTGTACGGATGACCCTCCTTGCAAAGTCTCTTGTCCACCTCTGCTAAGCGCACAGAATCGTTTGGTATGTTTTGCTTGAATTCGGAATCTACTGCATTGACTTCACGGAATGTGCACGAAGAGGAGAAGAGGGGCGAATGGAAAAATGCGGCAAAACGCGTCAGAGCAGGGTGGAGAGCGGGAGCCGCGACGTCGAAGTAGTAGTTTGTAGAAGAGAAAGTTGTGTAAGCGTTGGAAGAACCGTTATTCTTGGAAAGAAACTACTTTTATTCGTCAGAACCATTGCGTTTTGGAAAGAGAGACGACTTCTAGAGCCTTTACCTCGGCATAATCATTCTCACGAGGGAACTGTTCTGTACCCTGAATGGAAAACAGAACATAGATCAGAGTTTGTATGAATCTGGCTATTGGGTGGTATACATACCATAAACATCAAATGTTCGCAGAAATGTGCTAAACCCGGCAGATCGTCCTTAAAAGAACCAATCAGACTCTTCCACTCTTGTATAAAGTGGCTTCCTCCACCACATGAGACCGTCACTCACTGGATCCAAGTAGAATCCTACAGACACGTCCATGGACGCTGCAGCCTTGTCAGTGCCCTCGTCATGTACCACCATTGCATGTACGCCATTCTCAAGACGTATGATTCTATAGTCTTTATCGTCCTTTGACGCTTTCTCTATGGGCTTTGTAAATATAGAATACGGGGGTATCGAGTCGTGAGTGGGTATTTGTTTCCAGTCTTCATTGTAGTCCTGGGTATGAGTGTCCGAGTCCATGCCAGTGATAGGCTCGCCAGTTTTCGCCTCTGACGTCTTTATAGGACTCTTGGGCGATGATGCGATGGCAATACATGGCATAGACATGAATAGGAATGGAGACTGATGCGGCTCCACGATCCAAAGGAGAAGAACACGCGTGGAAGGGAAGGCTCACGATATCAGAAATCCGTTGGGCGTCTTTCTCTACAAGCGCTCAGTACATACAGAGCTCCATGACTTCCTTAATATACAATTCGCCGGGGTTTTCATGTCACAAACATAAGTACAGCCGCTGCTCAGCGCTCAGCGCTCAACGACCAACAAAAATATAGTATCAGTTCAAGCACCCCCGCCCACCGAAGGAGACCGTAATATTTATATTATATGTCGGCGTTTTGTCATGCATGGCTCGGAAAATGTCAGATAAGCTGTTACAGTAGGATGCGACGGTGGCTTCGAGTTTCATTCAACGCTATGTCAGATCGCAGCAGGTACATTAATATTCGTAGAGGCTCCGTACATGAGGTGCATCAACAAATACGTAGAGTGTCGAGTAATAGGACCCATGGTTTAGCACACACTTTTCATCAATTTTACAGGTGGGTAAAAGGTGATTCGCTAAGACGTATGCTGTTCTTCGATGGCGACCGTGTCAATGATGTCAACGATAACGTTGAGGCCATGAGCGGAAACTAGTAATCCAATTGGAATCGAGTCAAGCAGTGCCTAAAGCAAATATGCATGACGTAGCGTACAAGTACAGCAGGCAAGTGGAGATTTGATATCTTTACAGTAAATGTAGAACCGAAAACAAGGACAAAATAACCAAGAAAGAAGACAGATGCGAAGCGCTGGATCCTAGGAAATGTGACAGATAGAATGCTAGTGGAAATAAAGAGATCCTTGCAATGACGAGAAAAGTGTAAGAAGGCGTGGTGTATGCGATAATGTACAGCCATACGGAATGGATTGGAGAGTTAGGGGTATGGGAGAGATCTAGATGTGTCCACGTCTTCCGGTTCGCGAGGATTTAACAACTCGGAGAAAACTCGAAGCGCAGGTGCACCAGATCAGTAGCCGCAAGCCTGCTCCCTGGGGGTCGGTAACTCGTCTGCTCAGAACCAAGCTCATGCCCCGTGGCATACGCTTCCAACTGGGCAACTTTCCTCCGCAAGTCCGAGTAGTTTTTCCCAGGAGGGACACCCCACCAGAACTTTTGCAGATGCGTAACGCCGCTGAGCCCACATCCTCGCAGCCGAGGCTCGATCATAGCAATAGCCGCGTCCTCAGAGAATGTGCGAGTCCGAACGTGCAGCATCTCCAGCCGCGGGCAAAAGATCTTGTAATGGACTGAATTACCAAGAGAAAGTGTCGGTGTAAGGGTGTGGAATAGACTATCGATATCACTAGATGGTTGGGGCTTGGAATAGGCCATTAAGAGCTGGCGTAACGAAGACGTGGCTTGGAGGCATTCCAATAGTTGATCGTTTGAGATGGAGGTGTCTGTGAAATCAAGAGATTCGATGGTGCAAGCTGATCTCGTGATCAATGCTAGGAACTCATTGTGATGCCATCGGCCCACATGGAAAGGTGATTTGGATGTCATCGTGAAGGCCTTTAACTTTGGCACTATGAGAGCATCCATGAACTGACCCCGACAGTCATCGTCGAGCAATATGGCATTGGAGCATGCCTCGATCGTTAGGTTTTCCAGATTTGGAAGTATAACTGAACCACTCGGCACGGTATCTTCAAATTGGAATGCTTCATCAAGACTAAGTGTCAAGGACTTGAGGTTCGAACACTGGTTCAAGTTTTTAAAGAAGACATTGCAAGTTTGCCCTGAAACTCCACTCTGCGTAAGTTTCTTCAAAGAGAGCTCGGTTAGCTGCTCCCAAGGAGCGCAAATATCTCGAACGTCGAGCGACTGCAAAGTGATGGAGCGAAGCTGAGGTGCAAAATGGGTCAGGTTGGTGTTTGACCTCCGGAGAGTGCGCGGTTGGTGAGTTTTGAGAATGAGTTCTTTGAGCAAGGGGGAGCTGCGATCGATCGCAGCGAGTAATGCAGATAGATATGTCGTTGGCATATTGAATGAAAGGGATTGCCAGCGATGTGAGTGTGTGTTAATGAAACCGGCGATCAGGGGGATAGGATCCCAACTAGAGCCCTCGATCTCGTTCCATACGAACGCGGCTGAGACAGGAAGCTGTTGGGACCTCTGCAACCAGTATTCCACACTGCGTTTCAACCTTTCCTTTTCAGCGTCACGCCAAGGTCGGACTAAGAATTGTGGTGTAGTCCATAGGTCAGGGACAGCCAAGGAAAACTGTCTCCACTCCTTGCATACGCGACCAAGAAGCAGAGGTGCCTCCTTGGTTGCAGTTGCCCGACATTGTCCCGAAGGGATACAATATTTAAATATCTCGAGTAATATCTCTCGGGGTACCCGTTGAATGGGTGGTATTGGCGTCTCAAGATCGCCAATGTGTTCCTTGAGCTGGACACGAAATTGCTGTAAACTGACAAGCATAGCTTGCATTCGTTCTATCTCAGCTTCCACAGCTTCGAGCTTCTGTCTTGGCTTTGCGAACGACTGGGTGAAGTCGCAAAGTACAGGGATGGAAGGTTGGTAGCTCCATTTAAATAGACAGGTCATATTTGACTTTTAGCACGCAGTCAATACGGTCGTTCGCCATCGTAGTCAGTGATGGCGAAACTCACGTTCAATTGCGTTCCGGTGAGCATCGACTGTGACATGAGTAACCGGAAATGTATCGGAGTGGGTCGACGAATCTGTTTGCTGGAGAGGGGGACAAACGAGAATCGTTGACAGCAAGTACTGAGCTACTACTTATATATATCGGATGAAGACGGTGGACCTGACAGCAATAAAGGGACCAGTGTAATAGCGCAATATCGATAGCAGCCGAAAAGAACTAGTGACCAATGAGTGGGTATATAAATGACGTAATTCTAGTGGGTTTTGACGACTCACGTTCGTTTTACTTCAGTTTCACTCGTCCCTGCCAATGTTCCACTCGTTCTGATGCGGGGGCGTTTGACAGTGAGGATGATGATCACCATCACCACTCCAATACAGTTTAAGTACTTATAATATTGGAATAAAGGACCTGCCGTATACAACCATGGAGAAAAGGAAGTTCGATACCGGGATTCTACTAGAAAACCTAGGAATAGCACCAACCAGCGTGACTGTGTGATAAGAAGTCCCCATTGCGGCGATTGCGAATACGAATTGTGTGCATGGCGGGAATCACAAAAGCGATTGCGCCAATTGCATGCAAAATGGCGACACGGGTGGCGTTCACGTCTCACTTTTGACCTGCTGACATGGGAGTAAAGAACAACTACTGCATCATAATAAACCCACATACGCTCAGCTTGGGCCATTCACCTGTCTCTGAATGGACTTGCCGCCGGTATGCGAGTATTCGCTTCGGGTCCCGCTGCCGCATGCGGAGAATCAACCTTATTGGCACATGGAGCACTTTTGCACCATGTTGCTCACGGCATCGGGCTCTGGCACGTTATTCATGTGCTAAGTCTTTTCTGTCGGAGACGACTATAGCCGAACGAGCCGCGGTGAATATCCACTAAGAATCCACTTGTCAACGACGCTTGCTCTATAAGCAGGTCGCATATCCTCACGAGGCAGAACGTTCTTGCATGTGAGTCTTGCGATTATAGTAAGTCAGTATCATACATCACTACGCTTTCTTACATATCCGCTACCCACATGTGTGCCCTTTTCTGCCATTTTCTCAGGGATCTTAGGGACTTAATGGGTTCAGGTATCCACCCAACGTGAGTGGTCAAATGGTTTCCCGCTTGAGGTCATCTATTTCCTACGGCGAATGGCGTATAGAAGGCATTTGAGTCGCGCTGCTCAGCGGTAGCATGACAAATGGCTGCATGGGGAGGGTGAGAACAGAGAAGACTCCATATCAGAAAGAACAGAAATAGTTTATGGCAACATTGCAAAAACGTCCTGAGAAGTTTGGTGTGGCATCCTTGCGGCACATCTGATTGCTTCAGGAAGTCGATATGTAAAGCGGTGAGTCAGTGACCAACTCGGGTTTTTATTTCCTCAAGGCATAGGTAAGTATGATACGTCAAACGGAGACGATTCAGACTCGGAGTATTCTCGACGTCGTCCCATTGCTTTTTTACTGGCGGGTGAACATTGACACTGTTCGTCGCAGTTCACCGTGCTTTCCAAAAGAGTGTGGGGAACATCAAATAGACCCGTTCCTGGGCTTCCGACTCGCCGCAAGGCAAGACAGACGTTGCAGGTTGCATACCTATCAGGGGAATACAAGCCGAGTGTCTCTACGGGGAAACTGCCTTCCGACTGATAGGATCACTAGTCTCAGCATCTGTGACATCGTTCACGGAAAAAAGTTACTGCGTACAAAAGTGGTGATATAACGGATCCTAGTCATGGTAATGCCACAATTTTTGAGGCTGTCAGGTCGGATGGCCGTGCTTTTAGTTCTGACATCATTACTCTACGCATGGACTACGGCCGTCGACGCGCAAAAACGCCATCAAACATTTGACGCCTAGTGTCTCGACTAAGGAAAATGAAATAGGACGGGCAAGGAAATTCAAACTTTCTTTTTAGCGCTTCAACAAGGAATTGACGATGAATAACAGAGCCGTCGGGTCAGATCTGTCTCGCTTTTCACACATCATGCGATTTGCAAAATACAGCACACTTGGGATTGCAGTTGCCACTCCCCTGCCGTTCGCGGGAGGATGCCCTAGAATATTTCAGATTCTGGCTATAAGCAGCCCGCTCCGATTTTTTCGGGCTATGGTGGTATCACCATTTCAATGATAATCCGCAATGATCATCACTGTCACCGTTGTCGCTTTGCTTGGACTTTCTAGGCGGGTCCTGGTTTCAAATCCTCAGATTCAAGATTACTGTACAGCGGTTCTGGTTTCTAACTGTGGATCATTATCAATCATCGTCAGGCATATTATATCTCCTGTTGTACTTTGCGAGCATTGCAATGTCAAAGGGAAACTGTGACCCTCACCGCCCCCCTTGCAACTTACAGATGGTGCATTCGTCTGCATGCTATGTTTTGTGGCTGTCCTAGAAAGTGTAGATCATCACGGGCTTTTTTATTCCACGTCCATGGCTATCCTGTAACCAGAAAATATCCACGGATGCTTTTCTCCAGGTCCTTTGTGTGCCTTTACTACGCCTCCTGGCGCATCCGAATTCTAGGGGTTGGAAGGACATGCTTGCTTCTGATTTTATTACTCCCCACGCATTGAAGTTCCAGGATTCCTCGCACGGTGCAAGCTACTTCGTCATCGGCGTTGTGCTATTGGCGAGAGTATGAATCACGATTATTTTTTCCCACTAATCCGAGCGGTGGGGATGCTTATTGGTTCCCCTACCTGGGGCTGAGGCAAGTAAATCGTTGGCTTTGTGTGCCAAAATGCGAATCCAGTCGACACAGGTGAGTTCAATAACTATCCATGTTTATGTAGTTTACTTTATAGCATGTAGCCTTGTTATAGCGGGTCAAAAATCGAAGAATGAATGTATGATATGGTGTCCATAATTGTCGTTTCGTGAATACGTTGACAAACCAAGTCAGATTTTCAGACTTTCACTAGTTCTGACATATTCGTGCTGCGCATAAGAATCTAAGGGTTCGCCCTCACTTCTAGTCTTGTTCAAGGTACAACTTGGTAGAGGTATTACAGTTTCTTACTATAGCTACAGATTTCTAATGCGTCGCCTTGTGCCACTGTGTGTGGCTCCTAGAGCTAGATGTGTATAGTTATTTTGTAAGCTGACAAGGCTCATTTACTGTATAAACATTGTACGGCGCTCTTCGCTCTGGAAGCGCCCTAGCTTTATTACTCGCTTTTGTGAGTGCTGTCCGAGTCCTCGAGCTCGTACTAGTAGCACTGCATGCCGTTACACAAAAAGGCTGCTGCCATTAAGCTGTGGCTGAGCATTATTTGTTTCCGTATGTGGACGACTGTGGACGCGTTTGGACCGTCGCGGTGCTCTCAGCTCAGAATCTGCCTCTTTTTGTTTCCGTCGACGCCGTAGCTGCCTTTTATCGACGGTTTGCCCTGAAAAAACCTGATCCGTAACCCTGAGCTCTTTGTATATCGCTCGGGGATCCATAAAACCACCAAAAAGACGGGTCTGATCCACTTTCTCGACTTCAGCGACAACTGGCAACATCGAAAAAAAAGTGACAATTCCGCCCCCGAGAACAAATTTAACCTCTCAGCTCGCGACAACAACCGCTACTAATATCTGACTACAACATAACTGATGTATACCCCCGCTCCGTCGCGTCATACGCGCACTCTGAGCCCACCAATGTCGACGACGGGCTCATCGCAAGCACAGACTATAGGACAGCAGCCAAAACTGAACGTCGTCACGCGTCTTGCGATAGAAGGAAAGGCGAAACAGGGTCAGGATGGAGCTTCTATCAAAATGTATCTTAGAGTGCGTTTTATACAGCCTACAGGTCGATGATTCACTGACAGGGAACCTGCTCAGCTTTCGGTCCCCATGGACAGTGTGGCTCCAGGAAGCACAATTCCTCTCTTCCCAGGTAAGCTTACTACATGGTCGCGTGCACTTTTCACATTTTCTGAGAAATGAGCAGAGGAAAACCTCAAAATCCTGTCGTCACAGGTACACCCTATAGATAGCAATTCAGTGCCTTATAACTTCTCTTCGACCACTTGTCCTTTACTCAATAATGCAGCGAGAGCACTAGGCCTTCCCGCTCGCTCTGAGAGATCGTATCTTTCTGTTTTTGGTGTATCGGCATCAACTTCAAGCATAGGCTCTTCCAGCCGTTCTTCAAATCATTCAAACGGAGTCAGTATCCCACCTTTAGATGACAAGTATACAGGACATATCCTCGTGAGCGGATACAACGTGTCCTATGTTCTTCCTAAGGAGTTTCCTCCGCGGTTCAGAGATGAGGGTGCTAGTTTTATCCGAATGTCAGCTGCTAAATCACGACGAGGATCGATAGGAGAGAAGAATAACATGCATTTTATGGCTGCCATTGATTTATTGGTTCCATATCTTTCTCGACCTCCCAGAGCACCTTACCTGGTCAGTATCTTATATCTACCTGCATATATGCGCCTTTCTGATCTGAGTTACAGATTTCTATACCAATCCCTCGCTGCCTCTCTAATCAAATTAAGCTAAGAATATTCCCTCCAAATAACACCATTTCAACCTCTTTCGCATCTCTATCTTCTGCAGAGGAAGATCCTGGAACATGGGATTTGACATCAGAGCCGCATGTCACACGTACAACATCGCTGCGACCATCTCGATCAAATTCGTACGCAGACCTTGCGGACGACGAGACGTCTGATTCATCGACCCACGCAACAGGGTTTGCAGATGGCTGTGGAATTCAAGGGACATTTCCTAGTGCTGAGCGTATTCGCGTACGCTGGGCATCACCGATGAAAAGTGTAGACGTTAGTGAAGGTGGAGATGGCCGGCGGCGAGTGGGTGTGAAAGAGGTTAAAGGAGAGATGACATGCGTAGTATTGGGAAACGGGGGTAACAATGGAGGTGGAGTAGCCATGCGGGTGGAGTATAAAGGGTCATGCAAAGGCGTGTGGTTTCCTGGGGTAGCAACCATGCTTGGGATGGATGTTGGCCTGGAGGCGAAAGGTTCAGACGTATGCTGGGTACCTGGGGAGGAAGGGAAATGGAGTGTCAGTGGTGGTACAGGCTATACAGGCTTTGACGCAGGGGCCAACCAAAAGGCAGATTCACCTCGAGTGCTTGTCTCGCCTTCATCTCCGTCCCTCGATTCACGATCATTGGCTCCGATGGCCCGGAGACATGACTCTTCGTCTTCGAATACTTCAACTGCTTCTCTTCTTCGTGCTCCTCTGCCTGCGTCTCAAGTGGTGGACTATTCATTTGAAGGCTCGCCATCGTCCACACCCTCGGGAACCATGTCTTCCGTTGGCTCGACGCCGTTCTTGTTAAATCATGAGGGGCGTAGTCGAGCGTCTTCCGTTAACGGCGTAGATCCGAATTTGAGACCACCAGCCGTCCCTCTCACGATTCACCTCAACATGAATGATCTTCTTCCTCCTTCCAAAAACGTGTTCACTTTCACCATCTCTGGCATCATTATCGTCAAAGCTCGCTCACGGCCTCACTCCACTTCCCAAACATCAAACACAGATGGAGAGGCTGATCCGGTGCCGATCGTATTGCCAAAGTTCAACGTTCTCGCTGCTGATTCAGAGACAACATCAATGATTATCCGGAATGAGGCTGATGGTGCCACCATCGAAGTTTATAACATCACTGGTGACCTTCGTGATGCACAAACACGAAGGACAGTGTTGCAGCGAGGCGGTTTCACAAGATGTGGCTCAGACGGCGGGCGGATTGCTCTGCGTTCTATATCCCGTAACTCTACTGCGCCAAGGGTCAATGGAGACCATACTCAAGAGAATGGCAGGTTACCTCCTAGTCGACCACGAACACCCAATGGTGTTGGAATCAGTAGGCAATCATCTGCTGCGTCCTTGGCATCAGCATATTTAGCGCTAGGGCCCCAAAGGCGAAGGAGGGACGGCCCTTTGGTCATCCCTTACGTTTCAACCACTGTTAAGCCTCTTCTCAATGGCGCATCTCACCCAAGTGCATATGTCGTTTGCCTCTCTCTACCAGCTCCATGTGACGTTGATTCTGAGTGGCTCGAGTTCGGACTCGCGCAGACCGAAAAGAAAGCCGGGCGTCAAATCGGAGTACCTCCCCTTGTGGAAATTGTCAGCGCGAGTATCAATGGAGTTCCTGTCAGATTTGAGATATCTGCGGCTGAGAAAGACGCACGTGAAGCCAATGGGTCTGTAGACCTTGGTATGCCTTTTGACGATATGAGTGGTAACAAGTGGAATAGTTGGATCAGGGTACACGTTGGCGAGCTGGGTGGAGAGGTAGAGGTTGTATATATCGTCAAGGAGGATGCTTCGACCAGCCCAAATGCAAAGCGAAAGGGCAAAGGTAAAGCAAAGGACGACGAACTGGATATATTATTGCCGACTTTTGCACTATCAGTTCGGCGAATGGAGGTTAACGCTGAGGCGTCTTTGGGTAAGTGAAAGTTTTCCATCCAACCGTAACCTCGTTGACCGTATATTAATTTTAAGATCTGGATATCCCTTCTTTAAATTCAAATCTTGCGGAACACCGAAAGACTCCTGAAGGTTACAGACTATCGCATTATGCTATGGATGAACTGTTTGATCCCCGGCTGTCGCTCACATGGCGTCACGCCGCTTCATCAAGAGGAGTCACGAGCTGGGACATCATACGCAAATCAAGCCAGATACTCATATGGATATTACCTTTCATTCTTTTGCTTATGCCTCTCCTCGACATGCGAAACGAGCTCCGGCCTATGAGCCATCCATCACGTCCTATTTCAAATGCAGGTGATCTAGCATGCACAACTACCGCGACGGAGACAATGACCGTGACCATGACTATGGAGCAATCAAGTGGCGGCGGGCGATGGTTTGGTGAAACCACTGGGGTTTCGACATCAATAACCCAGCCTACTCCTACAGCACAAGCAAGCGGTACCTCCTCAACTAACGCTCATCTGTTTGATCTGTCTACCACTACTGATATGGCTCGATCTACATCCGCTACACCCGCTTTACCAGTATTTAAGGACGGCGATGAATCGATTCTGGAAAGCCATGTATGGTCATTTCTTGGGTCTCTACAGTTTGAAATTCCTCCAGCTGGGAAAGTAGCGACCAAGGAAATACTGAAAGGGCTGGGTGTCGTATGGCGAATTCTACTAAAAGCGTATCATTATCCCTTAGATCCACCATGACCTGTACTACATATTCCTGAACTCTTAAGATTACCACACGCAACACTAATAAAGAACGCGCTACTATATTTTTACAACTTAACATTTATACTTACATGTTTGCAATGCGGCAATTGGATACTTTCTCAACGGTCCAAAATACTTTAAACTCAAAAATCAAACGGACGGATCTGATTTATTTTTATAGAAGGAAAAGGAAGGCTATCGTACATTTATTTCGGTGTGGTCCGCATCATCAAACCTTCGAGTATCACTGCGCCCAAGGGGAGTTGAGGAGGTCCCGCAGATATTTTGCTTCCTCGCGATAGTCCACGGGATTCAGCTTAACAATCCCATAACGAACGCGTGTTTGATCCTGTCGTCCAAGAATAAGTATGTGAATGTTCGGGCTATGAAGATGTCTTACGTTGTATGTATCTTGCTTCGCACGGCATGTAAAGTTGAATGTGGCACCACTTGCTTTGGCCATCACTGTGTTATACTCTGCCTCATCACGCTCCTACAAGTGTGAATTGATCGAGTCAATTTCAAAGTGTGTACTTGTGGGTCCTTACTTTGATTTCCATCAAATCATCCGCGGATTTGCCAAAGACAGCAACACCTGCATCATTGAAACCTTGTAGCCATGCTTGAGTTGACCAATCAGCCACAGCCAACGATATAATATATCTGATTCATCAGTTAAAGTATCAGCACTGCCGGTGTTCGTAGACACAAACAACGAACCGATGTTCAGGACGTTCAAAGGTCTTTTCGCATTTCTCGCACCTCCACCCGTCACCGATGTCAGTCACCTTTTTATTGCATCCTTGAGTGGGACAAGCGGGGTACGATATGTTCTCGCCCTTGATATGCATGATGGTTGACCGGCATGAGAAAAAGTCTGTCTTGTCCGACATTCCCAGTTGCGATTCTTTTACATCACTGAGATGGCGCATTTCAGAGCGATTGAATACAGTAGACATCCCCATCGAAGAATTGGCATTGGAGTGCGATTGGAATGCTTGCTCAACCCCGATAGAATCATACCAACCTCGCAGGAGATGCGACTCATCGATGTCAGGATCAATACTCATCATACTGGTGCTTATCATGGATAAGGAACGTCCTGCGAAAAGTCAGTATAACGAGGAGTACAAGAAAACGATCACTTTACCTCCAAAGTCCCCTACTTTGACACCTTTGAATGCGATGACGGGATGCCCTTCGCTATTATATTGTTCTGCCTGTTTTCCCCAAAGCGTGAGTCGGACTGAAAATCCAGATTTATCCACAATCGTAAGTTCGCGCTTGGGGATCTACCATCGTCACAATGAGTATTTTGAATTACAGAACGTCGTAAACATGTACCGTTCGGTTGGTCTTCGAGACGATTTCACCAAGGGGGCCAACTTCTTTGACAATAGCAGCAACATCTGTTGCACCATTATTAACGTCGGAAACGATGTTTGGGTATATGTATGCGTACCGCAAGTTGAATCCTTAGGTTGTGCTTCCAGCTCTGAAAGTGAAATGAAGTTATACTTGATCATTGGCAAGCCCGATGTTTCCAAGCACTTGGAGGGAAAGTTTAGGGGATATTTCTTGCGTAAGAAAATTTTAGTAGCTCACTTCTTCCACTTCAGTATGTTTTTCAAGACTAAGCTCATAGTCATTTTGGACATTAGAGAATTTCTTCTTCGCAAGATTGACCCTGGCCTTGGATATGAGATATACTTTTCCCTCTTCCAGTTTTTCGTAAAGTTCGTCAACAACAGCGTTGAAACCGGTAGCCCGAATTTCACCAGACTCGTCCATTAGGGTAACGTTGAACAACTTCCCCTCGCCCCGTTGATTGGACCATGTTCTGATCTCAGACTTTTGTGTTACACGAGCTTTAATGGTCCAGTTGTTTTGGTAAGGACTTAGACCCTCAATAGGGTAAATGGAGTTCTGTCGACCACCTTTTGCAGCTTGGTTCTGGCGGCTTGGTTGGGGCTTCGTTTGAGGGATAGAGGCGTTAGAAGTTGAGGCCTCGGGCACAGGCGAGGCAGAAACCTGTTCAGAAGCAGGCAAGTTTACTGGGGAGATAGGATTGCCAATCTTATCCTCGTTTGTTGAAACTACTCGTAGATCGAGGATAATGATCAAACTGGCATGCAACAAGGTTTAGTGAACGACGACGACAGTTCAAATAAGGACTGACCGCTTATCCTGGACGAAATTGCAGGTCAACTTATCAATGATGGCAACAGTATTTTTGCCGATCTCATTATCGTATACAAGGCGGTTCAGCTGAGTAGCTAACATCGCCTGCACGAAATGCACGCCATCAGATATAATGATGCGAAACCTGTCCATAGCTGGGTTTGAAGCAGTAGCAGTAGGTGTCACTTTCTTGATTGATAACAGCTGGACGGTATAGCCAGAACCAAGTGTTTCGATATCACCTGGGGCTGCTTCATGTAGGCGGAGACAAATGCCAGCTGAAAGTTGCGACATGGTGGTTATGGTCTGAGAAGCAACACAACGCGACGCGATGCATTTGTTTGTGCGTCTTTTGTTTGTGCAGCGCGTTTGTTACATAATTTTGTGGCGTGGGTGAATGTCCGTAAAAGGTGTCTGACGGTTGTGGGCTCGGGCGGTCATCTTGTCCCCGAACGGCAACCATATTTGCAGGTTTATGGTTCCTGCTAACCCGTTGAGTTACCCGCGTCCCACCGTATACTTGAGTCTGACCACGTCTTTTTCTCGTCCAGGTCTATGAAAACAGCTTAAATATATTGGTTGTGTGGTACTACGCCAAGAAAACTACTATGTCAATACAGATTCTAAGATATACTAGGACTGGTCATCTAGTAGTTAACGCTACACGAAACGAAATGGTTAATGTGGTCGTTGCCGATACCGGCCTTCAAGAATTGCACCACCATCAAGGCGGGCACTAGAAAAATTGTCGAAATTACGAAGGATTGAATATAAGTACGGCGAGACTGTGGTCTCAGTTGCTTTTGAGCATGGTGCGCTGTGTCGCATCTCGTCCCGCCTTCAAGAGCAGAGATAAATCATTTCCTCCGGTTCCCTTCGCAGGTCCTTTTCTTGCCCCCTCTCTCTCCATCCGTGCTGCCATGGCAAGTACAGGACATTTACTCCCAGTGGCAGTGGATCGCGACATCGTCACCACATAGAGGCATGCAACACGCATATGTCGGTCGCGGAGTTTTTTCAATGCCGCCACCGCTGCATTATACGGTTCACGAAGAACAGGTGTGTTCTGCACGAGCTCCCTGAGTGGCCTAGGGTTGGCTTCCAGGCGGGATAAATATTCTCGGTGCCTGCCAGGCATGTAGCGTCTCATGCGATCCATAAATCCGTGATCAGCACGCTTGTTGGACTCGGATGGAGCCGGATAGCGGCGCTGTTGCAGCTTGTGATCAACGGCGAGGAAAATGTCGAGTGCATGTATCATGCTACTCTGCCCGTTTGATGGACCGCTGAGGTCAAATGAACGGGTGTTTGGGACGCCCTCAAAAATCCATTCGCCCCCTTCTTCTTCGCTAGGGCTTCCATTGAACCACGGGCGAACGGTCCAGTAGAAAGTCCTCGGGTCCACCATCTCGCGCACCTCTTGAACCATCTCGTCGATCTCGCGTATCGCTACAGTGAGGCGGTTAAGGTTCTTGGAGACCTTAGATACTGCATTTATGTCATTGACGTCTGGGAGGCTCAGATAGTCGTTGATTATTTGGATTATTTCGATGCCTCTCATCTCCGTCCTTGCAGCCGCAAAAAAAAAGTTTCTCTCGTCCTCTGTGCCCGAAAATAAATCCACCCAGCGCATATTGTCGATGGTGACTGGGAGTGTGGGGTCGATGACCTCCCAATTCCACACCACCGTATCAAGATACGTGAGTACGGGGGCCATACCTAGCACCTTTGACACCTCCACTAAAGGAATGGCTAACGAACGGGGAACGATGGTCGGGCCGGAAGATTTGGCGGGTGGAATGGAATGAACGTAAAAATGGACAAGGAATGCCAACACTTTGTGCGCCCTACGAAGTAATTGTTTGTCCATGTTGAGAACATCCGTGCTGATTACAGGCAACTAAATCAAATAATACGCATATCGCCATGAGCACGGTGTCGTTTTCTTATCTAACGTTGGAGTGGGACTTACAGATCGGATTCGTGCTCTCCATTCTTCTCCTTCTGCTCGCTTCTCCTCCGCCTCATCACAGATGTTCTCTCCCAGGACCAGCACATCCTTTGCGCGGTCCAGGGCATCTTCCCATATATTATATCCCTCGGGCAAGCGAGGGAGTGGTTGCTCGGGGAAAAAGCCCGTGCTATTGCTAATGTCGAAATCTTCAATAGATAGGTGGTCGTCCTGCGTCCCCCAGAAATTATGTGTGATCCGTACTGAATTTACTGCAGAAATAAAGTGGTTTATAATATGGAGAGGGGAGTTCAAAAGGTCAAGACTATATGACATTGCGAAAGTTGGAAAGCGAAGTGGATAAATTAGGTGAGTTGGACTGTGTCTATACAGTAAGTATGAAAGTTGATGACTGTCTACGTCTCATTTATATACAACGGGACCGTGTTCACGGGACTGTGTACATCAAATCAGGAAGTTGCAGCCTTTGCACGAATTTGCGCGGCTGTCATGCTCCTTACACGGCATAATCAATTGTTCAGAAATCCGCTGGATTCCGTTTTCATCACATCGTATTCCTCCGTCGCTTCACACAGTTTGAGAACTTACAGTTGATTGTGATGCTTGGGATTGATGACTCGGGTCTTCCAAACGAGCTACTGGATTGGCCTGCACTGGTGTTGAACCGAGTCGATTCTCAGGCACTCCGAATACCACTCTTCCGTAACTTTTATTTCTACCCGTATCTAGATATAATGCGGTACAGAAAGGTGCAACGATCACATTCACTCGCATTTGGAAACGAGGGATCGGGGCGTCTAGCACCCAGAACTGGTTTCGGCAAGGCAGATTTTCGCGGCCCAGATCTGATCAACTGAGATTCTTCTACTACGATTACTCGAGTTCAACTATTCAACTATGTCATCTGATTCTAGAAGCTCTAACAACGGAGAGGAAACTTGGCTGATTGTTGTCGGCATAATTAGTTTGCCAATCCATCTGTTACTATCTTTCCTGACGGTGCTTTTATCTTGTGCTTCAGTTGAATTCTTACTTTCCTCTGGAATGTACATAGTAGGTTGACACAATGACACAATGATACAATAACACAATAATCATTCCCATCGTATTTACCATGCCCTGTCTGTGTCTGTATGAAATGGTGGGGGCGGGACAGTGATGGATGTTTGTGATTGCCTCCAGGGCCAGGGCTGCTTGTCTCCGGATACTATTCAATACTCATTGTGACTCGTTAGTAGCTTCCTGTGTGGATGGCTGGGACTTTGTTGAAAGGTATGCGTATAATTACTTCAAGTCACATTTCTTGACAGCTGTCGACAGACACAGCCCCCTGAGCAGAATACAAAAATAAACCGCATCATTTTTGATTGCAGCAATTCGGAGCCATGTGAGCGCCTTCGACGACTCATCAGGATGTTCGATGGTGCGGCGGCACCTACAGCAAATGGACACGGAGCCGTGCTCGCAGACCATCCGAGTCAACGGCCACAAATCTAGAATACTAGTCACCTTTGGGCGAGAAGATGGGCCCGTAATTTTATCGGCGCCGGGCAGTAATTGATGACCAACTCTGTGCAACAGAGCATGTCCAAGTGCTTTGGACCAGTGCAGTTTCATGTCAAAGTCGCGATGCTACGAAGCGTGATATTCAATAAATGGGCGCGGGCGTACCGGCGGTAACCACAATTTATTTCGATGCATAGCCAAGTACAATGTTCGGATAATTCGAGATTGCGTAAAAATGTGCATAACCATTAAACTACTTGGATATACGCTCAACATCAAGTCTTAAGTCTCTCGTCGCTGCCACAGGACCGAAGTAATACCTTCCCGATTAGTCAAGTCACATCTGCGCTGCACCACCTCCAGCACCTTTTCTTTGATACCATGCTTGCCTGGACGAAGATCATCAAATTTAGAAAGCAGTACAGAAAGGGCTATGGCACTGTTGTTGTTGGATTGTGTAAGCATTTGCACGACATGGCCAATCTCGGCCTCCGTTGGGAGTGCATATCGCATGGGATCTCGTTTGTCCTTGTATAACATATCCGGCGGCGACAATCTGGGTGTGGCAGAGTGATAGACAGAGTCTGCTGAGAAGAACCTATCCACAAGCTCGGGTGAAACCTCAGCAACCGTGCTTGGACACCAAGCGGGTCTGCCTTGTATTTTGTCGATAAGGACAGCACTGATGCCTGTTTGGAAGTCAGGACTCGCACCGCTCTATCGAGATATGGCTGGTTAACGGAAGCGATCACATCAATGTAGCTCAACTCACGCAAAATGCGGTAGCTATTCCCAACTCCATCTGTAAAACCTCAAGCAGATTCATGTTTCGTCCTCGACGAACGGCAGATAGAGCTACTTTCAGGCTGGTTGGGCTGCGCAAGTGAAGAGTTTCTAATGTCTGTTCCGCCCACTTACGGACAGCAGGGTCAGAGTCAGGAGTAGTAAATCCTTGCAAATCCTGTAATATCAACTCGACGGAATCATGTCGAAAAGCTGTATCAAGGGCCTTCCTAGTGGGTCCTGTCAGTCTAGTGGGTGACTCGTCCGCCTGACGTTCGGCGTGTAACTCCTCTATTGTTCTGTCTATAATTCCAAATGCCGCGTTCTCTAAATCAGAAAGTCGCGATAGAAGATTTGGTACAGCCCTCGACGAAATGAAATGGGTAGCGAAGCCATGTTCGCTGGTAGATAAAACCATGAGTGCCAGAACCGAGACAGTCATATTTCTCACTCACAAAACTTCTCTGCCAGTCAAAGTCTCCGCAGTCAACGCGAGATATGTGCCGACCTCACCGTCCATCCTTGATAGGAAGAAGCTAGCTCCGACATCTGGGCAATAACCAATTTTCGTCTCAGGCATCGCAAACACCGTTTTTTCCGTAGCCACTCTGAAAGGGGCACTTATGGAAAGGCCCACACCTCCACCCACTACATACTGTTAGTTACAGGTACACGCGATAAAGAAAGGAACCAAATCACTTGTAATGCCATCCATCACAGCCACATAAGGTTTAGGCATTGCGGAAAGGATGTAATCCATCTCGAATCTGTGAAAGTAAAGGGAATAAGTTGGTACCTCGGCACGAAAGGAGATACTCACTCCCGTTTGAAGAAATCAATTGCTTTGCTGCGAGTATCATTATGCAAAGAGTCTTGTAAGACATCTTTGCGAAATTATAATGAATAAGTGGGAAAAAAGGAAAGGAAGAAGAAGATGGCGACTCACTTGCGACGTCTCCTCCAGCGCAAAATGCTCGACCCAATCCGGTACCCACGATCACTTTGCAAAGATCGGATTTGGTCCACTCCTGCGTTCATTGATCATATATGATGACATAAACAAATAAGCAAAAATTGTAGTCGCAGTTTTACAAAGACACGTTACCTCTATCTGCGGTCGCAGGGTGTTCAACATTTCCTCGTTGAGAGCATTTAATTTTTTGGGGCGGTTGAGTACATATGTTCTAGTTGCTGCGTCAGACTCGAAGTATACCGCCTAGGTTATGGTGAGTAAAGACCACAAGTTGTACTGGGCACCGTCTACCCACCTGAGAAAGTGAGGCTTGTTCCGCAGTGGGGGCCGTGGTGGACATGTGTCTAGCAATAGCACTGGTCCTGGTGACAGCTGAAGCTCGGCTACAGGACATTCTCGCTATGGTAGTAGAGAACATAGTAAGGAGCAGTGATCCTTCCACGCTCGGGTCTCCAATGTCCAGCTGGAAAGGCGGGTTGCCGTCGAATATAATAATACATGTGACTATGGTTAGGGTTTGCTATTGGCCCCGACCACCAAGCGATAACCACCACCCACCGAGCACCTTGCCATGGATTCACCATCATCGCTTTTGCCGTCCAAGGATACAAGAATATGCCTTTCATCTGCTCATATTGGAACCATCAAATACGTTGGACATGTCGACGGTACACAAGGGCTCTGGTTGGGTGTCGACTGGGATGATCCGTGTCGGGGCAGACATGATGGCGTCAAGGATGGCAAGCAATACTTCTCCTGTCGGTAGGAAATCCCCGTGACAATTCTGCCTCTGTCGCCATATGCTGAATATCCCCAAGCGTAAAAAATGCAGGGTCTTTCATCCGTCCATCCTCCTCAGTTTGCTATGGATACTCCTTTTTGCGTGCTTTGACAACAAAGTACATCGAGATCGCTCACGGTCCATCCTCTCACGAAAAAATAACTTTGGGCTCATCCAACGGTGCGATCGAGGTGGAGGCTGTTGGTTTAGACAAGATCAGGACCAAATTTGCAAACCTGTCTCGTCTACGCGAAGTAAGCCTTGATTCAGAAAAGGTTGCATTTTCCGATCCGGAAGGTGAAATCAATAAAACCTGTCCAAGTGAGCTTTCTTTAGATCAATTGGGGCTTGCAACCTATATACAGATTGACCTGATGAAGATGTGCGCGGCCTGGATTTATCTGCCAGCCTACTGCCAACGTGGGACATGGTATCTCTGATCGCATCTGAACTGCCTTTGCTGGAGAGATTGGCTTTGAAGTATGCCCCAATGTTATAGGTTCCGTCATATGCTTACATTGGGGCCAGCCGAAATCGTTTCACTCCTCTGAAAAATTGCTTGAACCCTTCGAACTTTCTCAAGTTGACTGAGTTACAACTAAATGGCACCATGATGACCTGGGAAGAGCTGACATCTGTCATCGCTTTCATGCCCAAATTACGAATTGTTGAAATGGGATACAACACATTGAGTCATCTGTCATCTAGGCAGTCCTTGCCTGCTGTGCACGCAGGGCTTGAGGTCATCAATTTTGATAGCAATGAACTGGTAGATTGGTCTCATCTATGTCATGCCCTCGGGCCTTATACCAGGTAAGTCTTCACCGTGTCGCTTTAATTTATCCTCTTGGATTATCATTGCCACGAGACAGTCTCGAGCGCTTGATCTTGGCCTCTAACCGAATCATGGATATAGCGGCGCTCGACAATCAACTATCGCCCTTGCACAGGATCAAGCACCTAGCCTTGTCCTTTAATCAGCTTCACCAGTGGCTTGCTTTTGATCGCTTGTATGACTGGTGTCCCAATCTTGAAACATTGAGCATCACTGGTAATCCGTTGTTGAAAGGTACCATATTCTCATGTAGTTCATATAGGCGGGATGGTGAACATCTACTCACGGGATTTCAGATCTGGAGATGGGACGTCACGCCAGACAGTTCGTCATTGCTCAAATACCGTCTTTACTGATGCTCGACTCAGCTGCCGTATGTGATCTGAGTAAATACTGTGCAACCAGAGGCTGATTGATGATCGAATTCAGATATCGCCAAAAGAGCGAACCGACTGCGAATTGTTTTATCTTTCATACATCGCAAAAACAGTGCGCGGTTGCCAGGAAGAAAAGTACAATGAGCACCCTCAATGGAAAGCATTATGCGCAAGTAGGTTGTGTTATACTTGAGTGGGAACGCAGGGTCTGACTGGTATCTGTTTTAATAGAACATGGTAAACCAGCTGATGTAGCATCCAAGAAAAGTCATGAAGATAAACTGAGTAACCTTTTGATCCGTGCGTCATGAAGTTCCTTCTTTGATTGGAACCTCATGGTGACAAGGCTCAATCAGACGTCCATGTCTACCAGTGTTCGGGCGACCCTGAGAACGTCACCGATGAAGAAGCGCCTCCAATTGATTTACGCGTTTTATCGACAATGACCATTCGCACCTTCCGCCTCAAATTGGCCAAATCTTTTAAAGCGACAAGAAATGCAAAGATCTCACTGTGGTTGAAGATGCCTGACGACAAGTTTGTAGCATTGAATGAAAACGATGACCAGGACCTTGCCTGGTGGGGTATAGAAAATGCATCAAATATATTCGTAAACATTCAATTACGTAAATAACCATGTACAACAAAATATCATAGCACTCAAATTTCAACGCCGCATGTTAACTATAAAACAAATAACATCGACTCACCATACCGAGGGCGGGACGAGAGGAGAACCATTATATCATTTCGAGTTAGGCTCCTTCGCGATTCGGGAGACCAGGAGCGCTTATTATGGCCACCTCGTTTGCAAAAATAGGTTGGGTGGGACGATACCAAGAAAGCACAATTTGAAGGATAAACTCAGACGCCCACACGGAAACACCCCGCTGTCGTTCGTGAATGATCCAGACAGTGTCCACCACAGTATAATACTTCCATAATTGAAGTCTGCATGGACCAGTTCACACTCAGTTTGGGAGGTGATGATTCTGCTAAGCTTTTGTTACGAAGGTCCAAAGGTCCAAGTACCACGCCAACAGCCTGACGGATGGAAGGAGAAACGATCCCTAGTATCCTAATCGCTCGGTAATGGGACCAACGGGCATTGACCCTTAGACAAGTACACTTCTTGCGTTCCAATACACGTCAACCATCGAGGAAGCCAAGCCCACAAAAGAACGAGGAAAACCCATATACGGACGCCTTTTACCCGCCCACCGTCCAGAAACCTATCCCCAATCAGCGACTCCACCCAGCATCTCCGTTTCCGTTCGTGTGTCTAACGGCTCTTTCTTCGTATCGCTCGTCTTTTTCTTCGCGCCGACTACGGTCGTCTCGGCGTCTGTCCACATCATCCCTGCGACGGTCATAATAATAATCAGGCCCTTTACGGTCATCATCATAGCCTCCCCGCCGGTAATCATCGTACCCTGCAGGCCTTCTTTCCTCATGATCCCTCCTGCTGGGAGGGGGAGACCTGGGGCGACGATCTTCAAATTCAGCACGACGTGGAGGCGATCTCGAGCGGTCACGGCGGTAACCCGAGCGGTCTTCTCTGTGATAACGGTCGTCTCTATACCGATCCTCGCGAGGTCGCTCATCACGACGATCATCGCGTCTGTAATTATCGACACCTCCACGCTACAACACGTCAGTCAGGAAGGACATGAACTGAAGTCGTAATGAAACGTACAGAATCATCTAGAGCGACCCGGACAGGCCTACCACGAAGGTCCTTACCGTCCAGATCCTTGACAGCGCGATCAGCATCATCACGGGATAGGTATTCTAGGATCCTGCGTTTGAATTGAGGTTAGAAATATGTCAATAGATGAATAACGAAAGTTGCTGCCAAGAGCTGGAACATGGGTCTTGAGATACTACTTACCCTTGGCCGGGGAAATCACGGTCGATGTCTGCAAATGAAACACTTCCAGCTTCACGACCGAAATCTTTCAAATCCTAAGAGCGAAGGGGCGAAAAGCATCAGGACCATCCAATGAGAGTTATATCGGAAGCACGGGTCCACACGAAGGAAAGTAATCAACGACCGCCCGTTGTCCGATGATAGCCCAAATTCTAAACCCAGCCAATTATGATCGGAGGTGAACCCGTATGGTATCGTAAATGCAGAAACCAGGTGAAAAGGTAGGACCGGACCGGAAAATTCCATACCTGCCAGCTTGTGTCGCGAGAAATCCCAGATACAATCAGACGGATACCAGGAGGCCTTCGTGAGCGTGCAGAACTAAACAAAGATGACACAAGTATCAGCGGCAGTGAGAAGGATATGTCCTGAGATCATGAGCTATACCCAAATCCTCGCTCTCCTCCTCCCTCATACACATCTCGTCGTGGGCGGCTCTCCTTGGCAAATTCAACAACAATGCTACACAATAAAATTACGTAAGTGCCTCAGATAGACATGCAAATATTGAAACATACTTGACGCCCATGAACGGTTTTCCATTGAAATGGTGCACTGCATCCTCAGCATCCTGTAAATTGTTGGGCATTTGCTACATAAAATAAAAGGGCTTGGATGAGATCCACCTTTGAGTTTTCAAATTCGACGAAGCCAAAGCCTGAGGAAGGTGCTGTGAGCCCGGGGTTTGCTGAGCGCCGTTTGTCGGACGAACCAGTCATGACGCGACAATCAACAATGCGACCATAGCCGTCGAAGAATTTTGCTACATCATCAGAACGAGCATCAGGAGGAAGTCCTACATATCAACGACCCTCCTGTAAGCAAGAAACGATGCTATTGGCAAAAGAAATAGCCTTACTGCCGAGGTAAAGACGTCTGGCCATGGTGGTTGAAGTAAGAGAGAGAAAGATGTAAATTGTATCTGAGTTCGAATTTCGAACAATACTCCATCCAAGGCCATGGCCCGTGCACTCGCTTACGTACGCCAATGTGGCTATTCACTATGCGACATCGAACTCTATGTGTCTCCACCAGTGCCTCCAGCAATATATTGTTACATAGAAGGGCAAAGGAACAGAGAGCATACATGTAAAAAAAAAGCCCTTATAATATAGTAATGCTTTTGGCAGATAGCAGACAAAACAAAATCACACGCCCTCGTATGTATTAATGCTGCGACCAATTAATCGAATTGATGTCAATTCCCTCCTGCACCATCTCCCATAGCGGGCTTCATTCAAGTTAGCATGCATGGCAGCGGACAGAACGAAAAAATCATACCTCATTTCACGGAGCCTGGTTACAACGCGTACAATGTGATTCACGACAAAATCAATTTCCGCCTCTGTGGTGAAACGGCCAATTCCGAAACGTAAGGACGAATGAGCCATGTCCTCAGCAGCACCTAAACTCGTGTTAGCGCGAGCTGGAAATGACAAAGCAATGGCTTACCCAAAGCACGAAGGACATATGAAGGCTCCAAGGATGCGGATGTGCACGCACTACCAGACGATAGTGCAATGTCCTGTGAAAATATGAGCTCCGAAAACTTTCAAGTGTCCGCACATATTCACCTTCAAAGCCATCAACAAACTTTCACCTTCCACGTACGCAAAGCTCAAATTGACACAGCCAGGATAACCACTAATATCTCCATTCCGGACAACATGTTCAACTTGGGAGTTGATATTTTGTATAAGGCGTTCTGAGAGCTGCTTGATTCGAGCATGATCTCTCTGTGGAGGGGGGATCAGTATCTGCAGAACAGCTCAAAAGAATCAAAACAAAACAAAACAAAATCAGTACCCCTGCACAATTGTCATAACTAAGCTGGCGACTTCTAAACCATAGGTTCAGCAGTACAAAAGCCACTTAGTTCGGGCTCTTAGGAGCACAAGTGCAAATATCGTCATGCGAAAGGCAAGGGAAGTTTACTCACCGCCATCTCTTGCTTAGCCAACCGCGCAGCCTCGCCGATACCAACTATAAGAGCCGTAGGCAAAGTCCCACTTCGCAAACCACGCTCTTGACCTCCACCGCTCAAGATAGGTTCCAATCGGACTCTTGGTCTCCGGCGCACATAGGCTGCACCCACACCCTTAGGGCCGTACAGCTTGTGTCCCGAAATACTCATCAGGTCAACGTTCGTTTCGTTGACGTCTACTGGGATTTTTCCAACCGCCTGCGCAGCATCGGTATGAAAATAGACTCCACGGTGTTTGCGTATTATTTCACCGATTTCCTTCATGGGCTGAATGACGCCGGTCTCGTTGTTCACCGTCATGATGGAAACCAGTGAGGTATCCGGTCGAATAGCGGCCTCCAGAGCATCAAGGCTTATTATGCCATTCTGCTCTACGGGAAGGTAAGTGACGTCGAAACCTTCCTCACCCAGCTTTCGGCACGAATCTAGGACACATTTGTGCTCCTGTATAAAGGGAGCCAAATTTAAGATATTAGAGTTGAAGAGGTGCAATGTAACTTACCGTTTGGGTAGTTATGACATGCTTTTTCCTGTCCTTGTGAAATCGCGCAACTCCTTTGATAGCCATGTTATTGGTTTCAGTAGCTCCAGAAGTGAAGACAATGTCCTTTGGTTCAGCACCGATGAGATCAGCCACATGCTAATAATGAACAGATTAGAGAAGCCTTTACGATAGGATAAATAGATTATCAACCTGTCGAGCATCCTCAACGGCTTTCTCAGCCTCCCAGCCATAAGCGTGAGTCCTGCTATGAGGGTTACCGTACTGATCGGTAAGGTATGGTAGCATTGCATCAAGAACTCGAGGGTCCACAGGCGTAGTGGCCTAGGATAACCTTTGTTAAGGGGCGTCTATACAAGGTAGAGAGAAACCCACCTGCATGTCCAGGTAGATGGGACGAGTCTTTTGCGTCAACGTATTCTCACGATTTGGTACCTCCAACTTGAATCCAAGCATGTCTAAAGGGCATGACAGTTTCATCTAGAGTGACTAACAAGTAGTAAACACATGCGCACCTGGGCTTGGTGCAAAGTGACCATCATCGTATGAAGAAGGGACGTCTACGATACTAGCCCTATCTGCACCTGAAGGCTGAACGAAGGTTCTGCGAGCAGATACTGCAGTTCTCTTGACGGTGTTTCTGACTGTTGCTTGTGTAGCACTGCGGGATATTCTTGAAAACATTTCTTCGAGGATGGTACCAAAGCCAGCTATCAGATAGCGGTGAACCTAAGAGTGGAGGTAAAGGACAGAATCGTAAAAGTAATTCGGGGCAAGCGGACGTGAATTACGAAGCATGACGGCCGACTGGCGTGGGAATGCGGACTGCCGGGTTATTCCGAGATATCCCTCCATGGAGCCTATTCATTGACTCAGTGGCAACTTACTGGCGCTGGAGTACACTTGCAGCCTTGCACAGTCAATACCACTGAGCTCCGCACCCTTTCTCACATATTGGTGTATTTAGGCCGCATTTCATGGGAACGGAAATGGTGAGTGTCTCATTAGCACTTGGCAATCGCATTTTCGTATTAAATTCTTTTACCAATGCATATGTGGTTACAACTTGCTTTGAAGAGCATCAACTCGACTCAATTGAAAGCGATTCTCCACCAGGGGCTTGGGCTGTAACCAGAAAGCTATATGGGCTACGCCAGCAATATCCGCACACAGGGTGTCTCCAACCACGTCCAAGCTCATGTTTGTCTCCCCGGACGACTTATCCATGCCTCACATCTCCGGCTTAGATCAATCAGCTGGACGCAGTTCGATAGAATTGAGATCTCATCATCAATCTTGTGGTTATGGTGGGCACGAACAGGTACTCAAAGGCCTGTCTCCTGGTCTCCAATTCCCGTGGGCATTCTTTCATTCCTGAATCAGTTCTGGCTGTGCTCATAATCCACACACTCGTATTGACCATGCCACACCGGAAGGAAGGCGTGGCTTCCGTTCCGAATCGCTCTTGTGTTTATACCGACTTGTCTGATACAGGGACCACGAACCAGTCACGGCCTCTTCCGTTCCCCTTGAGTGTCATCTCCAGATATGCTCTGTGGGAAGAGACGAAAAGTTAATATAGTGTTTACTGGCAACAGCTGAGAGCAGCTCTATCGATTTTGCAAAGAAATTTAATATTGTTACCCCCCACGAACTGGATTTGTAATACAATTTGCAGACTGGGATACGCGGATGGTATCATTCTCTAGTGTACAGGAACAATACAGCAATACCTCATTGGCAATGCAAAAGATAAGCTAGGTAAAATTTGGAATTCATGGACGGAAACCCGCGAGTTTTATGATAACTTGATCCAAGGTCTGATCCGTGAATATCGAATGATACGATCATAACGCCGGATTGGCATTGGATACGAGCTGCTCGAAATATGTCTGGAACCAAGTACCCGCCTCTGGTGCAGGTTGGAGCGCGTCGGACTGAGGAAGCCACCAATCAGACTTCACCGACCTATTAAGCAGGTGGCCCTGTACTCACCAAAGAGCAATGAGGATCGTAACGAAGCGATGAACTGTCACTAGTTCCATCACACTCGCCGCCAGGTTTGATCCAGGCAATAGCATCAATAAGACTGGAGCCCGTGTTTGTAGTAGGTTGCGTTCCGAATCCAGCACCCTTGACATTGCACCAATCACCCCATGCGCTGCGGATGTTCTGTACGCCGGAACGACCTTGGTCAACAATAAACTGTGCGGGGAAGCCCTGCTCGATCAAAAGCGGAGATAATGCCTGTGATGGACCCGTCAACATAGACCCTAGAAGCTATGCTGTAGCACTTACTTGAATATACAGCAACTCGTCGTAGTTTGCGTCACCCTGAGTGATGGGGTCTGGTGAGGTTGTCGTCAAGGCATTATAGTTGGCAACATCTGTCATAATGTAAACGATTTTATCTCAAATCCGTGTCATCGCAACCTACTTGTTGCAAGACCACGGAAGAAAGGGGATGATCCAGCAGCCTGGTAGGTCTGAGCAAACAACTGAGCGGCGGGGGACAGGTTAGCGGGCCAGCCCAACCATCCAGCGTGACCAGCATCAAGATACATGTATACACCAACAGTAGCCAGCTGTTCGAGGGCGTATTGAACGCAGGCCTGCAAGAATGGAAATTAGCAAGGGAAAGATGAGCAACGTGCGAAAATCCGTGCCTTGTAAGTGGACGCAGCATTTGCACACTTGGCAACGCTCAGGTTTGTCACCAGGTTGGCCATGGAGTCGGGCTCAATGATTGCGACTACGCGTACACCCGGATACTCTGCATTCGATGAATAAATGAGTTTGGAGTAAACCATATACATGACATGAAGATACGTACTCTGAATCTGCGCAACGATCTGATCAATGTAATTGAAATAGTTTGCCTGGCCGTTATTAGCAATGGAGAATTCTCCATTAGACGCTGCTGCAGCGCAGTCACGATCAGGTAAATCGTATACAACAATTTGCAAAAGCTGCTCGTTTCCTGAGCTTTTCGCAAGAGCGTCGGCGTCCGCAAGATATGTGCCGAGGGTCGGTACCTTCGCAACTTCGTCTAGCCACGTAAAGTTTGGTATATTAGCAACCTTTGAAGCCTTCGCTTGGAGTGCAGAGTCAGTGATGTTGGCGACTGCAGCTTGCACCTCAGCAACGTAATAGGGGCTAAGATAAATCTTTGAATAAAGTCACTTGACGTCAGCTTTTGCAGGGGATGAGTAATCAAGAATAGACCTCATAGCCCGTAAACGGATTACCCGCAGCACCAGTAGCGGTCGAAGTTGGAGCCGATGAAGTTGTCGTACCACTAGCCGAAGCAGGCTGGGTTGTTGGTGTTGTGGGGACAGTTGTGGACCCTGGTCTGAACACGATATGTTAAGGTATATATGACATGCTGGAGTTATGCACGTACAAACACTGGGAGTAGTACGAGTTTATTTCTTGACAACTAGACCCTGAATCACAGGTTGTAGCACCAGCTTTAGACAATGGCCCGCGTCAGCATTGACAGGGATTTCTATCACAGAACACGTACTCCAACCGACGCCTCCACACTGGCCATAAAGTGAAGCCTGGGCAGTCACTATGGATGGAACGAGGGAAACTATCGCAAGAATTGCAGTGAATCGGAACATCTCTAGGAAATAAGGGGGTTGTCGTGGGTCCAGCTGGCTTCATCCCAAAGACATCATTATATACCGCCCTTGAGCGTCGCGAATAGGGTTCCCCGAAGGACATTGCTATCGTTATCCGGCAATGTACCGAACGACAGCAGCGGAAACATATCGGTGAACAATCCTTCAGGGGCGTTACTGCTGAGAGCATCATGGGACCAATGAATTCATCCGAGCAGGGTGAAATAGAATGCATTGGCGAATGTGAGGGGAATGGGCGGACCTTCTTCTCATAGTCCATGATTCGGCTGAGGCGGTTGAACGTCGGTGAAGATTTTTGCACAGGCATAGGATCAAAGTGGGCAGGCAAATCAAGTCCTCAGCAAGCCAACTAACATTGGCTTTAGGATATCTTGAACCTCAGCGTAGAATAAATTGAAGTTACGAGCATTCATATGCTGCTTGAACTGCTTTGTTAGAAATAGCTAATCAATGTGATTTGACTTACTACACACTATCATTGAATATATCGAGCAAATAACGGCTTTCTCGACCACTCCATAGCAGGACTACAACCACCGTAAGACTCCACGTGGTATGCTAAACACGTGCCTTGTCGAAACCAAGAGATGTACACCACGCTACCCACACGCTACTGTAAAGACCATGAGGAAGAGATATGCGGACCTTTGAGTAAGTTTTCCCCATGTGCTGTGCTCATCATCCATAAGTCAGGGCTATATGGCGGCCCGGAGTTGTGAAAGAGTATCACGTCCTTCTCCGAGCCTTGAATGAGCTTAAAAGAAACAACATAGCTGTAGTAATTAGACAACAAGATAACTTGCTCCCTCTCCCTCCTGCTGTTAGTAATTTATAATATAAATACCTTTTAGGATTGCAGATCTGCTCACAAGGAGCCCCAGAGACAAACTTCCAATGAGTTCCGTTGATTCATATTGACAGTTTATACAGGGTGTTCCACAGACATCAGGTGCGAATTCGCCCTGGAGTAAACGGGTGGAAATGAGATTGGTTAGAACCCTCATCTTTTCCTTGGTGCACTAGGAGGGGGAGGTAGTAGTGGGATGCCCCCACCGCCTGCACTTCCAGAACCCCCTGATGCAGATCCAAAGAGGTTGGCGCCTGAGGCTGACTTATGACTTCGTCCAGGGATGGAGATGGAAAATGTTTGGCCTTCTTTCAAGGAGTAATCCTTCTTGGGTCCCGTGGGAACGTGAGGAGACGATGTCTCCGAAGCAGGGCTGGGAGGATTCAGGCTAGCTTTGTAACGTCTGTGAATGCCAAAGAATCGTGATCAGAGAAACTATAGAAGTGAGCGGGAAAGGCACAATTGAATACTTAGTATAATCTTGCAACGCAACATCTTATCAAGAGTATGATGAACAAATTACAAGACAATCAAATGGAACTTACTGAAATCGAAACTATCAGTGCGCTCCGCAAAGCCCATCCCAATGTAAGCCTTCTTTCCCGCATCTTCCACTCTGATTACAAAGTATCGAGAAGAATCGAGGACAGCTTCGACGGATGGCTTCAGAGGGTCATATTCTGCCCTAGCAAATACTGAGTACCGGTGAGAATAGCTTGGTAGAACATGGCAGAAGTCGTCATACATTCACCTATCATAATCATACTGCGTTCAGGGAGATTACACGATAAATTGACGTAGAACTCACCGGTCTGTGCATCCTCAAACAACAAAGCTGCGACATTTGATTTCTCTGTAATCCGTAGCCTGCCTTTCCACAGTGGTTGTGCCAGATCTCCCCAGTCGTTAGCACGGTGTCCCTCGTTAGCTTTCAACGGAGGAATCTTGTAAACTGAGAAATGCAGTAATCCAGTAAGCCAATGCTGATAGTACCCAGACAAATGACGATAACCTGAGATCTCTCTACCAATATAGAGAATTGACTCGACTTCGTCGTCCAGCACGTTCATATATGAGATTTCTGGGTGCTGTGGTCACCGTTCAAGTTTTGTAATGAGCCGATGAATGGCAAACGCGGACTTGAAGAAATGGGTGCACTTTACGTAAACCCTTTTGCTTTCCTTACCGTCAGATTTCTAACATGGCTCAAGGATTTCCTACACCACCGCCAACGACTGAAACAGAATTTCTGGACGAGGCTAGAGATTCTGTTGCATCGACATCCGCAATATCCAATATCGTACCTCCTCCAGTCGTCCTTGCAAGCAACTTGAACAGTGGTCCAGATGTCTACCAAGAGATATTCACCCACATAGCTGATCTGGCATCTCAGGGCAATTTCGAAGAGCTCATACAGGTTGCTGAGCTTCATGACCTCCATGTACGTCGGGATGCTGAAGATTCACTATATTATCATCTTACAAGCCCTTTAAATCGTGTAGGGTGAAAATGATGCCAGTTACACCCGATTGCTCCTTACTGCACCCCTAGTTCTCGCCTATCTTATCAGAGATGACTTGTGCGTGGTGTTTCTTGGTTTCAATATATTTAACCCTCTTGACACTATTCCCAGAATTCCCGCTCAGTATGCCCTCACACGGCTACCAGAGAATCTACAAACAGTCTCGTTGTCAGGATCCCTAATGAGCATTCTAGCATCCACTCAGGAGAGGAAATACGAGGATGTCTATTCCCGTGCACAAAATCTACACCATAAAGCACAACAGTCAGATTTTCTCGATGAAAAGCTAGGTTCCCTCGTGGCTACTCTCATAACCACATTTATCGGTGAGTTAAAACCACGTCCCCCGTGACCCATATTGAATTGGTCAACAGATTCTTTCCGTCGGAGAACCTTCACACTATTATCTCGTGCCTACAGTTCAATTTCTGTCGCACTTGCACAGAAGTATCTTGGTGTTGGGCAAGAACAACTCCTCTCAGGTGCGACAAATTTCACGAAATGAGAAGGAGCAGACACTCAAGGTCGCTTCCCGAAGTCGCTAACAGTAGCGGCTGGCGCTATGACGGCTCGGATCAGCTCCTATATCCCACCACCACAAATATTGAAGCTTCAACTGGCATACAATTTTCAGGTATGCCATTCTCGAGCACTAGACATATTCGGTACCTTTGATCCAAACTCTCAGCTTCCTCCCTGGACACATTTCACGTCGTGGCCGACGGGGTAACGAAATTGGAAGCATGAAAGCAATAACCAGTGCTATCGCTGCATCACAAATGCATTCTGCAGTACCTGCATGCAGTTGAGTGTACACTGGTCGAGTGATGTGTAGTCTGTCCCTTGTAATCTAGCCGTTGAAGAAAGGAAAGGATGAGTAGCATATATCACCGTGTTTTCTTGAACGGCAACGGTAAGCGCCTAAGAAGGGGCCTCGGCTTGGTAGTTGTCTTTGCGTGAAGTCGATTGAGATATATGGAGGAATACATGATATCTTGCCTCATGTAACGTAGCAACCATTCGACATTGTTGGGTTCTGGACACTCCAGCAAGTGTATAGGCGGTAGTCGGGCTCTTCGATGACCAAAGTGATGAAAATTGGACCATTCACGGGCAGTCTGATGATGTGCAACATGCCTTGCCCTTCCATCATTTTGGGCATCACTCCCAACGCCCAACATGGACACAGCCTCATCATCGATGACGCCGCCCCCTTCGGCGTTCAGAGCCTCTTTCTCCGCTTTCTTTAACAGGTTTTCAACCTCATTCTCGCCAGACCTGTCGAGATTGTAACGCTCTGCGACTGCACGAACCATCTCTTCATCATGCTTGATGGAGTTCGAGCGTCTCGATCGCTGCCAGTTGAGCTCGTGTTGTCTGAGAGTCTTGTGTGCATGCTTGAATGTCTTTAAGATTTGGACGTGAGTTAGAAGAGGACGTTGATCAGAGAGTTTTCTACATACCTCCATCCTCTCCATAATAAATAGTTTTAATCGATCAAGCTCTCCCCAGCCTGCTATGAACCGAATGTGCAGATTTTTCGTTTTTGAAAGGTCAGAGCGAACGACAGGTACCCCAAAGAGAAAACCACCCCCTGTCCAACCCGGAAATATGCTGAGTGGACGGTGTCCTGGAGGCCATGCAGGTGTGTCGCCCATCGCAAGACTAAAGAATTTCGCTATGGGCGATATATTCCTGGCATAGATTGCTTGACTAAACGAAGTAATGTAGCAGACAATGTGTTGCCTCTCGTTGAGGCGTTGGAGTACGAGGCAGTATTTACCAATGCCAGAAGCTTCGCGATGTAGTCGTCGCTTGACCCCTTTTTCTTGACTGGTCAGCACAAATCCATTCCGCTCTAGTAATTCATAGAATGCGCCATGTATTCCGCCGTGCCCATCGACGTGAGCTATTTCTCCAGGTTCAAATTGACTCAAAGCTTGCTTTCTTTCCTCTGGAGACAGATTAAATCTCCGTGCAATGCTTTTCGTGCGTTTGTTAATTTCGAATGTATATGCCAGATGAAGTCGATCCCAGTAAGATGTGGTTCCAAGCATGTGCTCAAGTTATCGAGCGTGCGAGAAGCTAGCTTCGACGACGCAGACTATAAGACCGCAGGCCACTGATGAAAGTTCATGAAAAGACAGTCAGCAATGTACTGGAAATGATTTTGGAACAAGCCATGATACCTTGGACTTGGTCCGCTGAGCCAAGACTGGTGTAGCTCTGAGTCAGGTTGCTTGGTGTACTGTGTTGTACTAGCATATCCGAGTCGGGTTTAACAAACAAAACAAAAGCACGTGACCTGGCACGTCACGTCAGTTGGACATGTTGCTCCGTTTAGTACGACCCGAATCATTGACAGGAATTCTGATGCTATACTACACTGGATTCAACTTGTTAGACAGCTATCTAATTGTGTATAAAATTACAGGAGTTCGTGGACAGTATATTACATTACTTGGTCCATGTGAATTTCAAGTCCATCCAATGATCGACATTCTTTTATAGAATATGTCAGCCGTGAAAACTGGGGAGACCACACTGAATAGCTAAGGTAAACACTACCTACGCCTTTATCGGGTCATTTCATAACGAGAGTCCTCTGCCTCCCTCACGAAGACTTCTGGCAATCTTCTTCCAGTCCTGTGATTCAAGTGTTAACAAAAACCATCAAATGATATAAACAACTGAGAAGGCTTACTGCATGCTTCAATGTCCTGAAGTCATCGACAGCAGCTATATAAACCATGTATCGCGCTAGCTTATCTAGTTCTCGGTCTGCTTGACCTTCCTGTGTATGCGCGCCTTTGAAAGCGTGTATTTTGATCCCCTCGTTTGGGTTGAGAGCAAAATTGCGACCCTTGACGCTGATGAGAGTTATATTTTATAAGTCATTCAAAGGTAGACACACCAAATCATCAACATGAACTGTGTTCTTCGCGCTGCTATAAAAGATTAATAGAGATGTAGGTACATCAAATCAAGATCGATAAAAGTGATCACCAACAATTGCGGGAAATGATTCCATATTATTTGAAGGGGCTTGACATGATGCGAATATGGCTGACCACTGCGTTCCGTAAAGACGGTAAACATGCACGTCTTGTCGAGTACTAGCCAGGATATCAGTTATTTCCAGTCATCGGTACAACATGATTGAAAATCCTTCACCAAATGATATCTGTGAATTGTCGTTAAACACGATACTCGAGGAGACTGTCAAGAGGGATAAGTACATGATAGTCACGATTTGAGCCAACCATCCCAAGCTCAACAAGCTTTGTCTCCAGCCAAATCCAGCTAGTTTGAGACCTTGTAACATTAATTAACAATTTGCACGAGAAACTGCTTGACAATGCTCACCAGATACAAATGTCATAATAAGGGTAGATAGCTTCTAGAAACTCGTGCAGACGAGGCCTTGCACACTCAGCCGATGGAAGCGAGCCGGAAGTTAACGGTTTGGTGTCCAATATGGCTGGGAAAAGGTATAAGTGTTAAACGTTTTATATGGATAATAACATACTGTAGTCAATGTCTAGTACAAGTAGACGTTTCCCAGGCCTGAGTGGATGGATGATATTGACTTGTAGCTTCTGCGTTGCTTCTTTGATCTTTCGAATATTTCGTTGATCGTTCTGGTACGCTAATGCTGCCCCAGGGTTGGCAGAAAAGTCGACGTCAAGGTCATTTACAACGTCTGGGAGAAATTCGATTTCTGATGCAATAGCGGTAAGCTTTGGTATTTCAAGGGATGATGGATTCCGTACGAGAGGGGTCTTTGATCTCATCTCCCTGAGGCGTCCCTATCAAAGTAAACTTCTTTCCGGAAACGAGCTTGAGGTCAGCGCTACAGACAGAATCGGCGATTTAAGAACAAGTAACTCATGGTAAGATGGACCATACATTCTCTCTTGATCAGGAGGAAGTTTGCCTTTCACGAGACCTAGTATTTTCTGCCTTTCTGGTGGCACATTTGTCAAGTTCAGCAGAGCGTATTTCAGATCATATACTCTGAAGACAAAGACTGATGGTAAGACTTTTGACTGTTATAAGCTAGGACGAAAGTAACCTGTCAGATTCAGCCAAGTCCAACTCAAACGGCTTTCCCGACCAGACGAACGACAGGTGTATCCACCGCTCCGAATCATTTCCATCAACAGACATCTGATAAACATATTGATTAATTCGGTTCATAATAGTATCCAACCCACCCGAGCGATCACTACTTACGTCTGGTGGTTGACTCACGCACACCTCTGCTCTTGCTGCAGTGGGATCCTGCGTTTCATGGATCTGTGTGTTAGAAGTCTCTGCCATCCCAGATGAACCTCTAATTGGGGAAAAAGGTGAAAAGCCAAGTGAGACGAGCGTTTACCTGCAGTTACGGCTCGATCTTAAATGGTAGCTCGTGCTGACTAAGAAACGCCCTACATATTGGATCACGTGATGCGTAACCCGTATCAGGGGCTTCAAGCACCTTAGGGTTTTGCAGTATGCAAGATTACATAGGAAGATTTCAGTCGAGTATGTAGTACTTTGAATTTTACGAGCTGAGTACCCCACTTTCTTGACCGCTCGGTTCATCAAACCAGAGTCGAATTGTAATATCCTTCTCCATCGATGCAGATGCGATGATGTTGCGTGAAGGATGCGTCTAGCAAAGCGGTATCAATATCAGCTATATAAACAGATCCGCATCTAGACTTACAGCTACAGCTAAAACCACATCTTCAACATTGCCATCAGCTTATGCATTTTGACGCGTTCCAAAACTTAACGCACCTCTATGACCTTGCAGTACTTGCACTATTTCACGGCTCTGCAGATCCCATATATACACTTTTGAGTCTTCACTGCCACATACAATGTACTGGCCGCCAGTCGTGCTGAAACAGGGAACGAGACAGTATGTGCGGTTCGTATGTCCTATGTACGTTTTGACACAGCGAGAAGTGAAATAATTCCATAGCCGAATTGTAGAATCTTGTGTGGCAGCGAGAACAAATTTTGAGTTGGGAGAGAATCTAACGTGTGAACTAGAAAAGACTTAGTTTTAGGTTTCATCGTATACCATCATGATAACAAACCAGACGGGGTTATCATCATCAACCAAGGTTTTCAAGCATTGGCCAGATTCAGCATCCCATATTCGTCTATATAAAGTTTTCAAGTGTAAGTTGAATAGCATTGGATTGAGAAGATCATACATTAAACCATCCATGGCACACGAGACGATAAGAGTACCATCGTGATTAAAATTCACAGCCGTGACAGGGTCTGAATGCGCAGGGAGCACTTTCATCGATCTACCTGAGCTGGAGTCAGTACCTATTTGCATCACACGATTGTTGTTCGCGTACCCCTTGCTACATCCCAGACGCGGACGGTCTCATCATACCCACCTGAAACCAGTAATCCGGAATGGGGGCTATAGTTCAAGCAAAAGACGAAATTAGTGTGACCCTTGAGCGTTTTGACAGGTGTTTTCTGGAGACCAGCGATGGGTTTTAAAATTCGAATAAATCAATAAAGACATTCACCTGTTCGGGGCTCCAAAGCATGATTGTCTTATCATCAGAAGCGGAAGCAATATATTGACCGTCGTTCGACCAAGCAATATCATTGATACCCTCTGCATGTCCTTCAAGTGTCTGCATTATGCCACCAGTTAACCCGTCCCAAAGCTTGATAGTTTTGTCCGCAGCTGCCTTTCGATGTAACTAAATTCCACAGGTCCCATCTAGCTTGATGACCCAACTCACCAGACGATGCCAATATGGAGCCATCAGGACTAAACTTTAGAGCGGATATCGACATTGTATGTCCAGCCATGAGATAATGGGCTTGGTAGTTTGGCTTTGGGCGCTGGGTTCTGCTTGGCTCCTGTGATAAGGCTGGAGGACTAGGGACGTGTACATCGGAAGGAGTTGGTGGAATGCTTTGAGAGAGGTGGTCTGATATCTCTTCCACTTTCTCAATAGGAGCATTATCATTCGAAGAACCTTGAGCAGGAGGTGTTCCAAGCTGATCGTCACCTATGTTCATGTTTTGTGAAGATTCAGCTCAGTCGCCAAGCAAATAACGAAATGCAGATAGAATAATACAAAAGGCTCAGGAGCTTCTGCTGCCAGTGAGAGCAAAACGAAGGTAATATTCGCGTCGAAAAGTGGGTCTGCCGCCGGCGGTGGTGGAAGAAGTCACGGTGCGGAGCACTGCCACAACTTGGTACTTAGTTTCGGTAAATGCCCAGACTGGTGGTGGCTGCACCAACTACCAACTACTAGTTTCAAGAGGTTTCAAAAGCCTGCTGCCAACGCTACGGTCAAATTCCATGTCAGCGAGTAGGACTCGTACCAGGAAAAATTTATGACGGCCACTCAACGGTGGTAGGTTAGGTACTAGTAGCAGGTGAGACCTTTATTACACTTTGACTGGTTAGGGGTTCTCCCTCAGGGACGATTAAAATCTCACAGGTTACTTAGCGGCAATTTAATGAAGGCATAAAATACTGGTGTCGGCAGGTGATAAAGTTCCCAATCATAGAAGTAGGCTGGAGCCCCAACCTGACAACTCCAAGTGCCGTTACGGTAACATAGTAAAGAAATGTTTATCATTTCAACAAATTAAAACTAGCTGGTGAACTTCCTAAGAGAAATCTCGAGATCAGTCGTTACGGATACGCATCCATGAGAAGTACGATAACTGTAACGTGTCATTGAAGCGCTATAAGCCAGGACAGACCTAGTAGTACAATGACGAGACTGTAGCTGACTGGGCGCAGGAGATTTGGTTGACTGTAAATATCGAGAGGGGGATCTGGGATCCTGCTCCAAATTAACTCGAAGTTGCTTTGAAATCGGAGTGAATGAAACACACGGGGGCTGTATCCACAGCCCGTGGAACATAGTTCTCAGCGTAGAAAAAGTGTTCAACTTCAACGAGAGATCTCACCCAGATTTGCACTAGGAACTTTGTTCCGAAAGATCAAGAGCGCAGATGGTAGGTAGGTATTTCATCCAGGGTCACGAAGCTATCCCAATACGGATCCAATGAATATTCAACTTGAACCGCCTTGAGCTAGTTCACGTTGGTATAAAATTGACACTTTTCCAGAGCACCTTTCCATGATAATGATAATCACCGGCGGACCTTCAGAGAGCCAGCCGTTGTTATGGGACAACATAATGTAAAAAGCACGACAGTTATCGTACCGGGATATTACGAGCTAGGACATACCTGTTACAGCTAAATTACACCTGCGCTGAGAATGATCTGGCGGCAGGAATTTTACTTTCGAAATTAGACGAGTTCTATTGTCACAGATACTTCATCGATCACAGCGGAGGGGCTGTTATGTTCGGGTGTCACCAACTTGTACAGAAGTTCGATAACAGATATACCGTATTCGAGACCAGGGGTTACTCCATATCATAAGAAGGACTGGACCTATGCTGTAAAACTGTAAACATGAGGTGAATGAAACCCCTTTATTGTTAAATTGGAGAATTGTGACAGCAAAGATCTATGAGATGGCCAATTCGAGCCGTCCTGAGCCAGTCCATCATGTCTGCCACGAGAAACAAAGTGCATTACATAGTATACATGCCACTAATGAACACGCTTCAGGTCCATCATAATTGACTGGCGAGTGTCGGAGCCATTTCCTAGCACTGGTCGGATGATCCCCGCCGAACCAAATAAAATTAGCAAGGAAGAGGAATTTCCCCCCAGTCGAGCTGCCCTTGAGTCCTACTTGCGTAACCATCGACTGTCATTGAACTGATTCCTATTCCCGATATCGGCTAAACCTATCTTGCCACTGTGATAATTGAGATTACGGCTCTAAAGGTCTTAGGAATATACCGCTTGAGCCATTGTGAGCCAGTTCATCATGTTGTTTTGCTGTCAGAAAAAAAATAGAAAATCAGAATAGAGCTTTCCATAACATAATATGCATACTACCAACTACGCTTCAGATCCATCGCTGTCGATTGACAAGAGATAGTATAATTTTTCCAACACTGGTCGGATGGGTTTTGTTGCCATGATCTCCGCCCGAGAAAAAGTTGGCAGACGATGAATCTGTAACGGCTAAGCTGTCCTTGTTTCCCAGTCCCGCAGCCACGCCTGGAACAATAAGACACCAATTCGATTTTCCAGTATTGGCTAAATGAACATTGCTACCATCATGTCCGACTACCTGTGAAAAATTTGGCGAGTTCCAGCGTTCCATTGGTAGTTCTCAACAACGGCCGGAAAGTAATCGATCCGATCGAGGTAGACGCGGGAATATAGTAGTGCAGCGCTTCGGCGGTCACGGATCTTTCTGCAAAAGTTGACGGAAACCACAAGCTGAGCATCAAAGAAAAATATACCTCACACCAGGGGGTGATATATGACTTAGTTTGGACACGGTCAAAGCTGTGAACAACGAGCGTTTTGATGAGGAAGTGGAGTAGCCATGAAGAAAAGTTGTAATCTGTGGGAAAGGTTGGACTTGTCAACACACAAGCACAAAAGTCATTCAGAACTATCATTGACGTACTACTCATGCCGCGGGCAATGTCCTCTCAATGGACACCAGCGGCACATATCAAGATTCGTCAGAACGAGGGGACTGAAAAATATGAGGTACTAGGTTCGATTGATCGCTCACGCAGCCATGGATCGGTAAGCACGAGACTACTCAGGCCAAAGTTCTTGCGGCAGGGCTAGATATGATATGTTTTCTGCTGCGCCGGAGATTGACTAGTTATTACGCGTTCGACTTGCCGATGCGTATTGACCGGAGGATTTTGTTATATCTTTTCGAAGGGGCTGTAAGTATGCTGTGACTGGAGGCATCGAATTAGGTTTGCCCGCACATACTCATGCCTATGAGTTAATACCATTTGTAAGGAAGCCCCGAGGGGGAAAATCACTTACTGACCGCTGCAGCCCACCAAAAAGCACAGCCTCTGCGGCTCCTAGGACTGTCGTTTCAGAAGGCGGACCCATCTAATCATCGACGTGTATTGAGTAGAGCCGCCACGTCGTCGACGTCGCACTAGAAGACCTGGCGCGGATGATATGCTATTCAGAGTCCATCTTTGCATGTTGGGCGTAGAGAACGCCGAAGCGCTGCCAGTGAAAGCCGGAGCAAATCGAGGGCTGTGAATAATAATGTAACGTAATTGTATGGGATGGGACACCGAAAAACGTGGCTTGCTAGACCTCGGTTCAACGTTCAAGCTCATCCTTATGGATAGCATCGCTCAGTAATCTTTTGTGATTACAGCTTTCGGTTATTTTCATATCTGTGCATGTAAATGCGAGCCTACTAGTACCCGCGAATACTAGTAAGTTATGGCTATTTCTGCGCTTTCAAGTTCCGGGTATTTCAGACTTGGGCTGTGTCGCGGTTTACCCCCGTCATCATCTGTTCATAAGCGTACGCGCACTCCTCGCTGCCAGTCATATCTAACATCATATCTAACACCACTTGTCCGTTTCCAACAATCCCCGCAAACGTCTCGGTCCATACATATGTCCGCCTCGGTGAAGTCAGGGGAAAGCCAACGTATCTTATCAGAACCTCGGCCGTCTGCGAGTCTCGTCGTCATCAATGAACGGAACGAGATTTTGCTTGTACACCGGAATCCAAAGGCGCGCGCGTTCGGCGGTATACATGTTAGGCCATTTTTCATCTGACAAACTGATATGTACAGCACTCACGATCACTGTCAAGGTCTTTCCAGGTGGAAACTACGATGCAAAACAGGACAGTTCGTTGGCGATGACTGCCATACGAGAGACTTTCGAGGAATCAGGCGTTCTCTTTGCCTCCTCGAGCAATCCAATCAGACTGAGCAGCACTGTGATCAACGAGGCACGGAAAGCTGTTCACGAACAGAAGCTCGATTTCCAGTCATTCTTATCCAAACATCATTTCAAAGTTGACATCGGTGCTTTACTGCCTTTCACCATCTGGGTTACACCGCCAATAGTACCTAGGTACCGTACTTTGCCTATGTCTTGACACCTATGAGATCGTTCTCACTGCCTCTGTCCGCAGACGCTTTCGCACACAATTTTTTGTTGCTTTCCTTCCAGGGTCTTCTTCGACAGGGTTCTCAGGAGGAGATAAGGAAGACCAACTCCCCACCCCAGATGGGGCCCAAGAAGTCATAGCTGCTCGGTTTGTCAATGTAAACACTGCGATGGAGGAGTTCAGGGCTGGGAAGATATCGTTTCTACCACCTCAGTACTATATTGTAGAAACGCTACGATCACTGTTGACTGGGCACATCAATACGCAGGACCAAAGGGAGACCGTCACGAGATTGTCGCGTGGTGGCTTTGGTCAGATGGTCATCAACCCGAGAGTCAGTCGTGTTCGCGACGAAGAGGGTCGTGAAATCTTTGCCTATGAGGGCGATGAGACTCGGGGTGGACCCAAAGGACGCCTGCACCGATCGTTAGTAAGACGCAAGGGAGATGTAAGTACTTTTTATTTGGCTTGCCCAGTACTAAGAAATGACCCGCTGCTCCCCTTTCAGATTTTCCATGAGATTCATCTGAAGCGGAATTTCGACATTTTTACTGACATCCAGGCTGTGACTGTGATGGAACCAGGACCAAAGTTATAATTTACATACCATATTTATGTGGACTGTAGCGATCTTTTACTCTCGGTTCATTAGGAACTAACAATACATTCATCTATTCGTATCAACCATAAGTGCATTTCCTACATGCAATGACGAGGGAAATTTGGTGTCAAAAGCGAAGAAACAACGAATACAGGTATAAAATTGCTTTACTGGTAAGTATTTGGTCATGGCTACAAAAGGCATCGAGTAAAAACACAGATAAAGGGCTACAGGTTATGAATCCATCCCAGCAAAGAAACATTAAGCTAAATAGAGAATAAGGTGAAAAGATGTAAAAGAACAAACGGCATTAATGGTAGAAGAGGGTCCAAAATTATAAAGTCTTTGCTCTAGTCGTGATACAGCACAGTCGATTTTGATCGGGTTGTCATCGATGAGAGTTCAGAGTAAGAAGGGGAAGTTTTCTTCTTCTAGATGTTATACACTTGGTAGTCGTATTCCACCGAGGTACCCCAAAAACTGGGAGTACAGGCGCCAACAGGAGCGAGGCCAGAGGCACCGAGGAGAATGGCGTTCACGTCGGAAGTAGTTGCTACACCCCAGTTTGAATATGAGGAACCCGACGGGTTTGGGTTACCCGTGGTCATGAAGGATTGATAGCGTGCTTGCATCTCAGTAATCAAAGAAGACTGGGCAGAATCTGGACTTGGCACGGTGCCGAACTACATGCGAAAGTCATAAATTAAAGTGAATGGACCAGATAAAAAGAGAGTCCACGTACAACTATCTCAATGTCATCTTGGTGACATACAACGCCAGATTCGGTGCAATACGATACAGCAGAGTTTCCGGGATAGCTCGCGCCAACGACGTAAAGCCCGACATAGGCACTTCCACCGTTCTGCACCCAATTCCTAGCGAAGGTCCATGTCGCACAACGCCATACAGAGTCGGTTCCAAGTGATTGTAGCTGAGGCCTGAAGTCGGTTATAGTACTCTCCTCGGCTTGCGAGACGTATAAGTTGGAGGTCACGAGAGTGTTAGTGCGCTGGGCACCGAATGTACCGTTGACGACTAAATTGTATTCTGCTTCAGGAACAGCGTCCGGGAAAGAGCCATAAATAGTGTAGCCTGCCTCATCAAGGACATTTGAAAGCAAGATGGGCTTTGTGACTTTGGGGAAAGGCGAAGTGGAGTCGAGAGTAGAAGTGATGAAAGTACCGTCAGTGACCACTCGCATAGGCTCAGACTGGGCGGCCGCTGGAACGACTGTGTAGGCGTTGCTGTAAAACGACATTCCCGCGCTGTTGACGATATCATAAGCATTCAAGCCGTTTAAGCAGGCAACATCGGTGGAGGTGCAATTCAACATGGGAGTGAAATAATCTTGCAGTTGATTCTGGTCAGCAACAGATAAGAACCCGTAATCCTGTATAATCAGATTATTAAGCGACACGGTTACGACTTGAAGTGTAAAACAACGAACCATCGGGTCCGACTGGAGAATAGCCGACTGGAAGAGCGAGTCGGCAGAAGGAACCGCAAGTAAGGCCCTGATCATGTTCGCGCCGCTACTCTGTCCAGCAACTGTAACTTTTGAAGCGTCACCTCCAAAGCTAGGAAGAACCTGGCTCAAAAATTCAAGTGCATTGACAGCATCTTTGAGACCAAGGTTAGTGTTTCCGTTCGGGGAAATAAATCCAAGCTGTGATTTTCCCGCATGAGTACTATTTTACATTATTGACGCAAGTAACTTACAGCTCCCAGACGATATTGAATGACTGCAACGATTGAATTGGTTGCAATGGCAAGGTTAGAACCATCAAGCCCTGGGTCCGTTGCTGATCCGACCATGAAAGAGCCTCCGTGTATCCTGTCATCAAAATTGACGTTAGATACATGGTACGTAGAGACGTCAAAACTTGAATTCAACGAACCACGCGAGAGTTGGAACACCGCTCACTGCAGTGAGGGTATTTGGCACATAGATGATCATAGACAAACAATCCTCCGAAAAGGAAGACTGGTCCACATCCGGCTGTGGACACATCAGAGGGAGAGCAGAGGCATTGGTGGAGCCGTTTCTGTTTCTCAAGTTCAGTACAACGCGCTATAGACGTGATGGAAGATCGGCTCACGGAAGTTCCCACGTGGTGGCCACAGTGGACGGTGCCCATCGATCAGCGGAGGCATATCGGACTGCGTATCTGTTGACATTTGGGACGTCGACAGTGCCTTGTGCAGTGCCCAATGGGGTATTGACCGATAATCCCAGAGAGCCATCTCGTGGACAAAGAAACGCTTTCACGAAGGGTATGTCGCAGAGGAGGGAGGTGGGGCTGAGCGGTGGGAACGACAGTCTGGGGTCAGGATTCCGCAGAGGAGACGCCCAGGCTGTTGACGCGAGCAGCAAAGACGAGGCGAAGGCAAAGAGAGCAACCATAGTTCTCAGTAAGAAGGCTACAGAGGTCGGATTATTAGGAGGTGCCCTAGAGGTGGAGATCGCTCGACACCGCTGCTGGTGAGGAGATCACAGAAACGAAACCTCGTTAAATATATAAGACGGCTGAGGCTCGTTCCTGCGAGGCGTCAAACCAGGTCCCGGTGCGAGAAAAAAAGATGGTGAGGAAAGAAAGACAGGAAAGAAGGAGAGAGTAAAGGCACAGAGAAAATATAGAACGGCAGCATCCATGAGATGGGATGTGCCCGTGTGGAACAATGGCCCCAGAAGACCAACCGAATAGGCAGGTGTCGCTTGAAGGCATACCGCCAGGACGGGATTGCCATCTTTACCCACGTCTTTGTTCCCAATATGTCACTTGGCGCTCTGCCACCTCTCTCGCCGACATATTTCCTTATATTCTTTTCCATCTGTACCTATCGATCCCCATGCACTTCTGCCATTTGCTATCTTGGGTCATGTCAAGCTTCTCTCCGCACTGCCTTTGCGTCCCTCAAGGCCTCAACTATAGATCCAGATAGGCACGACGACGTGCCTCAAAGACCCACAGTATCGGTGTGAATGTAGCTATGGGGTGTGAGTTCTCTTGTATTGTTGTTTTATTTTCGTACCTTGGCCGTCGCCTTGAATTCATCAAAGGCCCTTGGTCTTCGTGCACATGCCACCCACCTTTGGATAGCTAAACCCTTACCGTACCACTGGATACGTCTCGTTCCTCCGATTTGCTCCCCCCTCGGGTTAACTTTAGTACTTAATTATCCAGTCGAATGGATTGATTGCCAGATCCAACAGGGAATCCTCCGGTCACGTCAGTCCGAGTTGACAACGCTCTCGTGTGCATACTCCGGTTCCTGATTAATTGTGACGTACCCAAGGTAGTAAGTAGAATTATCCCATACCACTGGCACGTCCTTATTTTCTTATTCTCGTCTTGTTGTCTAAAGGCCGTGTCCATAGATTGACGACAACTTCATCAGCCCTCTACCTCCGACCTTTCCCCTACTTGTCAAATCAGAGAACGCTGCCGGATCATACACGCCTTCAGATAGCATGAGGATCTCGACGTTTTGTATGGCCTATTGAATTGGTACTATTTCACATAAGTGAGTACCCATGGTCAGGCCGCTGGCACCGGCACTGGCGCGTCGCAACGAGAATAGTCCATCATTCGTAATACTGCTGAGCTGGAGTCAGATCATTGGTTATCTACTATGGGCAGCTCCAGTTGTGAATCTTACCGCTATCTTACCCCATTACTATTGTGCTAGGAATAAACAAGTAGGGTGACCAACTGATATCGGGGATGACATGTTGCTCGCATCTATGTCCAGAGGCTATAGTCCTGTCCCTGCGTAAGTCGCATGCGATCGTTGTTCTCCTTGATACCACCATCGAACTGAGCACTGGGTAAGTTACTAAGTTGAGTTGGGAGCAAGCGAGATTTGGGCCGATCAGGCCCTCAACTACGTGAGATGATCGGCACGCGAGTTTCATATCCTGAGAGAGTATTCTCGTACACGTGAACCTAAGTAAAACCCAACTTGAATCAGTCAAGCTGGTCCGTGCTTTCCTTCGCAGGTGAAACCTCCTGTAGTAGAACCTGGAAATGGTATCGTGCCTATAGATAAACTCGATCAAATCTTGCACATGTGCAGATAGGCTATGGTCTGACCGTCGAGATTTACCAACGCTGTGTCAAAATACAAGGCGTTTGTTGCATGGTTGGAATCAAGTTAAGCCATACAGTTAAATTTGGTAGCGGAACGCTGAGCGCCCATTTAGAGGGTCACAGCTGATTGGAGTTGTCAGTGCATAACAAGGGTGATGCATCTGCATTTAAAATCATGCATAAGGCAGGTAAAATAATTTCTACTGGCTGCACTGGGCCTAGTGACAGAGTACAACACATACCGTACCAGGAACCCAGTGGAATGAAGTTGGAGACAGGTTAGACTGTGTCGGTGCAGGACATGGAAGCTGCGCACTGAGTCGAGTAATGCATTCATAATGTGCCCCCGCGTTAGTGAGCCTCTCGTTCTTCACGGCATTGCGACCGAACAGAACTAAGCACTGGGGAGTAAGCCGAAGGGGGACTCGCAACGATTATGTACGATACTTCGGACGTAGGGAGCCAAAATTTGTGACGGGTCCTTGCGCCATTTGTCTTGTTACATGTGTTAACATATCAAGACAAGGTACAGCCCGGCCGGAGGTACTCGCCACCAAATTTACATGGATAAATGCACTTCATATCAGCGACGACGCCACGCTGCTGCTCGTGAGGTATACGCGTTCGACCAACTCCGAGGGCTCTCCTATTTCGCTTTAATTGTCAGGGTTCTTTTCGGCCTTCATTCCTTCTTTCTAAGGGGATTTCCGAAGTGGGTTGAAAAGACAAACGCACTTCATGCCTAACAACGTAGTTTTTCTCCTCGTAGCTGGGGCTTTTTTTGAACAGAAAATATATCTTTTGTGTTTGATGGAGACAGACAGAAGACTTGGACACAATGCCCGCGTTAATTGGAAATAGAAGTCTGGGAGCCACTTAGGCTCCGGGGGACCTGTAGTTGTCAAGAGGTTCCATGATAGAATTAGCTTTCGTATCGTACAGCTCATTCCTGGCTTTTAATATGCCCCAGCTTGAAGTCCTATTGGGTTATTGGCGGTGGTCTTTACAAGCGAAGGTGAAACCCGATAATTATATAACTATACATTAAAATGATGCTGAGCCTAACATATGCGTGTTTTGAACATGAATTGCAATCATAGTAGCTTACTTACCTAGTCGTGCCAACGAAGGTTTTGAGGCTCGAAGATGCGCGTACTGACGAGGGGCGCATAGAGTTACGGCATCTGGTGCGTCGGCTATTGCCATTTATGATAACCCTCCCTCGGTAATTGCCGTCCTTGAATGGCGTCCACTACCACGAACTCCTCGCCGGTGAAAATGTAAGGACTTATGTTTTGCTTCCTTTTCACAACGCTCATCACCATTATTGGACATTAAAATAGCTTGACAGTTGGCTCCGCATGTGGCTCAATACGCGATATATTTACAAAGATCAAGGCCATTGACGCGAAACATGGCAAGTTTGACTTTGCTCTCTGCATTGGAGATTTTTTCGGCCCTTTAGACCAGAAGGATGGGGTACAGAGTGGAGAGGACGATATATCACAATTGATGAGCGGGAAATTAGAAGGTTAGCTGATTATATGCTGTTCAGATACCGCAACTGACTCGTGATATGACATTCACTCGGAAGTTCCTCTCAAATGTTACATCATGCAAGGTGACAACCCCTTACCCGAGGCTATCATAGAGAAATATGCAAAGACAGGCGGAGAGCTATGTCAAGATCTATTTCTTTTAAGTAAGCACTAAATGTTCAATATTATGCGAATATGTCTTGACGGTCTCTAGACAAGTCGGGGGTTATGACTACCGCTCATGGTCTTCGAATCGCTTGTCTGGGCGGGATATTTAACAGAGAAGTCTATGCCTCAGCTGAAACGCCACCTGTAAGCTTGACCTTGATGCATATATGCATATATGCGTCATATTCATCATATCCCAGGGATTTGCTTCTCCCTTTTTCAGCACTCACACCGTCGAACGCTTATTATCCAACACCCTTATCAAGTCCTCGAAAAACCAAAATTACAGCTCTCTATCAGCCATTAAAGATACTGCATCCTCATCTCAACTAATCGATGTCCTTATTAGCAATGTATGGCCATCTTGTATAACTCAACTTACATCTGCCCCTTTGCCTTCCCCGGACCTTGCTTCGAGTGGGGCGCAGCCTTTGGATGATGTCACTCGTAAAATCAAACCAAGGTACCATTTAGCCGCGGCTGGTGGTCAGCCTCCCAAATTCTGGGAAAGAGAGCCATTTGTTTGGGATGACGAATCAGGTCGGGTTAGCCGTTTTGTAAGTTTAGGAGCATTTGGAGGTGAACCTAGCGAAGGAAAGAAACAACGAGTAGTTATTATCTATTTCTCATGCGCTTAATTTATTTACCTAAGCATCCCAGTGGTTCTATGCTTTCTCTATCGCACCTTCATCGGCGCCCCCATCTCGACCCACGAATGCAACAAAGAACCCTTTTACAGAAGTAGGTTATAGGCCGCCGAAACGTTCGCATGGGCAAGATGAAGGCACAAACTTTATCTGGGGCGACGTACGCCAGAAGCGTAGTCGCATAGGTACGTCTAAAGTAGCGCATCATAGCCAGCAATTATGAATTATGAATCCTAGGGGACACTGCACCTGCAGAAACGGGAAAGCCTCCTCCTGGTTACAAATGTCGTAGCTGTGATTCTACTGAGGTAGGCGCGCATTATTTTACTATCAATATCTTTTAAAACCCGCCTGTCTCAGCACTTTATCAATGACTGTCCTGAGAGATCGAAACCACCAGAAGGCTATGTGTGCAAAATATGCAATACAGTATGTCAATTTTTTTTACACTTAAACGATCTTCCTGAATTTGTGGCAGCCTGGTCACCTTGTCCGTGATTGTCCCACTCGTAATGCTGTTGGAGATACAGGTGGTCGCAAACCTCGTGAAGGTTATGTTTGCCGCGCATGCGGTAGCGGAGCCCACTTTATACAAGACTGTCCCGTTGCAAATCAGCAACCATCACAGGGTGGTAGTCGCGGTCGACGGGCCCCTCCCAAGGAGATCGGGCGTAAGTTCTGTAATGCTTACTTTTGTGTCGTATTGATTGTCATTTTATAGCTGGGGAATGTTGGTTCTGTTTATCGAATCCGGATATTGCGTATGTCCGGGTCTTTCATGCTAGTGTAAATGGTCATTGATTTTTTTCTGTCCAGGAAACACCTCATCGTTTCTATCGGGTCTGAATGTTATTTGACACTACCAAAAGGTCAAATTGTCCCTACAAAGACGGCCTCAGAGCATCCTAGTTTACCGACGATACCTGGAGGGGGCCATGTTCTCATCGTTCCCATTACACACCACCCCACGTATACTACCATGCCAGCGGACATAGCACCTCCCATTATTGAAGAAACTGAAAAGTATGTTGTCTTTTATTTAACGAAACATTGCCCCGTATTAAAAATTCTATTAGATACAAGACTGCTCTTCGCGGGTTGTTTGCCAAACACAGCTGTGCGGCCGTCTTCTTTGAGGTCGGACGACTGAGTACTAAGGGCGGACATGCACATGTACAAGCTGTACCCGTCCCTCTCAGACTGAAAGATAAAGTGGAAGAAGCGTTTTTGAACGAGGGTCGTGCTACGGGGATCGATTTCGAAGGGGATGCGGAGGGTGCATTGAATGCATGTACAGGAGGCACGCGAAGCTATTTCCGTGTGGATTTGCCAGATGGGCGAAAAATGGTACATCTCATGAAGGATGGTGTACCATTTAGTATTCAGTTTGGGAGGTGAGCGAATTTCGATGAGGCATGCATTCGTCGCTGTTTCACTGGCTGACGAGCTTCGTATAGGCAGGTACTAGTATCGGTCCTTGGGATTCCCGATCGCTTTGACTGGAAGGCTTGTATGCTACCTGAGGAAGACGATAAAGCTGATGCTCAAGCTTTCAAAACTGTGTTTGCACCCTTTGATCCTTCTCTATGAACACAACTTGCATGCTCCCTCTTGCACGAGTACTTTATACATCACCGACATACTGGCCTTGTTCATGGCTTATCTCGCAGAGCAGCACATTGTAAAACTCAGTGGTCATCATCAGGAAACCTCTTTAACACCATATATTGGTTGATTGCACAAAAGTACACATAGTAGAAGGTATCATCTCGATGTACTATATATCACGGGTCTATGTTACATTTATTTATGCACACTAAAATCTTTATACATTGTCTATATAGTTTCGCCGGTGGAGTCCAAGCTCTTCTTATAGCTGTGGCCTAAATGGCGCGTGCCTTCCTTACGTGCTCTTTGGAGCACTCTCGCGATTGCGTCAATACCTGAAGAGAATGGCCAAAGTGAGCAGACATCGGGATTGGATCGTCAGAAAAGAACATACCCTTGTCCAGATCTTCAATGGGAGGTCCGAAGGACAGGCGCACGAAGTGGTGACAAGGGGAGTTGAACAAGTTCCTGCGGTGAGAAGGGTTGATATCAAAGAAGATACCAGGAATAACAATAGTTTGCTCTTTCAAGAGCTCTTCGAAGAACGTCTGGAATCCCAGAGTTATAAGCTTCTAGTGGTATGGAAGATTAAAATACGTACTAGGCCGTTGTTCAAAGGCGCTGGAAGCTTCTCTAGGTTAAGCCAGATGTAGAACGTGGCCATGGGCGGTATGTCTACATCAAGGTGAAGGTCGTGGAGACGCTTGAGGATATGGTCACGTTTAACTTTGAAATGTCGCTGAAGAGCGATCTAAACAATTTTAAAAGAGGTTATGAATTGAACATCGTGCGATATACGGGATGGGTACCTTCTCCACTGCTACTCGGCTAGGCTCGAGAAGCTCGATGGCAGCGAGCTGCATGCTGTCAAAGGAGGCTTCAGTATATCAAACAATTTCACCTTGTGACATAGACACTTACGGGTGGTTGGCACCACCATCCAAGAAAGAGCCTACGTAAGTAAGAGTCAATGGTACTGTCGTGCCTCAATGATATGTGTGACATACCAGACTGGGAGAGAGCCGTTACCAAGTTTTTGGGTCCAATAACCCAGCATACACGCCAACCAGGAAGGCGCCAGTTCTATAGAGGGCATGCCAAATTGGGCGTTAGGGCCTTATGAACTCGTCCGATATACGGACCTTGGTGAGACCATCGATGATGATAACAGAGTCCTACGCCATTGGATAGGTCAATATAAATGATAATCCAAAGTAGCACAAGAAGAGCATACCTGGTTCACGTCTTCAATATACTCGGCAGAAGATACGGACTTGCCAAAGTCCGCCTCCTTTTCAGGGTACATGTACCAAGAATAGAACTATTTTGACGTTATGAGTTGGGTTTGACAGGTGAAAAAAAAAGATGCGTTGATAAATTTGGAGGATGAAGAAGGGTGGTAAAGCCATCAGTTGATCCGTGCATAGTGCATCAGAAGCGGAAGTTGGCTAACCTCATCTAAGATAAGAGTGGTGCTTTCTCTGCTGAGGGAGACGAGTTCTTTGAGATCTTTTCCTCTGTATAACAATAATGACCCATCAGATAATCTGCTTTAAGGTATATGATGAAGCCGATACACACGCAATGACTTGACCTGTTGGGTTTCGAGGGTTTGAAGCGATGATGACCGCCAGACCTTGGGTTTGGATGTCTTTCTAGAAAATGGAATTTGATGAATAGAAGTGAGACTAGTTGTAAATCGTAAACATACTTTGGTCTGTTTAATATCCAACTTATACTTGGTCTAGAGTTCTTCTTGTAAGCATATGTAGCAAGACTGCGAAGCATCTGAACCATACCTCAGGCTCCAAGCTAGCGAAATTTGATAAGAATGAAATTTATGTGGAGATCAATCAACTACTCACGCAGTGGGGACCGGAACCAGACGCTTGAAAGCACTCAAGACCTGATCATAGGCGGTATAATCGGGAATTTGGTAAGACTTGAAAAATAGGGGTCAATATACGCCGACTCTGCGCTCTGAGAAACAGCTCACGCAGTAAACGTCTCCGATAACGGCAGCTACACGAGAGAGCCCGGCACGTCCTCCTGGAACAATGCAGACATTCTCATACGTGTACTGACTCTCCTTTCCTTTGCGATAAGTGTGGTTGTAAAGGTGTGCGACGGCCTCACGGAGAGCTTTGATTTTGGATTATGAGCGGTGATGGCAGGATCTGAGGGGAATATGACAAACCTTTGACACCTGTGGTGGGAGCGTACTCCAAAGAGTCAACCGGCATGGGAATGGAGGTGGGTCGTGGGGGGGCATTTGGGAGGGGTCCTACTTCAGGAGCGCCTTGGCCGAGGTTGGCCCATTCGTGTGAGTTGGCGTAGCTGAAGCCATTTGCCATCGCACGATCGGAGCAATAGATAACACCTGTGCTTCCAGGGTGTTCGATCCCTGGCACCGTTTCCTCATCCTATGATCTGCATTATTAAACAGCTTTATAGATGCGATAAAGAGACATACAGGGTTGATTGTTTCTGGAAGAATTCCTTTGGGCTGATGACCAGCTTGTTGACGGAAGATCTAGGGGTTAATGGGTGAGCGTTTGTCTTTGGATATGGGGAGAATACGATACCTGGTGAGCCTCAGACTCTTTTTCGTGCTTAAAGTGACGCATGACGCCTTGAACCTGGTGAGTAACAGAGTGCAAGGTGGGAAGGTGAAGGTGAACCATTTACTCTACGATGATGGGGTGCTGGAATGGACATACTAAGTCTTTTAAGCTGGGTGTACCAGCGCGTGAAGGATAAGCACTGGGTGTTCTTGACATTAAAAACTTATGTTTCCGCTATTTGAGGGTTGGGGCTGAGGGTATAGATTGCAATTGGAGCGAAGGGGCTTGCATCGATCAATGAGGTATTATTTATATGTCTACGCGGTTACTTGCGACCCATATCATTCAACGCTCCGCATCGCTTTTGATACGAATACGGCCGGTGGAAACATATAACGTCTCTCTAAGGAGGTAATTGTCGCATATCTTTGGTCATGACAGCTTTTTTTAAAAACTGATCACGCTATGCTGCAATTAGGCCACTGGTCGTTCTGCTGGCCTCGAGGCAGTAGTATTATTGCCGTTTTCATGTGACAAAGGCACAAGCTTCATCAGAACAATCAGATTAAGACAAGATCGTGATTTTGACATCAACGGAGAAAGATTAATTCCTGAGGCTGAAGACAAGGGAGGAAAGCCGTCTGAAAAGGGGGTCTTGTGTGCTCGAGTCTCAGTCAAAGATGGTACTGTATCAAAGGCCTGCCAGCTACAAGTGTAACTCCCAGACAAATCACAATGAAGAGTACAGAAGCTCGTTTGATTGACGTTCTGTCAAGGGCTTGATTAATATCGCGCGTCCGTCAAGTGACCGATAAGATGCAAACTCACGGATATTGCACGGACAATGTTCTGCTGTTCGTTCAGCCTTTACCGAGTGGTTTCTGGAAAAGACGACATCGGAGGGGGCCTGTAACGGCACTATCTGTAACCAACGATAAGACCTGACTTCCTCCTGGACACCCGTATGCAGATAGAAGACCGCATCCACTGGCAACGGCTATAATTGCCAGGAATGAGAGCTCGGGGGAGGAGTGCGTGTGGGAGTGGGGTCGGTCGCCAGCACATGGATAGGCGCATTCGTTCGCGGCAGTGACCGGGCGGGATCTAGGTTCACCACACTGGCGCGAGAGCGTACGCCACCAGACGGATCTTGGACTCTGACTATCAGTATATGGGCGGGACCTGTATATAAAGACACTGACATTACCCATCTACACTTGACCCAGGATAATATACCTTGTTGTCGCTGTTCCCCATGTCTTCTCCAGCTAACAAATTCCTGCCCAACCCAAAGACGGTTGCTGTAAGTAGCCCGTTTTACGTTTTGTTCGTCGCCTGGCGTTGACACGTTGCTTAGATCGTGGGATGTCCGTTCAGGTAGGTCGCTTTTCAACCACCGGTTCACCTGACGAACTCATCGGCAACTTTGCGGGTGTCCAGAGGCGGCCAGGTAAGTCAGCAGCCGTCTTGTCCAGGCGCACACGCGAAACTATTGGTACCGGTGTTGATAGTCGCTTTTCAGGCCAAGTTAGGTGTCGACAATGGTCCTATTCATCTCGCGGAAGCCGGAATCGTCGGTCAACTCGAAGAAATTGGCTGGAAAGTCGCTTTCGACGGCCATCATCAATTTGAAGATATCCATACCGCTGATGATCCTCCAATCGGCAAACTCAAGAACCCCAGACTGGTCTCCAAAGTTGCCGAGTCTGTCGCCCGTGTTGTGGGAGGTCATGCCAAGAATGGCCAACTTCCGGTCACTTTGGGAGGAGATCACTCTCTGGTGAGTTGAGTTTTGGTCGTTGTCATCGAGACTTGTTCTAAGTTCAGATCAGGCAATGGGAACAATCTCCGGGACATTAGAGTAAGGCTAAACAATTAGCATATAGCGACTGGCTCACCATGATCTCAGTACATACCCCGACGCTTGTGTCATTTGGATAGACGCCCACGCTGATATCAATACAGTCGAAACCACGGACAGTGGTACGTCACCTAAAACTATAATATCGATGAGAAATACTCTGATACAAAAGCATATAACCAGGAAACATACATGGCATGCCCGTATCCTTCTTGCTGGGTATTGGGAGCAAGGTCCCTGAGTTCTCTTGGGTCAAAGCTGCTTTGAAACCCGAGCGGCTTGTATACATAGGACTCCGAGATCTCGATTCGGGTGAAAAGCGTTTACTGAAAGAACATAACATCAAAGCTTTCAGCATGCATGAGGTCGACAAGTACGGTATAGGGAAGGTCGTCGAGATGGCTCTTGATCATGTCAACCCAAAGCGAGACTTACCTATTCACCTGAGTTTCGATATAGATGCTTTAGACCCATCAGTGGCGCCGTCCACCGGTACCCCCGTAAGTAGAATTAGGATGTGTAAGTTAGAGCCTGGTCTGACTGGCAGCTAGGTGCGAGGAGGACTTACCTTTAGAGAAGGCCACTATATCTGCGAAGCAATCCATGAAACAGGTCTTCTAGTAGCTCTAGACTTGATGGTAGGTGGATGAGTGGCAGTGGCGTTCGTAGAAGGATTGCTGATGATCGTTGTATAGGAGGTGAATCCGTCTATCGATGATGCTGAGAGTGTTTGCCAGACTGTTGCAGTAGGCTGTTCGCTTGTGAGATCAGCTCTTGGTTAGTGTTGCATCCGTCGATGTCTCCAAAGCGTTCCACTCACCGTTCTTTCCAGGGGAGACCTTGCTTTGACGCCCGAATAGTAATTCCATTGTAATCGCAAGTTGATAAAGATCTGTAGTCATTTAGGCATGCTTTCTTCTCTTTACTGTGTCAATAGGAACGATCTGATGTATAAAGGTGCTTTTGAGCGAGGCAAATAGAAAATGGTTTTCAAACTCCACAAAAGGTGGACGACACTGGGAGACGCCATTGTGCAACGTCGCGAAGTTCGATAACGACGTCAAAAGACCTGGCGAAAATTGGTATACAGCAGCCTGCAGATGTACTCGGTATTTCGAGGGAAAATTACTGGCTGGAGATGTGGATTTTCGATGCATGTAGCGGTCAGAAATTATGTGTCCACACGTTGTGGACATTACTTTCGCGGATTTCTATTTCTGGATGAAGACGTTCAAAAAAACTGTCAAACAAAACATCGCTTTAACCAGGTGAACGTGGCCCATCGCTCCACTCAAACACTCCCAAAAACCAGCGCCTTCGTGTCCCAAAGAATAATCTGCAAACGGACCTTGCCTTTGACCTTGATTTTCTTTGCCTTTTGAATTTCTGCTCCCTTGAGCCACTTTTATCTAGCACAATACGCCACACGTTTCGCTAATCGCTTTTTACTTCAACTCACAAACATGGATCAAAGAGCTCGCCTCTCCCATTCTGCTGAATTTAACCCCTTTAGATACATGTATACCGAACAACCTGTGGCTACCGCGCCCTATATAACCTCTCCTGCACCGTCCTCTGTCGTTCCATCAGCCCACCCACCCTTTCCTGCTCATCACAACTCCCCTACTCATTACGGAGTTCCCCAAGAATTAACCACACCGTTCGTTTCGCAGGCCTCTAATGAGGTTTCGCCGTTTGCCCACCGCTGGACACCTCCAAAGAAGCCGCCGCATATGTGCCCCTCAATCCCACCGCCATGGGAGCACACTATGCCGGCGGAATCCAGTGGCCAAAGCCACCCCACTGCGGTGCACCCGGCCCAGAGCTCCTGGAGCTCTTTGGCCGGGGCATTAGGACCTCCTCCGCAGGTGGCTGGGCCACCAAGCCCACCCCCCTTGCTGCCGCCACCCAGTGGCCCATCCGCGGCGGCAGCAACCACTAGTGGGACCCGGCGCTCTGCGCGCCGAGGGACCATTATGCAGCTGGTAAGTTTGCATATCTCAAATTATATTAATCCCATCTGCTGACATCCTTTCAGAATCCAGCTGTCAGGCCAAAGCACAGGGTGCAGTGCCCGGAGTGCGGCAAGACGGTGCTCAGAGGTGGCCTGGCCCGCCACCTCACCAGCAAAGGGCACAGCAAGTTCAGGCCATACTTGTGCCCAAAGTGTGGTACAGTGTAAGTCTCTTTCTCTCTCTTATTTTGTGCTTATAGTTTATTAACTAACCTTTTTTCAAAATTTCAGCCAGGAGGCCTCCAGGCCAGATGCCCGGGCGAAGCATCTCAAAAGATGCTCGCGGACATTAGGTGCGGCCGGGGGATATATAGTGGATAGTATGGTTTCTTTGGACCACCCATACAGCACTACATCACCCCCAGCCGCCGGGCAACCAGGAACGCCCATTGCCGCCCCCGCCGTTTCCAATTCGGAGACGGATATAGAGGGACAGTCCAGTTCTGGGGAGTTGGAGTACCCCGATTTTGCGTAGGGTACATTACTTTCCAGTAGTTAATTTGTGCTACCGGTGCATTCAGGTATTTCTTCCAGCTCTCTTTTTCTCTGTGTGCACACTTACGAATTGATCACACAGTGTACACCGCCATTCTAATTCATATTCACGTTTAATTTATTTTAAATAATTACACATTATACTTAATTTGTTATGATGTCTTGCTGTTCTTTAATGCACATGTTTTGTTATCCAGCGTCGGCTGATATCTTCCTAGCTTTTCGAGGGATGATTATCATGGTTAGTCTGACAAGTCGGTGACATGTGAGTTAGAGTTGTACCAAAGCACACTTTCTTTTTCCCTTGAATGTTAGTCGCTCTTCTGGCAGCGGTCCAGAGGCACGAACCTGCACATGTTGCTCGAGATACTGAAACCGCGTCCACAAACTTAGGAGGTGCACAGGAAAGCTCCTGCAAATTAACGCGTTATTGAAGACGGAGTGCAAATAGGCATAGACTCACGTTTTCACCCGCATGGCTACTGAGATGTATCTGGACAAGGTTGCAAGAAAGTCGTATGGGTTAGATGAGCAAGCTGAGAAATTACCGAAAGACTGATTCTCAAACTGCTGAGTCGACTAAGCCTTTGCCACAATAGTTGCATTCGTATTTCGATGCCACAGCGAATATAGTTGACGATTCTTGAGCGGAACAATCAATGCTGGACTATGCGTAAGTCGTTGCTTGCGAGCTATTGCATTGACGGTATCTTGAGTTGACATCCCTCTGCCGTCCAATGATTCGAGGACAGGTCCTGGGACGACCATGGAGCCACTACATGAACGAGTAGCACCATGTAGTTGAGAATCAGTGCTGATACCAGATTGAGGATAGTAAACACCATAGGGAGTCTCGTCATGGCATGATTTCGGTAGACGATCGAGAGCGAGTATGCTGCCGCGAGCAGTAGGGGATGGGGGTAAGAATGTGGCCTTTTATAAGCTGGATACTCTAAGTAACTGAAAGTAGAATCGAAATAACCTTTCGCGATGACGGCGATAGACAAGAATGACATGCCTGAGAATCGAGGCCTAGCAAGGTTGCGGCCCAAAGTGAGAGAGTGACCCCGCTCTTGTGGGTTCTTTCACTGGTGTACATGTGGAAGAAAGCGATACGGTCAGAGCGCAAGGTTGCGAGTGAGGGACAGTTCATCTGAAAGACGGAGGCTATGAGTACGGTAAACTCAACGTTAAGCTTACGGCTTGTTTACCTCCAGAAAAATTGTACGGGTGAGACCTGTTCACTTCTAATCTATACTTTACCTTGAGCTACAGCGTCTACAACGAACGCAGATGCTTCGAGACTCCACCTCTCTAGCAGTGCGTGTTTAACCCTGATCATACGTTTGTCGCGAAACTAGGAACGAGTTGGCAGTCGACGTGATGGATGGCTTCGGCATTGTCTTTGACATGTTTGGAGAGTCGTAAGAGTTGTAAACGTCACTCTGGAAAGTGGGCCCAGGAGCATCGAGAGCTGTGTGCTTTTTCTTCTCCATCCGAATACCAGGCGAAGCATCGATTTGCGATACAACATAGAGACGCCGAACGTAGACCCATTCAACCTCAATGGCGTTGTTAACAATCTCTAAGCACTTGACAAGGATCTTCAACTTGTGCGCCCCTCTACACGTTTCCAAAGGTATAGAAATATTTCAACATTCAACGTCGAGGTAGCTGGATTGACCGAGGAGCAGGTTGAAGTACATCCTTGGTCTGGCATTCCCAGCATATGAGATCTCGCGCCTTGAGTTACTGAATGTCTTGTTCAGCTTCGAAACGCGGTGACAGAGTTTGTGCAAAGGGAGATTACTCCAAGGGCCGCAGAAATCAATACAAGCAACAGATTTACTGTGAGCACGAATTTGTTGGAGACTCTCGAAGTGCGTTCTGACATATTGGCTAGGATGTTTGGGAGAAATTTGGTAATATGGGACTGCCAGCTGTAACCGCCTCGTCGAAATATGGAGGTTTAGAGCTTGGCTGCTTGCACCTTACAGTCACTAGGTCAGGTCCAGTAGCGCTTCCGTATATTCGAGTTTAAGTGTGAACCAAATTCATCGGACGCTGCTATCACGGTACATCTTAATAAGCGGCGAGGCATTCGGTCCATTGCCAGTGGCGGACCGATATAAGAGTATGATTGCTTTGCATGGATACTTCAGCGGTATTACACGAAGGAGGGCTACCAGAACTCACTACCATTGAACAACCACTATCCGTCGATCTTGTCTGCTTTCAACTTCATGCTCACAGTCACTCCTGAAATATATGCGCGCGGTATGGTCAATTATTCGTGTAATGTCATGTTGAGCATCTGACTGACCCACTTCCCGACTAGCTCATAGCCAAAATACCAACATTCTTCCCTGAGACAAGATCAGGCAGGTGTTTCTTTTTCTGCGCTAATGCCCATCAGAATGTCTTTTCTTCTGTATCATAGAGATTACACTGGTCATTCATAAGCTACAGGTAATAGAGCAGGCGTATTGGACGAACCTATAACCTTCGACAGATAACCACAAAACGATAGGTTTGAGATTACAGGGTCGGTAGCGAGCGGCACATGACTGCAAGTAACTCGGCAATGCAAGGCGTGAGAAGTTTGTTCATATTTGCGCACACCATGAGCCCGGCAAGGCAATTTCTTTTTGTTGAGCGCTACATACACCTTCCCCTCGGGTGGCGAGACGCTGGGTGAGATATTGACGCTTCCTTCGTAGATGTGTGTGTCGCGCCTGCGATATAGGCAAGGGAAAATGGACGTTCTGCAGATCCTCAAATCCAATTATTAATTAGTATCTTGCAGCAACCGACAGAAATGCGCTGTTAGTGTGTATGTTTCTAATCTTTGTTTGCTTAGGGCATTCATATCCATACCATTGCAAGCGAACCATCGAGCATCGAGGGATGAATCTTGCGTGAGTCGAATTTCCCTTATAATAGCCACACAGTCATCATTGAACCTACACACATCTTATTGGGTCTTAATCCAGATATTCAGATCGATAACGCGAATCAAAGATCATATACGGAATAGAATGGTGGTGTACATTGACTGTACACCGTCGTTCTATTCCGTATTGACTTCACGCCACCCTTCTTTTCCTACTCGAAAAATACACCTACGGTTACTTTGGCTTTCCTCTACCCCATCGTCACCGCGATCGGGAAGAAGAACAAAAATATGTATCTTCCATCGTCCATAGCTTAACTTCCGTAAAATAGATGATAGCAGCATTGTCCCACAGCTTGGAAAATACTATGGTTTCTTTTGAAAAATTATGCCATGTTCAAACGTTTTTGATGTCCTATGCTTTTGTCCTATTACCTCCTTTCCGTTTGTTGTTTCGCGTACTCCAACATCAAGAGTGTATGTAATGAAGGAATATGCAGTATATACCGTAGTCGTATCTTCGTCCCAGCGCCAATGTTTTCATAGTCGTCTCGTTCATGAAAAATCTACTCGAGTTTTATAGCGTTTAGTGACTGTAAACCCATATCTTCATTATGTTGCAATCTTGCATAGTATTCTCTCATGAGATTCCCTTCGTCCGATAGGAACCTAGCTTCGTCGACACCATTATCGGAAAATAACTCCAATTGTCCAATGCTCTCAGATGAGGGCGAGCCAAGAGGAGTAAGCCTCCTATCAAGTGACGTAGATTGATTCGTTAGAGTTGGCGAAGGAGACATGACGGCTGAGGCTGAGGAGCCGCTACTGCAAGAAGAGGAGTTCAATGATTGGCTCCTCATGCTCGTAGGCCACAGTGTCTCCGGAAGATCGTCGAACGCATTTAATAAGCTCTCCGATGAAGATGTGGACGACATGGCTTCTGAGCTGAAAGGAAACAAGTTAATATTATGAGCAACAGGAGAAAATAATAAGACTGCGTACACAAAATCGTAGTCGTCATTTCGAACGCTGCACCAGAGTGCAGGGTTTATATTGGAATCCAAGATAGGGCATTGTATGTATTGATCGAACATGGATACGTATGACGTGAGGAACCCCTCGTCGAGTGCACGAGGGGTAGCTTGAACATCGCTAGTAGATGGCATCAACCTCCCACCACTACTCGTCACAGGGGTTTCAGGCTCGGTGAACTGCCATGTACCACCTGTGGTACTGGCAGAAGTGGACGACGATAGAGCCGGACAATACTGCGAAAATTGGGCTTGAGCACCATGATGCTGGCCTGCATGTAGTGTTTCAGAGACGTCCACGTAGGTAGGCTTTATGGACATTGTTGTAGTTTTTGCTTCCCTTTCCCCCGACCTCTGCTCGTCCTCCGTAGAATTGAAATCCATGACTGTCACATTGGTTCCATGACGCATTCGGCTACAACGTGTTCGTCTAACCTCCTTTAGAGTCGAGTACTCGCATATGAGAGCACGCGCAGCACATCTCTGACATACGGGACGCTCACCAGAGCACTAAGTGTTAGGGTCAGAAACAAGTCGACATTTGATAGTGGTTGTCACATTACCTTAGTTTTCCTTTCTCGACATTTTTCACAAGCGTGCGATGTTCGCTGGCGAGCGGCCGATGGTATGCGCCCAAAAAAGGGGGTAGCAGCGCCTTCTTCAACCAATGAAGTGGACGGCACTCCGAAAGTAAAACGTTCTGGGGCTGCTAGGTGTCTGCCCGAAGAAAAATCCTGACAGTGCCCAGTAACTTGGGGATATTCGTAGTCACGGTTGGGCACTTCGAGTGGTAAAAGAGGCACTGTCGTTAAAGAAGAGGGAAAAGATGCCATGCTAAGGGAGGAAGGGAGGGGGAAAAGATCTCGTGTATCTCGTGTATGGTGGTAGGTGACCAGGAAGCTGCAAATGTTAGCGTTTACAAATTTGAGAGCAGGCCATTAGTCGGACCTACAAACGGCGGCGGTCCAGTCTCACCAACCTAGATAGATGTGGAAATGATCTTCCGTGCCGTTGTAAACCCCAGAGGTTCTGGCGCCACTGGGCAATGTGGCGTCTCTCGATCATGGCCACTGTCCTATGAGATATGACGGCAAGTACTGTGTTCGATCAGTGATAAAAGGAAATGCTTATTGCATAGGGGCGATCGTCTTGGGGCTGGGGCTAGATGCCACACCCATCAGTCAATTTTGCGATTCCCTCGGGTCACTAGCCCGGGCCGTGAGCACCTGCCAGTGGCCCGAGATTGCCAAAGAGCATCATACCCCTTCGATCAACTCAACTACTTTGCTCATAGGTCATTCGTCAATCTCGAATTCGCATACATTTGATCGATAAATGTTGAAATTGATCGGCGGCACCTAAGAGGTTCCTTTCATAAGTTATGAAATTGAGTTTTGAAAGCACTCACCTCTGTGCACCCTCTCAAAGGCACAGTCCGTATAACATGTTCAGTAGATATTCTATAGACATAATTTGAATTACCTAAGCTTTAAATTGTTCGTTAAATTCTCTTCCGATAAGCATACGCCTAATTTCTTGCGTCCCAGCACCAACAGTATACAGTCGCGAGTCACGAAGGATCCTCCCCATAGGATATTCTACAATAAACAGAAGGAAGGTTTCATATAAAGAAGAAAAATGCAACGTAAGGAGTTTCCTACCGTTGATATAGCCGTTACCGCCTAGACACTGCATTCCCTCAAGCGCAACCTCTACAGCTTTCTCAGTCGAGTAGAGAATAGCTCCAGCACAGTCCTAGATGAGGGTATCAACAAGTTATAACGTGCCTTGAACAACGACGCATATACGCACCCTGCGACTAATATGGCCCTGGTCACATGCTCGCGCAACAGCATAGACATAAGATCGACTGGCACCAATACTCGTATACATGTCGGCGATTTTTCCTAACAACCTGTATGAGGAGAATTGAACTCATTTTCGCTAAAACACTAACCTTGCATCAATTGAAATGTACCAATAGGAGCATCAAACTGCTTCCTATCATGAACGTACTCAACGGCATAGTCGAAAGCAGCTTGCATTAAGCTGTGAAAGCATGAGCGACATGTCGAAAATCAATTGGAGGATATACACAGACCCTAGGGGGCCTCCACTCAGCACGAGGCGCTCTAGGTCAAGACCAGACATAAGGACTGCGGCACCCCTGTTCACCTGCCCAAGAACATTTTCTAGACGCAAAAGAAGGCCTGAGAGCAAAATTGGGCGTAGAAATAAGTGACCGACCTTCTGGGACCTCGCAATTTTCAAAGAGCAGTTCACAAGTGTCGCTGCCTCTCATGCCGAACTTGTCTAATTTCTGGTGGGTTGAGAAACCCCTGTAAGTATTCTCGATGATGAATGCTGTGATGCCCTTGGAACCCTTTTCAGGAGCAGTTTTAGCATATACGACAAGTGTTGAGGCAGTCGGTCCATTGGTGATCCTATATAATGTATAATTGTTTTGGGTCGATGCTTCAGGGTGTATTTCGCGAAAGAAAGCTACATACCAGAACTTGTTGCCATTGAGTAACCACCCTCCGTCGATCTTGTCTGCTTTCAACTTCATGCTCACAACATCACTCCTAGGATATATGCGCAGTATGGTCAATTATTCGTATAATGCCATGTCCAGCATCCGACTGACCCACTTCCCGGCTCGCTCATAGCCAAACTACCAACCTTCTTCCCTGAGACAAGGTCGGGCAGGTATTTCTCCTTCTGCGCGTCCGTTCCATGACGATGAATTTGGTTCACACACAAATTCGAGTGGGCACCATACGAAAGTGCTACTGAACCCGACGCCCGCGATAATTCTTCCATAGCGAGTGTGTGGTGGAAATAACCAAGCTCTAGACCTCCGTATTTCGACGAGACAGTTACACCTAGTAGTCCCATGTTTCCAAGTTTCTCCCATACATCCTGGTCAACATGTCAGAAAACACTTCGAGAGTATTTTCCAATAGACGCGTGCTCACAGAAGGAAAATTATTGCTTCTATCAATCTCTGCGGCCCTTGGGGCAATCTCCCTCTGCGCGAACTCTGTCACTGCATTTCGAAACTAAACCAGACATGTGTAATTCAGACGCGAGCTCTCTACAGCGTTGGGAGTGTCAGGCTAAGAACGTACTTCAGCCTGCTCCTCGGTCAATCCTGCTACCTCAACGTTGTAAGTTGAAACATTTCTACGGCTTTGCAGACGCGTAGAGGGGCGTATATGCTTGAAGGTCCTTGTAAAGTACTTAGAGAAAGCTAGCGACACCATTGAGTTCGGTTAAAGGGATGTAGTGTGAGGTCAAGTATAGTAGGTTCAAGTTGGAAACGAACAGACCTCACCATGGGTGTTTGGTCACGGTCGGAACATAATCGTGAGTTCTGGCGCACAGACATGTAAGCAACAGAACATATGCTCACGTGGCTGATGTGAATATATATTGTGTCTCATAGAATCGCAACACAGTCAGGCAATGTGTGAGACTTTTACTTTTATTCAACTTGAGCTCTCCAATGTCCACCACCACAGTTGATCCCAAGACACTCCACAAAAGCCATTTTGCCAGACATAGACCCCATCGCCCGCCATACTATGCAGAGCGATTACCCGGGAGACTTTTAATTTGTCTCGCACCGCTGTTCTCCGTGACTTGAAGGTCTCAAGCTTCCGTTCAACAATGAAACGGCTCTAACATCGAACCCGCCAGGTCTGAAAATCTCGAAGAAGTCAGTCAGAGGTATCATTTTCCACGTTAACTGGCCAACATTTGTCTTAGAACGAACAGAAGAGGATGGGATCAACTGCTGTAGATAGCATCAGTACTTCCGAATCACAATGGCGCTCTTGTACTCACGCTCTTATCTGGCGGTGTCAATTATGGTTATGGGAATGAAGTTACCTTTCTGGCCCTCGTCGACAATGCCTCCCAAAGCGACAGTGTGACCATTGCTTTTACAGTCTTCGAGGAACGTTCTATTCGCTAACTCGTAATATTCAGAGTCGGTATATCAGGGGAAAACTCACTTGGCTTTGGTGAATTGATCCTTGTTTTGAACAGCACCAAGAGCTGTTTCTGGGTCCATACCGTTGTCAACTCGTATCGTTTTCGCAAATACAAGCCCTTAGATGACAGGAAGCGGAAAATATATTCCAGGCAGTATGAGAGTACGTATGCGAGTAACCTAACTAGCCAGAAATCTGTCGTGGCATACTTTAGCCTCAGCTGCATGTGTATAAAAATCGGTAATATTTTTATCTAGTTTCTCCCACTTCTCCAGCCGAATCATGCTCTTCGGATCCATGTCAATCACAGTGACTGAAGCTGACGTTGTGCCACTTTTATCGGGTCGAAGAACGATAGAGCAGTCTTTGAAGGTGGCAGAAAGCATATATGCCATCAAGTAGCTCTTGAGGTTCGCTACATTGGGCAGCGAGTGATTCCATGTCTTGAAAACGGATGTATAGATATCGATAAAGTCCTCCCACTCAGTTAACGAGGGGTCATCCGTATCAAAACCAAGAGCAGGTGCGAGGACACTCGATGGTAATGACAGATCAGCCTTCGAGCGGAACCATAGCTTCGACAGTCCTTCGATGTCAAGGGGATCTAGAGTCCGTTGTAGTCGAGAAAGAACGCGTAGAATATCACTGTCGAGAAGTATACGGAGGACAGTGGATGTGAATGCATCCCTTAGGTGCGATGAACTGGCATAAGACTCTGAAACATGTAGAACGTCTGCAAGGATCCTAGATGAATCAGCCTGAAAAATCACATCTTTAGTACAATAAAAAGAAAGTACGCTCAGACGAACATCCGATGGCTTAAGCAAACTACCGTGGACAAAGATTCGGAGGTTATTCAGCGAGCCGTCACTTTTGATCCAAGCGTCCCAAAGGTCGTGAATGGCCCTGGTTATCCGATCCTCTTCGCCAGAATATAGATCCAGAGGGCAATACGCAGAAATGGGGGCAACATTTTTCGTACTTCTGAAGTAGTTGTGCATGCAGAATCTACACGTTGTTCTCTTTATTGTGATAGTAGCGGAAGATAGATGCGCTGGGCAAGGTAAAAACGCCCATTTTGGCTAGTCCAGACGTTACGAGACTGTGATTGTACAGGAAAATAATGATATGCTTACCTTAATCTCGATAGCCAAATCTACATTTCCGACTAGATCAGTGGCGAGAATACCTTTCCTTTTAGTCAGATCAAGGCCGTCCTTATGTCTTCTTGCAGGAGGTCGATCCATATTTCGTAAATTTGACAAGCTTTGAAGCCAGTTCGTATCCAACAAAACAGTCTTCAGACGTGGTAAATGTTCTTCAGAAATCACTCTCGCAACGATCCTCTCTTGGAAGGAAATGATAAAATCATCAAGCTCCTCAACGTCGTCCAGAGACCGTTGTGGCAGGTCCGGTACGGTACTCTTCCGCAGCCTCAAAACCATCCTATTGAATATACCTGGAGGACCTGTGTATGAAAAAACCATGGTCGCCCCTCCTTCTGCAACATATTTCCAGTCTCCAGGTCGAGTATCCGTGATATGAAGCCTTTGGTGTTCCTTCATAATGTTTGATATAAGGCAACGATGATCGTGTCGGGGAGTCAAACTAGTCAAATCTGGCAGACTCGGATTAAAAACTTTAGATCTATAGATCAATCATTGACCCACATTATGGAACCTTGTCTTTCCCGAGCTTTTGGCTTTGTCGCTTATTATTCCAGTTTCTAACCACTGTGTCTTCGCTAAGCCATAAAATGATCCACTCTTGCAAGTTCGAGCCAAGATGCTGTGGATGTTCGCTTTGATGATTACCAGAGATCCGAAGAGGAGGTGAAGATACCCAGCTGAGTGGTGGAGGTAAATAGGTGACTGCTAATTTGATTACATAGAACGAGTTGGATTTGCTGAAAGTACCGGGCTCTAAGGGAATAATTATCTCAAGGACTCAGACATGTGTAGAGACAAGACTTGCAGTGTGGACCATGGGGCTGTGTCACGGCTGCTGTCTGGCGGAGGGAACTTGAAGCGAGCTGAGTGGCTCGCCGACGCTGCTTTGGCCATCCATGAGAGAACAATGGCTGAGCCACCAGGGTCAAAGCGTCTCTCGTCCACATCTTATTGATCTCAGTCCAAGCACGGAGGTCAGAAAACCCTTCTTGACCCTCTCCCCCAACCTTCTCCTCTACTTCATCCATCTCCACCATGCGTTCTCCTGCACAAACTTCTGGCAAAAAGGGCAAAAAAACCAGTATCACTAAACATCCCGCTCGCAATCCGAAGAAGGCTAGCCTAGGTCAGCCAAAGAATCACAATAAGCCGGTGTCCCAGGGCATAGGATGTGTAAACGCTCAGGTAAGGCATGTCCAGATTTCCAGAAACACAGAAACTAACTCATTTGGAAAACAGAGCGCTAAATATCATTTGAATTCGCTGCAAGGTGCAGGCACTGCAACGCCAGTTCATCTCATAGATCCACGCCCCCCGCCGTTATCTCTGAAAGACTTGGAATGTCTGTCGACACTAGGTATACATCATACCTCATATTATCACGCTTGGTTCTCAACCACCTTTTCTAACAGGTCAAGGAGCCTTCGGTAGTGTCCTTCTGACACGCGTACGCCGTCGGGAGCCAGCCAACGTCTTGGATAAACCAGGCTCCCTATTCGCCGTGAAGGTTTTCACGAAAGAGAGTATGCGTGATTTTGACAGGGTATGTCGTTCCATTTTATTGAATCCTCGCGCAAACGTTTTAAACAATTGCATCTTACTTAGCAATCCCCCGAAGACACCCACAGCGAAAGAGGCCGCCTTTCAGAGCTTCCTTGGAGTCCTTGGATTAGCGGAGTCGTCGCAACTTTTCACGACGAACTTAATCTCTACCTCGCGCTAGAGTTGACCCCCTGTGGAACTTTCCACGACTTGCTTGTCAAGCAAGGCCCGTTCAATGCGTCCACCGCACGTTTCTATTACGCCAACATCGTTTGCGGATTATCTTTCTTGCACGATCATGGCATCGTACATCGTGATCTGAAACCAGGCAACATACTACTGGGCTCAGACGGCTATCTTCGGTTAGCAGATTTTGGATACGCTAAAGAAGAAGACTACGAGTCGCCAGGATGGGCTATGATAGGTACACCCGTCTACATGGCGCCAGAAGTGCTCCAGTGGCAAGCAATGACTGGACGAGGTATTGATTGGTGGGCAAGTGGTGTTATACTATACGAGATGGTCGTAAAGAAATTGGTAAGTCCCCCTTTTCTGTTGATTAGATGCATCGCGGACATGACTGAGCGCTGACCTTTACACATTGTTTCCGCAGCCGTTCTATGCCAAAGTTGACACTCGCATCTTCAAGAGAATAGAGAGCGGCAAATACAAGTGGCCCAGGCACCTGCGCGTCGGCGGCTCTCTCAAATCACTGGTCGCCGGGCTCCTGACGTTTGAAGCCGCAGAACGTCTCGGCACTTATGGAGCATGGGACATTATGAATCATGCCTGGCTTAGAAATATCAACTGGGATACCATGTTCAGACGGCAATACCTTGTATGTGCATTCTTTGTCCTGAATTTCCGGTTTTACTGATGGATGTTATTATGTAGGCTCCATACATTCCTCGAGAACCGTCTCACGACCAGATTTGGCTAAAGAATCCCTTGCCAGAACAGCATACCGTTCCCGGCCTCCATGTTGTGCGCCCGCCCGTTCACAGACAGCACGACTTGCGGCTTCCAAAAAAGAGACCTGATTACTAGTAGATTTGCCTGTGACAGGCCACATATCTTATTGTCCAGACTCTACATTGATCTTACTTGTATTTTTACGCTATCACCATCATCTGATCCCCATAACTTCTGTGGTCGCATAATTTGATTTAGGTCTCCTTGTCACATCAGGGGTAACCACTTAAGTACTTCACTAAGACTGTTATTCCGCCTCCATGAGGCGGTTCACGTTAACCACAGCCTGTTTATATCCTTCCTTCCAGCACTCCACATGTTTCTTCGTAGAAGAAGTCACCCAAACAAGTCTCTTGATCTCTTGACCTGCCTATGAAGAGACAATTTGAAAAACCCTGATCTTCCCGGCCAGTTCCGTGGCCAAATCTGCTATCGTCCTTTTGTTTTCTTGTAGTTCTGTGATTGCTTTGGTGATCATTCTTGTTCCATGCCGTCCCGCCAAGCGCAGTCTACAGGCTCCGATTCCGATGGCATCTCGACACTCGACGACGTGAAAGAACATTCATCCTGCCTCGACGTAGGTAATTATTATGCCAGATCCTGAGAAGCTCCAGAGGATGAACGCACGAACTCCTCAACCATCCGCGTGAGACTGATAGTATTTCGAACAATTGCGTGTGTGCGTACATAGTATGTTCTGATATGCTACTATATCCATGGTTTCCTTTACTGCTATAGTTATCGTTACTGGAACACAACCCTCGTATCCATCTGCAAGACCCATGTATCTCTAAGGTGATGCATAATATGACAATAGTGAACCGAGTAGATGCTGCGTAGGTGACAGAAATGTCCGTAATGCCCTGCTGTACACCTTGGAATATACAAGAAAAAATGAAACTTGAGGTACCAAGCCCCCATAAACAAATGGATTTGATATAATAAAGATAAGTCGAACAGCAATGCAATGCGAGTGGTGGTGGATGTCGTCGACGACAATGGAAGATAGGGAAGATTAGGCTGTACATGCCCGATATGGCGGTCCACAGGTAACGCCTGACAAGGGCCGAATGGTCCGTGTCCGTCCTCGCTCAAAGTCTTCAATTGCTTCCATATCAGAGTCGTCGTCGCGGGAACTTTGTGTCGAATAGCCGTCGTCGTCGTCGTCGTCGTCATCTTCGTCGTCGAGGTCTTCATCATCAGAATCGTCGTCATATGAATCACAATTGTGTAGGTTGCGCGCTGGTAATATCCAGTTGCCATACCAGCGACCAAGGAAAATCTTGATCTCTGTTGGCAGACCGAGGTATTCGACATTACGAGCGAGACCCTCCCAGTGAACTATGCCACGGTTTAGGCAGTCCTCGATGTGATTTGTGCGTCCAAAGTACATCCAGTGGAACAAAAGGTGGATCGAGGATGGATCGGGTATTGGGAGAAAGAGGACGGGATGCGAAGGTGGTGATGGTAGAAGACGGGGAAGACGATTTGCGGGAACATGAAAAGGTGCAGAAGCACGTCTTGGAGATTCCGGAGATGACGACGAGGAAGATGGTACGGTTGTGTTGATTAGATCGAGTGGTGATGCGCCACTAAAGAGGCCTCTCAAAAATGTGGACTGAGCTGAGAGATAGTCAACGTGAAGCTGATGAAAATATATCAGAAAACATGTACATAAAGGAGGGTAGACGATGCGCACCTTGAGTGTGATACGAGGAACTGGTTGAATGACTGGTTCTGTGGCACGTCTTCCTGAGCCGGTAGGGTCATGCTCGGCTCTCAACGATTCACTTGAAGACACATCGGAAGGGGGATGGAGGGGGGAACCGGAAGGTGGTGATGCTCGTCCTCGATAATTAGGGACAGGTATAACTGTCAAGGAAAGAGAGTTAGACGGGATAGATAACGTAACAGCGTCATCGACGTCGTACTGATAGTGCAGTCCGCCGTCTCCGGCTTGTTCCAGTAAAGGGAAGCCAGATTGCGAAGCTGATCGACAATATACTCAACGGGGACGTCTGCCAGGTTTGAAGGAGGGAACGGTCTGGGAAGGAAAGATGGCGAGGAGGAGGAGGATGAGGAGGACGAGTTAGAGGATGGCTGGACTCCAGGGGCAAAATCCATGGATGGACGCTTTAAGGGATACTTATGATCCCGAGGAGGGCCGCAACGATGGTGAGAGTAAGGATGATGAAGGCGAAGGTTTTTAATACCCTGCGGTATCCCAGGGCTATTGTCTAGGGACATATCTGTTTTGGCTACGAGGACAGGCCAGCGGTTAGTTAGTATCCCAATAAGGTAGGCGTGGCCCAGCGGAAGGGCGGGGAAAGAGCGAGTGTTGAAAGAAAGGGGACAAAGGCAACCAAAGACGAGAGTAAGCCAATGGTAACTGTGGGGGCTGTAACACGCCAGTCAGCAGAACATAAAACAGACATAGGACCTTTTATTCTCTTTTGGCGGAGACCCAGGTGGGATACCGAAAGAACTTTTTTTTTTTTTCAGTGATCGGTCAGATGATGAGTGGCCAAAACCGACCTTGTACATTGTGGGGCAGCAATATACTCGGGTTCGGACTGACACTAGTTCACGTAACCTATGCTATGGAAGAGAGAAATGCAGTGTCATTAGATCATTGAGGGATAACGTACGAGAGCAAAGAGAGGATAGCTTACCCAAAAGCTCTTTTGTTCAGCTGCGGTGCTTTCCGGATACGCAGGTATGATAGCAGTACTAGGCTCTTTCTCAGCCTTATTGTCTCGGAACCTCGTGCCAAACATTCTTTGCTTCTTGAATGGACGGATGAGTCTCCTCTAAATCCATCCAGCCGAACTCAAACCTCACGAATGCCCAACTCCCCGTTTGATCCCCACATACAGCCCGTGAACGAGAAAAAGATTTTAAGCTCTTAATAATCAATACTGTGTTATAAGGTCAATCAGAGAACAAGGTTACTTGTGGGCCTGAATGTCTTAGATCTATATCATATCTTCTTCCGTTTAAGGCCGTTCATTTGGTCATCTTAATCTTGTGAGCTGCAGGAAATTGTGGCACAGATGGCTCAAACACGGAACGTATACGAGTCTGCGTTGTGTTTATTCCCGACCTCAGCGTTTTCCGCTCCTCGTATCTCAGCAACATGCATGGAGATCTCGTACCTGAGCCATTTGACATGTGGGCCACGCATTCAACAATAGCAACTGACCGACATATTACACCGAGGGTTCATTGATGATGTACTAAAATGGGAGTCTGAATGAGAAATGACATAACCAAAAACTGCTCACAATGGACAAAATCCTCATAGCACTCCCACATACGCAGTGTAGCTTGTGGGTGTCTGTGTAGCATACTACGCGTCGCGACGCGAAGGTGAGAAAATGATGAGATAGAAGTTAATCAGAATGATGCGGCTACTGCTGTCAATAATAACACCTGACGTCTGCACTGTTCACTGCTCGGCGGAACCGTCAAAAGGGGGCGGGGGCCAAATAGAGAAGTTACTGGTAGTGTGAGCGCAGAAGCCGATGCTGACATGCCGGATCAAGTCCAAGCTGTAGAGATGACTCAAATCCAAGTCAACAAGCATAACATGCGAAGCCCATCGAGTAACATACCGTACAGTAACCCTAGCCGACCTTGGCGAGAACAGCGCCTCACCAGCGCAGGAGCAGAGAAGGCAGAACTGGGAAGCGCGACCCATATGGCGCGCAAACTCCATACCATTGTACGCCAAGTTATTACACCACAGCGCAGTATGTCGTCGTAAACGATGTCCTGATACTCAGCCTCCTCGGTAAACATCTTCGATCCGCTGCTAGAATGGAACGCGACAATGCTGGACACGCCAGACAATCTGTATGCATATATGCGGTGATCTCCACACGCTGTCGAGGCTGTCTCTTAAGCTTAGCCTACAATGTTCCAGTTTAGAAAGAAGACAATTGATACAGTTCGTGTAATTCAAAATGTTTGAATGTGGCAGTTACGGAACAAAAAGGCTTCCGAGACTGTCGCACGTTTGGCCATCCCCGAGAATCCTGGTCCGTGCGCGCCTCATCGGCTCCGCAGACGCACTGCGTTCAACCATGACCTCGCCCGTCACCGATAATGAAATATTCGAGATAAATCCCTACGAATCTCAATCAAGCTTGACACCAACTGAAGCAGACGTGCTCTGGGAATATGCAAAGCTCTCTCAGCATGTGAAGGACGTGAGTGTGTTAGACAAGGGCGTTTAGGTCTTGTTATATCTAATCTGAAACGCATTAGTTGACGGCACGAACGCGCCAGTTGAGCGAAGGTCCGGACGAAAATCTCCTTGCACGCCTGAGAGTGCTGGAAAGGAAGATGGGGCTTGTTTTGACCTTGGTATGCTCCTTGTCATGTTGACCAATCTTCCGTCCATCGCTCACGCCGATAATAGTTCAAAGCATCTGTCTGGGGTGTCATCAACGAACAACCCGCCGGAGAGTCACCAGGGGACTATGCGGACACAACAGCAGACACCACCCTTCGCCGATAGCAGTCTGTATAGGAGACAGCATGTTATACTAGTACTAGTATTATTACACATATACCACTGTATCTTTACATATCGAAGGCATCCCTCAGACTTCTTTCTCAGATACGCATTCCCCCAAGACGTCCAGCAAGCCCACCTGTACTGACAGCGCTAACATTCCACACAACAAGTTTCCCGTCGACACCAGACGTGCTCACGCGAGCCACAGACCCGTCAGAACTGTATTCGTACGGCCTCACGCTTGTGATCGTGTTCTGATGCACAGTCAGAAGTTCCGTGTCCCCCGCTGTGTCCGCATTGTGTCCACGCGAGTCGGCATTTCTAAACGTATTGAATGCTGCACTGTTCAAGCGCCCCACAGGTCCTGAACGCGCAGTGCCTGCCTTGGCACCACCTGTCGTCGTGTCATCGAGGCTCCCTACGGCTGCCCAGCCACCCTCGGAGCCGGAGAACACAATAGGTTGACAATCGTGACCTGCGGCAACTATCATGTCTTCCGCTGTCCATGTAAGGGTCACATACGGGAGGGTGTTGATCCTGATGCAGTAGACGGCAGGACCACTGGGATATACGACCGTGATAGAGCTATCGTGGCCTAAGAAACTTGACAATGAGAACACACTTATCCACCAATTATGAATATATATGCGTACCAGCAAAAGCAAGAACGTCGCCAGAAGGAGAGAAGCCAACTGCGTGCACCCATCCACCAGCAGGGCTGCTATATTCACCGCAGATGGTGTTGAAAGGCAGCTTTTCACCCCAAACAGACGCAGCTGGCCTGATAATTTCAGATCAGTCTATATCAATACCTATCATAGCAATCCTGTGACAAACCTTTTGTCGACGTCTTTGATGTAAGCAGAGAAGACGCGAGCTTTCATGTCTGCACTGCCAGCAGCCAGTAGTACATTGTTGGGGTGCCAGTCGACCGAGAGTACAGTCGACCTGATGGGCTTCTTCAAGAGCCTAGCAACCCACCAGTTATTCTCGGAATCAAAAGAGCAGACTGCAATCGCCCTAATGAAAGGAATATAACCTTGGTCATCAAGCCCGCCTTGCACATCGATAATGGACAGGCATATATGCGCTCAAAACTAAGAAACAATAGCTTACCGAGCACCACTGGCAACAGCAAACTTATCTTCGTTCGGACTCCAACGGACGAACGTAGCAGCCCTGTTAATCCGCAACAGCACCAAGGTCGGCTTCCAGACCATTTTACCGGTTTGAGGATCTGGGCTCTGCTGCCACACATATGCATTGCGATCTTGCGATGCTGTAACGATACGGTTCGAGTTCGGAGCCCAATCGATGGAAGTGATAGTTTTATCGTGCTAGAATAGATAGAACATTCCGAATTCAGGTCCTGTGGTACATCTTACTTGCGGAAACACACACCTCGGAGAGTGTCTCCGTCACCTGCCATTCCTTGCCACGGCGATCATATATTTGTACATCGTTATCGTTCAGACTCACAGCGACCTCTTTTCAAGGTGATTGCCAATGATAAGTGAGGAATTCCTGCGAGATAAAATGCGATGCCACTCACGACTGCGGTCCGCATTGAAGGAATGGCAGGAAATGGGCGATTTAGCGATTGAATAAACTTCTGGGGCAGACATTATTTCAGATTTACTGCTTGAGTAGTTATTCGTTGCAGAGGACGGACAGTCTACTACTGCAATGCAAAGTGGTAATGGTCGTGGTTATGGTTATGTTTAGAGAAATGAGCCCTTCCGGTTTGTTCCCATATTGGCTGCGGGCCGGGAAACTGCCGGGAGCTGCCCTATCAGCATCGCGGACTCGAAATCTTCTCATTTGCACTATAGGACCACTGTTATTATCTCGAACTACTGACAGAACTCAAGCTTATCTACCCAAGCAAATGTATCCACGCAAATTCACATCCATAGTCAGTAGAGTGGCGTAACTCTAACCCCAAGAAATAATAGGTAATACATATAGTGCTCTAGTCCGTGTATGCAGAGCTTGTGTGTTACTAGCAGCGTGCAGGATAGCAAATTGTAGGTTAGTCCATCATGTGCAACCAACGCAATAGAAAATATAAAAAATTGGAAATTTAGTCCCACCGAGCTCGCCGAGTTTGATAAGTCTTTATGTACGATGCCTCTAGCGCTAACGCATCGCTGATTTGCCCAGATAGTGTCCCGATTTAAACTGCCCCAGAAGATTGTCCCGGTTTTTGAGAGCCTTCGCCATTACTACCACTCTCGTTCGTATCATCTTTACGCATCTGCTTCGCCCAGCGCAAGCCGCACGCGTTACAGAGCGTCTTCGGGCCTTGTGGACCCTAAAAAAAATGGTGTTTGGTCGTAAAAATATAGGCGACGCATGGCAATGATGAACAACTGTACCTTACGCCATTCTGGAGAATCCGTCCGTCCACATGTCACACAGACATATTGGTCTGATGAATGTACTTTTTTGAACTAAAGCCGTTTCATCGATGCGGCGAAGTAAAAATGATGTCTTCTGAAGGAGATTGCCGTTACGCACCTTTTTTCTCTTCAAGCCTTCCTCAGAAGTCTCCTCGTCAACCGAGGAAGGAAGGACCGCAGGCGTAAAATAACCAGTGTATGCAAGAGCGTTCATCGGCTCGAAGGTATCTCCAAGACTGTGAGGCTTTATATTTTCGTATGAAGACATATTACGATGGATAGGATAGTAGGATGTGTTCGGATCCGGGTGCTGGGAGGTTGAAGGGATCGAATTTACTATTGTCATCGATTCTGTGGTAGGCATCGAGTTCATGCCGTATACGCTCGCCGAATTCGAGTTTGAGGGAACAATGGACGAGGAACCAGACGGAACGCGTATGCGTAATTCAGCCAGACGCTGCTGTAAGCGCTCGTTCTCAATCTTGAGCTCGAGAAACGTGTTTAGCCTTGTGACCACATTAGTAACCTAGTAACCAAACAAGATATGCGTTAGCCGGCTCGGGGCTTACATGGCGGTGTTGCGACTGGGGTAAGGCTTTGCTACAGCAAAGAAGCAGCGACAGTCCACCTCATCGTCGACATAATGAGGGTACCCTTGCAGCTCAAAGAGCACTTCTTTCGGTGGCGGGCGATAATCTGAATTTTGGGGTAGATGATTTTTGCACTTGAGTCGAACATAACACGTGAGTTCACTTCTCATACGCAGCGACTCGTCAAAGTTATTTCGAAACGCGTGCTGATCATCAGCTATAAGTGATCGGGGTCAACTATATGATAGCGATGACGAAGAGAAATGTACTCGCCGTGAATAAAGTCGGCGAGGTCATGGTCAATGAGCTCGATGTCGCGCCAACCTAGCAGTTCTGTGACACCTGTTCCGCAAAAAAGAATGACACGAGAGGAAGATAAGACGAGTATGATAGCCTCTGAGAGCTCATTAATTAATATGTCGGCCCAGCGTTTTCGCTTTGTAAAATCAAATGCGGGCTGGGACCTCTGATACGATGGCCCCGCTGCAGAGGATAATTGACCCAGCGACATCGCTCCGCGAACAAGGGGGATTAGCTAGATTGACCAGTTACAGCGGCAGTCTATAAAGTATACAGGCTATGACGTGTGGGGAGTGGAGCACAGAGCCGGCGGCTGATGTAATCGGAATATATAACGATTTGCTGGAGACCGCGGGGATCGAACCCAGAAGCACAATACGCCGCGCCAGGACCCCGGATAGTCCCTAGGGAACCCAGATGCACATCCGGACACCAAACAATTCTGAAGGCCAATTCACCCAGATTTCAGTCCAGACATGGGCTGAGACTTGGCCATTTCGAGGCAAGGGACAAGTATCGTATCAATGGTGTAATGGTTATAGTCTATTTACAACGTATGTTTTCATCCCAATAACATGGGTTCGATTCGGTGGAATGGAGTTTACATTGAACCAGAATCAAATCAGCCTCATCTAATCAATATATGAGTGATGGAGGTTATATGATTCAGAAGTGAGCTGTTAAATCACGTCCTACAGATCTAGCTGATGTTTTCTTTTGAAAAGTGATTACTATATATACAAAGGGAAAGGGCGGCGGGAAAAATGGAAAGCACAGTGCAGTCACCAGCGTTGAATCTGTTGATGCCATCTCTGCCATTTCTTATGTGGCTGGCTGCTCAGATTTTCCAACGGCATTTTCGCGAGCAATTCTACTCTATCCCTGATGCCACTGCCGCTTTCCAATGCCACCAATTCTTACTCCTTCCATCAACAGCTTTCCTGACTGTTCTTTCCGCTCCACCACGAAAGATTCCAACTGCAATTTGGCCTCATATCAAACTCTTAGGACGGCTGGGGCACAGATCACAGAAGCAAACAAGGGCAAAGGAGATGCTAGTCAGCCAGAAGTGGTCGACAATGATAATTAGGGTTTTACTATACAAATAAATGCTCGCAACAGCTTTTTTTTACATGTTCAAAAGCAATTTTTATGAGATTTTTTTGAACCCAGATCGTGCATCCGGACAAATTTCTGGACTTCAAGCAAACCTGCTGAACCCAGAGTCTGGTCCAGACAGATTTACACTTGCAAGGTTTGAAAATTGTCTGGACACCACCAACATTCTGGCAATCTGGGTTCCCTAGGAACTATCCGGGGTCCTGCCGCGCCATGTCATCCCCACTGTCCCACATTTATATTCAAGCCCTTGCGGCAATGCTGGAATAGCGTAGAAGACTCCTTGGAGCGAATACGAACACAATAGATGCAGAGGAAAGCAAGATAATAATAACATGCACAAGTTAAACCCTAAAAACAACAACAGGGTCCCCTAAATAAATCTACAGCAGAAACAATTTACAAACGAGAAACAAATCCTCAAATACGGCGACGGACCTTGTCAACATAGTACCCTCACCCTAAGTTATCTCTATATTCTAGTAATTTGTAGATAAAAAATCCAGCCATATAGATCCCATTAGATCACGCAGTAGCCCCCATCCACACGTATTTCTGCACCAGTCATGAACCGAGAAGCATCACTGGCCAAGAAAACAATGGCGCCCTGTACCAATACTGTGAACAAATAATAACAATTAGTCATAACGCTGTACTCACAGCCAAGTCCTCGGGTTCACCCATCTGTAAAGCGACAAGTTAGGATCATGACACTAAACACAGCTACGGTGATCCATACCTTGCCCATTGGAGTCAAACTCTCCCATGTTTTCTGTTCGAATGTAATCAGCACGAGCCAAGATGAACAGAAGGGCGCATGACTCGCCTTGAGATCTTGGTCATGCGCCAAAATAGTTTTGGTAAGCTTGGTTAACATGTAACCGGGACTAGATAACACGTGTCATTATCAACGATATATTCGTAGCGCTAACAGAAAACACACACCTCAATGTGTTCACACGAACACCCTTTTTGGCCCACTCCACACCAAGACTAGATGCCATGTGTCGAACAGCTACATTTCAGGTATTCGATTAAGAACGAGATGTAAAAGGCAACAGGTTCAAATATATATACATACCGGCCTTGGAAGCATTGTAGGGGGTTTGCGGCTATTTCCGAGAACGGATCAAGTGTCAGCTTGATTTCCCCCACCTTTAATTAGCGTTACACGAACCTGGGGAATATTCACTACCTGTCAACATTAGGCAGTTCATCAGTTTCATTACTCCACAGCTAAAACAGTAACAACGCACACTAGCACTCATACTGGAGACAAGCGTGATGCTTCCACCGCCTTGGGGTATCATGTTCCGTGCTGCTTCCCGAGCAGTAAAAAATGCTCCGTGGACATTGATGTCATACAAACGCTTTATCCGGTCGAAGGGGTAACTAAGCGACACGTTGTGAGTGGAGCGTCAAGAATCACTCATCAGATGTTCTTACTCGAAAGCGGAATAGTTCTCCACGATACCTGCGCAACAAGGGAGAGATGAGCTCGTGACGCAGCATATACGCAATACCTAATGGGCGCACCAGCAGAGGCAACAACAGAATCAATCCTCCCGAAATTGTCCATAACTGATTCAAAGGCTTTCTGTACAGAGAGTTCCGAAGAAACATCACATCCTAGGCCAATGACATTAAGGTCTTCTGGCTTCAAGTCGCTGTTAACTTGGGGTGATCTTCAGTAACGCGTTGTGACCTTGCGGAAGGAAGTGACTGACCGCACGCGGCTGCCACCAGCTCCGCGGCCGCAACTTGAGCTTCACTTTCCTTCAGGTCCAGGATGGCCAATGATGAACATCCTCTATGATTAGTATACTCCAGTCAGATAAGCCGTTCATGTGAGATGAGAGGTGAGACGAACGATTGGATGAATGCACGGCAGAACTCATTGCCTAGACCACGAGCAGCACCAGTAACGAGGCAGACCTGCATGAAAACGCGTCAGCATACAGTTTATTCCACGATCAACGAAAATTTTACCTTTCCGTCGAGAGAGAACGAAGGCAAGACTCTTGGTTGGCGTTTCACTGCAGCTGTGCTCTCGAATCTCGCTTGAATTAAGGATGGACGTGCGATAGATAGAGAACGAGACCCGATGGGCAGAGCGCGAGTGAAAAAGCTCATGGTGGTGAGGATGATGGGAGTGGTAGAAGAGGGAGAAAAGGTTGAGAAAGAAATTTAAAGTCCACAGCGGACGCCTAGGCTTGCCATAACGCCCGGACCGATGCATATCGGTTACGTAAATCTGAGAAATGCGGGGAACATATAAATAAAATATTAGCGCCAGTTACACGCGAATTCCTTAGCCTGGCTTTAGTTCCGGTGTACCTTCCCTGCCCCGTCTCATAGACAGGGCCACATTTGTATACGGTTATGTCTGGCCAATACGAGGCTGCCAATGCATCTCGGGCTCCAAGCGAGGGAATTTGATTCTCTTAGCGCTGAAAATTTACCGCCAATGGCACGGAGGGCCTCAGGGTAAGTGTCATCGGCCCCGGCCAAGAAGCTCTTCCGAACGGCGACCATCCAATCATTTACTCAGCGGCGTCAATGGTGGTGCGCACGAGGCAGTAGCGTCCTGGCTATGATCCGAATATGTATTGCATTAGGTTGTAAACATGCATATGTGACCTGTATCCACTACGAGATATAAAACATACCAAAAAGGCGAGATACTATATAATAAACTAAGGAGAGTGAGGGTGGGAGGGTATCATCGAATATCTATGTCACCTCTCCAGCGGGATTCAAGACATACTGATAAAAAGAGCAGTACCACAAAAATGACGTGAATCAAGAAAGGCATGTATTCAGCCGATAAAGGATGCGAGTGGATAAAGTGCGGAAGGTGGGACGATGATGTATCTGTGTGGGGTAAAGGCTTGCGTAAATGAGAACGTCAGAGGCACGCGAACTTCGATTTCCGTTTTTGTAGTTCCTCCATTCGGGTGTCGAGTTGCGCACGTGCGCGCTCCTTCGCTCTCCGTTCCTCGTCGAGGCGCGATTCAAGAGATTGTTTTTCTTCAGCAATAGATCTTCGAACTGTGACAACTTCTCGCTTCGCTTCCTGGAGCTCACCCCGAAGACCGTCAATGGTGTTGCTGAGTGAATCTCTTTCCCGCGCAAGCTCCGTTGCCTGCATACGTGCTTTGCGAACTAGTTAAGCAAAAATAGCCGTCAGCACGCACTCCATGTCACGAGATTACACACATACGATTTTTCTCAGAGTCACCCAGTGACGTCTCCAATGTACTGACTAAATCCATGTGAGCCTGTAGGTCGCTCTCACAATGTGTCAATTGTTTATTGAGCGTTTTTATCATGACCTCTTGCTCGCTGAGGTGTTTCGCTTGTTCTTCGATCCTCGCTGCTATAGCCTTGGCTTCAGCAGTTGTCCCACCTTGACCATTTGGCGAGCAGATAGAAGTAGCAGGAGACTCGAGCTGCGAGTCCTTGGATGAGGTAGACGACATGAGTATTGAAGACTGAGTGGATATACTAAATTGAGACTCCGCGTTCGAAGGTGCGGCTGCTTTGGGGGCTGGTGGAGGAGGAATGGAAGGAGGGGGTGTGGGTGGGGGCAGTTTGCTTGTCGCCATAGTATTTCCTCGAGCAAATGATGTAGAGCGGTCAGGCCTTGAAACCTGGTTATCTTGAACGACTGAGTTGCGAGACACCTGAGCCTGCAAGTCACGTAAGAAAGTCTCCTGCTTCGTCTTTTCAGCTTGGAGAGAATCCTTTTCATCCTTGACTCGCTGCAAGTTCTCCTGCATTTCAGCCAGGATGGAACGATGTTTTTCGAGTTCGTCTACAAGCGATTCACGCTTTGAGGCTTCTTGGATAAGTTTAGACTGTTCGGAAGAGGTCTTGTCCAGCTCAGCCCTGAGTGAGGCATTTGCAGCTTGGAGTTCTTCCTTCTCCGCACGAACGCTTATCAACTCTCTCTCCATACTGCCTATGGCGATGTTCTTTTCATCCAGCATTTGCTCCTGGTTTTGTCGAGCTGCAATTGACTCTTTTGCAGAAGACTTGTGAGATTCAAGTTCCTGGGTAAGTACCTCGCGATCTTTACGAATAACTTCAAGCTCTACCAAGTGCTGTTGCTCAAGGGTCTTATGAGACTCTAGCTGCTGCGTAAGCGTTTCTTGCTCTTTACGCAAGGTATCGAGCTCCTGTAGATGGTTCTGCTGCACGGCTCCTTGGGACTCGAGCTGCTGAGTGAGAGATTCTCGGTCTTTGCGCAAGGCGTCGAGCTCTAGTAAGTGGGTCTGCTGCGAAGCTTCATGAGACTCGATCTTCTGGGCCAGCGTTTCTCGGTCTTTTCGCAGAGTGTCGAGCTCTATCAGGTGGTTCTGCACTGAAGTCTCATGGGACTCGAGCTTCTGTGCTAATGTCTCCCGGTCTTTCCGTAACGTGTCGAGCTCCGACAAATGATCTTGCCGAGATGTCTCGTGAGACTCAAGTTTCTGTACCAGTGCTACTCGGTCTTCACGCAAGGAATCAAGCTCCAATGAATGTTTCTGTTCCAGCGCAGCAATATTGGAAGCTGAAATTTCTCGTTCTTCCGCCAGAAGATGTTCGCTCTTGATTTTGTCCGCCTCTGCAGCTGACTTGTACGTTTCCAGTTCCTGTCGTAGCAGATCGCGATCCTTGAGCAAGGTGCTGCGCTCTTCGGTATGTATCTGCTCCATTTCAGCAATTGTCGTCCCCAGTCTTTCACGCTCCTCTGTACCGTGACGTTCGGTCGACTGTCGGAACTCTTCTAATTCTTCGCGGTGCTGCTCCTGAGCCGCAAGGAGTGCCGCTTGAACCTCAGCCAGAACAGATGCGTGTTCCGTCCTTAGCTTGGAAACTTCTTCTACATGAGACTCCAGGAGCGAAGACCGTTCTTCTTCTGCTTTAATCTCCGCATCTCTGAGATGAGCTTCATGGCCAGCTTTCAATTGATCAATCTGTTCTTGATGAAGATGATTAGCAGCCTTCAGTGCCAAATCATGCTGTGCATGTAGTGACTGCATCGCTGCATCATGTTCTTCACGTGCTTTGGAGGATGCGACAATAGATTCTTCTTCGATACGTTTCAGGGCCAGCGCATGCCTCTCAACTTCCATCTCGGACTCCTCCTTCAGACGATCAAGCGAAGCAGCATGCTCAGACTTGAGATGCTCTCGCCTTGACCTATAGTCCTCTTCCTTGCTGGCAAGAACGCGGGCATGGTCGGTCTTTAGTTTATCAATGTCTTCAGCGAATGCAGCCTCTTTTCTGGAGATAGCAGCGGCGTGTTCTTCCTGAAGTCCTTGCAAAGCAACGTCACGAGAAGATTGGGATTCGGAGAGAGAACAGTCCCGAGCCTTTTCTGCCATTCGCAACTCACTCGCATGATCTTCACGCAAGCGCTGCAACGTAGCGTTTGAATCGGCAACTTGCTTCTGCAGAGCCTCTGTATGGTCGATCCGAAGTTTGGTAAGAGCATTATAATATTCCTCCTCGGTGTGTTGAAGTATTGCAGAAGCTTCCTCGTCCTTTTTCTTCAAAGCGTCTTCATGCTCCGCACCAACTCGGTTAAGAGTCTCCTGGTGTTCGCTCTTTGTGCGCTCAAGGATCTCAGTAGCCTCTTCTACGTGTCGCTGGATCTGCTTTTCGTAGTCCCCTTTGAGATCACCGAATGCCTCCTTATGCTCCTGGTGAGCCTTTTCGAGCCCAGCGGACGCTGCCGAAAGTTCATCACGAAGGGCGTTGGTAGATGTTTCGTGGTCCTCTTTAATGCGTGTGATAAGAACATCAACTTCGGCCGCCTTAACTCGCAGAGCCTCTGCGTGTTCAGAACGCAAGCCATCAACAACGGTAGCGTGATCCGCTTGAGCTAGTTTCAGAGATTCCAGCAGTCTGGTCTCACGCTGCTGTATTTCTTCCATCTGAACTAAAACCTCGTCATGCTTCGAGCGAAGACCCTCAATCTCAGTGGACATATTCAGTGTCTGGGAGCAGTGCTCATTCATGAGCAACAGTAGCCGACATCCAAAACTCCACTTACTTGATCTCTCGACAGCGTAGTCAGTTCGTCATACGCTCGTCGAACTTGACTCAGCTCATCATTCATAGTGTCCACCACTTCTTTATGTTGACTTTCTTTCTGAGCCATTGACCTAATTCGAACAGATAAGCGAGCTCCATAAGAAAATAGCGCAGACCAGCTTACAGCATTAGCTCATTCAGCCTATCAAGAGACTCATCAACATCTGTATCGGGGAAAGCACCATTTTCTGCGATCGGAAGCCCTTGATGAAGCTGCATACTCTTTCGGATAGCGTTGAACTTATCCATCGTGCGAGGAGATAGGTGCACTTGACGATTGTTACCATCTTCCACAGGGCTAGGTTCCTTCACCCTGGATTCAACTGGAGGATCTGCTGCCTGGTCTTTGTCTTTCAGAGACGTTTCTAAAACAGTGATTTCTGCCTCTCGTTCTTTCAATACCTCTTGAAGTCGCATGATTTCCTTCTCCAAACTATTCACGGTACGCTGTTCGACAGGACTAGTCGAGACACCAGCTAAAGAGATGGAAAGATTTGGCCGCGAATGAGAGTGTGAAGGCGAATGTGAAATCGAGCTACTGGTCCCGTGACTTGAAATAGATGCTTTGCGCGAGCGCGCTGATGAGAGCTCCTGTGATAGCGATTGTGATTGCGAAAGCGACCTATGTATAAAATAAGTTGATGAAAGACTATATCAAAGCGTCGTACTTACCTCGAGTGGAGCGATTCTGCGGAGGCCGCCTGCCGGAAAAAAAGGCGCCTACCTGGGATGTTTGGTTGACCATCGTTCAACAACTCCCTGCTTCTTGAACCAGCAAGCCTCATCTTGAAAGGAGGGATATCCATTGGCACCCTGTCCACAGCGGGCGATTCTGGCAGTGACGGATTGCTCAGCTTTGCCTCTTGGATCTGAGCAGCAAGGTCGGATATCTCCCGCAATGCGTCACGATACTTGTCCGTTATAGACGACAAGTCAGCCAACGTTGCTGCGTGAGTCTGCTGGAGAGCAACGAGCTGGTTCTCGATCGCTAGGTCACCCGAATTTGGTGTTGAAGTCCCTGATATGCCATTGACACCATTCACAGGACTGCTAAGGTCCTCCAAGCTCCTTTTTGCAAGTGCAACCTCTCCAACCACGGTACCTAAACGTAGCCTTGCGTCATTGGCCTCTTTCTTTTTCCGTTCCCATTCTTCCATCTTCTCCTCCATCTCCTTCAGCTTCCTTTCCCTCTCCTCAAGGTCGGTTCGCCAGCTCGCTCCATCCTGTTTCAGATTTTCAAGTCGTGATTGAAGCACTTCAGCCTCTTCCCTCTTCCTTTCGCTTTCACTCTCTAGACGTTCAACAGTTTGTTGTAGACCAATTATCGATTCATCGGAGCGTGCCAATCGCGCTTCAAGATCAGCAATATATTTGCCGGAATGGGACTCAACTTCCTTGTAACGGGCAACCTCTCGCTTTAGATCGGTCATTGATTCACTTGAAGTCATCGAGGTTTCATCGTACGATTTGATTTTGTCCTCCAAGTCGCGCACATAAGCCTAACAAATCAAACTGTCAGACCTTGCGCCATTTGTCTTGCATTTCAAACATACCTCTGTTGAAGCTTCACGTTCTGTTACCTTCGCAAGCCTTCCTCTCAGCTCCTCCACATACAACTCGGTGGCAGAATGCCTTTCCGTAATCTGGGCCAGCTCTTCCTCCTTTTCTTCCACCATCTCGTTTGTCAGACGCAAAGCGGCTCTGTTCAAGCTCAGCTCAGCTTCCATAGCGCCGATTGTCTTCTCATACTCCTCAATGACTGGCCCGACGATCTCCTCGTACTTGGCTGTTCCACCAATCGCGCCATTTGATGTCGACCGATGTCTCTCGCCTAGTTCACGTCTCAACCTAGCAAGCTCTTCAGTGCGTTCAACGAACTTCTCACGCAGGTCTTCGTAGTTGTTCTGAAGATCGGTCATTTGAGCGAGAACCTTCTTACTGGCTCCCTCCGGGACCTCGGGTTCGCTAAGGGTGATTACTGCACTGCCGTCCTTGAGTTGCTTGACCTCCTTCCGCAACCTTGTGATTGTGCCCTGCAACCATTCTACATCATCCCATCCATCTTCCTTTTCGTTGACTACCGCTCGATTCTTTATATTTCGGGCACGATTGGCGTACTTGAGAGTATTCACCGTTTCGCCAACGTTCCATTCCGTAGGGCTTACACAAGCAATCATCAGGGTATGAGCATTTCCACCTAATGAATCTTGCAAAAGCCTTGTGAGCTTGGAGTCACGATATGGGATGTGGGAGGCTGTGTGAGATTTCGCGCGAGAGGGGTCCCCCAGAGCAGATATGACATTTCCCAGAGCAAGCAACCCGCTGTTGATAGATATACCCTCCTTAATACGTTCGCCTGCTGCAGCAGTGCGCTTAAGCTAATGAAAATAAGTCATGTGTGAGTGTATGTACGGTTTCCAAAGCGTAACTAGCAGGCTTACGCGTTCAGAACCAGCTAGATCAACGAAGTGGAATTTTGAAACAATTGTAACCCATTCCCCTGAGTCATCATCCGTATTACCAGAACGACCATCGGGAGGATGTAAACCAAGAGCGCTTGACGGTCGTAATCCACCACCGCGCCCCATTGCTGATGTGAAACTGGGGGTTGACGGACGACCCAATGTAGGTGAAGATACTCTTATACTACTCGACCCTCCACCGGTATACATAGAACCTGGACGTGCGAGGCGAGATGGCGAGCGACCGCCCGGAGGTAATGGAGACGGTGAACGAGGTGGCGCTCCGGAGCCAGTGTACTTCTTTTGAATTAGAGTGAGAGAAAAGATGGCATGCGAACGAGAAGATTGTGCATTCATATCAGTCTCGTTTGTCCGTCTTATCGAAGTACCCTGGCGGATGAGACTAAAGGGGATGTTAATATCCGGTCATGGGAATACAACATAGAAGACGCACGTCATGACTTCGTTTGGACCTTTGACAGAAACTTCGCGAAGCCCACCCCATATAATTTGCCCATCTTTGCCTTCTCTAATTTGTACTTCACGTCGAGCGCCAGTAGTCTCGTCCGAATTCAACAAGTCAATAAGGTCCTCATTATATATCTCAATGAAAGAGCCTTTTATGCTGTAGTTCCAGCTCCCGCCGCGCTCCTCCTTGAGCTTCCTCGCCTGCGAGAAGATGGTAGAAACAGCTCTAGGGATGATACCCATGCCATTGTTTGTGTCAGAGGGGTTAGCATCTAGGTCGACTCCGGTCATGGTATACGTTTTTCCACTACTAGTTTGCCCATATGCCAAGATAGTACAATTGAATCCTTCTAAAAATCGCGAAATAAGTGGTTGAGCGGTGCTCGTGAAAAGGGCATGCTGGGTGATTGTAGACGGATGCACTTGGTCGAAACCGAACACCTGTTTTTTTCCAGCGGTAGTAGGGGCAGCGACAGCCGTAGCAGAACCAGAAGCTGCAGGTGCTGCAGAGGACGCATCGACGGTTACAATAGTCGAGGATGTCGCATGAATGACGGTGCGCTGGAAACGAGCTGGTATTGACTGCGTGTCTTGCGATGTTGTGGGACGGATACGAAGGGCTGTAAACACAAATACTGAGTCAGGAAGCAATTTTATCGAGCTCGCTGTACTGACCAACTTGCACGGATGTGGCCGCCGCCGTAGATGTCGACGACGACGGGGGTGCCATCGCTGTTAAAGACGAGGAGGAACTTCCAGAGACGACGCAGTACAAGGCGACTGGGAAATGAGGGCGGGATTTGCCGGCATCACGGTACCTCTTATAGCCCCCGAACAGATGCACCTCTCATGCCCATGCACGCTGGATTTCAACCAAGTCCCTGCTCTCATCGCTTGCGAAAATGTCAAGTGATTCTTGATTCCATCATATAAATTTTCATGTTTTCTGTCGGACCTTATTTCATACGTAGAACATGAGAAGCCACGCAGTTGTCAAGGAACTTGGACATTGTCCTGATGTTCACATGGCACACTTTGACAACTAGATACTATCCTGATTCCTCAAGGTTGGTGACTATAGAGGCGCAAGGAAGACTTGATCATAGTCACGAAACTCTTTGTTAATGCTATCAATACTGCCAATATGCTAATGATGCGCATCTGGTAGTAGTTGGAATCACCATGAGCGTGTAAACTTGAATTGAAAAGAAGTGCAGCTTTTACGGTATCGCGATTTTTACAGAGATCTTAAGGGAAGAAACAAACATAATGTTCAGATCGCTAGATAAGGTCATACAGGGTCAACAAAGCATGATCTACGTTAATGATAAGGAACTCAATCATGGTGACAGCGAATCAAGCATCTTACCTATCCGTGCTAAGAAGACTCCCGGTAGTATTGTGTGCGATACAAATGTACACTTGATTCACCAGGGAAGACGCGGTACTTCGGGCGGTCGCATACATTGTTTAGGCGAGAAAGCAATACGACCTGACCCTATTGACGTCAGAAAATCAATGACATTTATGACAAGAGTGACCGAAAGACACCTATGGATGAACTGTAACTTCAAGTAGTATAACCCCACTCGGCGACAGCCAAGACTGCATTGCAATAGAAAAACAAGATGCCCTATTCACCTGATCATAATGTAGGGTCCGACATACACGTCTTGTGACCAAAGCCTATGCGACCGCTCGACCATATATTCTTTATATTCGACCAGTGAGAACTTTGCAAGCTTAGAAGCAAGTACGAACCTGTGAAGACAAGTCCCCCCTTTTGGAAGACATCTTACTCTCGAGATATAATGTATAGAGTACCCACATTTTTCCCGCTGGTGGGACAGAATTTAGGATATATGTATGAATCGCTTGCTTTAGAGTGAGCGACTCATCGCGTCCTCCTGAAAGGATGTATAGTACAATTCAGAAAACCGTAACTCAAAGATATAGAAAAACGCACCTGATAAGAGTCAGAAGATATTTACGCTTCACATATGACGAACCGAATACAGTGAGCGGACACTTTAATGTTCCCAACAGCCTTGGTCAACTTTTGTGGACGTATATGTTCACATTTTGCTGCACACTGGCGACAACGCCCACCAATCACTCTAGTCCACAGACGCATGCATGAGAGCCTTTAGTTGTTCTCAAGCTTGAGGAATTACTGAGTCCCCCCTTGTAACATGCTTTGCAGAAATGTTACAATTGAAATATAGAAGTAACATAGGGTATACTGAAAAAAAAAAGTAATATTAACGATGTGTAAAAGTGGTCGTAGTGTGAAGGATCGTGAGATATACGCATGGTGCGCGTCGTAAAGAATGCTGCTATTGGCTCTCTGATAGAAATAATGGGTAAAGTAATCAGCTACTGCAAAAAGAAAATAGTGCACAGAACAATGTCCATACCTAGGCCACGATCAGAAAAAAGAAAATTCCACGTCATTTGTTTGCATCTAGCCAGAACCATACAAAACACGAGTAAAAGAAACAGTTCATGTCACCCAGAACTTGAATACTGATGCATCAACAATCTCTTATGGGAGCCATATCTTCACTGTTTGGTCTACACTGCCAGTTGCCACTACATTGATAAGCTTCTCGGGTTCGCCTGACTTGCCGTCTACCCCGTCCACGCCATTTATCTTCGCCGACGGACCACTGGACGACCCTTGCCGTCCCCAAGCGAGGGTCGTAACGAAGTGCCCGTGCGCATCGACGGTCTTCATACAACGCCCCGTAGATAACTCCCACACACGGATTGTCTTGTCGTCTGATGCTGAAAGCAGGAATTTCCCCGAAGGATGGAAGACAAGGGCCCTAACCCAATTGCCATGGCCCGCCTGGCTTGGTGTTTAGCATCTAACGCGTAAACGCAAGAGAATCACCTACCAGACTCTTCAATATCTGACCACTTTGGGTATCCCATAGTTTGATCGTTTTATCCCGAGAACCTGTCGCTACGTAAGCGCCAGGTCGTTTCGAACGGTCAGTGTTCTGGATATATCCGATGAAATCGAAGCAGTTATATGATTCATGAATATACTAACAGGGATGCCCGCCAATTCTCGTATTGCGGTGTATGCGGAAACTGGCGCAAAGGCGATAACTTCGAGGACGTGTTCATGTCCTCTGAGCTCCATCTTAGACTCGCCTGAAAGCGGGTCCCATATGCGAGCAGTCTATCAAACGAAATAAGGCATAGAAAGGGTGCAATGAAATTTCTGACTTACGTGGTCATTAGAGGCACTAGCGAGAAGGCGGCCGTCCTCGGATGGTACTACGTAACGCACCCAGTCCGAGTGACCAGAGATGGTGCGAACAAGATGTCTGAAATCACGTCATTTCCAACTGTAGAATGAACGAGCAACGCGAGACATACGCAGAGGCGACATCGAAAATTCTGATTGTTCGATCTCTACTGGCGCTGACAATATGCTGGTCCCCGGGCATAAATCGAACTGATGACACGGAATGATCATGTCCTGCAAAAGTCTTCGTGTTCTGCCATTCATTTTGAGAGTCCCATATCTTGATAAATAGATCAGACGAACATGTCACTGTGAACATGCTCACCGATGCCAAAATCTTTAGTTTCTATTCACGCAAAAGGGTAGAGTTGACGAATTGTACGATAACTCACCCAATAGATGACCCTTGTGATCAAACTCTACATCTTGAATAGCTTTGGTGTGCCCCTTCAGCGTTCTCTCGAATTCGCCAGTTTCCCAATCCCAAATCTTGACAGTCCCATCTTCGGATGCAGAAGCTAAGAGTGAATATTGAGGGTGGAATGCCACACGGGTGATAGGTAATCGATGTCCGGTCAGGACATGCGCAGCTGGTGCCCTCGGGACCCAGTCGGTCTGTGACGCGGCGCGTTTGGAAGGCGCAAGGGTTAATTCTTCTTGTAACGATGCATTACGAGTCTCCAAATCCATGATCTGAATTCATGAATTCGCATCAGTATTCTGTCAACAAGGACTAAGACATAAACGCAACCTTCTTCTGAAGACGGATAACACTGGTCCATTTCTTCTCCAAAAGCCCCGAGTATTTGGCCTTGGGATCTGGTGCATATTGTGTTCCAGAGTCTGCTTTGAGGGCGTTGTATGCTGCCGTGAAATTGTTGGCGTGAAGGTACTCGAGCATAGATTTATGCCTACATCGATGCCAAGAGTCAAGTCAATGGTAGTCATTACAACGTTTGTTGTACGTACAGCTCCTCCCGCTGTCTTTCAGATAATAGTGACATTTTGTTAATCCTTTCGAAAGCAATCCGTGGGCTTGCTTTCTAAATAGTCTGTTCAGCAGAGATAGTACGGGAAAATCAGCTTGGTCGCTGTGGGCAACAGCACCGCGACTAGAAACCAGATGCTTTTGTTTTGTCTTGTTGTCTTTACGGCATGCGCGCCATCCCCTCAGTTGATTTCAAGCTCAGTGACATTTTCTTCAGAATTCGAATGGACACTTGAATGACATATGGATACAAGAATATCGTGTTTTACTTTTACTAGGGAAAGGAAGTTCAATGGAACAAAAACAACAAGACTGACCACAAATCTGACATGACTATCACGGAAGGATGATTTTAACCGAATAGAGTCTTTTCGAAGAGGGCATCTACAGTAATTTATTATTTCTGGGTCTTCCTCATGTTATTCAACTACAGCACTTGAAAAGGGTATGATTACACTGCCTATTCGTCGCATAGTTCATGCATTGATGGCAGTTTCTCTTACAGTTATAGACGAATGGCCTTGAACTCCTGGGCAACTTCCTTCATCGCCTGCTCAACCGGTAACCTCTCCAACGAACTCGCTCCATAGAACCCATGTATCCCCTTCACCCTCCCAATAACATATCGTGCATCTTCAGGTGTCGCAATAGGACCTCCATGGCAAAGCACGATAACATCCGGGTTGATTCTCGCAGCCGCATCCCGAATGTCTTGTACGCGCTTCACGCAATCATCCAAAGTGACCGCCGTCTGCGCACCGATCGTCCCGCTCGTGGTGAGGCCCATGTGGGCAACGATGATATCAGCCCCCGCACGAGTCATGCGCTCTGCCTCGTCAACATTGAACGCGTAAGGTGTCGTCAGAAGATCCAGCTCGTGTGCTATCCGTATCATCTCGACCTCTTTTCCGTAATCCATACCCGTTTCCTCCAGGTTCTGCCGAAATACACCATCGATAAGCCCAACCGTGGGGAAATTCTGCACTCCTGTAAACCCGAGGTCTTTTACTTCCTTCAGTAGTCGGGTTATATCGCGGAAAGGATCTGTTCCACAGATACCAGCCAGGACAGGCGTCTTTTTGACGACAGTCAGAGTTTCCCTGGCCATCTCTAACATGATAGCGTTTGCGTCGCCGTAGGGCATTAGACCCTAACAATTGGTTCAGCTACAGATCTCCACCCAGTAGGATGGTACATACCGCCAAGGAACCTCTTCCAGCCATACGATAACGGCCAGAGTTGTACAGAATGATGAGGTCTACCCCACCAGCCTCCTGGATCTTGGCGCTTAGGCCCACACCAGCACCACCTCCTACAATGGCTTCGCCCTTGCTAATGCATTCCCTCAGGTGTTTTAGTGCCAATTGCCGTCTGGACATAGATTCGCCTGCCATTATGTCGTTTGGGAAATGGTACGGTCACCGTGGTCTTTTGTATGTTCTCTATTTATGTTTTTCTCTCAGCTCAACGGTAGCTGACGTAATATGGCCCTCCGATTCGAAGCATGCTACTGGCCCATGGTTTAGGAGCTCCAATTGACTTCTCACTGGTTGACGTTTACTTCACTGTAACGATGTCGATCATGCCAAACGTTGCTGTGGTCGGTACATGCGATACAAAACTGGAAGCGCTGACATTCATCAAGGAGACAATATGCGCAAGTGGCAAATGCAATGCCATTCTCATCGACATCGGCTCCTACGACCCTTCTAACTCTTCTCAAATTGATATCACTCGTCACGAGCTTCTCAAACCAACTCTCCACGATGTTGATGACCGTTCCTCTAGAATTTCAGCGCTGGAGGTGATGACCACCGCCCTTACAGAGACCCTGTCCCGTTTATATGCACAGCGAGCGATTGATGGTGTCATTGGCGCGGGAGGTTCGGGAAATACCAGCGTGTGCGCAAAGGCATTTCGTGATGTATTTCCTATTGGATTCCCCAAGCTTGTAGTGTCTACCATGGCATCTGGAAATACAGCACATTATGTGGGAGAGACAGACATAACAATGATGTATTCAGTTGCAGACGTGGCTGGGATGAACCCCATCCTAGAAAGTGTCCTGCGGAATGCTGCCCATGCTATCGCAGGAATGGCTGTCGACTCGTATGCGAGAAGGAGCCATACATCTTCCTCTGCGCCAGCGATTGCCATAACTATGTTTGGTTTGACGACGCCATGCGTACAAATGGCGACGGAAAAGTTGGAAGATCTGGGTTATTCCGTGGTCGTGTTCCATGCGAACGGAGCTGGGGGGATGTCGATGGAGCGTCTGATATGGGAGAATAACTTCGTTGGGGTGTTGGATATCACGACGACCGAACTGGCAGATGAGCTTGTCGGAGGTGTTCTCACTGCGGGCCCAAATCGTCTTACAGCTGCGGCAAAGGCTGGCATACCGCAGGTGGTATCGGTGGGTGCTCTTGATATGGTCAATTTTGGGCCTGCATCGAGTGTGCCGGAAGAGTTCTCTGGGAGGTGTTTTAACCACCACAATGCGTCTATCACGCTCATGCGCACTACACGAGACGAGTGCGCCAAGCTGGGCGAAATTATAGCGGACAAGCTGAGTGTTGCTTCTCCTGAGAAGACGCGTGTGGTTCTGCCTCTCCGAGGATTCTCGGGCATCGATGTGGAAGGAGGCCCGTTTCGCGACGAGGAAGCGGATATTGCTTTGCTTGATGCGTTGCGGAGTGGTCGGATTGGATGTCCTGTGATGGAGGTGGACGCCAACATTAATGATCCGTCATTTGCGCTGGCTGCGGTCACGGCACTTGAGGAGATGTTGGAGTCGCGATGATTGCTGGGGAGAAAAGAGACTATATCCCGTATACCAATGTATAATTAAATGTATTCGATATCTTTCCATGCATCCCCGAGTCTCTACATGACTCCACGATGTCTGCTGTAGCGATCGCGATCCAGTGAGCATATGTAATGACCGGCATTGAAAATTTCAGGGGATGGAAGGATTATCGTAAGAAGGACAGGACCGGTGTATTATTGCTTGGTGTAGGCACGGTGGCTGTACCGGGAGAAGTGGTCCAATGAGGGGTCGGTAAGCAGCAGTCTTGTTTCCACACGCTCTCTCTTTTTTTGTCTTTCTTCTGTCTGTGCTGAATTCTGTCCACTTGTCCTCTCAACACAGATCCTCATCGCATACAATCACTCTCCGCACAAAATCATATATAAACCATCCATGTCTGCCCATCCCATCTCTCCCCCTCCTGTCCCCGTATCTCCCCCATCGACACTCGTCCGCCGCCATCATACCATCTCTGCATCTTCCCGTACAGCTCGTGCAGGCGCACGGGCCACAATCTCAGAGGAGTCCCAGGACCAGCAGCTCTGGAACGACGACGAACCAGTCGATGAAGACTGGGTCGGCGGTGTAGGCGCTGTCGGTGAGAAGACTTCTTTGCACAGGCAGAGCTCTCTCCCGACGCGCTACAATCGGGGTATGCATCTCTTCTTCTTCTACTTCTACAAGCGGATCTCTCGCTGACTTTCCCCTTTTTACGTTAATCTACATCGATTTACAGCCTTTCACGGTCAAAGCTCAAGACAAGCTGGCAATCTAACTCCGAGGAATATGAATAGTTTATCCGCCATCGCCGGCCATGATGGCGACGAAGAGGACTGGGAACAGGATATGAGGGGTTTTCAAAACGAGGACGAGGTAAATTTCCATTTTAGCTGCTATTTAAATCCCCCGTTTTCCTCGTTTTCCCGTCAAACTCTATCTTTAGCTATACTTGTCCAAGGGCGCCCACCCATCCCTGTCATCTTCGGTGCTCACGCTTTTTTCTCTCCAGCACGACATGTCCAACCCCGACGTCGCACAGCATCAGCAAGTCTTAGATGCCCAATCTCAGTCATCTAACGGTAATCCTTCCCCTCTTTCCCCACATTTCGTTCCTGGTCATGTTCCTTCTCCTCCCCCTGCTGCTTCGGGAGTCCGACGACACCAGAGTTTGACATATGGAGCTGCAGGTGGTGGTGTGAGACAAATGACCTCCTCATCCGGTCTCAAGCGTGCTGGCACCCTTCAAGCGCAGGTTCGACACTCTAATGTAGGACACAGCCCCAGTCCACCTCACCCAGAAGAAGAATATGCAGAAGAAGAGTTAGTGAACCCCTACGAAGACGAATCGTACTTCACTCCTCGTTCCCCTCCGCCCAACCAGCAGTATCAAGGGCAAACTCAATATCCCACTAGCCCGTTGGGACGTGGGTCTCCCTGGAACACCCCTGGTAGCAACGAATGGCGAACGCCGGGAGGCTCCAGCTTCTCGACCACCAGTTCCAACGGAGGTAACAATGCGAATGCCATCGATGACGTCCAGCGAGCTCTCTCCGCCCTAGAGCTCAGCAGCGCAAACCAAATGTACAACAATAACAATAATAACAACAATAACAATAACAACAGCGCTTTCTCCGGAGGCCAATCCAACCACCCGCCCAGGTTCAACCCCAATCATCCCCCGCCCTCTCTCGCTCCCGCACGTGGTCATCATGGCGGAAATAATGGCGGCCATAACGGGCAATCTTCGCGCAAGTTGCAACTGGTGACTGACTTTGATGGGCGTAAGACGCCTGTCGGTCAGAGTGGCCCAGGCCCCGTCAGTGCTTCTGCGTATAATCCTCCCCCGGGCACAGCTCAGCAGCAGCGAGGCGGCGCTGGCGTCATCAACGACGCTAACGACCGTGCTCTCACAGCTGCTGGCACCACATCGTGGGACCAAAAAGAAAAACTGCTTGGTCAGCGCACGTCCAATCCTAACTTGAATTACGGGTACAACCAAGGGCAGAAGGGAAATGTTCCTAATGTTCCCCCCATTCCTGCACAATATCTTAACCAGCAGGGTGGCTCTCAGGCCCCGAGATTGGGTTCTTCTTTCAACCAAGGGCAGGCGCAAGCTAGTGGAAACGATGGACCTTCCCAGTCACTTCAAGGGTTTATCAGCTCACCGATTGATGTGCCTTCCCTTATCGCTGCAAAAGGTTATAATCCGACCAGCTTCGATGTTCGCCCCACATTCGTAAGTTTATCTATCGCATACAATGTCATTAAGCTGCATATTGATAAAACATGCAGGCACGATACTTCGTGATAAAATCATATACTGAGGACGATGTGCACAAATCGCTGAAATATGAAATCTGGAGCTCTACTGATCCTGGAAACAAGAGGCTTGATAAGGCATTCAAAGAATGCGCCGGGCGGGGACCGATATACTTGTTTTTCAGTGTCAATGCAAGGTTAGTATTCAGGAAGGTCTATAATTTGGATAAGTATTGATAAACATGGGCTTTCAGCGGTCATTTCTGCGGTATGGCGGAGATGCTTACTCCTGTGAGTCTGCAGTGTAGTCCAAAAATGTCAGCATCTAATATTTTTTAGGTCGATTATACTCGCAGCAGTACAGTCTGGGCTTCTGACAAATGGAAGGGAGTGTTTAAAGTACGATGGATTTTCGTACGGGATATCCCCAATGCCAATCTGCGGCATATTCGGTTAAAGTACATTTCGTTTGATCAGCTTTACTCAACCATTTGCTAACACTGTCTCTCCTTAGCAACACGCAAGAGCGTAAACCCGTCACTAACTCACGAGATACGCAAGAGCTTTTGCCTGAAGCTGGTCAAGAAATGTTGCGCATTTTCCACACCCATCCTGCTAGGACATCTCTTTTGCAAGACTTTGCATTCTATGAGGTATATACCTTCCCACGATCCCTGTGAATATTCAGTTATTTACTACTCACCACCATTAGTTACAAGCGATGCAAAAGATGCAGGTTCAACAACAATCACCTCCTATGAACGACATAGGTTCTCAGTCTCCACCACCTCCACAATCGCTTTCCCCGGGTTCTCAAGCGCAGCAGGGCATGTTCAATATGGCAAACCCTAACCCAATGTTTGGAACCATGTCTCCTGCCATGATGCAGATGCAAATGCAGATGGGCATGATGGGCACGCCGTTCGGGCTCCCGCAAACGCAGGCGATGCACCAGAGTGTCATGCGGCATCCGAGTCCTGGGCCTAATCAGAACGGACAGTTCATGAACATGGGAGGAGTGCAGTTCTAAAGAAATAGTGCTTCCCCGCAGCGTGTCATAGGCTGCGCAGCGGAGAAAGTCTGTTCTTTCTTCGCTGTTGAACGCCCAATTATAAATTCGGACGATCGGACGAAGATGTACAAAAATAAACCCTGAAGATGTGGATTCATCGGATGAAAATTTGTTCGATTCGTCGTATTATGCCTTTTTCTCCTTTTTTCAAATTTGTGTGTCCATCTAATGTTGTATAATTCTTTCAACTCAGATCAGTTTTTCTTTCCTGTTTTGCTCACGATTTTCACGCCTTAACCCATGTAATTCATTTCTCCTTTTCATCACTTTGCCACTTCTATTCCTGTCGATTTTCCTACCTTACAATCTTGTTGGTTTACTAGGAATCTTTGTTCTACATTGCAGCTTGTACAACGGCCATGGACATGGGACACTAAAATGGACGTGGAATCCCGCTTGTTCGCTAGCTTGTAATTGTTTTCGGATATCTGCCATAGTATGCTACGAGTTATCTGGCTTTTTCTTTTTGATTGAACGACTAGATGTAGTTTCTTATCCATGTCATAAATATATACGTTTTCGAGAAAAGTGGTATCTGTGATAGGTTGAAAGGCGTAAAAGGTCTGCGAAAGACCTATAAAAGGAGTACCCATCATTACATTAGCTAGGTATGTAAGATGATCAAATGCAGGGAGCGAATCTTCATAGCGCGGGCGCTATGATATCGATGAACTACTGTAAAGCTAAAATGAAATTAAGAACGCGGGCGGGGGCATAATGTCCATTGCGAATGCGAGAAAGAAGAAAAAAAGGGGGGGGGGAGGCGATCATCATCAAAAAGTCGTGGCAAGCTTAAACCTTCTCGGTTGGGATTTCCGAACGCGCAGGGACGAGTCCTGGTGTAGCGAATAGGACTACGACGAGGAACTCGGTGAGGGCGGATAGGGGATACCAGATCACTTCTTTGTTCTGCTCCGTAGTGTTTTGCGAGGTCGCGGTAAAGAACGCTTCGCGAGCGATGAGGAGAATGGAGATGAGTGCCAAGATATAGATGCCATAAACTGATCCGATAGACGGGTTCTCCGACTTGTATCCACCATCTGTTACATTACAGCCGTCCAGTTAGATTCGAACACACAACTGTTAAGCACGAGAAGAAAACGTACCTGCGATTTCTGCACGAATTAAGAGTACGGTCTGCAACAAGACGAGGATGGCGAGCACTAAGAAGATGTAGATGGCGGCCTCGCGAAGGGTGTTACCGGTGTTGCGAGTGCTCACGCTAGTCGCGCTGCTAGATTCTACGGCGCCTGTAATTCCGATTGCGACAGCTGCCGTGAGGAAGAGACGGAACAGGAAACGTTGTCTGAGTAAACTTGCGATCGGACCCCTTGATAAATTGTGCGAGAAGGCACCACTGATGATATCGAAAATGGTGAGTTAAATTTTAAGAGACGATCGATCAGGAAGAGACGCACCGGTCGAGGACAAGAGTGTAAGCCGAGTACAGGAGACCAAAGAAACCGACGTTGTAGATAACTTCGTAAGCAATCAATAGATTAAGGTTTTCACCGTCGCTGGCCACACTTGCTAGCAGTGCACGCATGATGAAAGCGGTAATTCGGACTGAGGTGAAAATTTCATCAAAAGAGTTGAGATAAAAAGTTTCATGAAATCGATTTGAAGACTTACATGCACAGAATAAAGAGAGGACGATGTAGACATAGGTGGGTCGTGAAATAGCCTGCCTGAGGTTCCATAAGAAGAAGGGAACGTAGAGGACTGCGAAAACGACTGCTGGTGCGAGCAGTTCGATGCCGAACGACTTTGCATAGTTATAGCCAGCGGGCGCAGACATTGGAAAATGAACCAAAGAGACAACTGAAGCAAGGTTTCTGATAGAGAACGAAGCAGGGCGTCTTAAAAGAAAACGACACTGGTGAGGCGAAAAGAAATGTCGTGGTAGAAGGGAGGCAAAAAGACGGGCAATATAATTTCCTCGTGGTGCGTTCAGGACTAAGATATATTATGCATTACATTTAAGGCACTGGATCAAACGTGACAGATTTTAACCACAAGAGCGAAACATGACTAGTTCGGGATCACCGGGTACCGCCCTCAAAGTAAAATATTATTCTTAAACATGAATCCAGACCCTTTTTGCTTCTTCAGCCTGCAATGGAGTCTGATAACACAGGTATTTGCCAGTATATGTTGGACTGTGTGACATGTTTATTGGGCTGCCGTAAAATCTCCATCGGCGTTTTTATGGCGAACGTCTGTTGCTTCCACTGCGACGGACGGCACAGCATAGAACTGCAATACCTGTGCCAGCGCAGCCTCCGCAGTTCATGACCACCAGGGTAGACGCAGTACGAAGTTTATGCGTCGAAGCTATGCAGATAACTGTATGTGTCTTTTTTCATAGGTTGGCTTTCACTTTCACTTTCACTTTTCCCAATAGCACGTTAATGATTTACGCGAAATCAGCGCCCAAAAAATCAACAAATGAATTGATGCAGGACGACGTGTTCTTCTTGATTGATCACCGCTACCAAAAATCATAAAGGATCGGTAAAGTTGCAAAGAAATCCCCTACAAGCTATCTAAGATTCTACATCGATTCAAACCACAAATAACGCACCAACAACACGTCAAGGAGACATAGCAATGCGCTCCAATCGCTGGTGTTGCTATGATGTACGCGACCTACGGTAATTGCACACAAGGTATAGATTAATATTTTTAGAATCTAAGCTTGCGTTATTACTTCATTCCTTTTCAGGGCCAAGATATACGCCATAAACAAACGAGTACGGTGAATCTGATGGACTTATATGTATGTTCCCTACTGTATGGCGTTCTCTGAAAACAAAGACCACACATTGTATCACTGGGAGAACGATGTAGCTGCCCTCTGGCGTCAGTCTAGCAGTCAATACATAACTCTCTAGTTGATCAATCAATGCCATCAATCAGGTCCACATAACTCATGTTGTCCCTGGTGAGACATGCCTCGTGCAGGAAGTAGACTTCGTTTGGCGCCACTTCCATTTACCAGTATGTATATGCTATTCTAGTTTGTATGCGCATTATTGGTACTGATACGTCATTAGATCGCTCATACTGCGCTGGTGTGTGGTATATATGACAAGTCGCACGAGTAGCAATATAGTGGCCTCGTGCAGCATGGCGTATTGTCTGGGATAATGCTAGATAGTCCAGCCATAGCACGTCTTTAAACTTTCAACCATCTCAGAAAATCTCTGCGACCAGAGCATCAACCGTAATGGTCAGGATTCAAGCTATTGCATACGGCTAAAATATGGCATCATGGAGTTCACACATCAAGGGGGCCTCATGGCAGGCAGACGCCTGTACGAAACTCGGTTCCTTGGAACGCGGACAACTGTCGATCTCTCCGACGCAAATAAGCACGGCCGTCTGTTGATGCCGATATCGATATAGCTTAAAAGTGATAACCCGTATCAAGTCTCGAGCACGGCGATTAGGCTGACATGACGCGAGTTTTTCCTAGAAATGGCCTATCTATGGTCGCTCACATGTATTTTTGGCAAGAGGCGCCTCTACATGGTATTTTTGGCTCGTTATCCAGAACAGATCAAGCGCCCCCTATCTTCCATGTTGTGGAAGGGTAAGTCCTTGTTTGGCCAGAAATGTGGAAAGGTAGGCCTGGACTGGATTTGAGCATCGCAGTCGATGTGTGGCCTATTAGTCGAGGATAGGGAGCCTTCTGTGAGTTGCCTGTTTAGCTATCGTACACTATTACTCACGACTATTGCCAGTACAGACTGCATTTTATTGATATGACGCTTGAGTGATAAGTATGTATATTTAAATATCCTCGTTTGAACAAAGGTCTTGTCTGTCACCTGCTTGTCGCATGGATGCTCTCTCAACTCACGTTAAGCTGCACTCGTTATTTCTTCAGCAGACCCCAAAGTCCGACATCGGAGCTATTTTCATACTTGCTTGTCTCTTTTCTGAGCTTGAAAAAAGAACATAATCAACGTTCAATTCAGCATCATACACTTTGTCTACTCGTACACTTGTCTGCTATAAGGGTTCTTTACAGAGGGAACATTCAGTTAAGGTAAGTTGACATGGGATTCTCTTCGTCGTCCAGGTTGAGGGCTGAAAGCAAAAGAGCATGATCGTTGTTGAGATCTGCCTCCGCATCTTCGTCGTTCCTCTCCTCCACCTCCTTCCTCTCGACCTTCATCTGGGCCACCACCGCTTCTGCTACGAATCTCTGCGCCTTTGTGGTCTCATGACCTGGACCCTTCCACCTGACGTCGCTGAGTTCGAGCTCTCCGGAATCCAGTGCGGCAGCAAGGACAGAGATATACGCGTAGTCATTCTCGTCCCATTCATTGATAGGGGTATGGTCGTGGTACACGGCAGCGAGAGCACTGTAGACGAAGCGAACACTCTTGGACGAGTGCGTCGAGTCGCGTGGAAGATCACGGGAGTCTGTCTCTGCTGCAGACATCAATGTTGGTTTCTTTGGTGCTACGTATTTCTTGCTCTCGCCGTTAAGCTTAGATAGCACCGAGACGAACTCTTTGAAGCTGATCACGCGCGTCGGAGCTATGAGCCAATGTGACCCGCCATTTGAATCATTCTCGGCTTCTAGATCGCTATTCAAGGCAGCACTTCCGGGCAAGATCCAGGTCGTTTTGTCCGACCACTTCTTCTGTTTGCTGGTGAATGTCGACACGCCCCCCGTCCCTGAATTCAGAAACATAAATAAAAAAAACAAGGTAGACCATGGCGGCAACAGACCAAGGATAACGTTATCGTGCTTGTCCACTTTGATATCTTTATCCTTTCGCACATGATCAAATCTAGCCGAAGTAGTGTTTCCAGAGCGATACAAGTCTGGGCGCGTCATGCTGAGTGGAATGTGATGGTTGATAGTATAGTGTGGGTGCTTCAGTGAGTTGGGAATGCTGCATTTTGTTTCCAACACTTGTCCTTTTAACCATCCAAAACTCCATGACCACGTTAGTCACTTGCTTGTCAAGTGCTGTCTAGTCGAATCCCTCTAGCCATAGCGAATCGAATCAGCAAATCCGTTCTCTGCAACTCGCCGAGCGGTGCTTTCATCGACGTCCACCTGTTGCTGCGCCTTCCATTGCATCTCCTTCCTTATCCAGATGCAAATTTCCCCGTTCAATTGAATGCAATCCTTGAATGGCTGCAAAGAGCAACAGTCTTTGCTAGGATCGCAAATGATGGAGTCGCTGTCAGTGTTCGCCGTGAGTTCGTTGTGATGGCTTTACGGTCAAGTTAACGCCGGGTCTTCGTTTTCAGCTTCGCATCACCCTGCTCCGCAGGCACTTATTCTTGTATCGAGAATATCACCCGTGTAGCTGAAGTCAGTGGATCAGTGTACTGCGACATCCATGAAAGGGGTTCTGTTTCCTGAACGAGCTGAATTTCCTGTATTACCAAGCAGGGATGCGGATTCTTACCATCAGGTCAAAGAATCCACATGGGTATCCCTCGATCGATAAATCACATTCAGCACCAGAGTATGAAACTCCCCCTAATAAAACAATAATCTAGTTCTGCTTTTACTCGATGAAGCACTTTTCCCATTGCGAATATCAAGAGTACGTCCTCTCATCAAGGTTGATACGAATTAGTCGGACTGTACGTGGCGCCGCTAGGTAGTACGCCATGCGATCGCAGTTCAATAGCTCACTGGCAGATAGTACTCCGAATGCGGTCAAAATAAAAATCCAACTTGCTCGCTGAAACTTCAATAAGTCTCGCATTCCAAGTTGTTCATAAGCAAGGCATATTTGATACTAGTACAGAGGTAATTGCTGTCTTCCTCCCATCTCATAATGCAACATCTAATTGATAGTTGCCCACGCTCCAGAACCTTCCGTGCCACCATTGCCACGATCGGCTGTAAAGAGACAATACTATGAGTGAAACACAACATCCAGTTTTTATATTGACTTACTCTTGAACTGCATAGGACAGCGATAAGTAGGAACGATCCAAGAAACAATCGTAAACATGAGATCAGTGCAAGCTAGGTGTATAAAACCTTACAACTGCGGTAAGCCTTTCATCGGTATAGAACTCGAGGACGAGCCGGCCTGTTTCCTTGGGAGTCGGCCCTGGAAATTGCTGAATCCAGAACTTGTTGTCTCCATCTGCAGGGGGAGAGCCACGATAGAACAGTCTACCCGTGGCGCTTTGAACATCGACGTTAGATGTTGCTATAAGTGGTCATGTAAGCTGACTCAGGAAACAAAACACCAAACATTAACTTGAATGCGACTCACCAGTTCCAGTAGCGAAAAAGCCCTGGAACTGCTTGTGGGCGGGATCACCAACAGTCACCGTAGCTTTCAATCCTCCAGCACCATGAGGTGTGATGTCAACCCGAGCGCTGGGGTCAGAAGAGAAATTTCCTGCCTTGACCAAGTTCCTCAGGTGAGCTCCTAGAGGATGGTCACTATCATAGAGAGGATGAAGGACAAGATCAAGGTTAAAATCACGCGTGTCGGTGTTGGACATGTTAATGCGGATTGCAAATGTAAAGTGAAGGTAGGCAAGTAGGCAAGTGGGATGTTGGGGTCCATTGTCGGTAAAAGGTCATGTCTTTTATAGCACAATCCCTTCAAGATAGTGCAAATATGGTCACTGCGGACAGGAGTAACTTCGCCCCCAATTCTTGTTTAGTTCTAAGGTTTACTCCCAAGAAACACGGCGAGGTCCAACGGGCAATTCCATACTGTGATGGTCATGGAATTACCTGTAGCTCCAGCGGTCGGAGTACTGTGCCGGTCTACAAATGGCATGTCAAAATGGGACCCGAGAAGAGCTGAAGCGCTGAAGACTCATAACGCATGGATAGTTGGAGCCAGAATCCCTACGTCAAGTCAACATCAAACTGGCTCCATAGGGGCCTACCAGGTTACTCACAAGTATGTCAGCCTGAGCGATTATCTTGATTGAAAGTTTTGTGTTCTGTGGAGACGGGCCTGTGTATTCTGCTTAGGTGATTACTGAGTCAAACTTGCACTTGTCTGAGCTCATTGTTAGACTGTTAAACCAATGCTCCGAATTCTTCCATGATAGGTATCCAATTCACAAGAATGAAGCGAACAGCACACAACGTTGAACTCGGAGACCTTGATCATCGCTTCCCAGTGAGTCAACATCCGAACCAGAACCAGCTATTGATAATTCATATGAGTATCAGAAGGAATTCGAACTCGTAAACACGCATCAAATCTGGCATACCGTCAACTTGTTGGCTCAATCAATGGTCATCTGCTGCAACGTTTGATAATAAGGTTCGCAAGGATCGTGACTTCTACTAAGAAGAGGATCACGGTCACATTCTGCTACGTGGCGCCAGGGAAGCCAGGACAGTCTTCTGTGAAATCCTTTAGAAAATTATTATGTTTAGAGCGGAATAGGAAAGCATTGTCCGCGGCATATATCATTTCAAATAAATGGACCTTGTTCAGTTATCCAGGAGCGTTTACACTGAACGCGAGTTTTGCGACAACTCGGATATTCTTCATTAATAACTTGGAATTTAGAGTCTCGAGCTCACGTTGGTAGTGACCATGACTCGATAATGTGTCAATTTTCAAGCTAATCGCGGTTCTAGTTTCGTTTCTGGTTAGTCACGACAATGGCTGTGGTCATCTTCTCTCGCTCTCGCCATCATGCATATGACCTCCGCATGCATTCATTTCTCAGAAGTGTACATATATACGGCACTGGCAGCAACATACAAGTGAACTCCATATCTCGTACCGGTGTCCTGCTGTTGTCAAATGTGATGCATCAAACCGAGGCCCAACTTGGGGTTCAAAGTAGCTTACGAGTAAAGACTCGGATCGTATCTCATACCGGTGGTGCTGCGGTCAAATGTAAGCCTTCTGTGACGATGATCAGCTTCGAGGCATCTCAATATGTAATATCAATAACAGGTACCCTTCCAAGTCTGTTCTGTCACCCTGCAGGGTGACGCAATTCAGCTGCCATCTTCATTCCATGGGGTTTGTGTATCTGCATCGAGGTTACACCAATTGGACGGCAGGGTGACACAATTCAGTTGCCATCATTCCATGGGGTTTGTGTATCCGCACCGAGGTTTCACCAATTGGACGTAGACAGCTAAGCTTACGAATAAGGTAGCATCATGAATTGAATCGAATGAGTAGCTCGGAGTATTTCCGAATCCCGAGAACCCCATTCTGGAAAAGGACACCTATGTGTATAGTGTTTGTAGTTCTCACAGTATGCAAATTTTGTGTAATAATTACAGTTTGAATTATCCTACTATTTATGACTTTACAATGCCAAGAGATAGTGTTAGAGGGGAACTGTCACTTTTCAAGGAAATCGATTTTTGCTTTGGCCCAACTCCTCTCGGTTAAAGCGGGGAATGAAAATACACAGAGCGTGAAGTCCTTGCAATGTTAGGCTCATCTGCAAAGTGCAAAAATTTTCTTAGGCTCAAGCACAATTTGCAATCCAGAGCTTCTTCACAGTACACCATCTAATTGGTTGATTCAGAGAAAATGCCCAATTTAGGTCATCAGATGGATTAGGACAGTCGGATAAAATCATAAAATATGATAAGATTACTCGGGGCATGATAAGATAATGATAGATACTGATAGCTCGGCAGTCATACAATAAGGTCACAATCAAATGATAACATTTCCCTAAGCTATGACATTACTAAGAAATCTAAAATTCTGCCATGAACATGTTGTAGGTTTTTTTGTCTGAGAAGTTGTTTAAGTAGTATGTAGTGGGGAGTTCTTGAGAGTTAGAAGCATCAATATGACAATCCATCACCTTCCCGAAAACAGGGATGATGTCAACCGGAAGGAATATTGAATCTAGTTGGTAGATACTTCCCGCTCGAACCAACTCACCAGGTATATTGGTGCGTAATACCCCCTTCGAAGGAGGAACATTTGGATATCCATCTCCTCTAATATTGTGCCATTTTTGTCTCTTTGAGTGCCCGCAAACTCAAAATTCTCAGCGTAAACAAACACTGGGTGTTCTGGTCTCTCTGCATGAGACTCCAGCGGCTGGAAAATGATACGAATTTGTGCAACTTGAGCGGCTGTATGTGTGTGATAGTAGTCAGCATGTGATCAGAGAGACATTTCATCACTAACCTGAGATCCCTCCTTGTTGGCCAGTATTGATTAATACTGTATCATAATTTCCATGTGGCATCTTCATTGAGGGGGGATACACCTGTATTGTTTGTGGGGGCATCATGGTACAGGCGCAAAAGCTTGAGAGAAGTTATTACGATAACACAATTTTCGGACCTTTCCTTTAATTTTCATTCTCTGCTTTAAACTTTTTACTATAGTTCACACTCTGTGCCATGCAGCACTTTCCTTTTTCGTTCTAACTCCACCTTCTCATGCACGCGCTGCCTTTATTCTTCTTTTAGACACAAACTCTCTCACGC